CGTTCAGCATGATGAGCACTGGCGGCGGTCCCTTGGGGCAGCTGGCGCACACACATCCTGGAGGGCCTCCTTTCAGATTTCTAAAAATGGGATAAATTTTAAAGACGCACCTAAACACCTAAACGTACCGAATAATGATCATCATTTCCGAGAGCGGTTTTCCAACGACGCATTCTGCCTTGCCAGCTTGTGAAAAGTAGGCTTCTTCCGTCTTCATGTTCAAGTAGCCGAGCAGTGTTCCACCAGGACGATTAACCCATAGAATGGGCATCGAGTCGCCGCACCGAACCAGTTGACGTTGATCGGTCTTCTCGAAACGGTCCTTGTACTTGATCCACTCGTACCAATAGCCGAGCGAGTTGTGGTCTCCTTTGTACTGCAGCACCTTAAGGAAAGAAAAAAAGGTTATAGATTAGCTTACTAAAAAAAGACCCAACGCACCTGAATCATGCCGCCAAGATCTACTTTCCCTGTGAGCTCAGCCTTGCCGTACGGAAATGAAGCTTGTACAACGCCACCGTCGTTCCATGCGTAGCCGTGCACCGGCTTTCCGTTCTTGTACCACAGTGCGACGTACATGTTCTGCTGGCCCAGCACTTTGACAGGATTGTCCGGAAATGGCGACCCGATCGGATTGAACGCCCACGTATCCTCCTTCGGCGCAGGGTTTGGCATTGCGGCTTGCGTTGACGTAACTTGCGATGATGATGTGATGGACGAGATGAGTTGTTGACGGTGAGGAGTGGTCAAAAACCGTTGTTTTTATAGCTTTCATTGAAGGTGGCATTGTGCAACTCAAAATAACTATAAAAACAACGGTTTTTGACCACTCCCCACCGTCAACAACTCATCTCGTCCATCACATCATCATCGCAAGTTACGTCAACGCAAGCCGCAATGCCAAACCCTGCGCCGAAGGAGGATACGTGGGCGTTCAATCCGATCGGGTCGCCATTTCCGGACAATCCTGTCAAAGTGCTGGGCCAGCAGAACATGTACGTCGCACTGTGGTACAAGAACGGAAAGCCGGTGCACGGCTACGCATGGAACGACGGTGGCGTTGTACAAGCTTCATTTCCGTACGGCAAGGCTGAGCTCACAGGGAAAGTAGATCTTGGCGGCATGATTCAGGTGCGTTGGGTCTTTTTTTAGTAAGCTAATCTATAACCTTTTTTTCTTTCCTTAAGGTGCTGCAGTACAAAGGAGACCACAACTCGCTCGGCTATTGGTACGAGTGGATCAAGTACAAGGACCGTTTCGAGAAGACCGATCAACGTCAACTGGTTCGGTGCGGCGACTCGATGCCCATTCTATGGGTTAATCGTCCTGGTGGAACACTGCTCGGCTACTTGAACATGAAGACGGAAGAAGCCTACTTTTCACAAGCTGGCAAGGCAGAATGCGTCGTTGGAAAACCGCTCTCGGAAATGATGATCATTATTCGGTACGTTTAGGTGTTTAGGTGCGTCTTTAAAATTTATCCCATTTTTAGAAATCTGAAAGGAGGCCCTCCAGGATGTGTGTGCGCCAGCTGCCCCAAGGGACCGCCGCCAGTGCTCATCATGCTGAACGAGTGGGCAGACATCAGGATGGGAGACCCATGGCCAGGATATAGGACGGTGAGAGCTGGTGACAAGACGCTGAACGCAACGGCTGGAGACTCTGCTGAGCAGCATGTGGCCTTGTGGTATGTGCACGGTGAACCTGTGATGGGCCGCATCTGGAACAATGGTGGAAAGGTGAGAAAAAATTTATTTCTTATAAATAAATTAGTTTGTGGTTTTTTTTGAGTTCAGGTCGCTGCTGCGTTTGGCTGGAACGGCAAGGCCTTCACCGACAATATTGGCTCCATTCAAGTCCTCGTCGACCTTCCTGAGCAAGTTCGCGGCTACGACTACCTTTGGCGCCCGTGGAGTGATGCTGCCGTCTATGACAAGAACTCCCGAGTGTACTATCCAGTACACGTGGACCACGTGAAAGGTATCGATCATATAATACCTTGAGCTAACCCTTAAATTTTATTATTCCTTTCAGGAAACATCTCGCCATGCCTGCTAACTCTACCAAATGGCAAGGAGGCTCTCGGCAAAGCGGACATTCGCAACGAGCGTGCATCGGCTGTCGTCGCTGGCAAGGACGAGCGCTTCGAGGGACCAGCTGTCCACAAATTCTTGGTGCTGTGTCGCAAACCGAAGCCAGGACAGAAGTTCGACGAGTGATGTGGGCAATGACAGGAACTCATAGGATTGTGATATGTATATTCCCCAAACTTTTTGTAATGTGATAATTTTTCCCTCATTTTCCATCATAATTGTTCATATTTTGTTGTAAGCCTTTTCTATTTGCTATTTTTTGTATATTTGTTTGTTGAATGTTTGATAAATAAATTTGGAAAAAGTTCTTGAGTTTTTAATTCTTTCTGACATTGTTTTGAGCCTTGTATGTAAGCTGCTTCCCATAGTTTGAGCTTTTAGGTTTAAGTTGCATCAAATTAATTTGTAAATTGTTCGAGTTTCTCCTTGGTTCTCTCTGAATTTCTCTTTGGTTCTCTCTTAAAGCCTAGCTGAAAATTTTTCTTTTGCATTGGATTTCCATTTTCCGTTGCTTGTTTAGTCTGTTGCACATGAATTCCTAAATTGCTCCTTTTAGATTGCATTAGTAACAAATAGTGGGCCTATTGCTTATGAACTTGTAGCAGCTTTTGAAGAAGAATTTCGTCGAACAAATACAGTAAATTAAATGATTGCAATAAGAGAAAATTTTATTAATTAAATATACATACAAAAATAATTTGAAAATAAATATTTACTAGAGATTGGACAGAAGCTTAACAATTTTAGTATGTATTAAACGATTCATCTCATCAATCTAAAGAAATTTGGTATCAATTGATAAGGGCCAGAAATTTTACGGCTAGTTATGGCTTTGTTCATTGTGTCCGCGCGCCCTGTTTTATTTGTTTTCCTCTTCCAATAAAATTGAAAATTATATGAATATGTATCTTCTTTTTCATTTACTTCTTTTTTAATTATTAGTTTAATTTTCTAATTTAACTCATTTTTGAATTATTTTCCAGTTTTTCTTCAGTTTTAAATGTTACTATATTCCAATTTCAAAACAAATCTTTTGTCCATTTTTGAATTTTGAACTTTTTATACTTCCTTCTCTTCTTCAACTTTCTTTTCATTTATTCCAGCATTTTCTCCTTCTTCTTCTTCCTCTTCTTCTTTTCCTTTTCTTTCATCAACAACAAAATTTTCTCCCCAACGATTAAGAAGAGGAGGAGGTGAAATACTGGCATATGCAGAAAATCTCCTTCTTGTTGAAAGCGTTCTATGATGGAGAGGAACACAACCTAAAGGATTAGAGCCAATAGCAAGACCACAAACACGGCTATTTCTTCTCGGCCTTTTTCCTTGTATTAAAATATTTTCTGTAGAAGTAGAGGGTTTTGTTACTTAAAGAATTTTATTATTTTTTAAAGAATTTATTTATCCACCTTGTTTAAAATTTGAAATTCTTTCAGCAGGGCTTGGACTTGGTGTCATCCCCAATTTAAATTTTCTATTAATTGCCATATCTGTTAAATGAATTATTGGAGTTGTTGGGATTGATACTGGGGAGGTTATCGTCTTATTATTTTTATCTGTTGGTGATAAACATTGAGGGTTGATAAAAGGAAATGAGGGAGAGGAAAAGCTTTGAGACAAAGGCCTTCGTTTTCTTCGAGAATGTTGTTGGCCTAAAAATGGATATATTCTTAAACTCAAAAAATAATTCATTAAAATCAATTAATTATTCACTTTCATGTCTATTTAAATCGTTGTCATCATCCTCGTCATTATCATCATCATCAGAATCATGCCTCCCTAATTTAGCATTTCCACCAACAATAAATTTTGGTTTTGGTTTTTGAGGGTTTTCATTAATACGTCTTCCAAAAAGACCAAAAAATAATTTATCAGAAAATCTTCTTTTTAATGCTAAACTTGAACGTCTTTCACCCAATTTTTTCGAATTGGCCATAGCTATTTGGGATGAAGATTGTGGTAATAAAGGAGTAATTGCCATTAAAGAAGGGACAGAATCTGTGTGGTAATTACCAAAACAAACATCAAAATAAGTATTTGAATATAATGAATCTAAATCATTGGCACTACAACTTGGATTACTTGCATCGTTTGTAGTTGTTCGGGTAACATTTAAATCAGAAGAGGTTGAATCCATCGATTCTATTAAAATATTTATTAGATTTTTAACGTTTTTTCAAAAAATTTCCTGTACATGAAGGTATATTTAAATTAAAAATTACCAATTCCACAACCAAGTCTTCTTAATCTCCAACTTTTTTGAGGTATTGAACGAATTGGTGATTGACGAGGGGATGTTTGAATACTACTACTAACCATCTTTTTTGGAGGAGGAGCATTATTTTCAACAATTTCTGCAAATCTTTGATTTGTTGCAAATTTGGCAAAAAGGCGTGATCTTTTTTAGAGAAAAATTTTTAAAAATATACTATATTTAAAAATATTTACTTAAAATCATTTCCAATTTGCCCATTTTTAAGTCGAGAATTTTCAATTGCTCGAATTGCTTGCATTGTGGGAGCACTAAATTTTAAAAGAGCACCAGCATAATCTTTGGGTAATTTTGGAGGTTTTTTATGTCGCTTCTGGAAAGAGACCCCTTCTCGAGTAGGTGTTGAATCTAAAAGTATTGTTTATTTTTTCGTTTCGGCAAAGTTTAATGAAAAAAAGAAGAGGGCAATTAAAGTAATGTTAAACTTACTTTAAACTTACTTTCGATAATTTACCCCTTCTTATTCCTGTCTTTAACATAAAATATAGGGTTAGGGTTTTCGAATCGGGTCGACGTTCGAGTAATTTTTTCGGGCCTAATTTTTATCGAATGGGCAATTTGAGTCTTCTTTGGGCCAAGATTAGATGTCCGATTCGATCTTTCGAACCGGGCCCCCACTCTAATAAAATATATCCATTCTAACCGATTGTAGATGTTCCTCCATAAATAATTCCTTTATTATTAACTTGTGCTTTCTCTAATTTTATTTGATTTTTAGGCATTTCTTCAATCCTTAAAGGTGTTCCTTCATGAATTTCTATTTGTGGAAGATTTTCATCTTCAACAATTTTATTTTCATCCAAAGAATGTTTATGTATAGTTATTTTAGCTTTAACTGGTTCTGTTTTAACAATTATTTCTTCTAAATCAGGCAAATTAACATTTTCTCTTTCTTTTTCTTCTTCAGAATCGGAAGAGGAAAGAGAATTCGAGACTGGATAAATCTTTAAAAAAAGAAAATTTTGTGAGGGTTTTTATTGAGAGAATAAGTATTTATTACCTTATTAAGTAATATACTACTAGCTTTCTCAGCAAACCAATCTTTTACTGTCCTCCCAATTCCTCCTCCATTTTCTACAACTATTCTTGGTTGTTCTATATTTAATGTTGCTATAGGTAAAGACATCTCTTTAAAATTTAATTTTTATTAAAGGATAATTTCTTTCAAAAATTTACCATTAATTTCACCAACATTAAAAGGTTCCAATTCTTCAGTAAATTCATTTATTTCATTATTTGTCACAACAGCAGCTATTTTTTCTATTTCATCAATATATTGTTCTATTAATCTTTCAATTAATTTTTGTAATGCTTCCTAAATAAATTTAAACAAAATATTTTTCAAAAATAAATATTTAATTACTTGAATTAAATTAACACACATTGACAGTAATGCCAAACCAATTAAAATCATAAAAAAATTAATAATCTAAAAAATTAAATAATACAAGAGAAGTTTAATGTAAAGGAATTCTTTTGTTTTTTCTTAATTAATTTGGAATTTATTTTGAGATTAAAATTAAAAGAGGAATTTATCTATTTATTTTAATTATTGTAATATCGAAAATTAAATTTTCTTTCAAATTTTTCTTTCTTCTCACTTTAAAAAAAATTAAGTTTCTCGTTAAAAAACCAATTAAAAAAATAAATAAACTCACCATCATATCTGGTTTAGTTGGCACTAAATCACCTAATCCAACAGTACTTAAATAAATAATTTTATCTATTTTATTCCCCAATTCAATTTACCTAATAGAAACAAAAAAGAAATAAACAGAAGTCATATATCCCCATTCACTTTCCCAAATACAAAAAAGTGCAGCACTAAATAAAATCCAAACAATTAAAATAGTTAATGCCCAAGGAATTGGAAAAGATTTTTTCTCTCCTTTAGATGCTTTTGCCAATGCCTGATTGTTAATTTTAAAAATTAAAAAATTATTTTTTAGGAAAAAACTTTAATTTCTGCTTTTCTTTTAGCTTCCAATTTTTCTTCTTCATTATTCGCACTTAAAATTTGTAAAGCTAAAGGACCAACGGCAGTACTTGCCAAGGATGTTGTCATATGGTAAATTGCCTTTTTAAATAATTAAAAGGTGAATTAAAAAGGGGTGGGGGAATATAGAGGGAATTATAAAAGAGAGAGGGTAATTTGGAGTGTTTCACCGGAACCGAAATTTTGACCGGAATCGGAACTTTCGATGAAACTCTAGTAATTTGTTAATTTAAATTATAATTACTTTCATTGGTTCACTCATTTTTCTGGCAGCTTCAGGAATTCTTTTCATTTTATGCATTTTTTTATAAAGTTTTCTCAATCCATGAGAAAGTAATTTACCAACTTCGGCAAGAATTATTAAAAATAAAGGAATTCCAATCATTATATACTTTTAAATTTAAAAATAAATTTAAATATATTTGAATATTAACTAACAATAATACTAGCTAATCTTCCTCCAGATGTTTGTGTTGCTGGCAATCCATAACCTTTAATTAAAAAATTATTTTTTAATTTAAAGAGAATGTTATTAAAATTATTTTTAATTTTTTCTAGTCCTTCTCTCCTCTTTTTCAACAAATTTATTTTTAAATTAAAGAATAACCAATTGTTGTATAAAGTTGACCAGCATAAAACATAGCTCCCATCCAAGTCCACGGGGAATTTTCTGATCTTTCTTCAATTACTTGTGTTAAATTTAAATAATCCATTAACCAAAAAAGATGTTCTTTTACATGTCTATTTTGTAAAGCTTTATCCGTATCTTCAAGGCCATTTTCACAACGAACTTCAAGCATTCGATTGAGTGTCTAAATTATTAAAAAATATTTTTTTAGAATTTCCAAAATCTTTTTTTGTTATTAGTACTTTTTATAAGAGAAAGAGTTTAAATTTTAGCCAACGGGCAGGATTCGAACCTTCGACAACGCTGACAGTGATCGCTTGGCCTTGCTCTACTACTGAGTTACCGGAGCATCGACTAATGCTTTTCTTTTTCCTAATTAGATCGTTTAACCCCCACCTAAGTGTTTAAATGCTCTAAGTGAATCATCCCTTACATAAGTCAAAATATTTTTTAAATTAAAATAAATTAATTTTACTCTTTTAAAAGCATATTCAGTATTTTGTCTATATCTAATTCTTCTTTCCTCGTCTTCTTGTAATTCAAAATATCTAAATATATAAGCACCCCCAACAGTATAGGCAATTAAAACAATTAAAGGCACAAAATACCTCAATCTTTGTAATTTTAATTTTTTGTAGAAAAAGCGAATACGCCGGAATATTGCAAACATTTTTGGAAGTTTTTGGAATGAAAGGAAAGAAAAAAACAACAACAAATATTTTTTAAAAAAAGCTAAAAATGGATTAGTATTTTAAAAATATCTTTAAAATTTATTTAATAAATTTGAAAATAAATTATTTTTAAAAAAATAAAAAATCCCAAGTTTTAAATTTTTAAAATTTAATTTAAATGTGGATTAAATTTTTTAAAAGAAAAATAGCAATTTGTCCACATTTTAAAAATTAAATAAAATATTTTTGAAGATTAATTAACTTTAATTGTTTAATTAATCATTTCTTCTCTTTTTTTAATAACAAAAACAGAAATTAAAAATAAGCAATATTCGTAATTAAAGGAGAAAATATTTGTTTTAGAAAATAAATTTTAAAAGACAGCTGTCTTTCTAAATTTAATGTTTAATTAGTAATAATAATAACCTTTTACTTAAATTAATAGTTTTAAAAGAATGATCGGCGTTAAATAAAAAAAGCTTTGAGAAGTTTTTAACTTTAGTTTAAATAAAATTAAATAAAAAAAGAATTAATTTTTTAACTTTAAAAAATAAAATAGATATATAATCTTTCTTTGATTTATTTTCTTTATTACATATTTATTTAATATCCAAGTAAATGGACATAAAAAATCTGTACTTATTTAACAGAAAAATCAGAAGAAAATAAAGAAATCGATTTGGGAAAATGAAAAAGAAAATTTTTGGGGGGGTTTTTTTAGCTATTTCACAGATATATCTGTAAATCTTTTTTAGAAGAGAAAAGCTAAAATTAAAAATTGAGGGAAAGAAAGGGAGGGAGAGAAAAGACAATAAACTTTTTGGAATAAAACAATTGGTTTAGAAGGAAATAAATATATATATATTTTTATTTTTTTGTTATAAAATAATGAAAGAAATTTAAAAGAAAAGGTATAGATTTAGAATCTTTGCACATTTTATTTAACTTTTGACTTTTTATTGGTGGTCCTTTTAAAAATAGAAAAAAAAATAAAGAGAAAAATATATATTTTTATTTAAAAATTTAATTAATCCCTTTATTTAATTAAAAAAAATTACAATTTTTATTAAAATTTGTTTTATATTCAAACAATTTTTAGAAAAATGCTAAAAAAGTTTTTTTTGTTTTCTTTTGCTTCAAAATAATACAAAACTTTTAAATTATTTATTATTTTTTGATTAAAAATGTAAATTTTGTTGCAATTTTTAATGAATAAAAAATATGTAAAATGTAGAACTTGTATTTAAACAATAAATATTTTAATAGGGGAGGGAGGTTGGTTAAAAATTTAAATATTTTATTTATTTTTACTTTAAAATTTAATAAGAAAAACATCCCTAATTTTTTATTTTTACATTCACAATTTAAAAGACCAAAAAAAATTTATTAAATAAAAAGGAAGGGAAAGGAGTATTTTCTGATTTTAAAATTCTCCAATTAGTTTATTTTGGTAAAATTAAATAAAAGTTTTTTTGGGAAAGAAAAGAATATTTTTAATATATAAAAGAAAAAAGGAATTAATTAAAAAAAAATATTTTTTTTATTTTATTATTAAAAAAGGAAATAAAAAATTATTTTATTAGTCAATTGGGGCCAAAATAAAGAATATTTAATTGAGAATATTTTTGAAAAGAGAGAGTGACCATTTAAAAAAATTATTTTTTTCGTTTATTTTCTTCTTTAAAATGTACTGATTTTGAATTAGCCAACATTTTCTTAAAATCATCACATTCAAACAATAATTGTTTAAAAGTAAATACAGAAATTGCCAAATAAATACTTTTAATTAAATAATTAATTAAATTTTAATTTAAATTACCCAAATAAAAATAACAAAACCAAAGTAAATATAGCAATTCCCCACATTGTATCATCACTAACAATACTTTAAAATTTAAATAATATTTAAAAATATTTTTATTTAATTACCTAATTGTTATACAAACAGAAAAAAGTAAAAGTTGTAAAAGAACGGCCAACAAACAAAGAATTAATTGAGGAATAAATATTAAAGGTTTCCGAATCTTTTTTTAAAAGAAATATTTTTTAAATAATTTCCTCTTCCTTTCCTTCAGAGATGGGTCGGAATTTTGATTTCCGAAATTTTGAAAATTTTCAATTTCCGACAATTTTTAAGTTCCGATTTCCAACTCTTCCGATTTCCGACACCTCTGACTGTTCCGACCCACCTCTGTTTTCCTTCCCTTTTTTTACCTGAATACTTAATAAAGAACCCCCAACACTTAAAAAATGCAGAAAAAAGAAAAAAGTTAAAGCCAATAAAGTAATTGAATACCAAAATTGGATTGTAAAACGATCTAATTTCTTTTTTTTTAATTTTAATAATTAAATAATTAATTAATTTACTTGAAATATTTGTTTATAAAGGGGAGTTCTTCGAAAAGGATTTGGATAAAAATATGCAAGTAAAGCTAAAAAAATTAAAATAACATCAATAACAGTACAGGCTATACAAGCACCATAAAAACGAATCTAGGGAATTTAAAAGAATTATTTTTATTTTTTAATTATTTAATACATTAATTGGAGCATTTAATAAAGTCCTTTCTTTTCTTTCAATATTATTAGGCTGTAATATAATTAATAATTTTTGTTGGTCAGTCATTTATTGGTGGTAAATTTAATTAACAAGAAAATATTATTTTTAATTTTTAAACAAAGAAAAACAAAAAAAGGAACAACTGCCAGATATAAAAATTTCTTTTAAAAAGATAACAAAAATAATAAAAGTAGGGAAGGAATAACTAAATAATATAGACAAATAACATTGTTAAAAATGAAAAAAATAAATTAAAGTTAATTTAAAGTTTTAATTATTATTTTTATTTATGGCAAAAATAAATTAAACTTGTTAATTATTTCTTTCTTATTTTAAACATTTCTATAATGAAAATTGTTGTTAGTGTATAAATATTAAAATTAAAAAAAAATTATTTAAAAAATAAATATTGGAAAAATAAAATTGTGTGGTGAACTTGTATGGAATTATGATACCTAGAACTATCCAAAATAATTTGTGTACCTAATGCCTGAGGAGACGAAATTTTTGTTTTTAGATGTTTTTGGATTTTAAATGAATAATAAATTTGCACAAAAATTTAAATAAATTTATTTATTTATTTTAATTTTTCTTTAAAATCTTTACAAATTCCACAAAACTTTTTTAAATCAATACATACTAAATATTTCCAAATTTAAATAATTTAATAAATTTAGAAGAGCGAAGATTTATTTAAAAAGGAAAAGTTTGGGCACCTGCATATAACCTTCCAACTCATGACAGGGATTTTAGCTTCAAATAAAAATTCATTTTTTAAATTTATATACATATTTCTTTCTCTCTACCTCTTTCAAAATTAAAATATAAAAAAACTTTTTTTTTTTTCAAAAAATGTTGCCAAGAAAATGGAAATATATTACAATATTTATCATAATTTTCTTTTGCCTATTTACTTTTACAGCAAAGGCTGAAGATGAAGAAGAAGGTAAGGATAATGATGGTGATGATGGCGGTGGTGATGATGGCGCTGATGGTGATGATGATAAAGAGGAAGGAGAAGAAAAAAGCGAGAAAGAAGATGAAGAAGAAGAAGGGGATGGCGAAGATGAAGAAGAAAAAAATGGAGATAAGGAGAATGAGAAGGAGGAAGATGAAGATAAGGAAGGGAATGATGATGAGGAGGATGATAAAGAAAGTGAAGATGAGAAATCTGAAGTGTTACAAGATGAAAAAGGCGAGGAAATTTACATTAACTTAATTATGTTAACAATGTAATATAATTATTTTAATTAAGAGGGAGAAGAAGGAGATGAAGAAGATGAAGAGGATGACGAAGCACAAAGTAAAAGCAGTAAAAGTAAAAAAGTTAAAAAAAGAAAAAGAGGAGATGATGATGATGAAGAAGAGGAATCCAAAAACGATGAAGCAGAATCTGAAGTCGATAATGGAAGTGATGAAGAGGGTAGTAGAGAACATAAAAAAGCTAAAAATAGAAGATATATTTGTCAGGTACCTATTTAGAACATATTCAAATTACTGATAGGATAAAGGGCTCTTTCAAGTATAAGGCTAGCAAATGGTGGGTGTTGGCTGCACAAAAAAATAGTCAAATCTAAAATAATTCTTTTAAATGTTCCAAAAATTGGGCTCAAAGCCACAACTGATATAAAGCCGCCAATCGACCTGGCCCCGACGTGGCACTTTCTACGGATTTAGATTTTTATATTGAAGTAAAAATATTATTAATTTTAGGATAAAGACGGGAATTTTGTACCTTTGGCATATGTTTGTGCTGATGTTTATCACAAGAAAACATGCAGAGCCCTTTTTCCGCATGATCCCGATGATCCACACGGCCGGCCACCAAATTGTGATTTAGATGAAATAAAAGATGTAGTCTATAAATGTGCACATCATTGCAAAGTATGTTGCATGTTATCCGCCTATGGATGTGGTGATGACCCTAGTGAGTAATTTAGCTTTTAAAATATCTCACCCAGATGATAAAACAGAAGAAAGTTTACACCGTAAATGTTTTAATAGAAGCCTTAGGCTTTCATTGAGTTAATAGGGTATGCGCTTTTATTAGGATATTTACGGGTAAAGTCTTAAAGAAACATTTTCTCGGTTATCTAACTTAACTATTTAATAGCATATGACTTTGATTGTGAATCACGTAAACATTTGTGTGAAAAACTACCTAAATTGGTAAGGAATTATTTTTAATAAATTTGTTCTTTTAAAAATATTTAAAGATGAATATTGCCTGTCCCTCTTCTTGTGGAACTTGTCACATAGGGCCATGTAAAGATACAGTAGATGGCTGTATTTCAATGAGATCAACAATGTGTAAACATCACAAAGAATTTAATAAAGATTTACACGAATGTGCCCGTTCATGCAAACTTTGCACACGTAAATATTTAAATAGAGAAATAAAATTTTAATTTTAATTTAGCCAGATGTGTCGATTTAAGTGATAAATGTGCAGAAGCTGACCAAAGTGCTTGTCTACGACCGCCAGATGATAAACCGGAGGAAAATGTTATAATTTTAAATAAAAATTTAAAAATAAATTAATTTTTTTGAAGGTTTATTATAAGGCAATGTCTAGAGTTTGCCGTAAATCTTGTAATTTATGTGATGAACCATTCGACGATTTGGAGGAATCTAAATTGATTGAAACAAAATTAAATAATAAAAGAACAAGAGAAGAGGATGACGATATAATTAGTGAAGTAATTAATAGTAATGATGATGGAGATGAAGTTGTGAGTAAAAGACGAAGAATTAATTCAAATAATGATGAAAGTGAAATGGAAGGGGATAACGATAGTGATGATAGTAAAAGTGAAGTTGAAGACAAATAAAAAAGAAATTTTTAAATTAATATTTAAAATAAATATAAAGTCACCTTTTTCAACAAAAATTTAAAATAGGAATTATTTTCCAAAAAAATAAATAAACAGAAAAAAGCATCAAAATTGACAATTCTTTAAATAAAATTTATTTTTGTAAACCTCCAAACAAAGTTGGTCTATTTGGTGTTGCCACAGCACTTCCTTTAAATAAAGTTCCACTACTCGCAGAATTTAGCGTATTGCTGAATAAAGCTGTCCCTGCTGGTTGTTGACCTGTTGTTGGTTGTTGTGTTGTTGTAGTACCAAAAAGAGGGATAGATGCTGAAAATAAAAATAATTTAAAAATATACAAAAAGAGAAAGTCATCCCCCACTTTTTAAACATTATTTAAAAATAGCTAGATTACACAGACTAATATCTCGTAAATATTCCCCCTTTTATTAAAATAAATTTTCAAAACCTAAAGATGTTGTTGCTGGAGCTGGTTGACCAAAAAGAGAAGTGGTTGTTGTTGTTGCCGAAGCAGTACCAAATAAAGAAGTATTTGTTGCTGGTTTATTTGTCGTTCCAAATAATAAAGAACTTGTAACAGAAGGATTATTAAAAGAAAAAGAAGTTGGAGGCTTTGAAACATTTACTCCAAATAAAGAAGTTCCCGTTTGTTGTGGCTGTAATGGTTGGCCAAAAGGAGCTAAAAAATTAAAAAAAAACTTTTTAAAAATATTTATAAAATAAACTAATTCCAAATTGTGGTTGTGAAGATTGTGAAGGTTGTCTAGGTAAATATTCACTTAAAGAAAGAATTGCATTTGATGATGGAAAAGCATCAACACCTTTTTTAAATGATTTTAGTTAATTTTTAGAAAATTTAGACAAAAAAAACCTTTTAAGGGTTTTACTAATTAAAAATTTATTCTTAATTTAATTTGTAAAATAAAAATAGATATTCTCGACAATTATAAAATAATTATAAAACAATATATACTTTCAGGCCCATATCCAGGGGGTAGGAGATTTCCATAATTTTGGAAAACTTGTTTTGTAAATCACCCAAAAATTTTAGAAATTTAATTTTAAATTAAAACCTTTCAGAGTAGAATAAGAATTAATTATATTTTGCCTTTCTTTTGCTTTTTCAAAAGGATCAGCATCAAATTGCCCATAAATTTTTTTCCTTCGTTCTATAAAACAATCACGTAATTTCTATAATTTTATAAAAAAAATTAAAAAAACTCTAAAATTAATACTTCTGTTGCTTCATTAACAATATAAACTTGACCGGCCACAGCCTCAAAAATTTGATCAAATCGTTGAATGTGTGCTGCTAATTCACTACGAGAAATTGAAGTGGAATCCTTGAAAAATAAAAAAAGAATAAAAGGTAAAAAGATAAGGAAAGAAAACACATTGTTGAGAAAAAATCCTCAAAATTTCCAATTTTTCAAAAAAAAATTTATTTAAAAAAACCAACCGAATCATCAGATTTCAAACGTTCCAAAGTTTTACTCAATTTTTGAACAGATCCCCAAAGATCTTCAAGTTGCCTTTCATTTAAAGAAGCAACTTCATGTAAATAATCGATAGAATGTCCTCTTTTCGTTTGCTGGTCTCTACTTTTTTGAATATTTTGAGAAATTTTTTGATCCAAATTAATCTTTTCTGACAAAACTTTAAAAAAGAATTTAATTAAAAAACAAAAAATTAAATTTAAACCAGAATTTTTTAATTTTTCTTCCTTCAAAAATCCTTTATATTGACTAATAAGACGTCCAAGCCCAGTTACTTTAGATTCAAGTGAAGTCATTTCATTCGAAGGATTTTCATTTTTTAATTCAGAATAAATTTGTTTGTTTTCTTTTAAAGTTTTTCTGAAAAATAAATAAATTAAAAAACAAAAAAATAATTAAAATTTACTCAAGTATTTCTAATTGTGACAACAATTCAGGTGGAACAGGAGCTTCTAGTGGTTGTAAATTAGAAGGTGTACTAAGTTGCATATTTTATTAAAAAATCTTGATCTGAAAATTTTAAATTAGATTCTAGATAAAAGTATAACTCGAAAAAGAAATCTGTATGGAAAATATTATGCTAACAAATTGCCGATTTTTTTAATTAAATAAAATGCTTTGAAGGAGTGAGACACAAAAAGTATAGATTGGAATTTAGCTACTCAATTGTCGTGATTCAATTGTCTTCTACCCGGAATATGTGTAATTTAAAAATTACGGTACGGTAATCCTTTAATAGGAGTTAAAATTGGTTAAATTTCGTTTCTAAATTTTAAATAAACTTTTTGTATCATATAAAAGCTTCAAAGAATGGATAACTTTAAAATCCACTCACTACTGCGAATTCACTGGTCGGACGATCTACTCACGTTTCGATAGTATTTCTTCAACGATGAGTTCCAGCAAAGCAAGAGGTGAGGGTGATGGACGATTCTCTCTTCATGATGATATTGCTTCTGAGCAAGATCGTAATGAAGCTACAAAGGTGAGCAATCTTGTTTTTAACCGATCATAACTTTTTCTCATTTCTTGCAGGCAGTTCTCGATGCTCATCGTCGACTCACAAGTGACAGGCCTTCGATCGATACCTACCTCCAATGCCAACCCGGTCAGAACCGCTATCCAGCCATTGCTTGCTACGACAGCACTCGCTTCCAATACAAAAATGACCCAACCAAATTCTTCCACGCAAATTGGGTAGATGGGATAAGAACTCCAAGTTTGTCGATCATTCTTTAACTTTAATACAAAAATTAATTTACAGGAGCCTACCTTCTTGCAACTGGGCCGCATGATGAGGATACTTGTCGAGACTTTTGGCGGATGGTAATCGAAGCTCGTCCATATGCTATTGTTCTAATGAATGAGGTGAATAACCCGACTGCCTTCTACAAACGATTCTGGCCGAGTAAGAGTTGCAAATATGAATTCGAAAAGGATGGAGCTCGTTGGATTAAAGTGCAAAATGAAGGAGTGACGTCTGAAGTAAACAAATTATGCAAAAAATAAACTTTTTAAAATTTTTTTAAGGCTCCCGATTCTGCCTTCACCCACTTCACCTTTACGGTCACCGACTGCAAAAACGACCATGTAATCAAACCAGCTGTCTATCAAATGATTGATGATGATTCCCCTGTGCCTGCATACTTCCCTCTTCTTCGGAGTGAGGTGATTTTTAAACATTAAGTTATTTAAAGTTTCTCTTTTCTTATTTTAAGTTGTTGGAACTGGCCGAAAATATCTTCACCCGTAAAAAAGGCAAAACACATTTGAAGAGAAAAGTTTTGCTTGTATGCGGTGATGGTATAACCAAAAATGGAAATTTTGCGGTTTTCGATATTGTCATGGATCGTGCGGCAACTCATGAACGAGTAATTAAATTAATTATCTTAAAAAATTATTTTTATTTTTTTAAAGGTTGGACTCAAAGAGACGGCAAGGATTGTTATGGATCAACGTTGGGGAACTGTTGGTAGTTCAGACGAATATAAACTTCTGCACGCGATGATAAAGGCTCAAATTCAGCCATTGTTGCAAAGGGCCCGTCGTTCGAATGCTAGTTCACAGGACTAAATAACTAAAGAAGAAGAAAGTACTTGAAGATGTAAATTTAGGATATTTTCTGTATATACAATGGATATTTTCTCTAAATATGTATATTATTGTAAACTTGTCTAAATTTGTTTTTTCTTTCTACTTCTGTAATAAACTAACTTATTTTGTAAATAGGATGGATTGCGTACTTTTTTTATTTTTAATGATCTCGTGAGGATTGGTTAAATGTTTAGAATATTTAAAGATTAATAATTCTAAACATGCATTTTAAAAGCCATTAAATATTTTTTAATTCAAGATTGAGAAAATAGAATTTTCATTTTTAAAAGTATTACAAAAAATTCAATTTTAAAACATTTAAAAATCCTTTCAATCCATATTCATGGATAGCAGTGTCAGAATGAGTTTACATAAACAGTAAAATTTTGAATTATTAAGATGAGTAAAAATAATCTTTTTTAGAAAAAATATACTACATATCTCTTAACATACAAAATAAATTTTTTTTCAAAAATTTTGCTGAATGATTTTTGATCCCTTAGTTGAATATTTTAATTTTATTTAAAAAATTCATAAAACGGTGTTGAATTTTTAACTTACAATTATGTATAAATTTAAAATATAAAAAAATATGTATTAAAAAGAATTTCCAATTTATTAAAATTTATTTTTACAAAAAATTCAAAAAATGGTTAAAATTATCCAATTTTTTATATTTTTTATTGGCTTTATTTTATTTTTTCAGAAAGAAGTGTCGAGTTTTGAAGGAGAATTAGATGTTTGTGTATTTAAATTTTCTTTTAAAAATTATTTTAGTTGACTCAACGTTCTCGTCGTAGTCCTAAACCAATACTTGACCAACTTGATTGGTATAATTTGAAAAATAATGAAAATAAAAATGAAACTAAATAATTATTATGTTACTTAATAATAATTATTGTACGACTTGAGTACAGAATAAAACAAATAATTTTTGATGCCGCAGTAATTATTTTAAAATTGTCTATAGAAAAACTAGATCTCGTGCTCTTAATCCTAATGTTTAATGAAATTAATAATGCCTCTTAAATTAAATAGATTCTACAGTGTATTTTATGTATATGTAGATAATAAAATTTTCTAAAATTTTATTCAAGAAAACAAAAATACTAAACTTCTTTAAAAACAAACATATTTCCACAATTCTACACAGAATTCAAAGTAAAATATATTTTTCCATTTTTATTTAAATATTCTCACATTTTGCGGACAGATGTTCGATAATTTGCATTGTGTCTCCCTCCATGATGCCCAAAATCTTCACTTTGCCGTCTTTTGAATTTATTTCCACAACAGTCTCCACTACCAATTTTAATTCCATTTTCGGAGAATTTAGGCATAAGTCTTAATTCGCTATGCCCGTGAGCAAAAAGACAAGAACCTCCATACTTACATTCTCCAAAATGAACGAAGGAATTGCAAAGTGTAGTTTTGTACTGAAAGATAAAAAATAGTTTTTTTAATTTTTGGTACATTTACATACTCTCATTTTAGTCTTAAAATTAATCTTTCCCTTTCATGTCAATCAAAGGATGAGAGTTAAATTAAAAAGAAAATAAAAGTTAATATTAGGATTGGACACAAACGGTTAACCAAACCGGAACCAAAATCAATGGGGTAACAGTTAATAATCGGTTGTGTCCAACCCTAGTTAATATTAGTGTTAGGCATTTGCGATTTTTCGAGATCGAGATTATCGAAAAATCTCGATTTTTCCAAAAATTGATCGAGACGAGATCGAGATCGATAATCTCGAAAAATCTCGATATCAAAAAATCTCGGTCCAAAATTTTCGAGATTATCGCGATATTTCGATATTTTTATAATCCCTTAGAATTGAATAAAAATTTATTTCAATCAATATAATTATGATCTAAATGTAAATTTGCCACAAAAAATTGCCAAATTGCCAAAAATTGGTTCAGAAAAATTAACATTTCTGCATTTACTGGACTCAAAAGTGATCGCCTGTAGTCAAAGACGTCTTTCTGACTTGACCGATATTTCTGACTTGACCGATATTTCTGACTTGACCGATACGAGATCGAGATAGATAATCTCGAAAAAAATCTCGCGATATCTCGAAAAATATCGTCGATATATCGTCTCGTGCCCAACACTAGTTAATATGATGATTTAAAATTTATTTGGTTAATTAAATGAATTAAACGGCTAGTTAATTCAGGATTAAACGGCTTTGATAAAGACGTTAGCTTATTCTTCCATAACCGGCTTCCTTTAGACCATAAGAAATTTTAAAAAATACGAGAAAGAACCATAAAATAATTAAAATTCAGACCTTTTCATTTATTTGTGTGGTAATTTGCACATTAGCAGAAGACTGTTGTTGAGGCTGAATTGAAGTTTGATGGTTATTTTGAGTAGTATTTTGATTAGTATTTTGTTGTCGTTGCTGGTGGTGTGTAGGCTCCGTTGATTTGACTTTATTTACTTGTTGATTAATGACATTCTTTGGTAGACTATTAATAAATTGATCTAAAGGAATAGATGTTGGGGCAGTTGGAAGAATTAATTCAAGACGATCTAGCAAAAAAGAGAAAATTCTTTAAAAAATATTAAAAAAATAAAACTTGTCCAGCCAGCACTGAAATATGCCTCAATAAATGCAAGTTTTTGACGATCGTCCATAAATTCAACAATGCTTAAATTTGCTGTAATTTATTAAAATAATTTAAATTTAAAAAAATAAAATATTTTTTTGTGTAAAATGAACAAAAAGTCAAACAATAAAATTGTATATATTTTTTATTTAAAATTAATTAAATTAGACAAAATATGGCAATTAAAATATTATTAACAATAAGTAAATAATTTAGAGAGTATCAATGACAAGATGACAAAGACAAAAATTAAGTAAATGTGAGGGAGAGAGATTAGAATATATAACTAGAAAATATTTTTACTTTAATTGTTTTCACAAAATTTTCTAGCTATATTTATTTATTATATTAAATTCACAGAAATAATTAGAGGAAACCATTATATTGGGAGATTAGAATTATTAGAATAGAATGAAAGATAATTTTTTTAAAATGAGCAAAATATAATAAAACTTCACAGAAAAATAAATTAAAATTAATTCCTTTTATCTCAAATAATTTGATGAAGATGTGTGAGAAATAATTCGGCAATTTGACGATTAGCTTCTAATGCATTTTTCAAATTGAAAAAGTCCATTTCGTCTACTTTAAAAATAATTATAAAAAATTATTTAAAAAATTATTTTAACAAACAATTAATTGGCCCGTTTTCTGCTCCTCCCAAATGCCCTCCAAATGTTTCAATTGTTAAATTGTTTGTTGTAGAAATAGCCTCTCTCAATACAGTCAGACAAGTAGAAGGTGAACATTTTGTTGTTAATGCAAAAAGAGTGTCTCTAAGAGTAACATTTGTATTAAAACCCAACAAAATACTAGCCTAAAAATATTTTTAGAAATTTAGATAAAAACGTCAAAAGAAAACCTCAATACAACTAAACAAAGTATTTCCTGCCTCTGCAGGATCCCCATGTAATGCTCGAATGCAGATGGCAATTTTTGCAAGGCCAGGTGCCAAAATAAGCAATGAAGCAAAATTTCGTAAAACCCAAGGCTCTGGATAAGCTTTAAAAATAAATTTAAAATAAAAGATATAAAAATAAATAAACTAGTCAATAATTCCAGAAAATTAAACAATTCCAATTCATTCCAACGCAATTCCTTCATATCCAGTGACTTTGTAAATAGAAGCTGTTCTACAAGTTGAGGTAATTCTCCCAGGTAGGTTTGGGCACTTTGCCGATCAAATATTGGGTCAGCAACAATTCGTTGATAATTAACAAATTCTAAAAACAAAAAATAAAACTGATTTAACTAGAAGCAAGCCAATTAAAGTTCAGCACCCGTTGCTACGGGTCTAACCGCAAACTATAAAAACTTATTTTAACAATAAGTCAAACATACCCATTGGTTGTAACTTTCCATCATTCTCCTGATCCAAGCGTGTAGTTGTTGGAGCGGCCAACATAAGCATTAAACGATATTTGTGTTCTCCATTTTCCCCAAATAAATGAAGAATAGCCGAAAGGCGAAAACCAACTTGTTGAATAACATTAGAGGAGTTATCATTGGTTGAAAATGAACAATCATTCAAAAAAAGAGCCAAAATTATTCGCCGCAAAGCCATTTCTTCAACTTCATTATTTTTCTTGGATCTGAAGAAATTGCGAACTCGAGTTAATAGACCGGTAGACTCAACAAACATAATCATAAATGAAATAAAGTGCGATTGAGACCAATCAAAAGAAATCTAGTTTAATAAATTAAAAATAAAATTTTAGAAAATCTAACCTTCGTTATCAATTTACCCCAATAATTTTTGTCATGATATTTGTCGTAGGAATCAATTTTTTGATAAAGTTGAATAATAAAATTTGAACAGCTAATAGCATTAGGAGCTTTTCCCCTCAATAAACAGCATAACCGGATCAAACGAGCTGCAAAATTACAAAATTAAAAAAGCTAACTAATCCTTGTGCTGTTGTCTACATTTTCCCCCTCAGTTTCCCATAAATACAAAAGTACCATAACAACGTATTTAGAATATAACAAGAAGGAAAGGAGCCATCAACAATTTAAAATACTTACCAAAATCATTTGGAGGAAAATCAGAATTGGACTCCTTGGCTGTTGAAGAAAAAATCTTTCGGAACCGAACAACAAATCGCTCAGAATTTAAATATGCCGACACTCTGTTAAAATGAAGACGATTGAGAACGCAAATATTTGCAAGATCCTTGGCTAGAATATAAGAAAAGATTAATTAAAATTATCCTAAAAACTTACGTGAACTGAAATCAAAAATTTGAAAGACAATTTCAAGTGGAAGAGAAGCAAAACTTTGAGATCCTTGTTGTTTATTAAATAAAAAGAGAAGGAAACTGGAAAAAGGGTGAGGAACCATTAAAGATTATTTGGATATGCTAAAAATTAAAAAGAAGTGAAAATTTTAAAACAAAGAAAAAATCAAACAATAGAGAATAAAGAAAATGTTAGTGAAATAAAAGAAAAACAGAATGCCAAATGAACGCGTCAAAAATATATTTAAATGAACAAACATTTTTACAAGAATTTTAGAGGTGAGATTTCGAGGTAACGACGGCTATATAAAATGGCTGATGTGCTTTTCATTATGTTGTTTCGAGTTCTTTCGAACTTTTGATAATTTTAATTTAACTATGTGCAAGAATAAAATTCCGTTTGGTCTCAAAATTTTCATTGGACCGTAAATTTGTTTTGAAAATTGATATTTGATTAACATAAAGTAACCGGATACTCGCGTTTGTTTTATTTTTTAATTAAAATTTATTAAAATTATTTATTCTTATTTAAAAACAATTAATAAATTAAGGCAAAATTTAAATTTTGATATGTACATAAACATTAAATATTAATCTCATCTTTTAATGTTATGCAATTAGCATATAATAAGTCCAATAAAATGCATTGAACAATGCGTAGATTGCTTAAAATATGTATTTTTTGTTTAAATTTAAATAAAATTCTACCAGGAAATGCCATTCTTGAAAATTTGTCTAAACGTTCACAACTAACAATTACATCTGTTTTCTATTTAAAAAATCAAAGAAAATTAATTTTTAAAATTTACTAAACTCTGTTTTGTCTATTATTCAAATTCTTAAATCTTTTAATACTTCCACCATCTTCTTTTCTCATTTTAAATCCAATTGCTGCTAATTCAACAAGTGTCGCAAAAATAAAAGTCATTCTTTTTTTTAATTAAAAAAATTATTTTTTAATTAAAAATTTACCCGCAAAGAATCCACAAATCAATAGCTTTAATATAGCTAACTCTTGGTAAATTACGAATAATTGAACCAAATTGAAATATCATTGCCAACAAAATATTCTGAGAGTTTTAAATTAAAAAATAATTTTCTCTAAACTTACAACTCCAATCATTGTTCTTGCAGGGATTGCCTTAAATATTAATTAAAATGAAAAAAAATATTTAAAAAATTGTAGAGGAATTCTGATAAATAAAAAAAGGAATTATTTGGGTGTGTCCATTATAATGGGAATGTGGGAGAAGTTAAATCTTTTGTTTCCTACTCTAAAGATAATTTTTATATAACAAACCTTTGGGCCGAGATAAAAAGGTATCCAACTAATAAAAATGAAAAGAAAAGTTGGATAGAAACCTGAAATTAAATATTTTTTTAATTAAAAAATTAAATTACCTTGCAGTAAATACCAACCATAACGTCTTTGAAATTGGAAAGAAACTGTTAATTCATCCCAAACACCTGCAGCATATCTTTGCCTTCTACTTGTTATTGAATAATTAACCATATAAAAATCTAAATAAATATTTAGTACAGTCAAGTAGGCGGAACAATTAAGAGGGGGTTTAACCTAGTTGGCCATTAGATGGGTCCTCTAAACTATACATATCTTCTAATTTAACAAGAACTCCCCAAGAGAGTATATACTATATAGAAGTAAGGTCCAATTGTATTTTTAATTATTTAAATTTAACCAGGCAATTCAATATCTTTAAACATCTGTACAGGTTTTGGTTTATTCCAAACCATTCTAACTTCATTTCTATTATAATTGTAAGATTCAAAAGTTAATAAACAATTAATTGAATCCATTGGAAACTTTAAAAAAATATATAAAAATTAAAAAAAAATTATTTAAAACTACATACTTTATGTAAATCCATTATACAAGGACCTGTCGATTTTATTCTCCAACAAGACCAAATAGAGCCTAATTAATTTTAATTATATAAATTCCAATAAATATTCTCATCCCTTTCTCTTATAAATATTTCAATTTTTGAATTAATTCAATTAAAATAAATAAAAATGCTTGGATTTTGTTATCACAGAGAAAGAGGAATTTAAAAATAAAATTTTATTAAATAATTAAGTTTTTACCATTTGGAAAAATCATCAAAAATACCTAAAAAGATAATATTTAAATTATCTAAAAATTTATTTACATTTCTAAAAGGAGAACTGTGTATTTGAGCACTTTTTGAATTAATAAAGCAAGTATTTGGTATCCTTTAAAATAAATCTTTATTTAAAAATATATTTAAATTAACCATATGGAATCTAAAAAAGTATAGTCAAAACTTAAATTTCCTTTACATGGACGTAAATAATCATAAGATAATGCTGGATCTTCCCAAAATTCATTTACATATAAATCTTAAAATTAAAAAAAATATTCTTCTTCTTCTTCCCATTTCTACTACCAATTTCAAAATCTTGTGTCAATTCACTAACAGAAGTTACTTCTTGTATCCAAAGTTCAATACGTACAGTAACTGGGTCAGAAGGGATTTTGTGGCGATTATAATGGACAGTTGTGTCATAAAGAATGTGATCTAATTTAAATTTAAAAATCTTTCAAAATTTATTTTTTCCCAACCTATAACATCAGTATCATTGGCACAATAATCGGGAAAAGTAACAAATGAAGGAACTATTGTAGTCATTAAAGCAGAAGAATTACTAGATGTTGGGGATCTTCTTTAAATTTTTTGTTTGTTTTCCCGAAAAAAGAATTAAAAATTTACCTTAATTTTGAAAATTTCCCTTCATTAATTGTTGGAGGAAAAGCATTAGATTTAGTTAAAGAATCGAGTAAAGGCACTAATGGTTGTGAATGAATGACTTTTTTAATTAAAATAAATTTAATGAAAAATGCTGCTAAATATAAGTAGCACTTTTGATGGAAAAGTAATAGCATTCTCTCTGAGAAATTTTTAAAAATAAAATTATATTTTTATTTGAATTTTAATTATTTTAAATTAAAATTTTTAAGTTATTTTATTAAATAAATAAAAATTATTTTTTACTATTTTTTGTTAAATTAAGCAAAACAAACAAAAATATATACTAATATTTTATTGATAAATAAATAAGGAAAAGAAAAAGTTTTTTTGGACAAGTCACTAAAAAAAGTAAATCCATTTGCCAGCCTGAAAGGAAAAAAGAAGGAAAAAGCCAAAATCTGTCTGTTACTTTTGCCATCTTCTAATGCTTATTTTTGCTATTTTGTATTCCCTAAAGGGATTTTGAAAGAATTATTGACTTCTTGAAAAGATAAAAATTTTAAAAGAAAAAATGGAAGAAAAGATGTTGACAAACAAATATTTTAAAGAAATTTGAATTATTTGTTAATAATTTAATAGAGAATATATTTAAATTATTTTAATTTTTTCGTTCCTTTAAATAAAATATAATCTGTGCATTTTCCTGTCAACCATCTCGCATATTCTGGATGTTTTCCAGGATTAAAATATCCTTCTGAATCTGCTAATTTACAATCGTTAAATATTTCTTTGTCTTTATCAGAAAGTTTTGTTATAAAGTTTTTTTCTTCTTCTTCTTTAATATCTGTTCGTTTCCTTTTTTTACCTTTTTAAATTAAAAAAATATATTTAAAATTAAATATTTAACTAATTTATCTACAAAATACTAAACCCTAAAATTTTCCATATTTTATAAAATAATTGCCGGATATTTATCTTAAAAATACCTGTATGTTTATGATGGTCTACATGATGATGATGATGGTGGTGAGGGTGGTGGTGGTGGTCTTTAAGAATTTTAAATTAAAAAAAATATTTTTTAATCCCTTCTAACCTTCACTATGTTTGTGTTTTTTATTTTTATGTTTTTTTGCAGGTTTTTCATCTTCTAACAGTTGTTCGTCATCTTCATCCTCTTCTTCAACATCATTATCCTTTTTATGCTTCCTTTTTCTACTTTTCTTCACCTTCTCATTCTCTTCTTCTTCTTCATCTCCCTCCTCTTCCCCCTCCTCTTCATCTTCCTCCTCCTCCCTCTTCTTTTTACTTTTTCTTCTTCTCTTTACTTTTCCTCCCCTTTCTTCATCTTGCAATGTTCCTTCATCCTCCTCTTCTTCTTCACCTTCATCATTTTCATCTTCCTCTTCAACTTCTTCATTCTCCTCTTTTCTTTTTATTAAAAAGTTTATTTTTAAACAAAAATATAAATAAATTCACTTTTTATGTCTCCTTTGCTTTTTCCGTTCAGGTTCTTGGTCCTCCCCTTCCCCCTCATTTTCTGTCTCCTAAAAATTATTATTTTAAAATTAAATATTTATTAATTAGATTTTTCAAAATAAAATCATTCAAAAAATATTTTTCAAATTAATTATTTACATAAATACCTCCTCCTCATCTCCTTCTCCTTGTTCGTCGTCATCTGCCAAAATATAAAATTAAAAAAAAATATTTTTTGTAATTCTCATAAAATGAGGAATATTATTTTAAACATTTCTGCTCACAACTAATTTGAACATATAAACTTATGGCCAGTTTTGGACATCTGTGTGAAATACTTTTTATTTATTCTTTTGTAAAATCACATTAGCTACTCCATTTAATTTCCTATAATGCTTTAACTATTCCCATCTTAATAAAATCCAAAATATTTTAAAATTTATCCTTTTATTATTTTTTTTTACCATTTTCATTTCCATTTTTATTAAACATTTGTTTAGCAGAATTTAATCCTTTCTTTATCATATTTCCCCCCATATTCTCCTCTTGTTCTTCTCCCATATTTTGTTGTTGTTGTCCATTTTTTGAAGGTAATTTACCATCGAGGAGACCATTTACACCGTTAGCCACTCCTAATCCAGTCTTCAATGCTTTCCCAAATCCTTTAAAGTTTTAGAAAATAATTAATATTTTTGGAATCTATTTTTATAAGATCAACAAAATGTTTAAATAAATTAAGAAATTTATTCTTTTTTTAGTACTAATCCAAGTATCTCCCCGCATTTTCCTTTTTTTCTCCTTTTTCCTAAAAATTAGGATCAGGAACCGAACCAAAGATTTTGGTTTGGGTTCGTGTAAAATTGATCCTTTTGAAAATCCAAAATCAAAACTGCTGCCTTAAAAATGAATTTTGTCCTCTTGTTAACCACGAAATTTTTAGATCGGTTTTTAATAACAGAAAAAATCTTTGGATAATCGAATGGAAGAAAAAATTAATTTAAAACTCTTTAATTACTCCTTGATGGGCCTTTAGGGAAATACATAAACCTAATGAATTTTTGTTCAACACTAAATAATTTTTATAATTAATTTACCATTATTTTTGTTTTTATTTAATTTGTTTAGTCCACCTTTAAATGAATTAAAATATTTATTTTAAATAATTTATTTTTGCCTAAAGCGCTAGGTGCTAATTTAGCAACCAATCCTAATTGGGAATTACAAAGGTCAATATTTAATATTAAAATAATTAAAATTGAAATAAAAGGTAAATTAAATTGATTTTTAAATAAATTAAGAAGAAATTTAATTAAAATTTTTTTGTTGAGGGACATTTATTTTAAAATCAAAGATTGGAAGAAAAAAAGAGATAAAAGCATTAAATGAGAGAGAATTATTTTTTTAAAAATCTCCCCTAATAAAAACTTTTTTAAAATTAAACAACTGAATAAATAAATTAAAATAAATTATTATAATTTAATTTTTTTTTAATTTCTGTATTGCCAAAAATTACAAAAATAAAAAATCGATCTCTAAAAAATAATAAAAATCACACTTGGTTATTAAACAGAAATTTTTAAAAATTGTTTTTATTTTTTATTATTATTTTTTTTTGAAAAACTAAAAAAAATAATTTTAAAATTTAATGAAAAGAACCTTAAAAAAATTTTAAATTTTCAAATATTATTTTTTGAATAAAGTCCTGATAATATTTTTTTGTAAAAATTTTTTAATATTTCTAATATAATCAGATCAATATTGAATTACTAAAAAAGATAACAAATAATTTTTTCCCTAAAATCCCTCAAAAATAATTTTAAAATATTAAAAAAATATTTTTATCAAAAAGAAAAACATACACAAAACACAACAATTCTCTACATAAAACAATTTTTTATTCAAGTGATTTTTGTTTTAACCATTCAGGTATTTTTAATTGACTAAATTCTCCAGCTCCATGTTTATGCAATAAATAAGTAATTTGTTTTCTAAGCCAGGGAAGGGCTGTAAATGTAAATTCAAATTTTTCTTCTTTATTTTCTCCAACAGTTTCTACACTTTTAAATTCAACAATTAAATGCCCAACAATTCGGCTATCAACTAAACGAGCTTCCAAAACACGTAAATTTGTTTGAATTATTTGTGGCTCGTAAACATTTTTAGAAAACATTGGAGGAGTTGTTGACTCGAAAGCTGCAAAATTTTAATAAATTTTAATAATTGTTAAACGGAAAAATAATTTTTATTTTTTTTTAAATCGAAAAAAAATTTTAAATTTTATTTTTCATTGAAAATTCCCAAAATACTCTGCTCCTTTCTATCCAAATATTTTCTTTTAAATTTTCTAACCTGTATGAATAATTTTTGGCGTATCAGGATATTCACTAGGTAAAGAAGCCAAAAGTTTATCAATCGCCCCAACAAACAATTTTGCATCTTTAAGTCTTAAAGGACAAAAAGAAGAAACATCAATACCTCTCAAATTCTTTAAAATAAAAATTTATTTTTAAAAATAATTAAAAGAAACAAACTTTAATTAATCTAATAACCATTTTATCGTCCAAATCTTTACTTAATTTCACAATTAATTTAAATTGTTTTAAAATATCCATTGCCAAAATTTTATTTTCAATTTCTACAAAATCATTAAATTGTTTTAATTGTTGTTCCTCTTTTGGTTTTGTTGTAGATAATTCTTTTTGAAGTTTTAGTCTTTCTGCTATAGAAAATGAGGTTGAAGAAGTTGAAATTGAATTTTTGCCAAATTTAAAGGAAGAATTTTTTGTTAAAATAAATTGAATAATTGATGAAGATGGACGAGAAAAACGAGAAAATTGAGAAGGAAACATCTTAATTTAATTAAAAATTAATTTTAGAAAATTCACAGTGAAAAAAAAACAAAAAAATTTAAATAAAAACAATATTGGCGTTCTGTCACTTTAAAAAATTTTTTAATTAAAATTCTGAAATTTCTGTTTTCTAGCAATTTCATATTTATTTTATTCTAATTTATTTTTATTCTAAGAATATTTTTTAGATGGTAAAAGTCCAAAAAAATAAAAAACTACAAAATTTAAACAAATTTAACAAATCAAAAAAATTTGCAAAAAATAAATTAAAGAAATTGTCGAATATTTACTCAGATTCTTCAACAAATGCAGTCAAAAAGAAGAAAAATAATAAACAAAATTCAAATAAAAATTTTAAACAAAATAAACCAAAAATTGAACATGAAGAATCGAATAAATGGTTTTTTTTGAAAATAATCTCTTTTAAAGATTTTTAGGTATGATTATCAAATTAATGAATGTCGTTCAGATGAAAATAAATTAGATGAAAAATTGTTACAAAAAATGAAAAAACAGGCTGAAATTTTATTGGAGCATGATACTAATCTTTTTGAACAATGTAAGTGTTTTGTTATAATTTTTTTTAAATTTTCTTCAAAATAACTTTTCGGTAAAATTGAATCGGACAGACGCCTTTTTTTCTTCTTAAATTTTCCCCTATATTTTTGCAAAATGGTCAGACTTTTTCCTTTCTTCCATCCAAATTGCCATTCTAATTTTTGCCTACAATCAAACAAAAAGGATTATTTAATTTCTTTTTAGGTGGTAGAAAGGAGAAAGTCTGACCATTTTGCAAAAATATAGGGGAAAAATTTGAGAGAAAAAAAGGGGGTCTGTCCGGTTCAATTTTACTAACTTTTCTTTGAGTTTTTTTGTGTATGATCTATTTATGAAAAAATTCTAAAAACATTTTTAAGGGTACAAATCAAAAAATCGTGGGGATGCCGAATGGATTGATACAGTTTCTCAAAAAGGAGCATTTTCTGACAAAATTTCTTCTATTCAATTAAGAATTCAGCGTTCCCCAGTTCATGCTCTTTCACATTTAATTAAATTTGTCGAACTTATTGGAAAGAAAGGAGCAGTCATTAGACAAGCATATACAATTACAAGTTGATTTAAATAAAATTTTAAAATATTTTTTTTTAAATTTTAGAGGCTTTAAAAGAACTTTTTGTAAATGAATTGTTGCCGCCTGGAAGGAAATTATTTTTATTTAATCAAGTAAAAATAAAGAAAAAACTTTAAAAATATTTTTAAAAAATTTAAGAGACCTTTGGAAGAATTAGAGGACAAAAATGGTATTGAACTTGAAAGACGTTTAATTATGTGGATTTTTGAAGAAAAACTAAAAATGTGTTACAAACAATTTGTTGATGGTTTACAGGTTTTTTATTTGAAAAAAAATTTAAAAATATTTTAAGATTTTGGCTGGAAATGTTGTTGAAGGTGTTGCCTTAAATGCTTGTAAAGAAATGACAGAATTATTAATTGATAGACCTGAACAAGAACAATTTTTATTAAATTCAATTGTCAATAAATTGGGACATCCATTATATAGAGTTGGTTCAAAAGTTGCAATGTTTTTGGAACAATTAATTAGAAAACATCCAAATATGCGGTTAATTGTAATTAAAGAAATTGAACAACTTATGTTTAGGTATAAATTTATTTTTTAAAATTTTTTAAATTTTTTTAAGAAAAAATATTTTACCAAAAGCCCAACGTTATGGACTTCATTTTCTAAGCCGAATTTTAATTGTTGCTGGAGAATTTGAAATTGCTACTTGTCTTGTCCAAATTTATTTAAAATTCTTTCGAATTTTGGTACTTAATGATGTACTTAATGAACATCATTTACTTCCTTTGTTAATTACTGGATTGAATAGAGCCTTCCCTTACATGAAAGGTTGGAATTTAAATTTAATTTTTTTATTTCAATTTTATTTTTTGTTAAATACTCTTTTAAAACATAATTGAAAAAAATCTATCTTAAATAATAATCGACTATTAGCCTCTGAAATATTTTTCTGATTATTTTTCTGTCCTCAATACATAGAAGTCTCTTCAGAAAATCTTAAAAATCTTCAAAATTTAGGCAAAAGTTTGGATTCTGATTTACTTAAAGATATTGATAGCCTTTATGCAATTGTTCAAACAGCTAAATTTTCAACTTCACTTAACGTTCTTCGTTTACTTTTCCAAATTCACAGTGCTAGGTATTTTTTATTAAAATTAATATTTTTAAAAATCTTTTTTTAGTGATGGAATTACTGATCGTTTTTATTGTGCTTTTTATCGTCGAATTTTAAATCCTGATGGTTTTGGCAATCAGAGTCATTCAAAATTCTTTTCTTTGCTTCAACGTGTACTTAAAAATGATCTTGTTGAATGCCGTGTTAGGGCTTTTATTAAAAGACTTTTTCAAGTATTTTAATTTATAAGGATGTTTTTAAAAATATTTTTAGGTTGCTTTGGCTAGTTCAGCCTCTTTTGCAGCAGCTACTCTTCTTACATGTTCTGTTATTATTCAAGAAAGGCCTAGTCTTTTAAGATTGGATGAATCTTTGGAAAATCAAACAGAAAATGAGGTTAGGAATTGTCAGGACAAATTATTTTAAATAATTCTTTTTTTAGAATAAAACAATTAAAAATGAAGAAAAAATTAAAGAAGAAAATATAAAAGAAAATTCTGCATTAGAACAAAAATTAATTTGGTTTGAGCAAAATGGAAAGTCTAATGATGAGGAAGAAGAAGAAACGTATTTTGATATAAAAGATGAAAGTAGTGATGAATTGAATAAAGAAATTAAAAAAGAAAAAATTTCTACTGCAAAAAAACTTTCAAAAACAATAGGATGGATTCATCGACGTAATTTTTAAAGAAATTTTATAAAAAAAATTTTCTTCCTTTTATTTTTAAAGCTTCATCTTCTTCATTAAATAATATAAAATCTGACAATATTCCATCTTTACCAAGAAGAAGAAATGCTTATGATCCAAATGCTCGAAATCCTTTATTTTCTGGGGCTGATTTTTCACTTGATACAGAATTATATACATTAGCCAGGCATTATCATCCAACAGTTGCTTCTTTTGCGAGAACTTTAATTCAAGGTTTTTTGTTTAAAAAATAATATTTTTAAATATTTTAGGAGGCTCAATTCACTACAAAGGCGATCCTTTAATTGATCTTTCACAAATGCGTTTTCTTGATAGATTTGCGTTTAAAAATCCAAAAACAAAACATTTAAATAAAGAAGTAAATAATAAACAAAAATTGAATCCTTTGTTTTCTCATACTTATATTCCAAGAGGAATAAAAGCATTGAATCCAACATCACAGGTTTATTATTTATTTTAAATTTGGAAAGCTGTATTTTACTGGGTCAGTTACTGGCAAGTATTTTTTATTTAGGATTTACAGAGTTTCCATTAGCTATTTCAATATTCCTTTTCCTGTTAATTTTCATCAAAATTTAAAGGATTATTTAAACAAAACAAGCAGTGAAATTCCATTAGATGAACGTTTTCTCCATCATTTTGCTTCAATAAAATTTAAAAAGAATATTAAAAATGAAGAAAATAAAAAACGAAAGAATGAAAAAGATGATGAAGATTTTGATGATATGGCTAGTTTAGACTCTGACGAATTTGATCTTTTATTGGGTATTATTTGAAATTAATAAATATTTTAATTTAATTTTGTTTAAGAAAAGTTCGAACCTGGTGATACTCGAGATGTTTTTGATGTTGATTTTAGAGATGAATTTGGTGACGAAACAAACTCTAAACGTAAAAAGAAGGGTGGTAAAAAAGGAAAAATTATTGATGAGGATGATGAATTTGAAAATGAATTGGCAGAATGGTTTGTTTTTAAATTTAATAAATTAATCTTTGATTTGAAAACACTCTTAAAAATAACTTAAATTTTAAAATACAGCGAAAAAATATTTGTTTGCTTAAATTTTTTAAAGCATTATTTTAAAATAAATTTTTTTATTTTTTTCAGCAGCGATGATGAAATTGACGAAGAAGATGAAGAAATTGAAGAATTTTCATCTGATGGAGGTGAAGGAGATGAAAGTGGAATAGATTTCGACGAGAATGAAGAATTAAATAAAAGCGGGGACGAAGATAATTCTGAAATGTGTGAAGAAAATTTAGATAATGATAGTGATGTGCAAGAATTTGATAGTGATTTATTATCTGATTAAAAGGGAGGGAAAATTGTTTTTGTTAATGAAAAATAAAAATAAAGATTGTTTTTACTTGTTTTTATTTTTCTTTTAAATATACCAATTAGTTTTTAATCAATTGTTATTTTTTGTTGTTGTTACTATAAATAATTTTATATTTTTTTAAGATTATTTTTGACTTTACTATTTTTTTAAAATATTTGGATATGGGAAATATTTTGGTATGAGAATTATATTTACACTTAATATTAATTTAAATTATTTTTAAGCCTTGTTGTAAATCAGCAAATTGGGCAGCAATTGACCGAACAAATATTAAAAGACAAAAACGCTTTGAAGAAGCTAAACGAAATGTTGATGAATATGGACAGGATCCAAGTGAAAGAGAAAAAATTAGAGGAATGTCATTAACAGAATTACAAAGTGAGAATATTAAAAGGTAAATAATTATCTTTAAAATAAATTTCTAGAAGCACTTCGAAATGAAGAATTAACAGCTACACAAACACTTTACGCCTTTGCATATTATGCATTGGAAGTGAATGACAAAATTAATTGTATTGCTGAATTTTTTAATGAATCTTTTGAGGAAGCCAAAAAGCTTGACAAGGAATTTGAGAAGAAGGAGAAACCTCCACTTTTTGGGCTTCCATTTAGCGTTAAAGCTAATTTTTTTGTTTGTTTTTATTAACAATTTATTAATTTAAATATTCTTCCACAGATAAAAGGTTATGATTGTTGTATTGGAAATGCTCGTTTGTTGGATAATCCACGTACAAAAGACTGCACTTTTATTACATTACTTCGCCAACTTGGTGCCGTTCCATTTTGCTACACAAATGTGCCACAGACTTTAATTAGTTTTGCTTGCTCAAATCCTGTTTATGGGACTACTAAGAATCCTTATAATGCTTTGAGGTAGGAATAGGGATTCCTATTTTTTTTGTTATTGAATATTCAATTAACATCTCCCAATAAGATTCTCTTTAAATTTTCAGAACTCCAGGCGGCTCTTCTGGAGGTGAAGCTGCACTTCTGGCTGCCCGTGGCACAGCATTTGCAACTGGTGGTGATGTAGGCGGTTCTTTGCGTATTCCTGCCCATTTTTGTGGAGTTACTACTTTAAAGCCTTGCCAAGCTCGTTTCCAAATTCAACAAGCATTTCAAGGTTTGCCTGGTATTGGACGATTAGGATTGGGAACTGGAGTTTTTGCACATACAGCGGAGGAAGTATTCTTTATTTTTATTTTTCTTTTTAAATTATTCTTTTTTTAAAGTTAACATTTTTGCTTACCCATATACTTGGAAATGTAGAATATCATAAACTTGTGCCTGAAAGTATTCCTCTTCCTCTAAATTTGCAAAAAATGGAAGAATTTGAGCGACGTTGGGAAGCTAAACAATTACGGATTGGTTATAATTTTGATGATGGATTTATTAAACCTGTCCCCGCGTAAGAAATAAAAAAATTGGTTTATAAAATTAATTTAGTTGTGCGCGTGTTGTTGAGCGTTGTGTTGAAATTTTGCGATCTTCGGGACAAGAAATGGTTTATTTCCCAATTCCTGAACCAGAAAAAGCTGGTAAGCTATTTTTGAATTTTCTAAAAAATGTTCTTTTTTAGCCAGTCTTTTGTTTAAAAATATTTCTTGTGATGGGGGTGCTTTTCTTAAGAAAACATTTTCTGAAAATCCAGTTGACAAATATTTAAAAAGATTTGCTTTTATGTTAAAGGTATTTAATCTCTTTTTAAAAGATTTTTTTCTTTTTTAGATACCTCTTTGTGTTCGTTGGTTACTTGCTTTTATTTTTGACATTTTCAGTCCTCAATTGGCAATTCTTATGCGTGCTTATGTTCGTACTCCAAATGATGTCCGTCAATCGCAAGAACAACTTGATGAATATGTCCAAAAGGTTTTAACTTTTTTAATCCAAAATAATCTTTTCTTAAAGTTCACTGAACAATGGTTGGCTTCTGATTTAGATTTGTTGATTGTTCCTGCTTTTTCTTTTCCTGCAATTCCTTATGATGCGTGCAGTGATCTTGCTGCTGCGGCATTCGAAACTGGCTTATATAATGTATTTTCTTTTGTACAAAATTAATTTTTTGACAAAATATTTTCAGATGCTCGATTATCCTGTTGGGTGTTTACCTGTTGACAAAGTAACATCTGAAGATGATAAAGCACTTGCAGACGAAACTCAATGGGCAACAAGTTTAAAGATAATGAAAATCAATCAAAAATTATTTTTATTTTAAAGATTGGAATCCTATCCTAAAAAGAATTCGTTACGCAGCAGCAAATTCTGTCGGTTTGCCTGTTAATGTTCAAATTGTTGGGTTGCCTTTTGAGGATGAAAAATGCTTGGCTTTAATGCGTATTTTAGAAAAGAAATTAATGGACACCAAAAATGACTCGTAAAAATAAATTCCTATATCTTTTTACTTAATTATTTTGTAAAATTTATTCATTTAAAATAAAACAAAAGAGAATTTAAATTGTCTTTGATCAATTTATTTTGATATATAGTAAAAAAATCGTTACCCAAATACCAAAAAAATCCAAAGAAAATAAATGCATTATATTCAAAATATTTGAATGTCTTCAAAAAAATTACAAGAAAAAATTCTCTATTTTCTTTGGAATTGTTATATAGTAAAGAAAAGAATACATTATAATGCAAAATAATGAGCTTTTTGTTATTTAAAGATATAGGCTAAGATTTAAAAAAAAATCGGTACTTTTTTAGATATGCTACTTCCTTTCTAAAATTTTTTTAAAATCACCAAAATTAAATTTTAAATAATTAATTCAGTAATTTTTTCCAAATTTATTTAATTTTTTTTTATAAAATTTTAGAGAAGAGTAACATAATAAAGTACCAAAAAACATACTTTAAGCCCTTTTAAATTCAAAAAAATATACTTTCAATTCATTTAGTATTTTTAACCAAATCATCACTCTCCACACCACCATTGTTGTTAATCCCAACTTCAGTGTTTAATTCTTCCCGAACTTTATTTCCAGCAGCTTCCATTGAACGTTCAGCATTTTGAAGTTCTTGTTCAGAGATTATCTTTTTTAAAAGAATAATTTTATTTATTTAAAAATAAATTAAATATATACAGAATGTGGCAATTTAATAGCATCCAATCCTTCCATTCCTTCATCAATATTATAAGTATTATTTCCCGGAATCCCCTCAATACTATAGTCTCCCATAGCAGAATGGTGTTGTTGTTCTTTTTCAAATTCTGGCTCAATTAATGGCTGTTGTTGAACAGACGGAATTATTATTTGAGTAGAATTTATTTCATTGTTTGTTTCATCTTTAGTAACATTCATAGCTAAATAAAATAATTTTAAAAATTTTTTTCTAAAAAACCCAAACCAATATCCAAAATATTGTCAGGATTCCCAAAACTTCCACTATCATCAAAAACAATAGGAAATTGATTGACATCAATTTCTTTTGGTTTTGCAGTAAAAGTCTCATTATCTTTAGTAAAAGTATCTCCATTTAATGGTTGTTGCTCCTTTAGAAAAAAAATATTTTATCTATTTTAAATTCAAAAACCTCTTCATTTTCATTTTTGTTTTGAATTATTTTTTGTATTTGTTCAATTAAAGATGAAAATACTCCATTTGATGCATTCTCATTACAGAGACATTCAATCTTGCGTAATTTTCCAAAATAGAAATTACGTTCACGTTCATAAATTAAAGAATTTTTGGTAATCTCGTCAAGTTGAGATTGCAATTCTTTTTTCTAAAAAATTAAAAAATGAGGAAAGGCATTTCTAATTTAAAAAACGGCAAGGATTTATTCCAATTTGAACTATTAAACGATCCACTATTTACCTGTTGTTCTATAAGAGTAATTTCAGCAGTCCCAATTCCACTACGATTTCCAGTAGATGAAGGAGCAGTACTTTTACGTCCTGATGTACGCAATGTCTGTTGCCCATTCCGAACAGTTACACCATTCTTTTGAGGAGAATGAACAATTGGAGGACGACGCTTAGCTGCTGCTGAAGCAGTTGTTGTTGCAGCAGATGGAGGTGCACGAGTATTTGCCACAGCTTTCGGCGCTGCCGCCGGCACTGCTCTTGCACTAACATTTAAAGAACGCCTGGTATCTCTAGCATCTTTTGTAAAAAATAAATGAAACAAAAGAATAATTTAAGAAACCTGGCTTTGGTACACTAACAGGTCGAGATGTTGGCCCCTGCGCTGTTGAACGCCTGGAAGCTGCAGCAGTTGAATTACCAACAGCCGGAGGCGCTTTCTTAGTGGCTCCCCCAGGCAACGCAGCAGGAAATTCCTAAATTTATATTTTGTCGAAGGTGAACACAGATTTATCCAAACCTCATTATTCCGTGCTGCAGCCGCGTCATAAGCATGTCCATCAAAGTTTGCATCGAAAAACTTTTTGAACCACTGAAGAAACTCAAAATTGTCTTGAAACTTGGCACGCATCAAACTTTGGACAGGAATTGGCTAAAAATATATTAAAAATAATTCTTGTTCGTTTACCCTATTTTTCAATTTAATTTGTTAGCGACTAAATTTAGAAAAGGTTCGATTCGGCAATTAAGATAACTAGGCTGTGACAATAATTAAACTTATTGGCTTCTTGGTTTGTCCTGTGGGTCCACAGAATACAAAACCAAGTTGTGTCACACCAGTTATATAACAAAAGGTAACCAAAAATAATTCCATGTATAAATGAGTCGAAAAATGGGAGACAATCTGGAAGACTCGTCTCTTTACTAATTTAAATAAAAATTATTTAAAACCCTGTCAATTCCAATATCCTTCCAAGAATGTTGCAAAACTCGCCAATTATTCATCCAATCAACTTCTTGCCGGCTATTCCATTTAACCTAAAAATATTTAATAAAAACAAATTGTTATTAAAAGACAACAAACTTTCTTAAGCGGTACACGCGATGGAAAGAGTAAATCGGTAAGTTGGCAATAGGCAGCCCCCGTCGCCATTTCTTCGATTTTTGTTAAATTAGACTAAAAAAACGATAAAGAAATTAAAAATAAAATAAAAACAAAACAACCTGAAGAGAATTATTAACCCAGGCAAGAAGTTCAAAACGTGATACATTCTCCGAAGTCACTGAAGTAGAATAAACATTAACAACTGGCATGGTAGTTAATGATTAAATAGTAAATGTTAAAATGAGATTGTTATTTAACTGAAAATAAAAAATAGATATTTTTTAAACATTTAACAAGGATATGTACACAAATTCGGAATAAATACCACTCGATTTCGGATGCAAAAATCTCAGAATAAAAAAATTAAAAAATTATTGAAGTTAAAAGGGTAAAGGACGTTTCAGAGTAGGAAATTCAAAATCAGCCGTTTGAATACAAATCTTTATTAAAATAAGGAAGTCTGTATTTATTGAAGGAACATTCAAAAAAATTAAAAGAAAAAAATTTTAAATAAAATTAATAATTTTTTAGCTAAAAGAACTTTTAAAAGTTTAAAACAAAAAATTGGGAGTATATCCAGGATATCATAAATTTAATAATTATTACATATTTATTTGAACATCTGTTTATAACTTAAAAATAAACACATAAACAATACTTAATATTTTTCTCTCAACTCTCTTCCTTTTTTTCTGTTCGGAGTTTTTTCTCACCTTTCTAAAAAATCAAATTTAAAAAAATTTAAAGTGCATTCATTTTATTAAAAAAAACTTCTTCCTTTCCTTACAAAATTTAATTTATTTTCAAGCAATTTTTAAAAATATATTTCAAATTTAATTATAAAAGATTTGTCATTATAGCCATGTGTTTTGGCTATCATTAATATGCACTTTAATTCAATAAATTAATATTAACAACAATTTCCCTCTTTTAACTCTCTCTTTCTTTCATTTAACCGACAAATTATTGCCAATAAAGATTGCCTGTTTATTTATTAATTATTTTTTCACACATTTTAAAAAAGAATTTCCAAATATTAAAATTTCGAAATAAAAATTTTTTTTGGAATTTTTAGAGAAAATTAAAAGTAAAAATGAACTTCTTTAAAAGATATTGCCGGATATCTTTTGTTATTATTTTATTATTTCTTTTTTTAATTATTTTTGTTGAAAATACAAAATCTTTAAAATTCTCTTCAATTTTTCCATCATTTGTTAAAAAGAAAACAACAATTTCAACAATAAAAACAAAAAATTTTAAAAAAGATTTGACAATTTGTGATTTAAATGGTTTAATTAATTAATTAATTTTATTTTTTATACAACAATCAACAACCTCCTACTAATAAACCAAAATTAGATACTCCCCAATTTTTAGAATATTTTTTAAAATTCGGTTAACCATTGGGTTAAAGAGAGGCTGCCACTCCTCAAAAATATTTTTAACCTCAAGGATAATCTAAAAATGACGTTAAACAAAATCTCAAATTAATTTAATCTCTTCCCTCTTCAATATTTTTCCTTTTTTAGATCAAAAAAAGTCAAAATAAAATTTATAATTTAAATTAGATTTAGGCCGTCCCCTTTCTATTAATTTTAGAGTTTTTAAAAAATTCTGGGTTGAAAAATAAATTTATTTTTTGTGGAAATTATGAAATTAATTAATTAATATTTTTCTCTCATTTTTTAAAAATTAAATTAAAGATAATAAATGTATTGGAAAAGAAATAAACGAAGAAGTAAAAGCAGGAAATATTATTTTAAGTTCTAAAGCTGAAAAACAGGCAAAAAAATCCAAAAAGTTTGGGGCTTTTAAATCTCTCAAATTTTTATTTTTTTCTTTAAAAAATTTAATGAAATCAAAATGTAAAAATAAAAATTGTCAAAAATCTTTTGAAAATGGAAAAGTAATTGTTAAAAATATGGCAGAAAAAATGTTAAAAACTAGAAAAAGAATTAGTAAGAGAGAAATTAATATTGAGGGAAATGGTGAATTTATTTTTTGAATTAAATAATTCTTTTAATAAAATTAATTATTGAATTTCCTAATAAAAATATTCCCAAATAAATATGTATTAAAATGTTCAGTTAAATTAAATTCTTGTTATTTAATTTGGGTTTTTTTTGGTTTCTCCCATTTCCTTTTTACAGAATTTGATCCGCTATTCAAAAAATCGTTGTTTTTCACAATTATCGACTTATAACTTTTTCATGAGTGATCAGACTTGATCCATCCAGTTGGGTAAAAAATAGCGCTTATCGAGGGCTTTTGAATGGTATGAGTTTCATTCGGATTATATCAAGCATAAAAAATTATAGCTGATCAAATTCGGTAAAAAGGAAAATGGTTTCCCTCGGATATTATGTAAAAATAAAATAACAAAAAGATAAGAAAACTTTAAAAAATAAATTTTAATTATTTAATTTAAAAAATTAGAAAATCAATGTAAAAAATTACACGGAGAAATGCAAAAGAAAACTTCTTTTAAGTCAATTATTTTTTGGTTTAAAAATTTATTTAAAGGAAAAAAGAAAAAAGAAGAAGAAAAAAATATTTTAAATAAATTTAATAAATTTGGGTGTTTTGAATTTAAATGGCTGGGAAAATTAAAAAAGAATTTGTTGGGGAAGAAAAAAATAAGAAAATTGGGGAAAAAAGGAAGAGGAAGGGTTAAAAGATTTGTTGAAAATAAGGAGGTTTTTTCTAAATTAATTAACATAATCTCAATAAGTCTTACACAAACTTGGAACTTTTTAAAATAAATTTACATATTTAAAAATTAATTTCTAATTATTTTAAAGGAATATTTTAATGAATTAATTAGACAAAGACGGGACAATGGAAGAAAATATGAAAGAAGCAACAGTAGTAGTGAAGAAGAAGAGGAGGAAGTGGAGGTTGAAGTAGAAGAAGAGGAAGATGAAGGGGAAGAGGAGGAAGAAGAGGAGGAAGAAGAGGAGGAGGAAGAAAATAGTCATCAAAACGAAGCGGATATGGAAGTCGAAAATGAATATTTTAGTGAAAAAAGGATTAAAAAGAAGAAAAATAAATATGGAAATGAGGTAATTTTGAAAATATTTAAAATATATATTTTTTAATTTTCATAAAGTATCAGAGATATGAAACAACCCGAAGAAAAACTTATAAAAGAAATAGTAGTGAATACAATAAAAAGAATGGAAGGTTTAAATAAAAATAAGTATTCTCTAAATTTTAAATTTAAGAAAAGTTTATTTCCAAACTATGAGTGATTATAGACACGGTAATTAATTTGTAAAATTAATTTTAAAAATAATTTCTCGAAATTTTATTCAAAAAATTAACCATTTAATTATTAAGTAAATTATTATTTTTAAAATTCTTTTAATTTAATTTTTAAAATAAATATTCACAAAATTTTACCAAAAAAGATGCTAACGGAAAAGGAAATGGATATAAAACAAGTTTTAAACAACATACAAGTTTTCATAAAAATAAAGATAAAAATAATTCTTCTTCTGCTTCTTCCTCAGAACAAATTGAAAATAAAAAAGAATATTTAAATAATAAAAATATTGCCAAACATTCCTATGAAAAGAAAATTAAAGAAAAATCATTTTACAATAAAAATACTGGAAAAACAAGTTTTTATTTAAATTAATTATTAAACTTTAATTTTAATTAAAAGGTCATTATAAAAGATTTGAAGAACGTAGAGAAGAACATAATGGAGAGGTTTTTGTTGTTGAAAATAAGAATAAAAAATATTTAAAATTAATTGTAGCTTTGGTAACGGTTATTTTATTTATTTTGTTAATTATAATTATTATTTAAAATTTTTTTAATTAATTAAAATTATTTTCTTTTAAATTAATTAATTTTCTTTCTTCTCCTAATTCTTATTTTATTTTCTAAATCTTCTAATTGTCAATTCTTTTTAAATTAATATTTTTATAGTGAGAGAGAAAGGATTAAAAATATTTGACACAGCAACACTAATTTATAAAAATTATTTAAAACATTTTACTTCAATTTTTTCTCTCTCCTCTTTTTTTTCTTTTAATATTTAAATTTAATTTTTATTTATTTGGATATATAAATAATCTATTAAACCATTCACGGTCATTTTTTTGAATGATTTAACGATGTAAATATATATACCTCTTTAATATTGTTTAATAAATATTTACAAAAAAATTAATTTTTTACCAGTCATTTTATTTTTTCTGTAATTTCTTTATTATTTTCAATTCAAAGAATAAGTACCATTTTATGATAAAATTAATTTTAAATTCTGAAAAAATTTTTCAACAAAATTATTTAAAAATCCAAAAAAGAGAATTTAGTAATTTAATTTTTTAAAAAAGAATAATTTAAAATTAAAAATAATAAAGTGAAATTATTTTTAAAAAATGTAAATTTTACACAATGTTGTCTGTCTTTCATTTTTTGATTTACTTAACATCAGTCATTCTTGTCCAACTTGAATTTAGGTCCAACTTAAAAACAAAAATTTAATTTTTAAAAAATAACTAAACTTTTACCTTCAAAACGGCTCTTCTCCAAAGTTCGAGTGCATGGAGACATTAATTGGTCAGATGGAGAGGAAACCTAATTTTTAAAATAATTAATTAAAAATTAAAAAATAAATAAACATGAAATTGTTTGCGCATTTGTTTAAGTTTAGTAATTGCCGGAGTACTAGCAGACTTTACAGCAATCATTTCTGGTGTCTTCTTCTCATTTTCAGAAACAATTTCATCATCAGAAATACTTCCAAGAGGCTAAAAAATAATCTTAAATAGCCCTAATTGTTCCGTGATAAACCTGATTATTCCGAGCTGCAATCGGGTCATATTTATGTCCATCATAATTAGCATCAAAAAATTTCTTAAACCATTGGAGAAATTCAAAATTGTCCTCAAACTTTGCACTCATTAAACCTTCGATTGGAATTTTCTTAAAAATATATTTTTAGAAATTTAAATAACAATTTAACTTTATCAATTCCAATATCCTTCCAAGAAGTCTCCAAAATTTCCCAATTAGTAATCCAGTCAACTTCTTTTCGACTATTCCAGTTGATCTAGAATAATTTTAATTTGAGGAAATTTTATTTAAAATCAACATTTGTAAGTGGAACATGTTTTGGAAAAAGAATGTCAGTAAGTTGGCAGTAAGCAGCACCCGACGCCATATCTTCTATTTTCCCAAGATTGGTCTAGAAAAAACATAAATTAAAAATAAAAGCACAAAAACAACCTGCAGACAATTATTAACCCAAACAAGAAGCTCAGAATGCGAAACATTCTCTGATGTCACTGAAGTATAAACATTAACAACTGGCATGGTAGTTAATTATTGTTATTTAACTAAAAATTAAAAAAATATTAAATTTAAATTTAGAAGACAGTTAAATTCAAAACTTTTCTCAAAATATAGCGCCAAAATGAATTCAAGAAAAGGATACAAATTAAGGAAAATTAGGAATTAAAATAAATTCTTGTAGAAAACAAGTAATCTATTAATGTTCAATTAAAAAATAAAAAAATTTTATTATTTGTAAGTATTTAAAGCAATAAATAAAATAAATTTTCAATTTAATTTTCAATAAATTTTCAGTAAATTATTTATCTCCAGCAGCAGGAAATCTTAATTCATTAAGACGAACTTTCTGAAATAGAATATTGAATAAATATTTATAGTTTAAACAAAACTCTTACATATTCAATAGATTTTCTGAGCCATTTATCGTTAACAATATAGATGCTTTGCCACTCTTTTGCCCGACGAAACTTTTCTCCAGAATTATTGGCAGTTATTAAATGGGTACAGCTTAATTTGTTCATTTGACCAGAAAACTTTCCACCATGCAACTCAATCAGACGTCCCATCCCAACTCGCTCATTGCTAGTGAAGCCAGAAATGGTAATTTCCTGCAAATAACGAATAGTTAATTAGATATAACTAATTAATAGTTACACAGCCAGAAAATATCGGAGTTCTGTAGTTGTCAATAGATTCCTCACTCAAAAAATCCCCCATTGATTCTATGCTTGAGTGAGCATCTTGAATCCACCGCGGAATAAGAACAGGGATTTTGAGTCGCCGTGCCGCCTAAATATATTATTTAATTAGAAATATAAATTAAACAAACAATATAATTTTCTGATTTATTATCACAACGTTCAGCAATTAAGTAATTAACATTCTCATCAACCTCTAATCTACAATCTCCGCCCATCTCGAGTAAAAGCTTTGTTAACTCATCCTAAATTTATATTTTTCAGGAGTTAAATTGCAAATAAACCTGGCTTTCCCGTCTCAATCCTGCGAACGATATCGTAACTCCACCGAATGCTTTAGATTTAACTGATTCGTTCATTTTAGGTTCCGCTCTCAATTCCTCATTATGGATCTAAACTTATATTAAAATACTATCAAATGATATAACTGAAATACCATCTCTACCATCTCATCATTATTAATCTCTTCAATATGTTCATTTTGTGTAGTAGGTTCAATTACTTTAAGATTGTGAAATTTCTCAACGGTAGATGTATCTACGGCTTTATGTATCTGCTCAAAATCATTGACTGTAGAATCGGCAGGTTTATTTTTAGTCGATTCAACTATTTCTTCATTGTGCAGCGACTCGACTGGTGGTGCATTTTCAACCTGACACACCGGTTCTACAGCATTGCCCGTAGATTTAATAGGTCCATCTTTTGTAAGTTGTAACACATCAACAGTTGGTGCATTTTCAACCTGACATATCGGTTCTAAATCATTGCCTGTAGATTCAATAGGTTTATTTTTAGTAGATTCAACTATTTCTTCATTATGCAGAGACTCGACTGGTGGTGGATTTTCAACCTGACATATCGGTTCTAAATCACTGCCTGCAGCATTTTTTGAAGGTTGTAACATATCAACAGTTAGTGCATTTTCGACCTTACAAATCGGTTCAAAAGAAAATTCAATCTCATCAAGACGAACTTTCTGAAATAAAATATTAGATATCTATAACTTTAACAAATCTCTTACTTGTTCAACAGATTTTTTAAGCCATTCTAAGTTAACAATATAAATATTCTTCCACTTTTTTGCGCGACGAAACTTTTCTCCAGAATTATTGGCAGTTATTAGATGGGTACAACTTGATCTGTTCATTTGGCCAGAGAATATCCCTCCATTCATTTCAATCAAACGACCTATCTCTTGTCGGTCACTGCCAGTGTAGCCAGAAATTGTAATTTCCTGCAAAAATGAACATCTATATACAACTAATCAATAATTACGCAGCCAGAGAATATCGGAATCCGGTAGTTTTCAAGATATTCTTCACTGAAAACATCCATCATTGAATCTTTCCTCGAGTGCGAATCTAGAATCCAACGCGGAATAAGAACAGGAATTTTGAGTCGCCGTGCCGCCTAAATATATTATTTAATTTAAAATACATCCATTAAACAAACGATATAATTTTCCGATTTATTATCACAACTTTCAGCAATTAGGTAATTAACATTTTCATCAACCTCAAGTTTACAATCTCCGCCCATCTCGAGTAAAAGTTTTGTTAACTCATCCTAAATTTATATTTATTCTAAAATCCAATTAAAATAAACCTGTTTTTCCTTGGTTAGTCCTGAAAATGATATAGTAACTCCATTGAATACTTTAGATTTAGCCGATTCGTTACTTTCAAGTTCTGCTTTCAAATCCATATGACAGATCTAAACATATTAATAATGTCAAATGATTTAACTGATACCATTTCCTCGTTTGTTTCATTACGTTCATTTTGGGCAGGTTCAACTTCTTTAGGATTGTCGAATATCCGAACTGCAGATATATTCTCAGCTTTGTATATCTGCTCAAAGAAACTTCCTGTAGATTCAATAGGTTTATTTTTAGTAGATTCATCATTGTGTAGTGAATCAGGGGGTGCATTTTTAACCTGACATACTGGTTCAAACTGATTGCCTTCTGTTTCAAAAAGTTCTTTGTTTGTGGGTTCAAAGTTTTCATAATTTTGTGATTGCTTTTTTATAGCAAGGGGAGAATTTTCAACTTCACTTTTCGGTTCAAAAGAAAATTCAAGCTCATCAAGACGGAATTTCTTAAAATAATATTAAATATTTATAATTTAAACAAGTATATACATGTTCAATTGATTTTCTAAGCCATTCTACAGTGACAATGTAAATAGTTTTCCAATCTTTTGCTCGACGAAACTTTTCTCCAGAATCATTGGCAGTTATTAAATGAGTACAGCTTGACTTAAACATTTGTCCAATGAAAATACCACCATTCATTTCAATCAAACGGCCAATCTCTATTCGTTCAGTACCAGCGAAGCCGGAAATGGTAATTTCCTGCAAAAATGAATATCTATATATAACTAATCAATAATTACGCAGCCAGCGAATATCGGAGTCCTGTAGTTTTCTCGAGATTCTTCAGTCAAAAAGTCTACTATTGAATTTGTGTTTGAATATGCATCTTGAATCCAACGCGGAATAAGAACAGGAATTTTGAGTCGCCGTGCCGCCTAAATAAATTACTCACATATTTAATTTAAAAATATATAATTAAACAAACGATATAATTTTCCAATTTATTATCAATAATTTCAGCAATTAGGTAATTAACATTCTCATCAACCTCTAATCTACAATCTCCGCCCATCTCGGTTAAAAGTTTTATTAACTCAAACTAAATTTATATTTAATCTAAAATCCAATTAAAATAAACCTGGCTTTCCTCAGTTAATCCTGCGAATGATATAGTAACTCCATTAAATACTTTAGATTTAGCCGATTCGTTCATTTTAGGTTCTGATTTTAATTCCATGACAAGTATATATCTGAAAATTTTATCGATAGTTTTATCTTTGAGGAAATGAATAAATACAAAAAATTATTAGAAATTAAATATTTATGAAGTTACTCAAGTGTTAAATTTATGTACTCAAACTCCTCTAATTCAAATTCAAAATTTGCGATTTGGCACTCATTTTGTCATAACGTTTTTGTTCGGAATAAAATGAAAATTTACACAAAATGGTCAATTTTTTTCTTATTTCCGTTAAAATTTTTGTATTTGATATTTTAATTTTCAGATGGTATCATATCTCAGTAACGACCGTGAATTGGACGAAAATAAATTAAATAACGGAAACAGAACCAACTCTCTTCCTTATGAACCTCATCGGGATAATGATCGACAGACTAATGGCAATTCAAATGATCCACAGGAATTTATACTGGCTCGGAATGTTGCTGAAGACAATTATTGGCGTAGGTATGCTAGAAATTATTTTACAATGGGAATATTTGACGAATTATTGTATTCTGAAAACCTGCGCATCCTACACTTTTTTATGGTTCATATTTTAGTGTCATTCGGGACAGTTTTCTTTTAATAGTTTATAGCTCTAAATTTTAATTTAGTCGACGTGAAGAACGCGAACATCTTGGGAAAATTGGAGTTCGTCGCATTTGGGGATATTCTCCTACACATGATGAATTGGAACAGTTATATGACGAGTAGGTTAATTTTTTTTATTGATTTAATCACTTTATTTTTTAGACAATATTTGGATGAAGATAATGTTATAGGCAAGAAAACGAAGAAACACAAATCGAAGATTAAACGTTCGCCAAAATCTTCAGAATCCTCCAGTTCTTCCCTATCTGGTGATGAAAATACAGATGAATCTGATGATGGAGTTGTGAAGCATAAAAAGAAACACAAAAAGAACAAAAAACATAAAAAGAAGGATAGTGATCGGAGAAGAAAGAAAAAAGACAAAAACAATAAACGGAAGAAGCGACAGAGGAGAGAGAGGTTGGTTAAAATATTAATTATCATTTATTAAGTTTTTATATTTATAGTAGTGACGAAGAGCCTGGACACCATAAAGATGAGAAAGGTGATGTTTGGGTTGAAGTAACAAAGGAAATGCAAGTAGCACAAACTAAAAAGGAGGAGGCTGCTATAGTTGGACCTTCCATTCCTGAACATATTCAACAAAAATTAAATCCTGCAGCTGCTTCAAGTGATATAAGATTAGATGCAGCGTTAGTTATTTTAATTTTTATTTAAATTTAAATAAAATCCTTAAGTGCTCGGACAAATATGTTGAGGGGCGAAGCAGCAGCGATGGCAGCGTATGCTGCTCAGGGAAAAAGAATTCCGAGAAGAGGAGAGATTGGCCTTACTTCTGAAGAAATTGCTGTTTTCGAAGTTGCTGGATATGTAATGAGCGGTACTCGACATAAAGCTATGGAAGCTACTCGACTTCGAAAAGAAAATCAAGTAAATACTTTTAATTTAAAATTTAGTTAAAAAATTTTTTTGTTTAGATTCTCACAGCAGAAGAGAAACGTTTATTGAAGACATTTTCGATTGATCAGAGAAATAAGAAAGAAGAAACCGTTTTGAAACAATTCCGTGATTTGATAAGTTCTAAGAAGCCAAAGGGTTAAATTGTATATTTTTAAATAAATTTTTTATAATTTTTTAAACGAAATCGATTTATAAATTTTCAAAAGAAATTGAAATTTTGATACATTTTTAATAATTTTGCATTATATGTATAATTAACAAAATTTACAATAAAGAATGGTAACAACTCGGTTTGCTTCAAGAAAGTTACTTTCAATAAATAAACAATTAAATTCCCCAAACCAACAATTTATCAAATGGGAAAAGGTTCTCTACAAACACCAACCATTTCCAGATAATTACACAGATGACGCGTTATTTCTTGATCAGTTACGTAAAAATGGTTAATTTTAAATAAAATTTTAAATTCAAATAAATATTTAAGTTAATGTTGTCAAGTATTCAATTGTTGAATCGATACGTGGTGGTGCAATAGTTATGTCACAAGTTGATTTGGTTGTTATTTATTTGGGCAAGTTTTTTTCTTATTTTTGTATTTAGCACTCGAATTTTTCAGTTATTTTCGAATTTTGTCGATTAGAATTTTGTGGCAGTAAAACAATTTTGTTAATTAATTTAATCATTTGTCTCATTCTTTTGTCCTTCGTAACCTTCTATAAATGTTTTTACATTAATTTAAAAAATCATTGGCAAACATTATTTACAATTTTTACTTTTGGTTATGCATTTACTCCCGTAATAAGGTTTTCTTTTATTTTTTGTTTGCTTGTTAAACTTTTAATTTATTAAGAACTTTAACCACAACAATCAGCACTGACACTATTTGGGCTAGTGCAATTATTCTTTTCTTTGTTAGCCTTTTTGTACACGATTATGGAATGGAATTTGCACCAATGCGAGTTTTTAATTAAAAAATTCAACAAAAAAGTTTTCAGTGTTTCAACTGCTTTGTCTGTTAATATTTGTTTGTCAGCATCTGTTTTCTTAATTTCTCGAGTTAACTGCGATCTACTTGCTTTTCTTTTATTGGGACTATCTCTTTTACTGTTTTGTTTTTGGCCACAACTTAGAAATGGTTAATTTAAAGTTTTCTTTACTTAATTTTTTTATTTAAAGTTTTACTTTCACAATCACCCAACACTATTTTTATTTTATTGCCAATATTGACAGTTATTTCTATAGGAGTTTTGTTTGTATTAAACGGAATTCTAGCATTTATCCATTTAATTTTGCATTTTTTATTGGTCGGATTGTGCCCTAAATTGTTAGTTAGAATGCAACAATGGAAGAGGTTAAAAAGTTATTTATAATAAATTAATGCTTTTAATAATTTTAAGTACGATTCATGGACCATGGGATGAGGTAACTATGAGAGCGAGGCATCTGACTTAAATGAAGAGTGGGCAATAAAAAATAAAACAACCTCTATATGTTTTGTATATTTAAATTTTTATTCGATAAAAATAATTTTTAAACAATTTTACGGAGATTTCGCAATAACTTCATCTTCCTCATTATTTGAATTAGAACATGATTGACGCGATAAATTAGCTCCTCGAGATCGGCTGCGTGCACGTGAACGACTACGAGCACGGCGTACAAGTTGAAAAAATTCAGGAAAAGGCATTAACATCTGAGATTAGTTAAAAGTTAGAAATATTTTGTAAAAAAATATAAAACCTCCATTTTCAACAATTGCATGTTTGTGCATCTTTGAACTGGGCATTGGTAAAGTTGACGACGGCTCTTTTGAAATTTAATATGTTCTTCCACCGATTCACGGTCGTAAACATGTCCACAAATCTGGAATTTGGAAAGTAAAAAAAGAATAGATTAAGTAAATTTATGTAAAATTTTTCCTTAGTCAACTCTGTTAATACTCTTCGATTTTTTTTAATTTTAGGGAAATTTCAAATTCCCTAGGTTCCCCATTTTTAATTTGACCTAATTAGCTAATAATTTAAAAATCCAAACTAACCGGATTTTTAACGGGTTCACGAATAGGTTTTTTAGTAAGTGGATCCTTATCAGTTAAATAAACGTCAAGCATTTCCATATCATCTTCCTCATCTTCTCCACTTTCTTCACCCATTTCATTATTTTCTTGAGTATTTTGATGTTCTGGTTGTTGAATTATTTTTATATAATTTTTTAAACGGGAACTAATTTGTTCAATTTCTTGTTGATTTCTTCCAGGATTTTCTAATTGAAGAGATTTTCTACTTAAAAAATATATTTTTAATTTTAAAGTAAAGCGTTAGAAAAGTTTTTAGCTCCACAGGCGAAAATTTAATGAATTTTGCAACTATCGAAAAAAATTTACTTTTCTGATCATTCCCTCCCAATTTTTTTCATTTTCTCCAATTCACTAAGGGGGGGGAGAGATTTCGGAATGATCCCAGCCTTACAATAATTAAATAAAATTTTTTTTACATTTTCTTAAACTGTGCATTTAAAATCTTTTTGTCAGAATTGTCTTTAGAAAATTGTCGGTTTGTTTCATCAATTGCCCGTCTGTCGATATCCATATCTTTATCAAAATTTGAAAGTCGTCCAATAAGTGTTTCCATTCTTTTTAATTGTTCAATATTTTTACTTTTTGATAATAAATCAACAATTTTTGCACTAAATTTTTAAAATAAAAATATTTTTTTAATTTATAAATTAAAAACCTATAATTAACTCCTTGCTCTATAAATTGAAACATTTCAATATGATCTGCTCCACGCTGTCCAGGAGGCATTAAAATATTATTTTGAGAAGGTTGATGACGATTTCGTTGAGGTAATGATGCCCTAACATCTCGAAAGCTAAAATCAGCGTCATCATTACCTTCTTCCTCTTCCTCTTCTTCATCTATTTCCATTTCTTCCAAATCCTCTTCACATTCATCATCAATAAAAGCCCGAGCCATTTATTAATCGATTGTATATCTAAAATAATATTCGAGATTTTTCCAAAATAGGAAAAAGATAAAAATTTTAAAAACTATTAAATGATCGCGATGAAGAAGCTGCAATGAAAAATATTCTTTGAAAATATAAAAATTGGCAAAATGTAAAAGCGTTAATTTAAATGAATTTTGAATTATGTAGACTGTCAAAGGAGAGGCTTGGGGTATCCATGGGACTTCGAGATGAAATTTTGCAGACAGGTAGATCACACCTGTTATGTATCGACTTGCGGTGTGTCCGATACTAACAGAAAGACTAACCAAAGACTAACTATCAAAGGTTTATCACAAAGGTAACAATACAATAGAAATGACGAGACTATGCGCTGGAGTAGTATATAGCTTGACTACGGACTAAGACTAACTGGCGACTAAGGACTGACTCAAGACTAACACTAGACTAACACTAGACTAACACACTGACTACTAAAAGGCTTCGCCTTTTATACTAAGCCGCCACCCTAACACCTCCCTTCTTTAATTAAGTCGGGACTATGTTTCCGACTTTTTCGACTAGACTTGGTGGACTTCAAAATACTACTACACTCCAACACAAACAATACAGCGAAAAATACAAAGGGCCAAAAATACAAAGTGAGCAACAAAAGGGGAGATACGATAATTACAAAAAAATTTACAACAACAATATTATCACAATTATTTACTTCTTACTTACATCTCCCATCTACTTCTATCGTCGCTCGTCACAGTGCTCCCTTGTTGGCTCATCTTTTGGCCTCGTCGCGTTCTGTGTTGCCGTTGTTGCTGGTGCTTCCTTCAAATTGGAACTAGACTCCAATTGACTGCGAGGTTGACCATGTGTCGAACCTTTACTACGGTTTTCATCAGACTTCATTGACTTTGGCCTAATTTGCCATTCTTCGCGACTGACTATGGCTCTCAGCCTTGGGACTTTGACTTTATATCCATCCACGAATTTTCTCACAATAGTCCCAGGCAACCAAACCTTCTTGCCATTCTTGCTCCTGTTCATGACTAAGACTTCTTCATCTTCTTTGAATCGACTAGAATTTCCCGAATAATTTGACTTTCCCTTTAAGAATCCTGACTTTGTCGAGCCTTGAGTAACACGACTACTCTTCGGACTATTCGACTTTTTACTCTTTCGATTCTTTTCCCGACTAATCTTTCTACTATTCTCCTTCAAGTTCGGGACTTCTATCGTCAGAATATGTGGGACTGAAGAATCAACTTCTACTTGATTTACTTCTGGACTATCGACTCTCTTAAACCGTTTCTTTGGTTTCCTACAATCTCGACTAATGTGTCCGACTATTCCACAATTATAACACTGACGTGATTCAACTTGGCGTTCTTTTTGCCTTGACTTAATTCTTGATCGCTTCGACTTTCTGCTCTGACTATGTTCGATCCGACTAACATTATTTATCTCAACATACTCTTTAGGTCCACTCTTGACCTTTGCCTGACTATCGAACATTTTCGCCTCCGACTTATTCGCCAGATAACTCCTCACTTCCTCCATCAATGCCTTCAACGTGCAGACTTCCGACTTCGCATACGACTCTACAAATCTCAGACTGATCTGTCTTACATCCAGCGCCTTCTCTGGAATGCCAGCTATGAATACTAGAATTTTGCATTCCTCGACTGTCAAGTCCATATTCGCTTTCTCGCATTCTGCATTGACTAGAGTTCCGAATTCTACAATTTTCTCTACTGATGGGCATCTCATCTTGATGACTTCGAATCTTTTGACTAATTTCGATCTTGGGTCACTGAATTCCTTTTTCAGTACCGCGACTAGACTTTCGAAGTTCATTTCCTCTAACTTTTCCGGCAACATCTTCTGCGACATCTTCGCATATTCGACTCGGCCCAACTTCTCGACTAATAATCGGACTCTGACTTTTTCTTCTAAGGACTGCGCGTCTACTTCAAAGTAGGACTTGTTCTTAGCGTACCATGACTCAAATGTGACTCCTTTTTCAACATCTGACTGGAACTCTGCAATCAATGACTTCAGCTTACAATACAGTTCCGTCGACTCTTCCTCTTCAGACTTGATCGCAACTGACTGACTCTCTTTCATCATTTCAAGCCATTGAATTTGCATCTGTTGCGAACGAGCTTGCATTTGCTCTTGTGCCTGCAGTAATTTTTCAAGCATTTCATCCATCTCGACTGAATTATTTGACTAATCAAACTGACTTTTAGACTATGGGTCCTGCCTGTTCAATTTTTCGTTGACTACTCAATTAAGAGTTTAACTGCGACCGCGCCACTGTTATGTATCGACTTGCGGTGTGTCCGATACTAACAGAAAGACTAACCAAAGACTAACTATCAAAGGTTTATCACAAAGGTAACAATACAATAGAAATGACGAGACTATGCGCTGGAGTAGTATATAGCTTGACTACGGACTAAGACTAACTGGCGACTAAGGACTGACTCAAGACTAACACTAGACTAACACTAGACTAACACACTGACTACTAAAAGGCTTCGCCTTTTATACTAAGCCGCCACCCTAACAACACCCTACTCTAGTTGTGAAATTTCTCCATTTTCGCTGCGTGGTACCGTGGACAGAATTATAAGCCCCCAAAGTCTCCTTTGTGAGACGATTCTTTTTTTTCGGTGAAAAAATACCATTTTAACTCAAATAAACTATAGTATTCCAACTTTTACTAAAGGTCGAATGTAATTAAAATATTTACTTATTTGTTAGTTATTTTATGCTATAGTTAAGACACAATAGACACAATTCTATATGTACAGTATGTATTATATACAATAGAAACAATAAACATAATATAAACAATTATCACATAATTTTTTATTTGAACCCGTTGCAGACTTCATCTTGTCTAGGTTTGTTCGAGTACTTCACGAATTTAGAGTAGAGCCAATAGTAGTGACACGAATAATCCGGGCTGTCTCCATTTTATACGGCGCTACTTGTTGAATGTTGAGGATTTCGCTGTCCTCATTCACCTAAACAAAAATTGTAATTTCACTCAAACAAATGTCAAGAAAACGAACGATGGTCTCCACAACTGGATGACAATGCTGGCGGTCTTTAGCTCTGCAGACACTGACGAATCGTTTATCCCTGTCGAAGGTTATTCTTAGACGAGCAGGGCAAGTACGACGACGGCCTTCGACAAACTGAAAATATTTTTAAAAAATATTTTTCGAATTTCTTTGAATGTCTTTACCGAGCATGTCCAATATTCGACTGTGCCACTAACGTGTGGATGGCGTGAATTGATCCTCCAATTAGTTCGCTCCCCTGACGTCCACCATTGGTCGAACGCTTGTGTTGTTCGGAAGTTTCTAAGTTCCTCGTAGTGTGCTCGCCGTCTCACTCGCTCCCTTGCACGCACGCGGTGCCGAAACATTTCTGCCTTAAAATAACAATATAGACAATAAAATAATAAAGGTGTAGGAATAATTAACCTTTGCTGAATGTTGCACTGATGGATGAATTTAGACGAGTAGTGGATGAAGGAATATATTGACATTTTATTTTGGAGGATTTTTATACTAAAAATTTTTTAAAAATATTTTAATTAAATTTTAGTTAAAATTAATTTAAAAAAAATTAATTTCTCTAATTAATATGTATTTAGTTTGACAATCTTTTTAAATTAAAAATTTACAGTACATTGTATAAATTAGTTAATTTGCCATTTTAGAGAGAAATTTTAGACAGGAACTGTTGACTAAATAAATATTGTTTTAAATATTTTGCTATGTAACTAAAAAATTATTTTTAATTTTTTATTAATTTTTTATAAATTATTTTAAATTTTATTCAAATATTTTTTGTTAGAAAAATATTTCAAAAATTTAATTAAAATAATTTAAATCAACGGAACTGATTTAAAAAACATTTAATCCGCACAAATATCTCATTTAGGTCAATTTTGATTTTTGCTTTTTTAATCAAGGAGTAGCCGGTTATTTTGTTTGGTAGTTATTTTTTCTATAATCCAAAGAATAAACAGAATTATTTAAGTAAATGCCACCTTGAATATATTTAAAAATATTTTTTGATGAATTAATCCGGTATATAAATAAATAAATAATTATTTTATAATTAATACTTGAATAGTAAAAATTAAAGAAAAAATTATAGAAAAATTTTTTTGTACTTTTAAAATTATATTTTTTAAATTTTAAAGCAATTTTAATATGAAAATAGTAAATAATTTAATTTTTCTTTTAAATTCAATTAAAATTATTTTTTGCTCATTTTGTGGTGAAACTTCAATTCCTTTTAGTTTAGAGGTTTATTAAAATTCTCTAAATAATTTCCCCCGTTTTAATTAAAGATTTTATCCAACGGCCATTTAATTCTCGGTAAAAATACATAGACATATTTTATTAAAAATATCTTTTAAAAAAGGCTGTGCCCGACCAAATTGTTTTGGTTGGAATTCTTTTGGAAAACCTCAAAAATTAAATGATTCCAATTTTTATCGGGTAAATAAACAACCTGATGGGTTTTTTAGAAAATCCTTTACTTCAACAATACCCAAACCTTTAAATGATTTTGAGGCTAGTTGGTATAAACCTCAAATTGCTGTAAGTTTAAAAAGAGAAATTAAATTAAATTTAATTTAAAGAATTGTCAAACTGGTTTTGGAAGTAGTCCTTGTAATAAATTAAATAATTGGGTTGGTGGGATTGGACCTTATTCTTCGAGTTTGAAAAATGGAAATCAAAAACCGTTTGTGTTTTTTTAATAAAAAAACTATTTTTTGTCTTCTAAATAGATTACTTCTTCGTTGTTGTCATTGGGAGGGTTTGGTTAATTCTGAAGGTAATTTTTGAGGATATTAATTTAAATTTAAATTAATTAGATAGAGGTATTGCAAATATAAATCGAGGAAATATTATTTATGGTGGGGAAGTGTTTTTTGAAGATTCTTCTAATGATAATAAAAGGCAATATGCATTCGATTATGTTAGTGATATACGGCAAAATAATCGAGGGGAGGAAGGGGAAAAAGGGTAGGTTAATTAAATAAATTTATATTATTTGATTAATTATCACCAAATAATTTATTTTAATTAATTTTCTTTTTTTAAACATAAACAGATCTACTAAATATCAAGTATTTATCCATCGAATGCCTTGTTTACCTAGACCAGAAAAACTTTCTTTGTCAGTAGATTTGGATGTAGCTAACCAATTAATTCATAAATTTGAATTAGCCTCTTCAACAACAACAACAACAACAATTAATTCACCTCTTTTTATTTTTACAACAACAACCAACACTTCTCCTTTAAATAAAACAAAACAATTTAAAAAACAATTAAAATCTAACCAAAATAAATACAAACACGAAGGAGAAAGTCATATTAATATTGAAGTTTGATTTTAATTTTTTATTAAGAAAAATTCTGTTCTTTTTTTGTAGACATTTAAATTATCAGCAGCTCCATTATTAGAACATAATCCATTAATTAATGAACAAATAAATAATAAGAAAAACAAAAAAATAATTTTAGATAATGAAGTAATTGAAGGGCCGTTTATGGAAAATGAAATTGAGGAAAGAGAAGAGGAAAATAAAAAATTAAATGAAAAACAAAATTTATTATTAAATTCCAAATCAAAACAAATAATTAAACAACAACAAAGGAAAAAAATTATTTGTGATCGTAACATGACACGTCACAGTCGGTACAGGCGTCAGTGTGCGGTGAAATAAATTTTTACTATTATTTTTTTATCTAAAATCTGATCCGAAAATAAAATACATATGAATTTAAAATAAATAGTTAGGGATATAAGGAAGTGAAAAGAAAAGAAATCCTCAGTTTCCTTAATTTTGTTGCCACCAAATATTTTTGTCAAAAAATTTAATTTTTAATTTATTTTTAAAGGAAATAGAATTATCAGAAGATACCCCCGTCCAAATAATTGAAGATGAAGAACAAAATTATGGTGGGGGCCCTAATCAAGAATATTATGATCCTGGGGGTGGTGGCTACAATAATTATTATTACTACACAAAACCCGCTTCTTCCTATTTTCAATGTTTTAGTGGAGATACTAAAATACGTTTAGATAATGGAAAATTAAAAAGAATGGATAAATTGGCTGTTGGGGATTGGGTAATTAATTAAATTTGGAATTAAAAATAATTATTTAAAAAAAAAGATTTATTCAACTAATCGTTCTCGAATTGTTTTGAGTAAAATTGAAAGGTGGATTCATAGAGTAAGTTTGAATAATTAATTGTTTTGTTAAATATTTATCAAAATTTTGAATGACGGAATAAAGATAATTGAAAGTGATCTGGGGAGGGGGAAGAGTTGAGATTAAATCTTCATTTAAAATTTATAACCCATTCATTCATTACCTAAATAATATTTAAATTTAAATTTTTTAAAAGGTTCCAGAACAATTATCCAATTTTGTTCAAATAAAGCTTTTGGATGGCCGAATTTTAAAAATAACAGAAAAACATTTTATTTACGTGTATAAAGGAGGAAATTGTGAAAACTTTAAAAATAAAATAATTAATATAAAAAAAGTTTTTGATATTTATTCTATTTTGTTTGCAAAAGATGTTAAAATTGGGGATTGTTTATTTACTGAAATTGAAGGAGGAAATGAACAAGTAATTCCTAGGAACTTTTTTAATAATTATTTTTTAAAAGTCTTTATTAATTCAACCAATTATTTCAATTAAATTAATTAAAGAAAAAGGAATATTTGCCCCTCTAACAACGAGTGGGGATATTTTTGTTGAAGGAATTTTAGCTTCCTGTTTTGCTGTTGAACAAAATTCTGTTCTTCAAAAAAGCATTTTCTCTGTTAGTTTATTAATTTAAAAATAAAATTTAAAAAATTTAAGAATTGGCCATTATTTACAAAATTCTCTTCTTTTTTATTTAATTTATTTAATAATTACAATAATAATTTGGAAATGGTAAGGGAAAAATTTAAAAAATATTATAAAATTAATTTAAAAAAAATTTAAAGATTGAAGAATTGCCAAAATGGGTGGATTTTATTGTTGTTTATTTGTTACCTATTGTTATACCTTTTAAATAAATTTATTTATTTAAATTTTTGTTAAAAGTTTAATAATTTCGTTATATGTAGTTTACATTCTCGGGGGATTAAATAAGTTTATAATATTTGTAGGCACTCTAAAATATATTTAAATAAAAAATTACTTAACTACTCTAAATTACCTATATTGGGAGTATAATATAACGAGATTAGACTTATTTATTGTTATTTTTTAGTTAAATTGTTTTAACCTTTTTTTTCTAATTTTGCTATTAATTTTGTTTTAATTATTAAAAAAATTTAAATAATATATTTTAAACTTTTTATAAATTCAAAAGTAATTTTTTCTATCATAGATAGTAAAGTAGAGCTGGGCCAGTGCAATTTAGCTAGTGCAAATGGCCATCCGGCAGCTCTTCAGTTTATTTTTTATAAAAGCTCTAATTTTTAATTAGAAATATTTTTGATTTTTAACTTTCTCTTATGTTTGGGATCTAATGGGGGATCTAATTCTTTTACAGTCGATTTCGTTATACTCTGAAATTGAAAAAAAACATTCAAGGAAATATCACCACCAAATAGCCAACTGCATTAAAAAGCTTATACTAAACTGATTTGTATACTTTGGATGTATATTATTATAACGAGATTTGACAAAATATATTTCCTTTTAGTTTTTGAATTCTTATGGTATGATTTGTAAAGTTTTTTAATTTAAAATACTCCAATTTAAGAGTTGGAGATATTTAGAATAAATGATTCTAATGTGTAAATTATTTTAACAAAGGATCTCTGGAAATTTCTCCTCATAGCGGGGACTGGCGGATATTCGTTTTTTTCGATGTTTCACCTCTCACTTTTAAAAATCAATGGATAAAAATAACAAATTTATAGTCAGACAAAACAATACATACAATAATGGTGAATATTTAGGAAATATACAACAATTTACATAGTTATGTGAATATTAGATCTCTCATTCTATCAACTATTCTTCATTATCCCTCATCTCAACGAGAAGAAGCGGTGACCAAACTAGCTGCACGTTGCGTATCCAATTCTGTGCGAAGTTGCACTTCCTGTTCTCGAACCTCGTCCCAAGTCAGCCCAAACCAGCTGTCAATAGAAGTGAAGATTTGCTGGTGGAATTTGGCGTTGATTTTGCGGTGTTCCTGAAAGAAAAATGAAAACATTTATTTTTATTTTAGAATATATATTCTCTGATTATTCTAAAATAATCCTCAAAACTCACAAGCTCGACAAGTTTTTCAGCTCCCGGAAAGTGTGTCCTGACGTTAACTGTTACAACTTTGTAGACGCACATACAAGGCTTACATTTCTCTTGCCAGTTGCCGACCAGAGGCCCTCTTTTTGCGCGTTTGGAACGAAACTGAAATTTGAAAAAAAATTATTTTTCAAAGATATAAGCATTCTCACATTAGTATTGTCCTCCCCAATGTTCATTTTGACGATTTCACGGCGCTTCAGCATATCACTGCCCAGTCCCAAAGCCTGCAAAAATGGTCAGTTTAGAGTTAATGTGAAAAATGTCTAATAACAAACATTTTCATCTTTTCCTCTATTGTTGTCCAAACAAAGTGTCTCGAATCGGATGCTGAACTTTTCCCGATTTTCGTCCCATTCAGGAGCGTAGAGTTCTGTCAGTAGATATGGAAAGCTGTTCCAACTATGCTCGTGAATCCGGGTGAGGCCGTTCGGTACAAAAGGTCGGACAAATGATGGAATTTTACTGAAAAAGAAAAAGAGAAGATTTTTGCTTTCGAGCAAATTTTTTAAAAATAAACTTACGATCTCAGGTGGTAGATTTTGTGGGTGAACTGCCCTTCATTGTAGCGCCCGTGACAAAGTGGAATGTTGTCGAATGGCTCGTCTTGCAAGATTTCCACTCCTTCTCCTTTGTGTGTTTGCTAAAAATAATGAGAAAGGTTTTAATTTTGAATGACAGAAAGTAAAAATAAAATTTTACTTTTCGAGCCGTCTCCATGTAGGCAAACGCCCGTCCAATCTGGAACTCTGCTGTAGTCATAGGCATCACTATCCTGTACTCGCGAACAAGCATTGCGGCTGGCGATTGAAGTGTAGACGAGCAGGCGAACACTGAGCAGGCGCACACTGAAGTAGATGAGCAGGCGAACACTGAAGGTAGCAGACAATGAGCACAAACCCCAACAGAGGTGTTTTGTGAGAGCGTTAATCCTTTCAAGTTTGTAAGGCTTTTATACTCTAGAAAATTTTGAAAAAAATTAATTTACAACGGAACCCAATTTTATATATTTTATTCGGTGCGCTCCTAGTTCGATTCCTAAGATCGATTCCTTAAAATTTAAAATTTAAATATTATTTATTATTTAATTATTTGAATTTAATTTAAATATTAAAAATCTTCTAAAAAATTCAGAAATTTAAATTAGAAAGATTAAGGAAAAAAACTTTTTTTTCATTAAAAGAAACAAAATTAAAAAAGAATGCCCATGGCAGGAATCGAACCTACGTCGTCTCGGCCACAACGAGAAGTACTAACCACTATACTACATGGGCCGAAAGAAAACCTTTTTATTTTCTCTTTTGACTCTAAAAATAACTTTGAAATTATTCTTTTTATTAAAACTGTGAAAATATTTTTTTAAGTTTAGAAATTTTTTCTTAAAAATTAGAAATATTTAAAATTTAATTTAGAAAAATATTTAAAATTTTCAAAACCAACCAACTCCAAACCCTTCCCCTTCAACACATAAAGATCCATTAAAAGCAACATTTCTAGCCTCAAAAACACTAAAACGTTCAGAGACCTCTTCTGATTGATATTCTACAGGTTCTGATTCTCCAGTAATTGAAGAAGCTTCCAAACGAAGTTGAATACAATGCAATAATCTTTTTATACCTTAAATCAGCAGGTACCAGTGCTGGGCTATAGCTATTTCTCTCCTTTAGCTAGTGAAAAAGGAAACCAGCATCTTCAGCCTAGGAATCTAGGAAATAAATAGTTCAAATAATATCTGAAAGTGACTTATCTATAGTAACTTTGCCAATAATTATCCTATTCCAATAATTTTATTATTATTAAAATTATTTTCAAAATATTTTTAACTAATAATTTCCTCTCTATTTTTCTTTAAATTATTAATAAATATATCCAATATCCAATAAATTCCTTCAATTTCTGTTCTTTTTTTATTTATTTTTCGCGCTTTAAAAATTTATATTTCAAGGGCTTGTTTCTTTCCTTTTTTTATTTCTTTTCTACTTGTTCCTGCTTCCGCTTTCCCTTTCTTTCCTTTTTTTGATCGGCTAATCGACAAACCAAGAATTCTTTAAATATATTCTTTTTTCGTTTTTTGATTCTTTCGTGGTCATCCATCTGGAACTGGATATATTTAAATAAAATAAATAAATATTTATTTTTAAAATTTATTTTTAAAAAAGAAAATGTCTTCTTCAAAAATTTATCCTTTACCTAATAAACAGCAAAAATTATTTTCTTCTAATCCCCCACCATTACCTTCAACAATTTTTATTTCAAAATCAGAAAAATTAAATGAAAATAATAAAATAAATAAATTAAAATTTAACAGATTTCCCCCAATTTATTCAAAAAAATCAGATCAGCCAGAATGGGAAGTTAAAGAATTATTGAAATTAAATCCTTTAAATCTGTAAATATTTAGTAATTTTTAAATAAATAAAATAATTTTTAAAAGTTTTTTTCTTGGATGTATTCCTCCTTTTTTTGGAGCTTTTGGTTCAATAATAACAGCATTAATTGTCCATAATGATGAAATAAGGCTAGAAAAAAATTTTTTATTTTTAATTGAATATTTTTAGTAATTATAATTGGCAATGCGGGGTATTTCTCTTTAATTTTGAAAAAAAAATTTTTTTAATTATTTTGAAATTTAGAGAGCTCGATTACCTTCACTTTCACGTATTATAAATCTTCCTATGGAAAGTAAGTTTAAAAATAAATTATTTGGAATTTAAAAAGAAAAATATTGGAATTAGAGAACGTATTGGGAGTGTAGTAGGAGGGAGGAGATATCTCGAAAAATATTAACCTCTCTAACCAAAATTTTTATTCGAGTTTCGATCTCCATTCAGTCTCTAATTAGAACGATTTAATTATTTTAATTCAAGAATTAAGAAGGAGTACTTAGAATTATTTAATTAATTTTTCCTTTTTTCAGGAATTTTTTGGCAATTTACTTTTCTTTTTCACATTCCGTTAAGAATTGTAGAGATAGCTGTTGGATGTAAAATTAATTTTAAATTTTAACTAATTAATTTTTAATTTCAAATAAAAAGTTTATCGTTATGACCGTCTTCGTTTAATTAATTGTAATTGGCCAAAAATATATAATTTAAGTAGATATTTATATTTAATATTTGGATGTTTGGAATTAATTTTTTTGATTGCCCTTTCTGTTGTTGGAGAAAGAGAATTTATATGTAAAATTTAAATAATTTAAATTTTAAATTTAATTTTATTTAAAGCTTATCATGTTGTTTTCTTTTATGCTTTTGGTGGTTTTGCTACTGGATTTTTTATTACAAATGTTGTTTGTCATTCACAATCTCTTTATTATTTAAATCCTTATGTAAATATTTTTTTATAAATTAATTTGAAATTTTAAAAAATAAAAAAACTTTTATTTTTTTCTAACAATTTAAATTTATAAAAAATATTTATTTTAAAAATCAGAAATTAATTTTAGGGTAGAATTTCCTATTATATAAAAATAATAGTAACAATTCTTTTTATTATTTCAATGCCTATTTTGTTTGGTGCTTTTATTTTATATTGGAGGAAATGCATTACTATAAGTTGTTTAAATTTATTTAAATGTATTCGGTCCTTATTTGTATTTCACCACATTTGTGTACTGCCTTGATTGGAGAATCCGGGATTACTTGAAATTTTCGCTTCTGTTTTCGGTTTCGGATTAGGATAGTCGGGAATTTCCCAAAATTCACCAACCCAATATCACAATCCCTCTATCTTCAGATTTCTTATGGGTGATGTTCTGATAATTATATTTAATTTAAATGTAAATTATTAATTTCTAGTGTATGATGTATTTGCTATAGCCGAATACATCGATGTTTTCCTTACAATATCTTATCATTGTTGTGCTTTTTTTGATATTCGTCACAAAGTTATTTTTAGTATTAGAGATGTAAAGAAGAAAATAAATTAAAAAAAGAAAAAAAAGAATTTATTTTTATAAAAAATATTTATTTCAAATTATGCACACAAAATTGTTGGAAATTATTTTTGTAAATTAAAAAAATTATATTTAAATTTATTTTTTTCCATTCTTTTTAGAACTTGTTTGGATTAAATCGAATTATTTTAATTAAAATTAAAACGTAAATTTTTCTAAAAAAATAAATTTAAATAATTCCATTTATTTTCCTCAAATTACTAGAATTGTTGGCGACCGGTTTTAAATTTTAATTAAATTTTAGTTTCTTTTTAAGGAATCATTATTCGTTTTTAAAAATTTTCGGTCTTTATAATTTCATAAAAAAGGTTATTAAAGTTTGGCAAGATTAATTAATAATTAATCAACAAAACATTAATTCTTGCTAATTAATGCTTGGCAAGAAATATCAAAATTTTCGTTACGTCAACAACTCTATTAATTTAAATTAGGGTAGTTCCCCGGACCTTCGGGATCTAATGTGTTTTGGTCTGCTTTTTGGTTTTGAGTTTTTAGTTTTTTTAACCAGTTTCGAGTCTGGTTTTTGTCAAAAAAATAGTTGGGGTCGGAATACGGGGAGCTACCTACCCTAATTTAAATTACCATTTAAATAATCTAACAATTTTATTTTTTGGATAATGTCTAATAAAATATTTTCTTATTTCATTATAAACATTTATAAAAATTCCAACAGCAGCAACAACAACCCAACATTGCCAAGGAATTGCTGCCCCTCCCAGAAATTCATTTAAACCGGGCAAATAAACATAACAATTAATTAATATTAATTCAATTATTAACGCTTTAATTAATGCTTGATTTGAACAAAATCCGTGTCTAAAAAGGGAAATTCTTCGAGTCCTGGCACTCCAAATATTAAAAAATTGTCCAAAAACAATTCCCATTTGCCAAGCACTCGTTGCCTGTCTTCCAATTAATAATTGCTGTTCCACAGAAAATTCACGTCCATTACTTTTAAAAATATCCCCTCCTTTCTTCCAACAATTTAATGCAGAAAAGGGCAAATCTAATATATTAATTCCTTTACACCAAAAAACATAACAATAAGCTAAAAAACATCCAAGAGACTGGAAAAATTAAATAAGTATAAACACTTTAAATATTTACTAGGATTGGACATGACCGGTTAATTTTTGCCTGTAACGGCTCAAATGCTCTTATTCTTCTCTATTTGAGACGTCTCAAACAAAAATTAACAGGTCCTGTCCAACCCCCAATATTTACTTGTATTTGTCCAGTATAAATATAAGAATAAGCCAATAATCCATTAGAAATCAAAACTTTGTTTACAGCTCTAGGGGGTCTAGCCATTACATCCCCCTCCGGTTTTTCGTTTGCCAAAGAAATCCCTGGAAATATTTCTGTCCCCAAATCAATTGATAAAATCTTTGAAAATTAAAAGAATATATTAAATTTAATTTAATTCATTAATTACTTGTAAAGCAGTTATTCCAACAGGCATTCCAAAACAAAAATTAATTATTATTGGCCAAACTTCTGGGAATGAATGGGGCATTGTATATGCTAATAACTTTAAATAAAATAATTTTTTATGTAATTATTTAATTAACTAATTACTTTTTTAATATTTTCATACATAGCTCTCCCTTCTTTTACAGCTTGAACAATTGAAGAAAAATTATCATCCTTTAAATTTACAAATTAAAATTCTCTCCTTTTTATTTCCAAAAAAACTTACAATTAAAACAATATCGGCAGCTTGTTTAGCTACTTCACTCCCCGAACCCATTGCAATTCCAATTTCAGCTTTTTTCAATGCTGGGGCATCATTTACACCATCACCCTTTATTTATTTAATTAAATATTCCCCCATCCCTCCAAATAAACTAACAGTCATAGCAATTATTTGTTTCCTTTTTTGGCATTGTTCAACAATAAATAATTTCTGTTCAGGCGTTGTTCTCGCAAAAACAACAGAATTTTTCTTTAAAATTAATTGATCCCATTGCTCGGCCGTTAAACGAGAAATTTGTTGTCCTTGTACAACTGCCCAATCATTTTTTGGATCGAATTCCCAAGGTTTCCCTTCTTCAGGTAAATTATTTTCTAATTTAAAGAATATTTTTTAATTTAATTAATTTATTACCTCCTCCATTATTTATTTCTATTTTCCCTCCATTTTCATCAATTAACCCAATTTGTCTAGCTATTGCACATGCTGTTAATTGATGATCTCCAGTTACCATAAAAACTTTAATTCCGGCAGTTTTACAAGAATTTATGGCTTCTTTTGTTTTTTCCCTTGGGGGGTCCATTATTGCACAAACACCGAGAAATGTTAATCCATTTAAAGGAACATTCCCAACATCCAAACTAAATTCTACATCAACAGGAGCACGAAAAGTTGTTTGAGCAAAACCGATAACTCTGTGGCCGCCATTTGCAAATTCTGTATAGGCTGCCTTTTTAAAAATATTTTTTATAAAAAGAATTGCCCCTTAATAATAACAATAAATAATTAAAGGATCAATCAAAATATTTGTTTAATCAAATATTTGATTTTTTGCAGTTACTGATCTCTACTACTACATATAATCCTCCCTCCCTCCCCAATTAATTAATTTAAAAACAAATTTACTTCAAGTTCCTCAATTCCCTTATTTCTCCCAAATTCTTTAATTCCATTTTTTGTTAAAATCTGTGAACACATTTTAGCCAAAACTTCAGAAGCTCCTTTAATAAAAAGTCTATATTCTGCTTCTTCACCTTGAACACCCATTCGAACTATTTTTAAATGCCATTTACGTTTTGAATTAAAAGGGATTTCAAAGGCTACCTAAAAATAATTTTAAAAAGTTTTGGTTGTGAATATTATTAAATTAGCCAATATTTTCTAAAAAAAATTCTTTTTAAATGTTGGATTGCTTCTAAAGCAAAGATTAACTCTTTTATCGTCTATAGTTTTGGGTTTCATTTTTTTATTTTATCAGCTAAAATTAGAGGAAACTTTAAATTAATTAAAGCTAGGAGGTGTTAATCTCTAAATATTTTTTAATTAAATAATTTACATCCTCATATTCTTGTCTACATTTATGTACATTAATTAAAATAGCTGCATAATTAAGCATTGCAACTTCTGAAGGTGTTCCAATAGCTGTTGAATGTTTTTGTGACATTTTAATTGAACGTTTATTGGCTATTGGCCTGTGTTGTTTTTTCTGTTGAGAATTTTCAATACCTTTTTCAATTGTGTCGGGGGATTTAATTGTTTCTTCTTCTTCGTTTATTGTAGAAACATTAAAATGTTTTGGTTCTCCACGTAATGAACTTTGGGCCCAAAGGACTGCTTTAAGTGAATCTGCTCTGCTAACTTTCCTGTGTTCTTCCTATGTTAAAAAATTTTTTTAATTTGGTTGGTCATGGGGGAGGGAAGGGAGAGTACCCTAACTGATACCTCTTATTTAGGATATAGGTACTTTATTATACAATAAAATGTGTTAGTTGTGTAAGCTACATATGGCTTTAAAAAAGAATATTAAAAATTCCTTTTCTAAAAGTTCTATTCAATAATACCCCCCCCCCCCCAATATTTTAGTTATTCATAATATTTTTTAACTTTTTACTTTTTTACTAATTTCTGTTGTTTTATCTTCATCTTCTAAATTTAAAACGGCAGTATTACAAACACTCATACAAGTTAATATATCAGAAATTGGATGTGGAAATCTATTACCGCCAATAGATCGTAAAGTCCATGGAGGTGCTGTTGTTGGGGTTGTTGGTATTCCTTCACTTCCAAATGAATTAAGTGTTAATTGGTGTTCACTTTGTGGATATCCTTTAATTTAGTTAAATTAAAATTTAATAAATTTTTGGAAATTAATTGGAGAGTCTTTAATAACTAAAAATATTTTTTTCTAAAAAATAATTTATTCTCAGATTTATGCCTATATTTATTTCTTCTAAATATTTACCATTTATAAACCCATCAAAATTCCAAAGTCCAGTAACTGTCATTTCATTTCTTGTCAAAGTTCCAGTTTTATCAGAGGCAATAATACTCACTTGCCCCAAAGCCTCACAAATATCTAATCTTTTTACATAAACATTTCGATTTGCCAAACGTCTTGCTACAAGTGTTAAAATTGAAGTAACAGTTGCTGGTAATCCACAAGGAACCTTTAAATTATATTTCTTAATTTTTTTAATGATTATTTTTTAACCATTCCAATAGCACAAACAAGAAATCCATTAGCCAATAAATGTGTAACATCTTTCCAATGATGGACAAATCCCCCAAATATAAATATTATAGAAGCAACAGAACAAGCCATTATTATAAGAAATTTAACATATTTTCTTATTTGTGCCTCTAATCTCGAGCCATTAGGTTCTTGTCCGGTTGTTAATTTAGCTGTTTGGCCAATTACTGTATTCTCTCCAACTCTAATAACTGTGGGAGAAAAATATTTTTAAATAAAGTTTTTTGCATAATAAAATTCAAAAAAATATTTAAAAAAATTTACACGCCTATTTTAATTAGAAAAATTTATGAAAAAAATTTTTTTCATTGAAAGAAAGAAAATAAAAAAAGAATGCCCATGGCAGGAATCGAACCTACGTCGTCTCGGCCACAACGAGAAGTACTAACCACTATACTACATGGGCCGAAAGAAAACCTTTTTATTTTCTCTTTTGACTTCAAAAATAATTTTGAAATTATTCTTTTTATTAAAACTGTGAAAATATTTTTTTAATTTTAGAAATCTTTTTATTAAAAATTAGAAATATTTAAAATTTAATTTAAAAAAATATTTAAAATTTAAAACCAACCAACTCCAAACCCTTCCCCTTCAACACATAAAGATCCATTAAAAGCAACATTTCTAGCTTCAAAAACACTAAAACGTTCAGAGACCTCTTCTGATTGATATTCTACAGGTTCTGATTCTCCAGTAATTGAAGAAGCTTCCAAACGAAGTTGAATACAATGCAATAATCTTTTTAGAAATATTTTACTAAAATTTATTTGTTTAATTACCTTAAATCAGCAGGTACTCTCTCTCCAGATTTAATATGTACAACATCCCCAACTACCAGATCCGGTGCCGATATACTACTTTCCTTCCCTTCCCTAATTACTTGACTACATTGGGGAAGAAGACGTTGAAAGCCATGAACAACCTTTTTAATTTTTAATTAATTAACTAATTAAATTAGTAAATACTTGTCTTGCACGCATTTCTTGAAACCAACTAACTAAACACATTACAAAAATCATTCCAAACAAAATTAAAGTAATCCACAAATTAATTAATTCACTAGAAATAATACATAATTTTAAATCTCATTTTCCCTCTTTTTCAACAAAAATATTTTAAGTTTTTCTACATATAAGTTTTTACTTATTTTTAAAATATTTCCAAAATTTATTAAAGAAATAATATTTTTGATAATTTAATATTCGAGTGTTTTGAATTTAAAATAATGCCCCCCCCCCACTAGGAAAATAATATCTAAAGATTATTTTAAAATAAAATACAATATTTATTTTATTACCTGTTTCAAAGTAGGATAGCACCCCGTCCCCCGAAATCCCAACCCTAACACTGAAGGCTCTACGATCCCGCCCCCGAAGGCTCGGGGTGCTACCCTATTTCAAATTACCTTGTATCCAAAAAGAATTGTAATAAAGACAAACAACTAGCCCCAATTAACAATACCCAAAGTAAATTCCAAAATTGTTTCAACAACAATTCCCACTTCCCCATTTCTCTCGGTTTAGGCAAAACATTCCTTCCTTTCAGTAAAAGCTGGGCTTTTGCAAATTCCCAAGTTAATCCTAAACTTTTTTGAGGTTGTTTTACATTTATATTAGAATCTCTAAAGAATAAACATAATTGTCTCAAATCCCAAACATGTTCACAAAATGCTCTGAAAAATTATTTTTTTAATTTTTATTTTCCGGGTCTTCTCCTCCCTCCCCCCCCCCCCCCCCCCCCACCTCTCCCCCTCCTAGTTTCCCCTTTTTTCTTAGTTTCTCCCACCAATTACTAAATTTACATATCTTTTAAAGATGGATATACAAAATTAACATAAATATAGTGAAAGTGAAGGTGTGTGTCTGAGGTTCCCTTGAAAAATTAGGGTATCTTGGAACTAACTTAAATAATCTTTCTTTTCCTTATATTATTCAAACACTAATAATATTAATTTATTATTTTACCCTTCAAATTGTTTTCTATTAACAGAACAACTTCTACTTCTTGTCCTTGTTCTTTGTTTTCCTCCTCCAAATTTTGTTTTATTATTTCGTTGTTTAAAACAAGAACTAAACCAAACAGAAAATATATTTTCTTCTTTATTTTTTTCTTTTTTTGTTTTTATTTTATTTATTCCATTCAAATTGTTTGTTGGAATTATTGTTGTTGTTGGTTGTTGTGGAGTTTTTATAACAACTCCATCTTTTGGAATCCATTTATTTGACATTTTTTTAACTAAAAATTAAATTACTTTCTTTAATAGAATTTTGAAAATTAATTAATGGTATATTATTTTTTTTTTGGAAAAAATTCTAACAGCTGGGCTTTAGCTAGTGCAAAGGGGTATTCGGCGGCTGGGAGCGAACTAGCATCTTCAGTAGACCGGACTGATACACCACGCCGCCTACTGCCTTAGGAAATAAATAGCTTACATTTAAAAGCCTTAAACTTAAGAGCCATTTTTAAAATTGAAATTAAATAAAAAAATAAATTTTCAAATAATTCAAGTCTAAGGCTAAAAAAGAATTATAAAAAATAATTAAAAATTAATTAATTACCTTTAAACAAAATTAAAAATAAATTTATTTTTAATTTAAAAAAATTTAAAAAACTGTCCGGCTGACTATTTAAACATATGAGAAATTTAAAATTCGAAAACCAATCTTCTCCTTTAAAGTGAACATTTTAATGCGCAAAATTTAAACAAAAATTTATTTAACGATCATCATCATCTTCTTCTTTTCGCCTTTCTCCTCCTCCCTTTTTTGGCCTCGTCCCGCTTTTTAATCTTGAAATGATTTTTTGGGGAAATTAAAAAAAATTAATTAATTAAAAAAAGTAATTAAGAATGCGTCATTTTATTTTTAAATTAAAAATATTTTTTATTTAAAATTTAATGGAGAGATTGTGTAAAAGTTTTGAGGGATTTATAAAATCTTTAAACTTTATAGAAAATTATTGTAGAAAAGTCTGGATATTTTAAATTTAAAATATTTAATATTTATTTATTTATTTTATTTTTACAAAATAAATATTTTTCGAAAGATTTTTATAAGTAATATTAAAAAAAATATTTAATATTTAAATAAATTTATTGCAAAATTGTGGAGTTGTTAAATCAACAAACACACTACTTAATAAAAAATATTTTTGTCTTTTTAAATGCTGGAGTTTACAAAAGAAACAAAAATGGAAAGTTTTTTGTTTGAATGATTTTTGAACTTATTAAATGTTTATTTAATTTTGAGTGTTTTTCTTACCTAAACAACAAACAAAAAATAAGAGCTTAAGAATTAAATTAAAAATATTTTTTTTTATTTTTCACATTTTTTTCTTTTTAAATTAATTTCAAGACTTAATAAATCATTTTTTGTTTAAAATATTTTTAGAATAATAAAATAAAGAAGGGAAAATATTATTTTTTTAATAAATTAATTTAAAAATTTCCTTAATTAAAAATCAATTTAGCATTCAATTATTTCGTTACCCTAAAAATAAAATTTTCATTTTCTAACTTCATAATTTTTTTATTTAAATTAATTCTCGATATTTTTAAATAATTTTCTAAAAAAATATTAGAAAAACGAATAACGACAGACTTTATTTTAATTTTCTTTAAATTTTATTTTCTTCTATAATATTCTCTTTTTATTTTTTATTTTATGTCCTCAAATTTATTCATTTTCAAAATCAATGAAATGACAACATCGAGAAAGGAAATAAAAAAAAGAAAGGGAAATTTACAACAAAAAAATTCTCACTATTTATGGCAATGAGAGATCAATTTTTGAGCCCCAAAATTGACCGCGCAAAAGTTTAAAAAAACTTTTAAATTTTAATAAGAAAATTAAAAACAACTAAGGAGTTTTTTAAACAAAGATAAATACTATAAAATTACAAATCCAAAAAATAATTTAATTAATGGAAAATTTTATTCAATTTATTTCAAATAATCAACACAATTCACAACCCCCATCAATCACGAATTTATTATTTCTGTTGATCTTCATAAATATCCCTCAATGTAAGTATAAACTGAATAATAAACATTTGTAAACGTAATTCCTCAGAATCTAAACTTTGTTTAAATAAAGGTTGGGGAAGGCCTGCACAAATAAGCATATTTTGTTGTTCTCTAACTGTCTTTTATAAAAATTTAGAATATTTTTAAACAAAATTATATTAAATATACTTCATCAATTCCTTCCAATATTCCTTTATCTATTTCTCGCTTTTTTTGATCTGTAAAATTTCCAGATTCGCGTAATTGTTTAATTTTGCTTTCTCTTTGTTCCCAAAATTCTCTTTAAAATTAAAAAAATATTTTCCCAAAAAAAAAACAAAAAAATAATCACTTTTCTTTCAAATCCTGTAAATCACTAAGGGATTCCAAAATAGAAAAAACAGTTCCATCAACTAAAGAATCTATTAAACTATCACGAGTTTCTTTATTGGAAATTCGAGCTTTTGTTGTTTCATTTAACTTTAAAAATAATTTAAAAACTAATTCTTCTCTATTCAAAACCTTTTCAGAATTAGAAGTTAAAAATTCATAAAGTCTCATTGCAATTAATTCTTTACGTGTTAACATTACTAATATTTTTTATTATTCTTTAAATAATTTAATGACGATGATCAAAACAAAAATTTGGAGGCCGTTGATCTTGCCAATTAGTTTCGTTAGCTTCCAAAAGAAAATTTAATTCTCTGTCTTGTTCCGGTACTTCTTTTGGTGGTATTGGAATATCGTCCTTTAAAATGCTAATTAATAATAATCACATGACTAGAGGCAATAGGTAACAAAGAATAATCGGAAAACTGAAAAAATCTACATACTGAGTATTTTTACAATATCTCCAGGTCAGTCCAGGATACCAAATTTCAAGAATCCTTTTTTATGGGACTTCATTTTAATATCAAAATTTTTTACCGCAGGAAGTTTGTGATTAATCCAATCGCGATCAATACGTTTTAACAGAAATAATTCAAAAACTTTGCTTTGATTTCGAACTTCTAAGGGCATAGAAACTTAATACAAAATATAAAAATAATGTTACAGACAAATTTAATAAAATAGCACATGTTAAAAATAATAATTTAAAATTTTATAATTAAACTGTTTTAAATTTTATCATTGATAAATTACAATAAATAAAAGCAATTAATTTTTTGAAAGATCACGGAAAATATTTAAATGAGATACATGTCATTTTTGAATGATTTTTGGTAATTTAAAATAATTTTGAAAAAAAAAGAAATAAATTATTGGCAAAGAGATGAAGATTTTTGAAAAATAAACCAAAAAATAAATAAATCAAATTTAAAATGGAAAAAATGAATCAGCTTTAAATAAAAGAATGATTAGAGAAAAAAGTACTGGACTGTTTTTAAATTTTTATAAGCTAAACATTCAATTTTAATAAAGCATCCATTGCAGCGGCAACAGGTAATCCATAAGCAACAACAGATGCACCTGTCAGATAAGGCAATTTACATGAAAGTCTTGCTTTAACTATTGCTTCAGTAAATAATTTAATTGATTCTGTTTTGATGTTATTTTGAGTTCGTTGTATAGCATTGTGTTGACTAAAATAAATAAAATAATTAAATATTAAAAATTAAACCTTTTCGAGTTAATCATTTTTTTATTTTTTGATTTTGAATCATTTTTTGGAGAAGATTCCATAAAACAATATTCCATTAATGCCATAAAAAATCCTAAAAAATGACAAATTAAATTCTTAATTTTTTCTTCACAAACTATCAATTTCTCCATCAGTCACCATCCAAAGGCATCCAACAACACAAGGACAACGCGCAATTAAATATTCATAAAGTGAAGATCGACCATCAAATCCTGGACCTTCATCATAAATTTTAATACTAGAACAACCCATAAGTATAGAAACAGCATTACAATCAGTTTCACGAACTGTAGAGCGCCAATAACGACCACCACTTCCATGGCCAATATATCTATTAAAAATTAAAATTTATTTTGAAATAAAAATACAAAAAACTAACAAGAAAAGTTCGCTCTCAGTCAGCGCCAATCGAATTTGATCACCTAATTAATAATTTTTAAAATAATTATTACTTGAAATTATGTCAAAATATTAAAAAAAGAAAAATTATTAAAAAAACTCACGTGTTGGTACTTCACCAACAAGACCGGGCCAATTAAATTGTCCCACAAAATCAGTAATTCTTTTTTGAGTGTTAGATAAATCTCCAGATGGATTAAGAATATAAAAAGATTTTCTACCATTAACCATTTTAGGTAATTCCTTGATCTCCTTATTTTGAAAATATTAATTTAAATTTAAAAGGAAATCGAAATTACTTGTTCTAGGGTACAAAGATATTCAAAGATGTGAAATGAAGGAAGACGCATAACATAAGGACTTCGTTCAAAGATTGGCAAACACTCCCACGGAAGATGACTTAATTGAGGAGGCACAACAAGTAATGTATAACACTTCCTTGACGATTTTATACTTCCTTGTTTTATAATTTGAGCGATTCGTGACATTGTAGTGGGTGCAATGTCACGATTACTTTGTGTTTCGTTATCTCTCAAAAGTTTAGACAATCGGATCCACTCATTTTCGCTTATGTGGTGATAAAGTTGAAGAAGAAGCTAGAAATAAAGAGATTAAAAGAAAGATAGTTTAAAAAATCACCGTTAAAGTTGGGATAGAAAAAACTCCAAGGCCCATTAATCTTGTAACAACTCTTTCGTTATCTTCAAGATCAACTGCTGGAGGTAAAAGAAGTGGGGCAGCAGCACCAAGCCATTTATGTTGCAAATCTCCAATAAACACCTTTAAATTTTTCATTTAAAAAATAAAAAAATAAGCCCACTTTTAATTGCTCATCAAGCCTTTTCCTCTCACCCCAAAATGCTTTAGCTTTTTGTAAATCTTGTTCATTTGACTTCTTTTCAGGAAGTTTAATATGTAAATGTTCTTTATCTCTTTCAATCTCATTGTCAAGCATTTTACCTTCCCCGTTCTCATTTTTTTCATCAGACTCCTGAGGTATATTCATAGATTTTCTAACAGATAAATCACTAGATTCTAAAATTTCTGACATTTTTGCAAGCATAGGATCATCCTGAAAATTAAAATATACTAATCAGCTTTTTATATAAGAAAATAACCCTTTCTAGTTTACTAAGTCGAATAATAACAGGTTCAACTGATGCGTGACAACGTGTCATCCATAAAACATTTTCTTCATCAAGTGAAATATTCACAAACGTAATTTCTAAGGTAAATTGGAATTTAAAAGAAATTACAAAACATTTATTTTAATACCTGGAGGTAATCGTTCAATCAAACTTTTGAAGTGATCAGTATCTCTAAAAGTAAAATTGTGTGTGGGAGCAGGATCATTCGAATCAAGAACTTCTTGTTGTTGATTAATGTCTTTATTTGATTTAATTTTATGCGTCTTTTTGCGAAGTAAAAGTGTTCTTGCCAATTGGCGCATTGACGGAGCCATAGATTCAACATGATAAAAGGCCATTGTCCAAGGATATTCATGTGGCATATTGTTATAGGCATAAGCTCTCATAAATCTTGAATAACAATTTCTAATTAAAAAATGTGCACATCTCTGACGCCATTCCCTGAATATAATTGATAATAGAAATTAAAAAAATATTAACCTGAAAAATAAATTTCCATAATCAATGAGATCGTTGCGAGCTGCATTAATCTTGGTTGGGCTACAATTCGTAGATAAAAACTTATCACCATTTAATTGAACACGAGTAAAATGCCTAAGCAAAAGCCAAATTGCACGATTTGTTATTTTACAACTTGACTGTTTGAAAAGCTGAAAATATGCAAAAAATATCTGATAATAATTTCAGATTATTTTGCTAGTTTTTTTCTAAAATAGCAATAAAAAAAGACAAACATTCATTGCTTCATCCAAAATATTCTTGTCCTCCAAAACATTTCTTTCCCAAAGCATTTCTTCTGATCTCTCCACAAAACTCTGACAAATTGCTCGAAACAAATAATTAATTATTAAAGGTGGAATATGCTTAAAATTAATTAAATTTGTAAATAAGGTTTAAAATTATACATATTTACTTCATTATCATTTGGTTTTATAACTGGTAATGAATCCTCCGTTTGATCAAAGTTTATAATTCCATTCAAAACGGGTGTTTTGACTTCTTTGCGTTTGTGAGCACTATTCACCGACCTTTGTACCGAATGATTTTCCTTTTCCTTCTGAAAATATTGTAAGACATATCATAAAGTTAACTGGGAAAACCTTTATATCTGTGCAAGTTCTTGTTGGTGTTCTTCCTCGCCTTTTTGGTGTTACAAAAGGGTTATCTTCAATGACACATTTTGTTGCTGAAAAAATCAAATTTATATTGCATTATATTTATATTTAGGAAATAATATGTTAGAAATTGTTAGAAAGTTTTGTAGCGCAGTTAGTATTCTAACAAAACATACCAAAATCTCTCGGCATTTTAAACGGATTAGTTGACTGGTTTGAATTTTCATTAAGACTTGTTAGCAAAATTTGACGCAGTGATTGAACCTACAAAAATTACAATAATTTTAATTTTTTAAAATTACTTTATGAATGTAGTTGTTGTATAATGTATCCTTGAAAAGTTGAAATTGTGTTGGAGTATTACGCCGGAACAATAATGTTAGACGATCCAATTCCAATGCCATTGCCCAGTTTGATACTCGACTAACACAGAAAACACAAAAGCAATCAGAAACATGTGTTTCCAAATTAAAATGCTTCCTTTAAAAACGGTTTTGATTAAAAAAGTCACTTCAAATATAAAATCACTTTGTATTTACTGACCGTCAACAAGAAATGTATTTAAAAGATAAATTAAAACTTAACCTATCTTTATTTGCTCCTTTATGAATATTCATTGAAGATAACTCTTGAGTAAGCAGATCATCATCAAAATTATTATCAGATGCATTAGTTTCCAGATCAAACGAGTCATCAACAGCCGAACCTCTACGAAAGACTGATGGTCTAAAATCAATTTAAGATAAAATAAATGGAATTTAAAAAGATTTACCTAATATTTCGTTTGGGAGTTGACAAATAATGATTGAATGAGGAAGTCGCTGGAGTAAGTAATGCTTGAAGACATTGAGCTAGTTTGTCCAACACATGAGAATCATAAGCAATTGAAGATTTTAAAAAGAAGAGAAAAGATAAAGAACGAAGAGTCCTATAAACATGAAAATGGTGAAAGTAAAAAATTTAAAAAGATCACCAATAAGCGTTTCCGAAAATTAAATTGTTTCGCCACAAAGCAATAGAAGAACTCTCAGCTTCTCGAAGTAAACCAACATCCCAGCAATCCCAACAGTAACTAATGCTGATTTCCATGTAGTCGACAAATGCCATACAAAATTTTACTGAATGCAAAGAGTTAACATAGATTTAAAAATTTTCAGAAACATACAAAATCCTTCAGGTGATTTCATTTTGTTTTGAATCGGTGAAAAGTTCCCTCTAAAATAATCAGAATCATAAGTACGCAAGATGAGTGAGGCATGCGATACTTCCATTTCGCGTTGATAAATTGGATCATTATACTATTTTGTATTATAATAACAAACATTTATTTAAAATATAAACCTTTTTGATATCAGAATTTGGTAATCGACTAGAAAGAACGAGGACAGAGCGAAGAATTGATTTTGATTGAGTGTAAAGAAAAGTTCTCCTATCATCTTTACAAACTTCCGCGAGTTTAGCTAGTACTTCATCAGCTATAAGTATCTATCCAAAAGAACGTTTAAAAAATTTTCAGTTTGATATAAACACACCTGTTTGTCTGCATTCGTTTCTGTATGGAATCGATAGACAAGGTCAAAACATTCCAAAATAAGTAAATATCCAGCAGTAAACGGAGCCTTCCGTATATTTGGTTTTTCTTTCTCTAAGAAAATTCCAAGTAGTTGCCAGTCCTCCAAACGATAAGAAAACATGAAGCACACTAACCTACAAGTTACATCCTCAAAATTACAAAACTTTAAATGTTCCCATGCACAATAAATAGCCTCATAATACTAAAATAAACTTTTAATAAACAATAAAAAATAAACAAAACTTTTGCTTCGAGTAGACAAAAACCAATAATGAAGTGAACGAGAAAACGGCTTGCTTGAATTGCTTCGCGAGTTATAGGATGATAATTCTGCCGTAAACTTTGAATCAGATCTACCCAAGCTTTGATCAATTCCTGTTTATTTAATAAAATTATTGAAATAATGGTTATGTGAAAATGTATTATACAATATTTTAAATTGCTTAACAAAAAAATAAGCAATCCATCAGAGGTTAATAAATCAAACCTCGAGACTAGTGGAGCACCTTTCACATGATTTTGCAAAATTTACACACAAGGAACAATGTTCATCAATTCTGTTTAAATTGAAAAAGTCGTCTTTCACGAAATTTTCAGCGTCGGGTGAAGCACAGCATTTTTCAAAAATCTAAAATGTCATTCAATTAAAAACGAAGCTAAATAAAATTCTGTCTGGAAAAATCAGTATTTCAGACAAGCCGTTAATCGGGATGGGGAAGGAGGCATAAGGCAGTATACGAAAACCTGGGAAAACCTTATAAAACTAAATCGAAAACAGTTTACCTTTGTTTGTGTAAGGCCAAGAGTGATAACATAACGGTTAATCATTTTTTGACAGTTTAAAAATGCCTGATGTTTCTTAATTGATGGCGTGCCATTAACCGAAGAATCAACAGATATATTCTCAGTCATTGAAATAAAAGTAATTTGAAAAATAAGCTGAAAAATTAAAAAAAATACACAGTTCAGGAATAAAAATAAATATTGAAAAAACAATTAAGGTATTTATGAGAATATAGTAAAATTTATTATTCTAAAATATATATTTAAAAAACAACAGTAGATATATATTAACAAAAACAACCAAAATGCTCACATCAATCATCAAATTTAATAGAATTAATCGAAGTGTCGATCTTACCACCAGAATAGCTTCCACGTTTCTTTTTCGTCTTCTCATGTCGAAAATTCTTACCGCTCAAATTTTTGAAATCTTTTGCAGCTTTAGCACCCCAAGAATTTGAAGTAAAAGAGGAATTCGTAGTTCTAGACGAATTGTTCACATCAGACTTTGAAGTACCATTGGACATAGTATTTTTAGTCGCTAAAACTTCACCAGAACTTTCCTCGAAAGATAAATCATTATTCTATAAATTATAATAAGACATAAAAAGCAAAGTTATAAAACCTTTAACGAAAGAGTTTTGGCTTGTGCCTTCATAATAGTCTTCGTATCCTTGACTGGAATATCCTCATCATCAGAACTGTCTTCAGAAGAAGAGGATTTTCGATTCTTATTATTAGTTCCTGACAAATTGTTTCCAACCGTTTTTGAAGCCATGGAATTTTTTGACGCCGGAACATTATCAGAGCTATCCTCGGAAGATGAACCCTTATTCTTAAATTAAAATAAAAAAACAAGATAATGGATGAAACCTTTAACGGCTTCTTAGTTGGTGGTTTTAAAACGGTCTTCGTATCCTTTACTGGAATATCGTCATCAGAACTATCTTCAGAAGAAGAGGATTGATGATTCCTTTTGTTAGTCCCAGACAATTTGTTTCCAACATTCTTTGCAGTAACCGCAGTAACCTTGGCCGTGGATTTTTTGGAAGCCGAAATATCATCAGAGCTATCCTCAGAAGATGAAACCTTATTCTATAAATTAAAATAAAAAACTAAATATAGATAAACCTTTAAAAGCTTCTTGGTTGGTGGTTTTAAAATGGCCTTCGTATCCTTGACTGGAATATCCTCATCATCAGAACTGCCTTCAGAAAAAGAGGGTTCTCGATTCTTAATGTTAGTCGTAAGCAAATTGTTCCCAATAGACTTTGAAGTAACATTGGCAGCAGATTTTTTAGACACCAAAACATCATCAGAGCTGTCCTCGGAGGATGAGCCCTTATTCTATAAATTACAATAAAACAAAAAAATCAAAGGAATGAAACCTTAGAAGAAAGAGTTTTGGTTTGTGGCTTCATAATAGTCTTCGTATCCTTGACTGGAATATCCTCATCATCAGAACTGTCTTCGGAAGAGGATTTTCGATTCCTAATGTTAGTCGCAGGCAAATTGTTTCCAACCGTTTTTGTAATAACCTTGGCCATGGAATTTTTAGACGCCGGAACATCATCAGAGCTATCCTCGGAACATGAACCCTTATTCTTAAATTAAAATAAAAAAAAACAAGATAATGAATTAAACCTTTAACGGCTTTTTGGTTGGTGGTTTTAAAATAGTCTTCGTATCCTTTACTGGAATATCGTCATCAGAACTATCTTCAGAAGAAGAGGATTTTCGATTCTTAATGTTAGTCCCAGACAACTTGCTTCCAACAGTCTTTGAAATATCCGCAGTAATTTTGGCCATGGATTTTTTAGGAGCCGAAATATCAGCAGAGCTGTCCTCCGAGGATGAATCCTTATTAAAAAACTAAATATAGATTAGAGCCCGGCTCGATACGATATTTTTTCGATATTTTTCGGTATTTTTCGATATTATCGAAAAAATATCGACCGAGAAAATTTTGACTTTTTCAATATTCGGTATTTTTCGATATTTATCGAAAAAATATCGACCAAAAAAATTTAAAAATCGAAACAATCGACCGACCAAATTACAAAAAATCGAAAAAAAATCGAACGTCATTTTTGACAAAAATTTGAATTTTTGAGCCAAAAAGGATGCATTTTTGCTTCATGCCCGTTGGAAATTCAAAAAATTTTCGCCTGCGGCGCAAAAATTTTGCAACTTGACCTTCTGAGATTCACATAAGATTGTTAAAATATCCTTTCTTGTCCCATTAATCTATAATATTCCCTCGATATCCCTACATAGCACATGAATTAAGAAGGATTTAGGTATATTCAGAGAGATTTCAGTGGGTTAAGAGTGAATTAAGAGTAATAAGAGTGGGCTAAGAGTCCCACCAAAGATTTGGTTGGATATTTGATATATCCAAGGATCATGACGGATATTGTGGATATCCGGGATACTCGACTATTTTTATAACTAATAGAGGATCAATTGGATAAAATGGATCTCAAGGGAGCTTTGGCAGAGATGGATATCAAAACAGATATCAAATGCCAAGATTTTTATCCTATGATATCTCTTTATACACCGATAACTTTCTTAATCCACAAATCCCTTAATATCCCTCCTGCTCTCACAAATCCACAATATCACTCTTACCAACACTAAATCTCTCGATACACCCTCAGTCCTTCAATATCCCCCTTAATTCTTTAAAATCGTTTATTCCTAGTTAAAATCCACTTATATCCCACTTGATCCTTCGATATCAAATACAATTCCATTGATATTACATTTAATACGTCCAAATCCACCTATATCCCATTTATCCCATCAATCTTAATCTCATTAAACTATTAGGTCTATTCTGTTATTCGTTGGTTATAGCAAAATTTTTAAAAAATCGAAAAATATCGAGACTTTTTTTTCGATATTTTTCGATATTCGGTATTTTTCGATATTTATCGAAAAAATATCGACCGAGCCCTCCGTCAGGGCTCTAATATAGATAAACCTTTAAAAGCTTCTTGGTTGGTGGTTTTAAAATGGCCTTCGTATCCTTGACTGGAATATCCTCATCATCAGAACTGCCTTCAGAAGAAGAGGGTTCTCGATTCTTAATGTTAGTCGTAAGCAAATTGTTCCCAATAGACTTTGAAGTAACATTGGCAGCAGATTTTTTAGACACCAAAACATCATCAGAGCTGTCCTCGGAGGATGAGCCCTTATTCTATAAATTACAATAAAACAAAAAAATCAAAGGAATGAAACCTTAGAAGAAAGAGTTTTGGTTTGTGGCTTCATAATAGTCTTCGTATCCTTGACTGGAATATCCTCATCATCAGAACTGTCTTCGGAAGAGGATTTTCGATTCCTAATGTTAGTCGCAGGCAAATTGTTTCCAACCGTTTTTGTAATAACCTTGGCCATGGAATTTTTAGACGCCGGAACATCATCAGAGCTATCCTCGGAAGATGAACCCTTATTCTTAAATTAAAATAAAAAAAACAAGATAATGAATTAAACCTTTAACGGCTTTTTGGTTGGTGGTTTTAAAATATTCTTCGTATCCTTTACTGGGATATCGTCATCAGAACTATCTTCAGAAGAAGAGGGTTTTCGTTTCTTGATGTTAGTCCCAGACAAATGGCTTCCAACAGTCTTTGAAGTATCCGCAGTAATTTTTGCTGTGGATTCTTTAGGAGCCAAAATATCAGCAGAGCTGTCCTCCGAGGATGAATCCTTATTCTATAAATTAAAATAAAAAACTAAATATAGATAAACCTTTAAAAGCTTCTTTGTTGGTGGTTTTAAAATGGCCTTCGTATCCTTGACTGGAATATCCTCATCATCAGAACTGCCTTCAGAAGAAGAGGGCTCTCGATTCTTAATGTTAGTCGTAAGCAAATTGTTCCCAATAGACTTTGAAGTACCATTGGACATAGTATTTTTAGACGCTAAACCTTCATCAGAACTTTCCTCAGAAGATAAATCATTATTCTATGAATTATAATAAGACATAAAAAGCAAAGTTATAAAACCTTTAACGAAAGAGTTTTGGCTTGTGCCTTCATAATAGTCTTCGTATCCTTGACTGGAATATCCTCATCATCAGAACTGTCTTCAGAAGAAGAGGATTTTCGATTCTTATTATTAGTTCCTGACAAATTGTTTCCAACCGTTTTTGAAGCCATGAAATTTTTAGACGCCGGAACATTATCAGAGCTATCCTCGGAAGATGAACCCTTATTCTTAAATTAAAATAAAAAAACAAGATAATGGATGAAACCTTTAACGGCTTCTTAGTTGGTGGTTTTAAAACGGTCTTCGTATCCTTTACTGGAATATCGTCATCAGAACTATCTTCAGAAGAAGATTGATGATTCCTTTTGTTAGTCCCAGACAATTTGTTTCCAACATTCTTTGCAGTAACCGCAGTAACCTTGGCCGTGGATTTTTTGGAAGCCGAAATATCATCAAAGCTATCCTCAGAAGATGAACCCTTATTCTATAAATTAAGATAAAAAACTAATAAAGAGAATAACCTTTACAGGCTTCTTGGCTGGTGGCTTCAAAATAGTCTTCGTATCCTTGACTGGAATGTCATCGTCATCAGAACTATCACTAGAAGAAGAGAGCTTTCGCTTTTTAGACATAGACAGAGATTTCATATGATTCAGTAGTAATCTTTTTGATAATCAAACTATAAAACTTTAATTTAAAATAGTCAAACAAAAGTAATGTCGTTCGTGCCTGCATAAACTAGTTACCTAATCTATTGGAACCACTTAAATATTTATTGTTACATCAATAAAGGACGGTCCTTCGCAAAGTCAGCACACTACTGTGCAATTTGCGACATACGCCTCTTGCGGATTCAACAATCGCTAGGTTTTGTACCAGTAACATAAGCATTCTTTACGAATAAATGGGTTGTGTAGCTGCGATTCTTGCGACTAGATGGGGTGTGTTGTTAAAGTTGCTGTACGACAATTGCGGATGCGACAATTGCGAACGACAATTGCGGATATAACAATTGCGGGTTTTTTAGTTAATGACCGACCATGTAATCGCGAGGTCTTTAAGCTCGCGTCACTTAGTCGCCAACGTTAAGAACGCCCTCCTCCCCCCATACTTGTTTCATTTTTTAAACTCATTTTTACAAAAAATTTAGATACAGAGATTTGCTTAACAAATGTAATGCCAACTTTTCTAAATTTAACTCCTTTCTGCAGCCGACTTCTGTGTGTTGTTTTACTCTGCTTTTCTTTGTTTATTTTTGATTTATCCGTGACAGTTTTATCACTTGGATTTTATGATGATCATCGCCCTTTCTCTAATCTAAATATATCTCGAATATGGGACTATATATCGTTAAAAGGTAGGTATTTTAATTTCTGATTTTAAATTAATGTACATATCCATTACAAAATTTTCCCTTAAATTATTTAGATGGATATTCTTTCATCTCTTCGCCATTTGATTTTTTACCTTTACTCCTGCTTAGATCTCTTCTTCTATTTTTTGTTCCGGTTATATACGTTCGCTCTCCTACTCTTCAAAGAGACAATTCAGAAGAAATATTTCCAAAATTTTTAAATTTTTTTCTAATTGGACTCCAAATCTGCAACTTTTCATTTTCTCTCATCAAATTACTTGCTTTTTCTGAATTTGAAAAGCAATTGCATTTTCTTGGTGTTTGGCTAAGTATTATTTGGAATATTGTTTCATTTATTTGTGTCCATGCTTTATACGAATTTTGTTTGTTTCGGAAACTTTGGTAAATATTTTAAAATTTTACAGTTCTTTTAAATTTCAGTCTTTCTCGTTATTCAAATGTGGATTCAACTTCGGTTTATCATCCATTGCTCAATAATTTTGATAATTTAAATGTAAATAATGGTGGTACTTCCTCAGATTTTTCTTCTTTAAATGGGCATCAACAAAGCTCTAACCTTTTACCTCTTCGTGTTTCTACCTGGGAACATATTCGTTATTTGCTTGGTTATTGTTTATATGTTTGGAATTGGCTCCTTGTTGGATTTTTATTTTTGGTTATTTATGCCTCTGGTATAAAATTCTTTTTCGAATTTTTTCAAAAATACTTTTTTCAGCTAGAGTTTTTGTACCTCTTTACACCGCTCAAGTTATTTCGGGTATTGTCCATACAAGGGATGTTCATCAATTTTTCGAATCTGTTTTATTTATGTCTTTGCTTCTTTTAGTATATTTTTTACTTTTCATTTATTTCTTCATTAAATTTAATTTTTAGATTGTAACTCTTTTCGGTGGTCTTCGTGCTGGAACTCTTAATTACACTACTGCACAAATTAATCTTTTAATGAGAAGAGATTTATTTAGTTCAATTATCTCTCAAGAAATTGCTTTCTTTGATCAAGCACAGACAGGCGAAATACTTTCTCGTTTAATTTCAGATTGTGAGGTAAATTTAATCTTTAGAATTTTTTTCTTCCAATTTATTTTTAAAGACAATGTCAGCAACAATATCTACAAATGTGAATATTTTGCTAAGGAATGGTTTAATGGTTATTGGATCAGTTGTTTTTATGATGGGAATGAGTTGGCGTTTAACTCTTTTAACTGTTATTGTGATTCCTCCAATCACATTTTTTACAAAACTTTACAGTTCTTATTATGATGTTAGTTTTTATAAAATAATCAGACAATCCTTTTCTTTAATTTAATTTATTCAGTTATTTCCTTTTAGAGTTTAAGTGAAAAAACACAAAAAACAAAATCGGATGCAAATCGTGTTGCCGAGGAGGTTATAGGGTGCATGCGAAATATCCGTGCATTTGCTTCTGAACAAAAAGAGAAAGATCGTTTTGGATGGCATTTATTTAGAACGCTTGAAATTAATAAGGTTTAAATTTTAATTTCCTTTTAGTTGTTAAAAATTTTTTAGAAAAAATCTATGGCATTGGCTGGATTCCAATGGGTTAATGAATTTGCAAATAATTGTATTCTTGTAGCTATTCTCTCTTATGGCGGGCATTTGGTTCTTTCTGGACGAATGACTGCTGATCAAATGTATGTTAATTTTCTAAAATTTTCCTCAAATAATTTTTTGTTTTTTTCCAATTTGTATTTTAATTTCTAGGCTTGCATTTATGTTATATCAATTACAACTTGGAGAGAATTTTTATATGTTGAACAGTGTAGGGACTAGTTTAATGGAATGTGTTGGAGCTTCGCGTAAAGTTTTTGAATATATAAAGAGAGAACCAAAAATAAAATTAGATAAAGGAGAATTGATGCCAGAAAAGGTTTTTTTTGTTTTTTAAAGTTTTTGTTAAAAAGTATTTAAGGTTCTTGGAAAAATTGATTTTTGTCAAGTTGGTTTCTCTTATCCTACACGACCAAATACTCACGTTTTAAAGGTTAATTATTTTAGAAAAATTTAAATACTTACCAATTTGTTTAAGGATCTTTCTTTTTCAATTCTTCCCGGTGAAGTTGTTGCTCTAGTAGGACCAAGCGGTGCTGGTAAATCAAGTATAATAGCTCTACTGGAACATTTTTATGAACCACTTTTTGGTCAAATTCTTTTAGATGATTATCCAATCGAACAATATGAACATAAATATTTTCATAAAATTGTAAGAATAATTTTTTAATTTTAAAAAGTTTTTGTTTTAGGTTTCGTTAGTTTCTCAAGAGCCAACTCTTTATGCTTGTTCTGTTCGTGAAAATATTTTATATGGATGTGAAGAAAATGAATATACATTAGATGATGTGATGAAAGCTGCAAAATTAGCTAATATTCATAATTTTGTAATTAATAGTGAATTTGGGTATGAAACAAAATGTGGAGAAAATGGTGTTCAAATGAGTGGTAAAAATAAATATTTTTTTGGAAACTTTAAAAGAATTTAAAAATTATAAAGGTGGTCAAAAACAAAGAATAGCAATTGCTAGAGCACTTGTTCGAAACCCTGTTGTTTTAATTTTGGATGAAGCTACTTCAGCTTTAGATTCTGAAAGTGAACATGTTATTCAAGAATCTATAATGTTATGTAAAAAAGGTAGAACAGTTATTTTAATTGCTCATCGCCTCTCTACTGTTGAAAGGGCCGATAGAATTATTGTTTTAGACGAGGGGAATATTGTTCAGGTTATTTGGTGTTAAAAAAGTGAATTTAATTTTGTTTCATATTTTTTAGATGGGTTCTCATTCTGAATTAATGGAACAACCTGAAGGTCTTTATAATAAACTTGTTAAAAGGCAATTATTGGGAAATGCAAATAATAATGATTAAAAATTTAAAGCTTTAAGTTTACGGAAGAGTACATACTATAATTTGTTTAAAGATTAATATTTAAAATCAGTTCGAGAATTTGAAAAAAGATGAAATTTCTACATAAGTTTTTCTATTTTTCTAATAAATCCTGCTTTAACTGAAATTATTACTTCAATATTATACCAAAACTCGAACTGATTATTGGGAATAAATTTTTTTAATTGATCCTCGATCTAGTCAGTCTTTGGATCTGTGCCGCATTTTATATTATTCTTTCATGCCACTTTAATTTTTTAGAATACCTAAATTTGTAGAAAATTTTATTTTAAAATAAATTTTTGTTTTTATGATTTTATTAGAATAACGGATAATAACGGCAATCTATTTCAGTGAAATTTGTTTGTATAATTTAAAGTGCAAGATTGCTTTTAATAAAAAAATTTTTAAGCTTACATCCTTATGGTTTCCTCATATATTAAAGTATTTATAAAGTAGCGACATTTTTATTTGAATAATTATTATTAGAGCTTTTAATATTACAAATTCAATAAAAATTTTAATATTTTTGGATTATTTGTATTTAAAAATTTAGATTTGGTTAATTTAAAATTATTTTCCTCATTCTAATTTTTCAAGGCATAATAAATTTTTCATCATTAACTATTTTGGATGTACTTAAAGTAGATATTTTCTTTTTATTCTCCTCAATTTTAATATTCTCTAATTCTTCAGCCAATTTTTTTGTTATTTGCTCAAATTTTATTGCATTGTAGGAACCCCAAATAATCGAAAAAATCTTCAGTTGAAATAAAAATATTAGCCCCAAAACTACAAATCCATTTAATTTTTCAAATCGATATTGTTGATCTATTGAAATTTTAACTGAAAATAATTTAAATTAATTTAAAAATAAAAATAAATATTTACAAGAATATCCCTTTAAAGTATTCAAAAATGTTTCGAAAACAGTCATTGACATAATAAAAAGAAAATTGCTGTTAATAAGTATTCCAATTGCCTAAAAACACTAATAGTTTTTTAATGTTCTAAAACAGAATTTAAATTTTTAATTTAACCCAAACAAATTAATTTAAATAGGGTATATTATTTAGTGGGGCATAATTTTATTATATTTTATCCTCTGTAAAGGTATACCACCTATACACCTAATTTTCTTCCAAAAATTTTTTTGAAATTTAAATTTCTTTTTTTTACTTGAATAATAATAAAAGGCCAAAGGAAAGCAGCAATTCTTGCAAACAAAGCAATAATTACAAAAACATTTATAATTACAAAAAATGTTGTTGTAAGGAATACTTTATCTGTAAACATTTCATCATTTAAAAATTGACTCGATTTTGAATGGAGAACAAAAATTAAAATTGAAGATAAAATACAAAAAACGGATATAAAGAATGTTGCATCCTTTTAATTAAAAATTTATTTTTGTAAAATTTTTAATTAATTTTAAAATACTTCAACAGATGTTCTAAAGCAGAAAAATGAACATTTAAATTTTTCACGACGAGCAGCAGAAAGTGGATTTAAAATATTTGATTGTGACGACATTTTCTTAAGAGAAATTAAAGAAAATTAATATTAACTAAAAATTAAAATTAATTTTTTATCAAACTTCTCAAATAAATTTTAACTAAACCTTAAATTGAAAGAAATTTAAAATAATAAATGTTGTGAATAAGAAAGACAAAATATGGGAGGGAATTAATATTTGTATTTAAGAAAATGTCAATGTAAAATGCTAAAATTTGAGTGAATCAACGCCTAAATAAATTTATTTTTAATGTTAAAAATAAAAGGGCACAGAAATGGTAGAATTTTATTTAAATTTCACAAATTCTATTTTGCCTTTTGGAAAGTTCAAAATTCAAAAAAGGATAAGTTATTCAATAAAATTTTTAAAATTTAATTATACAATTTACTCGCAAATACCGACAAAAACACAAATAATATCCAAAATAATATTCAAAAGAGTATCTTTTCTATAATTTTAAGTATCCATTTTTATTTAAAAATTTTGTCCCCTATAAAATTAATTTTCTTCCTATAATCACCCTCACATTTAGGCAGCTTTCTCAAGTTCAATCAACTTCTTCACACCGTCGTACATCTGCTTGACAGCTGAAAATGAAAAAATAAATTCTTTAAAATTTTAAGAAAGTAAACATATTTTGATTATATTTCAGATAAACTATAATCATTTTATAAATTAATTTACCCTCAAATTCGGTAAGCCCAAGGCGAGCTTTGTTAGAGATGTCGTAGACGCCACCCTCAGTCTCCGAATGCTCACCGTGAATACCCCGAATTTGCAACTTCATCTCATCACAGATCCTTAAAAAACAGTTCAAATATTTCTCTTGAAAATTTAAAACTTTTTGAAATCTGGTTTAGCGCTAATCTTCGGCAATTTGATATGTACGGAGGCACGAACAGTTGTTCCCTTAAAGGCAAATCAAAATGCTACAGCAGATTCAAAGCAAACCAAGTTAGAAGGGCAAAAAGTAAGCCACCCAAGACGATCATCACGAGAGAACGGGACTTTTGTCTCAATCGCCTTAACTCCTTTGATCAATCGCTCAAGCACTTGCCCAACATTGCCTCCATTTTGCATAGAAATAATTCGGAGATGATCCTCCTCATTCACCCAAACAAGGAAAGTCTAAAAAATTTAAGTAAAATTAAATAAAAATTTTGTTAGATTAGCCTTCTTGTCATTATGGTAAATACCACGTCCCGTTGGCCAGTAACGACAAGCATTCGCGGCTTGCAAAAAGCGATCTCCTTCTTTGAACAGGAAATGATCCTTGATCAACTGGGTTTGAACTTCTTTGGTCATCCCCTCCAAAGGATAATAGGTCCCACCAAGCTCGGGATCTGAATATTAAATATAAATGAAAAAATAAATTGAAGAAACTCACCAGACTTAAGCTGGTCAAAGACAGCCTTAACTTTGTCCTGCATTTCTGTATAGTTTTCCTTGGTTAAGCATGGATTGAATGGATATCCCTGCAAAAGAAAAATAAGTTTTCAAATATTTATACGAGAACTTGAAGAGAACGGCCACAACGAACACGAGTCGAGTTGATGAATTTACCCTCAGGATCCAGGTCAGGCAAAAGCTGAGTCTTTCCTTCACCCAAATCAGTTTGGGGCTGCTTCTGGTTAGGTCCAAATCCATTGTGATAGTCCTGAAAAAAAAGTAAAATGTCTAGAAAACTTAAAGAGCAACTTGAATAATCGGGTCAAAAAGCGGTTTGAAGAGAGTGTAGGACTCAGCATCAGGCGCATAAACACCAACACCGCTATCAAGATTCGCAACCCCAGACTGGATTACATCAAGCAAGTTCGCGCCAAGTTTAGTTTTGAGCCCTTTACATTGGTCCATAACTTCTTTAGTGAAGTACTTCTTGAGAAGAGACTTGCACTCCGGCGCCTCCTAAAAATTGAAAAAGAATTTACTCTCAAATGCCCTTACAGTACCTGCAACTTTTTGTATCCAGCTTCAATTTTCTCGACCACATCGGGAGGAACAGCCATGGTTGCTTTGTTTGTAGAAAATAAGCGTTTTAATTGTCTAAAAATATTTCCGTAAATTAAAAAGAGAGGAATTTATGAAGGAGAAATAAGAAAAAATATATGTACATAATTGTTTAAACAAAGTTTGCATATCAACGTATTCACTTGCTTTAAAAAGATTGAAGGGAAGGGGTAAGCAACCACGTCTACTTATGAAACAAAAAATGAAAACTATCAAAAGTAGGAAAATAAAATCAAAATGTAAACTTTCAGAAACTGGGATTTATACAATTTGTCTTGAATATCCCCCCCCCCTCTCCATAATCGTTACAAAATTCATGATTAACGTAAAAAGAGTATATCGAGAATAAATAAAAGTGAAAACTTTTAGAATGATGGGGTTAATAACAAGTGAGAATAACAAGTTGCTGATATTTTCTCTACAAAATGTACAAGAGGATTATAAATTTTTAGTAAAATTCATTCATTTTTGATGGGGATAGAAAAAAGCGCGACAGGGAAAAAATGAAAATTTGAGAAGAGGAAGAACAACTGACGATCCCCATTGACTGACTACAAAGAATTTTTATTCTCTCCTAACAGTCTAGTCTCGCAAGAGCAAAAATATTAAGTGCAACCTTTTAGACTGGCCTTTTAACCTAACAAGAGAGGTGAAATCCCATCCTCTCTTCCAATTCTTAACAACGCTGTGTGGTACATTGGAAAGTTTTTTTGTTTTTGATAATTTCAATGAAAAATAACTAAAAGGGGACTATGTAGTATTTGTTTTAATTAAAAGTGTATTTATTTGTTTACTTCCACATATTTGGGGTAATTTTTTAATCCCCCAATTCCATTCTCTATTTAAATTATGTAGTATCGTTACCATGGTATCTTCATGAAATCTAAAAGCTTTTACTTACAACAAGAGGGTATTTAGCTTAAAAGGAAAATAAACAGTAATTAACAAACAAAGAACATTCATCAAAATAACTGTGCAGAAACAGCATAAAAAAGGATTTTTCTAAAAATTTTGAATTGAATTTCTTTTACTTAGTCCTCATAAGTTTTTCTAGTTTTACAGTTCTTTAACGTAGTTAGATTGACTTTAAAAGTACCTAATTTTCTCGAAAAATACTGATTTGAGTGTTATCAATTTCAAAAATTTAAAAATTTGTCCGATGGGACGATTTGTCATTTTATTGGCAACTTTTTTTTTATTTTTAGATTTTTCCGATTTTCTAAATTTCTTTTAATTATTTTCAGATTTTTATTAAAAAATGAATAATAACCAACAAGAATCTTCAACAAAACCAATAAAAATAACTTCAACAAAATTATTAAAACAAATAGAAGAACAACGAGAAAATATTAAACTTGCTGAGAAAAGGAAAAGGACTGTTTATGAAGCAATATGTGCACTTATTAAACCAGTTAATGAAAAAGAAATGTTTAATTATGTAAATAATTTTTTAAATAATTCTTTCAAAAAATATTTAAGTTGCAAGTGTTGGATTTACATTCGTGGGCAGAAGTAATTGAAGAACGTTTTTTGGGGAAAATATGTGGTTACCCTATTTGCGAGAATACTTTAACTATTGATTTTAGACGAAAATTTGTTTGGATGGAACGGGAAGGGAGAAGAGAGGTTTCTTTTGAAAATGATATTTTGAAAAAATTATTTAAATTATTTTGGGGAAATAATTGAGTGAAAATTAAAAAAAATTTTTTTTTAATAATTTTCCTTAAATTAATTTTTTAAAAGTTTTTACCACTCGAAGCCGAACCAAACAAATTTTGTTCTGATCGTTGTATGTGTCTTTCAAGGGCTATAGCTATTCAATTAGATACTGAAGAACAACAAATCAATTCTCTTCGTTTAATGTCAACAAAATTAAAAGAATTTAAATTACCCGAAGGGGATGAATGGAAAAATTTTTTGAAAATAAATAAATGTTTCGAGAAAGAGGTTTTTTAGAGAATTTATAAAAATTACAAAAAAATTTTTTTAGGAAATTTTAAAAACTAATGTTTATGTTGAAGCGCAATTGGTTAAAGGAATTAATGAATTGAAGGTTACAGATAATATAGAAGAATCTTCTAGTGATGAGGAGGAGGAAGAAAAAGAGGTTTTTTTTCTAATTTTTTAAAATGTAGGAGTGGGGAATGGATATCTCTTCTAATCCCTTTTTTAGGAAATTAAATCGTTGTTTTAAGAAAAAATTTGTTTTATGGAAAACTTCCTTTTTTTGTTTTATTCAACTGAAAATTAAAATAACCTCCAATTTTTATTTTTAGGACTCTGAAAGAGAAGAGGAACGATTTTTGGAGAAAATTAGGTCATTATCGGTTAATACAACAATTCAAAACAAAAACTCTCGGTGCTTAAATGGGGACAAAGAAAGTGTTGAAAATAATAATCAGAAGTCTAAAAACAGTCCAAAAGTTTAAAATTTTTTTGTTTTATTTAATTTATTTTGCAAATAAACGACTATCCAGAGCTAGGTATTTATAAAGGTTAATTTTGGTAGGGTGCAGAAACAGCAAATTTATTACCCCATGCTAAATAAAAAGTGGTACTTTCACTATGTAATTGTTGTTCCATTTTCGACCCATTGTTGGCTACCTGCTCACATATTTTGAAACATTGGTTTAAAATCAGAAAATCTTTATAGTTTTATTTCTCTTACATTTTTTAAGTGAAATATTTTATCAAAATGACAAAAAATTGTTTGAATACATGCTAATGTGAGAAAGTGATAAATTATTTATGTTAGGTACCGTATTTATTCTAATAGAATGGCCTCTTCAATAGAATGGCCATTTTTAGGGGTATTGAAAGATAGAATGGCGGCCAGTCTATTAGAATAAATACGGTATTAGGCCATGTCTATACATCTAAATTTAAGAATATTAATACTCGTAAAATTATTGGTCCTCTCTCATCAATATCCGGTGCTTTTTAAGAGCACAAATTAAGCTTTTTGAATTCTTCAATCATCGCCTGTATTTTAGCTTCAGTTTGGATTCTCTTATTTTCTTTTAATTGCTTTTGACGTTCTTTTGAAGTTTTTTCGATTTTAAGATCAATTGGTTGTCTAAATATTAAAGTTTTTAATTTTTTGAGTTTGTGCCAGAAAAATAGGAGGTTGTGGGGGAAATCATTAGGGCTATTCACCCCTTGAGATGAATATTTAAAGTATGGAGAACTATAAGTGTAACTTTTTCCCTTCCTCAGAGAATTATTTAAAATTTTATTCACGCATTTTTCTAAAAATCTACCTTTCCGGAATTGGAGATGTCCTATCCTTCTTGTTAATATATTCATCAACTAATTGCTTTTGCTCTTCATAAGACCAAGCGACAGCATTTCTAGCAACCAAAAATGGAAGTTCCGATTTTATTTTTTGCTCACAAAACAGAGGATCGAATATAGCCAATTTAACACCATGAAGTGCCTAAATGAAAAGTTTTTTGATTTAAAGGATTTACTCGATATACCGTAAAGAGTTGATCCAAATTTTGGTTGCATTGATGTTCCAGCATTATAATTAGCGTTAATAGAGATTTAAATTCTGAAAAAAAATTTATTAAATATACAAAGGGGAAAGAAGGAATGAGTTAATAAGTTTTGGTAATTCCTTTTGAAATTTTAGTTTATGTTCCCTTAGTAAATTGCCTTTCACGTTTAATAAAACAAAAAAATATATGGATTTTTCGCTACTTTTTTCAATAAAGAAGTTAGTTATTATAAAAAACATTTGTAAGTATCTGTCTCTCAACAATTTTATTATATAATGTAGTTTTGTTTAGAAAAATTAAGATATAAAAAATAACGCAACATTTCGGCCAAAGAGCCATTCAATAAATAAAATTTGAGATAACAATCTTTTTAAATGACAGGCGAGAAAATTTATTGGTTTTTTCAAAAGTAAAAAATATGTATCACAGTAAATATAAAATAAAAGTATTTTTTTTACAAAAAATTGATTAATCACACAACTTTTTCTTCCAATAATTTTTTTCTTTCCATTAACATTTTATTAACATTTGCTTTTTCTAAAACCTGAGCAATGGAGAATAAAGGGGTTGAATCACTAAAAATTCCGAATTTCTTTTAATTAAAAATAAATTCTAACTTTAATCCAAAATTTATTCTTTCAATTGTTTTTAAAAAAGATTTAGAAGCTGTTGGATAAAAAGAGAAAAGTGGGCAATTCCAAAGAGAATCCTCCTCTTCTTTTAACGATTTAATAGAATGTCCAAACCATTTAAGATTTTCTTCTTTTGATGTTTTTCTTTTTAAATCATCCTCTATATGAAAAATAACCGTAACATAATTTGATTCTAAAAAAATAAAAGAAAATAAAAATTTTTTTTATTTTTTGTATACCTCCTTTTCCTTCCTCTTCTTCTTCACCAATTGGAAATGTACAAATACACATACCAGACTTTATATAAATTGGAGTTTGTTCTTCATAAACAACACCACTTAAAATACAATTATCTTCTATAGTACAATTTGTATTTATTCTACACCATTCAAGAAAACTTTTTTGAGAAATCTAAAAAAATAAAATTTAGTCAGAATTAATATTTTCTTCTAATTTCTATTAAACAAAATTTTCAGTTAAAATAAATGAGAAACGAAAAATTGTAATGTAAATTAGGCAAAAATAAAAACTGTGGAAAAGGAGAAAAATTATTTTAAGTTAATTACATTTTCTGGTTTTTCTATTATGCAATTAGCCAAATTTCCAATTTCCCCAATATTGGGCAAAAATTTCTTTCTAAAAGCACTATTCTCATCAAAAAAATGTTCAAGTAATTCTCCAACAGTTCCAAAATGAAAGAATGAATTAATTCCCAAAGAGATAATTTGTGGATTTATTTTATTAAAAATATTCCTTTAAATTAATTTAAAGAAATTATTTTTTTGTTCTAACCAAAGAATTTGTTGCCATTTAAATAATTCAACATTTTTGTTCATAAAATGAATCATTTTTTCTTCATTTGGTGCAGATCCTATTGGACAAAGAAAATCTCGATAACAACATAATTCACAAATAACTTCTCCTTTAAAGAAAAATTTATAGAAAGGGAAAGTTTATATTCCAAATAAAAGATTTTAGGATGTACTAGAGAGAATTAGAGGTATTGATCAAAACTGAACGTTGATTCGAAAAATCGTCTTTTTCAAAATATGTACGGAAAAAGGCTCGAATTTATAAAATTGGGCGTGATAGGAAAGAAACTCTCCGAAAATATTGTAGTCGGCCACCCCGCAAGTTGGGGAATTTGCAGAAAAACAAAGAATGTCTCGTAAAATATCTATTTAAAGGACTTTTCTTCATTACGCAAACTTTTATTTAAAAATTTACCATTCTCTTTTCTATTTTTAATCAAATTTTCAACTAATTCCGGGCCAATAATATAGCAACTGTCAGTTAATACCGTCTCAAAAGGACTAAATTCATTTGGTTCCAAAATAGCTCCACAAACTTTCTTTAATTGTTCAATACTTGGTTTTTGTAAAACAATATAAACTTCTTTTAAAAAAGAAAATAAAATTAATTTCCCCTCCCCTTTTTTTACCTTTTTCTTTCAAAACATAAACTCCGTGTTGTGTAGCAACATCTAAATTTGATTGATGTGCTATCAAAAATAAAGAAATTTCTTTTGGAATATTTGAAATACAAAAATCATTTGGGAAATATTCCAAAACATCTGCTGAAGTAATAAACAAAAAACCGCCAAAATTTGAAAAAGAATTTAATAATTTTCTAAAAAAATAAAATTAAAAATATTTTTATTTTTTTAAACCTATAAGCAATTAATTTATGTTCAAATAAAGTTTTCCCATCAGGCATTAACATAAATGCTTTTCCAGTTAATGCAACATGAGGAATTCTTTGACTAAAAAATTTTAATTTTGTATTTTTAAATTAATTAATAAATACTAGTGATGTTCGAGACTCTCGGTCTCGACTCTCGAGTCGAGAAATTTCTCGGGTTTTTTGAGCTCTCGGTCTCGGTCTCGGTGTTTTGGTCTCGGAAAACGAGACTAAATTTACACCCCTAATGACGGAAATTTTTTGAACTTTACTCGGACCTTGCGTACTTTGATATTAAAATTTTTAAGGAAAAGTCTCCAAAATTCCCAAAATTTTGCCTGCGGCGCTGAAAAATGGAAGAAATCTGGCTTCTTGAGCTCCAAAATTCTCAAAATTTTCGCCTGCGGCGCTGAAAAATGGAGGAAATTTGGCTTCTTGAGCTCCAAAATTCAAAAAATTTTTGCCTGCGGCGCCAAAAATGCAGCAAAAATTTTAATTTAATAAGATTAAAGGATTAGATTTTGTGGTTTGTGGTATATTAGATACTGTGGATTCTGCAGGATAAAATTTAATATCAAGGGATGGGTGCATCGATGGATCAAAAAGATATTGTTGGATTTGTAGGGATATGGAAGGATATGAGGGGATTTTAAGAGATTAATGTGAATATCATTGAATATATATTGTGGACAAGGGGATTCAAGCGAGTATGGGGATTTTGAGGTATATCAAGGGATTTTTGGGGATTAGGAGGGACATCAAGTGATATCCCTCTTAATCTCTCGGTCTCGACTCTCGGTCTCGACTCTCGACTCTCGTTTTGGTCTCGGTCTCGGGGTTGATTCTCGGTCTCGGTCTCGACTCTCGGGATTTTTTGACTCTCGAACATCACTAATAAATACCTAAGGCCACCACTATGCAATAATAATAAACGAACATTTTTTAAATTATTTCCAAAAAGTTTTTCAAATATTAAAAGTGCATTAAGGGTTGCTCCACCAGAACCTTTTAAAAAATAAAATATTTAAAAGAATTTTGAAATGAAAAAACTAGATTTTAAATTGAGAGAAATTCGTTTAAAATGAAACGTATAGAATAGCCCGAAAAGTATTCTTAAATAGAATTAGTGGCCCGACCCGGTTCGAAGATCGAATAGGGCTTCGATTTTTGGCCCGAAAAAAATTCATCCGGCCCGGTTCGATAAAAATGGGGCCCCAAAAATGTCTCGAACGTCTACTTGATTCGAAAACCCAAACCCTATTCTTAAAGAACACATCTAACCCACCAAAAATAACCTCCTCACTCACAAAATTCAAGAACAAATATTTACGTAAATAATTCACCTATTCTCACCCCCTCCGGTTTGTCTGCCAAAACAACATATTCTTTACAAAAATTTCTTTCTTTCAAACGCAGATGTTCAAGTTGTTGAAGGAATATATTTCGTTGTTTTTCATTTCTTGCAGTTAATAAAAGACAATCCCATTTTGGAACATCTGTTGATTCATTTATAATATTCTTTTCATCTTTAGAATCAATTCTTTCAAGAAATTGTCCCATTTTTGTTTAATTCTTTAAAAAAAAATAATTTTTCAAAACAATTTTTGCCAACTCACTAAATGGGAGGAAAAAAGATGAATAAGTAGAAAAATGAACCATCAATAAATCGACGTGGAAAATAAAAAATATTTTTGAATAAAATTAAAGAAAAAGAATATTTAGAATATAAATCTATCCAGAATTTACATATTTAAATAAGAAATAAAAGAAAAAATTTACTTTTTTTAAATATAAATTTATTTAACAAACAATTATTTTTTTACCAATTAATTCTTTTCTTTCTCTTCAATTTCTTCTTCATTTATATTTTTGTTGGTTTTTGATGTTTTTTGAATTCTTTGATCGTTGTTATGTTTTTGTTGTTTTTTTTCGTTCAATAAATTTTCCTTTTAGTTCGTCTGTAAAAAAAGGAATATTAAAAATTAATTAAAATTGAAAATTAATTGAAGAGTTAAGAGGGAGAAATTAAATTTAAAAATAATAATTTAATATCCAATCATTTTATTTTTATCTCTAAACATCAGTCTATACTTCGTTAATTATAAGACTGAAGCAATTTTTACAAAATATAAACTAGAAATTTATGTTAGACTTTAAACATAAAACTTACTATTATTTAAATAAATAGGCCTCTCTCCATTATTCATCCGTTCAATATTTGTTCGACGTAAATCAGAAAGTATATCTTCTTTTAATTTTTGGTCTTGATAATCCTATAAACAAAACTTTTTAATTTATTACAAATTAAAAAATAACCTTTTGTTGATTTCTCAATCTTAACAAATTTCTTTTAATTCTTTCAATTTGTTTAGGATTACTTCCTTCTCTTTTTAATTGTTTATAAGCATTTTGGAGTTCCTTAAAAATAAAATTAAAAAAATATTAATAAATATAAATTACTTGAATATCTTTCTTCCTTAAATCTTCAATAAAAGAATAATCTCTGTGAAAAGCTATTTGGTCAAATTCTCCTGATGAAGCAGCAAAACGAGGATCAAAATGAGTATTTTTTGCTTTACGTACTTCTAAACCTCTAATTGAACGAAATTTTGGTAGAGGACGAGTAGATGACTCTACTCTAGGTCTCTATAAATATTTTGACAGAAAATAAAAAATTAATTTACATGGGTTCCGCCGCTCTTTTTTGATTGAATTTTATTTGAATTGTCTTCATTAAAGGAACTAATTGATTTTCCATACATTATTTTATTGAACAATTCCAAACCAATCTTTGATTTTAATTCTGCCAACTTTTTTAATGAGAACGAAGAGATTTCTGAAAAATTAATGTTACAAAATATAAAAGGATTTTGTTTCCATTTAAACGGAGCAGCTGACATAAGCTCAACATTTAAAAATTTAAGTGTACACTAACCAAACAATACACAATTATTTCTATACTTCGAAACTTTAACAAAACCTACTAGTTCGTAAAGCAGCTATCTCATCATCAGACATAGAACATTCTTCTTCAATGCCACATTCACCTTCCTCTTCTTGCTTATCATCCTCAATTTGTGGATCATCCTCCATCATTTGATCTTCAAAGCTAGACAATTCACTTTCAGACGAACTAACATTTTCATTTGCTTTGCAAATTTTTTTATTGACAGATTTAGGAGCAATTTTCATTTTTTGTTTTTCATGAAACCTTTAAAAATAGATAAAGAAATAACTCAATAAATAGTTTATTTATGAAATTAAAATATAAAACAGATACTAAAGTTAAAAAAGTAAATATAAAATAAAATTCAGACATTTAATTGAAATTTTATCCAATAGAGAATTTAAACTTTAAAACTCACAGACCAAAATATAATATTGTATAAAATAAAATCAATTTAATACCTCAATCACAATTCTTTCATTTTTTCTTCTTTTGTTGTTGTTTACTGCTAAAATTACCAATTCCCATAATACTCAAAAGTTCAGGATCGGCAGAAACTTCTTCCACATTATTCTAAAAAAATATTTTAAATAAAAATTATAAAATATAATTAAAACTTTAGCTGGTCTTTTTCGAATTTGTTCTTTTTGCCGTTCTCGTTGTTGACGTTTAAAATCAGCAAGTTTCGCTTCTTCCTCTTTTAAATCATTCTGCCTTTCTTCTTCATTATCGCGACCTTTAGATTCTTCTGAAAAAATTTTTAAAGATTAGGTATTTATAATTAAAAATACAATACTTTCAATCTTCTTTAATGCCAATCGTTCACGAACTTCATCAACTGTACTTTTCTTAACACGCATTGAAAAACCTAAATTTTTTTAAAAGTACATAAAAATAAACCTAAAATATACCCAAATTTCTTTGATGATTTTTCCCATTAATATGATCCAAAAAGTTAAGAGAATCTTTAACTACACAATCACAGATATTGCAATAATATCCACCACTTTCGGCCGAGGGAGTCGTTTTATTTATAACAACTTGTTTTCCAACTTTTGATTCAAGATCCAACTGAACTTGAAAAATTTTAATAAATTATTTAAACAAAACCTTAAATTCCCGAGGTTTCAACAATTCACGTTGCACTTTAGGACCCTTGGGCGGTTTAATTACTCCTCTTTTAATATCAAAAGCTTCTTTTTCAGCTGCCAAACGCTCTTGAGCCCTTATCTCAAATTCAGTTTTGTCCCATGTTCGGCGATGTCCCGGGATGCTAGAAGATGGTGTTAACGACATGATTTGACAAAACCTGAATCTTCACATATAAACCATCAAATGAGAAATAACTTTTGAGATACGATGCAAACTCATCACACGTAAAAAATAAACTTTTTAAAAAAGAAAATTGAATTTTATTTTTAATCGGTTATGCATTTATATATCGATTTATGTTGAGATGCGATTTTTTCCGATGTCTAAAAGAATGAACTTCTCAGAAGATAAAAAGAAGTTATGTTTTAAGGTTAGATTTTCTAAAGAAAAATCGCATCTATAATTTATAATCAAAAAATCATTGAATTATAATGTCCGAAACATCGACAAAATTTCTTTTATTTATCTCATTTTCTTAGTTCTCTCCTCCGCGAAGACGCAAGACCAAGTGAAGCGTGGACTCCTTTTGGATGTTGTAGTCAGCGAGAGTGCGACCATCCTCAAGCTGCTTACCAGCGAAGATCTGAAAATTGAGATTAGGAAACTGTTAAACAAAAAACCCAAACCAAGCGCTGCTGATCTGGTGGAATGCCCTCCTTGTCTTGAATTTTGGCCTTGACGTTTTCGATCGTGTCAGATGCCTCAACTTCAAGAGTGATAGTCTTACCAGTCAAAGTTTTGACGAAGATTTGCATTCCTCCACGAAGGCGCAAAACAAGATGAAGTGTAGACTCCTTTTGGATGTTGTAGTCTGCAAGGGTACGACCGTCTTCGAGCTGTTTACCAGCAAAGATCTAAAAACATGAAAAGATAAGAATTAAAAAGAGCAAACAAACCAGACGCTGCTGGTCTGGCGGGATCCCCTCTTTGTCTTGAATTTTGGCTTTGACGTTTTCAATCGTATCCGATGCCTCAACCTCGAGAGTGATAGTCTTGCCTGTCAACGTCTTAACAAAAATTTGCATTCCACCGCGAAGACGAAGAACAAGATGGAGTGTAGACTCCTTCTGAATGTTATAATCCGCGAGAGTTCGGCCATCTTCAAGTTGCTTTCCAGCAAAAATCTAACAAAAAAAAGTCAGAATAAATAATGAAGAAAACAAACCAGACGCTGCTGATCGGGTGGAATACCCTCCTTGTCCTGAATCTTAGCTTTAACATTCTCAATCGTATCCGAGGCTTCCACTTCCAGAGTAATAGTCTTTCCCGTAAGAGTCTTCACAAAGATTTGCATTCCACCGCGGAGACGCAAAACCAAATGGAGAGTCGACTCCTTTTGGATATTGTAGTCCGCGAGAGTGCGACCGTCCTCTAGCTGCTTACCGGCGAAGATCTGAGAATTGAATTGTTTTAATTATAATGGTAAAAATTTACAAACCAAACGCTGTTGGTCAGGCGGGATACCTTCCTTATCCTGAATTTTGGCCTTGACATTTTCAATCGTGTCAGAGGCTTCAACTTCAAGAGTGATGGTCTTTCCAGTCAACGTCTTTACGAAGATCTGCATATTCGAATAGAGAATTGGATAGTTATGTAAAATATAGCTAAAAATATATTAAATTAAAAAGAACAAAAATAAAAATAAAAAATTTTCTAGAACAAAAATAAAATAATGTCACATGACTGGATGACAAATAAAAAAAACTTATGAAATAAAATGAGACTCAAAAACACAAAAGGAGATTGGGGACGGTTGAGTGCGGAAAAGGACGATTCAGTATCGCCGATTCAGTATATGGCCTTGATTTTCGACCGATCCGGATAATTCTTATATCATTCGAAAGGTCTCGAGATTCGGCATCTTTTTGAAAATGGACCGATCTGACATCACAAAAAAGTTACAGACGGAAAACTGATTTTTTCTCCCTTGACATCGTTTATCTATGATAACTTTTGGCTGACACTCAACTGGCCAGTGGCTGGCCTGTTCCAAGAAAAATACAGTAGGCTAGTTGGCAGTCTAAAAATTGGCAATTTGCGTGATTTTCATTTTACGATATTAAAACATTTAAAAATGAAAATTCAGAAATGGTAGAACCACAGCCAACAAAAACACTTAGGATTACCCAAGAATCTTTTAGAAAATTGCTTAACATATCATAATTCACGGATCTTTAATTGATTAATACGGTAGTATTCACTTAAACATTTTTATCAAATTAAAAAAATATTTTAAAATAAATCAATATTATTGGCAATATTGGAAATATTGACCTTTTTTTGTTGTTGGCAATGTAAAAGTGCGAGGGCTAATTGCCAAATTTTCTCTCTCTCTCTCCTTTCATATAATGAGTCTTTAAATGCCTGTAAGAGACATCCATTACTCGCGCATATTCTCGAGGTGGGGAGGAGTGTCAAAAAGGGCAACACGTGAAATAGTTATTGGCAACTTACTCAAAAATTAATTTTTAAAGGGCTTCGATTTCTTCATTTTATTTATTTCTACATACATTTAATTCCCCTAAATGCGGAGTGATTTAAAAACTTTAATTGTTTTGTGGCCTCCATTGCTTGGACATTTTATTTTGTTAATTCCTAGTGGAGCAGCTTTTGTAGTTAAAGACAATGTTCAAAACGTTTCGTCTGTGATTCCCGATAAACCCGGAGTAATTGGAAGTGATGTTATTGATAAAAGCACAAAAACTAGTCAACTAAAAGAAGGAAGTGAAAGTTTGCTTTCTGGAATTGAACGTAGCCATATTGAGGAATTAAAGGAGGAAATTGAAGGAGAAGGTAAGAAAGTACCCAAAATGAATGGACAGGGTAATGAAAGCCTTGAAACTAAAATTGTTGAAAAGAAAAGAGAACTGGAGGCTTTAAATCAAGAAAAATTAAATTTGGAAAAGAAAGTTGTTGAATCAAAAACAACTGAAGAAGAAAAGGATATTACTCTAATTGATCCAGTAGGTAAAGAAGAATCACCTATTGTAAGTGAGCTAAAAACAGAAACAAAGAATACAGGAGAGACTGAAAGGAAAGAAGAGAATTCTCAGGAAATATCACTTTGGCAGCAAGTTTGGCAATCCCTGTTTAGTAGTGGACAAAATGTTAAAACTGAAGAAAATTCCATTGAAAAACCAAAAAACCAAGAAAAAGTATTAAAAGAAGGAAATGTTGAAAAGGAAAAAACTAATGGAAATGAGTTGGGGAAAGATTTGAAAAAATCTAAAGGAAATGGCCAAGTAATTGAAAAATTAAAACCAGAAGAAAGCAAAAAAGATGAGGATGAAAAGCAACATAAAGTAACAAAAAACAAATCACCTACAGATCCCCAAAAATTAACAGATCAAGTTAAATTAACTGGTGAAGATAAAAAAATATTGAAAGGAGGCGAAAAACAAAAAGGAACATCTAAAACAGACGAAACTACTAAAAACAATGAAAAAGATAAGAAAAACATAAATGAAACTGAAAAAGTCAAAACAAAAGACAGTGAAATAATTGAGGAGAAAGGTAATCTGAAAAAACCAGAAAAGGAGGAAGAAAAGCTTAAAGTAAGCGAAAAGATTGTTGACAAAACAATTAGACACGATGAAACGAAACATAAATTAGAAGATTTGGCTAAGAAAGGTGAGAGAAATTTTTAGAAATATTAGAGTTTTTTAAATAAAATTTTCTTTTAATAATTATTTAGTTGTTACTGTTAAAAAGGAGAAAGTTGAAAATCAAAATAATATAAACAAAGATGTTGTGCAAAAACCTGCATTTGTAAAACCTGCATCTCAAAAAAATGGAGAAGGAAAGAAACATAAAACAAAATCTGGTAAATTAATTTATTAAATTTGGGTAAATATTTAATAAAATTTTTAGGAAAAAAGGAGAAAAAATCGCCGGGACAAGCAAATCATTCAGATGAAAGCAGCTATGAATCTGAAGAAAGTGTTGAATTAACTAAAGGAAAAGGAAATTTTGCCGAACATGTTCAAAATTAAAAGTCGGCAAAAAGATGTATTTTTTGAGTTGGAAGAGTGTGCGGAGTTTTTTGGATTTATTAAACTTTTGTCCCATTTGTATTTAACTACCTCTCATCCATTATTTTTTTACCACACATACTCCAATTATTATAACCTCTACAAACAAAATTGTGAATCTTCTTGATTCTTTGGATATTATATATCCACATGTTTTTTTAAATTATTTTTTAAACTAAATCATTTTTACATGCTATGCATATTTTTTGACGATTTATTTTTAGTCTTTTTTTGATAAACTTTATTCTCCAGAATTTATTATAATTAAAAATATTAAAATTAAAAGAAGTATTTTAAATTTAAATAATTATTTTAAAATATATTTTTATATTAAATATTTAAACAAAATTCTAAAATTTATTTCTGTCCAGGATCTCCATATTTTGCTTTTAAAAGTTTTAATTTTTCACCAGAACCAAGCATTTTATGAGCAGGACAGAACCACAAAGGCCCAAAATATTGAAATATAGTATCATCAATTGAACAATTTCCAGCCATTAAAGAAGTATCACAAATTGCACAATTAAAACAACGTTTATGGACTTTAAAAAATAAATATTTTTTCAAAGTTTAGATAAATTTAATAGTTATCCTTCTTCAATACCAATGCCCCTTTCCCGCGACACTTTCCCACCAAACTTCCCCAAGTCATTGTATTCACAATTAATTTTGAATAAAAACTTACGAGTATGTTTTTCTACCAAAATTTTGTCTTCAATAGCCCCAATTTGTTGTTTACATATAGCACAAAATTTTGGTTTCATTTAATTTAAAAATTAATTTTTTAAAAGAAAATATTTAAATATTTTAAATAAATCTTTTAAAGAATTTCTATAACTTTATAAAATCAATTCAACATGTGCTTAAAAAATATTAGAGAACAATTGTTGTTTAAAGAACGGGAAAATTCTCGAAAAAATAAAAATATTTTTTTTACAAAAAAAATTATTTTTAATTGTTTCTCCTAATGTCCTAATATTTTACACATTTCCTTAAAAATATTCCCTAAAATTCTCTTATACAATCCTAATTAAAAAATAGCATTTAAATATCTAATTTAAAAATTTTAACTAACAAATAAATGTTAAAAAATAAAATATAATACATATTTAAATTTTATAAAAAATTGTAATAAAATAAAAATAAATAAAGCTTTAATAGAGTTTACATTTTAAAAATCACTATTTTATAAAATTGAAAGTTACAGAAATACTTTAGAAATATTTCTGAAAAATCTCATCACTAAAAACGTTTTTTTACATAATTACAAGTTTCTATTAAAGCTTTAATGTTTAAATAAAAATTGCAAAATTTCCAAAAAATGGAAAAAAATGTTTTTCTTAGTTCACAAAGCTAATATGTATGTACATTTCTACAAAAAATAATATGTAAATTCTCTCCCACTCCCTCTCTCTCATCAAAAATCATCCCTCTCTCTCCCTTCTTCTCTCATAAAAAATCAGCAAATGCTTGTCTATATGGAATATGTTCTTCAGAATCATCTTCATCTTCATCACTACTGCTATGTTTTGTTTGTTTCTTTCCCTTTTTGTTTTGTTTGGGTAATTTGTTGTTGTTTTTGTTGTCGGCAATTTCTGAAATTTATTTAAAAATATTATTAAGTATATTTTTAATTTTTAACTTTTCTTTTTACCCTTCTTTTCCTCTTCTTCTTTCTTCGTTTGTTTTTGTTCTTCAATTTTCTTCTTTTCCAATTCTTTATCCAAAACTTTTGTCATTGTCTTCACTGTTTTATCTTTTAATTGTTTGTCATCTTTTGTTGTTTCTTTTTCTTCTTTTTTAACATTCTTTACCAATTTTTCTTTCAAATTAATTTTTTCTTTTTCATTTTCTTTTACATTTAATTCTTCCTTTTTTGGTTTGCTTTCATTATTTAATTCTTTTTTAACAATATTTGTTTTTTCCAAATTTGTTTTCGGATTTTTATCATCTTCCCCTTTCAATTTTTCTTTTTTCACTTCATTTGCAGCTTCTTTTTGTTTTGTTTCCTCTTTTTTTGCTTCCTTTGTTTTTACTTCTTTATTTGGCATTTTTTTGTCAGCTTCCTGTTTCTTCTTCTCTTCAATATTCTTTATATCCTCACTCAATTTTTGTTTCAAAACTTCCTTTTTCTCCTCCTTTTCTTCTCCTAATATTTTTGGATTTTCCTTGTTTTTTTCATTTTTATTTTCTTTATTTTTAGTATCTTTATTTTCTTCTTCTTTTAATTTAATTTCTTGTTTATTTTGTTCTTTTTCCACTTCTTTATTGTCTTTTTCAACATCCTTTTTTGAATTTTCTAATTTTGGATTTCCAGAATTTTCTGTTTTATTACCTCCAATATTTCTGTCGGGAGTCGGGATTTCCCGACAAATGGTTTGGAGAGAGAGGAGGAGTCGTGGCACCAGCTAGTGAAATGTGGCACTAGCACCAGACTGTGTTGGTAGTGCCAACACAGTCGAAGGAAGAAGAAGGGCAGTAGAGTGACTCGGAGCACGAGTCACTTTAGCCAAGAATAGCAATGGTGAACCGTAGTGCGGTTCACCAAGGAAGCAGAAGTGAACGGAGCACGTTCACTTTAAACCAAACACACAAAGCAAGTCCACCAAAAAATATTTATTTTCCAACCAAAAAAATAAACAATTGAACAAGTGAAGTTGAGTGGGTGAAGCGAAGGGCTAACCAGTGGGCAGTGGCAGTTGAAGCCAAAGAGCAGTCCACCGGCAGCAGTAGATCAGCACTTGAAGGAGCAGTTAATGATGTAGAAGTGAGAAGTGAGAAGTGAGATAATTTGGGAGGCTGATCTCCTGCTTAAATAGACCCAAATAAAGGCGGGGTTTGGCAATAAATTAATTTAAAAATGTAAGTTTGAAAAAAATGCGCGAAGTAGCTAGAGAAAATAAAACTGAGAGAAGACTCGGCAAGAGAAGCCAAGTCAAAAAACAAAAGGAAGAATAAGTAAGAGAAAAGAGGGTGGCTGGTACGAACGGACACCAAAAAAATAAAGAAAGGAATTTAGGCGGGAAAACAATTCAAAAATAAAGAGAGGACGACACAAAAATTAACGGTGAACGAGCTAAAAATTAACCAAAAGTGAATGGTTAAAAAATTGGCCAAAAGTCGCCAATGTTTGGCGACAATTTCCTTGCTTTTTGCGATTTTCCAGTGCTTGCCAAACCAATTTTTTCTTTTGTTGTTTACGTAATGATTTCCAAATTTTTCTCCATAATTTATCCCTTTCTTGTGAATTTGGAATAGAATTACTAACAATTTTTTCTTTTTGAGGACTATTACTATTTATTTTATCATCATTTACTTGATCCTTCTCTCCTTTATTTTCTTCTTTCTCTTCAATTTTTCCTTCTTTTTTATTTCCTTCCTTTTCCTTCATTTTTTCAATTTGTTCTTCTAATTCCTTCTTTTCTTTTTCAATTTCTTCAAGTCTTTTTTTAATTTCTTCAAATTGTGAATTTTCAGAGTTTTCCTTTTGATTTTGTTTTGAAGAATCTATTTTTTCAAATTCCTCTTTACCCTTTTTATTCTCTAATTTTTCTTTTTCATTTACCTCTTTTAATTCTTCTTTTACTTCATTTATTTCTTCATCTTCCGTTTTTGTAACTTCTTCTAAACCTTCTTTATTTCCATCTTTTGGGAGTTCAGAAATAATTTCCTTCTCAATTATTTTCTGTTCGTTATTCACCTGTTTTTCTATTGGAGTTTCAATTTGTTTATTTTCTTTTATTTTTGTATTCTCTTTTTGATCTTGTTTTAACGTTTTTTCATTTTCTTTTTCTACCTTTTTCTTTTCATTTTCTTCTTCCTTTTCTTTCAAAACTTCCAATTCTTTTGGATCATTTAATTTATTTTTACTCAAATCTTCTTTTTCTTTATTTGTGTTTTCTTCCTTCATTTGTTTTACTCCATCTTCTTCCTCAATATCTTCTTCCTCCCCTTCTTCCTCCTCTTCATCTTCTTCTAAATCTCCCTGTATCATTCCAAATTGTTTCAAATACTTGTTTAATTCTTCATTTTTTGGTTTATCCTTCATTAACTCTGACAATTCCAAAATATTTTCTTTCATTTTTTTATTCAAATTTTCAATATGAGAAACGATTTCTTGATTATTTTCAAAAGTCTCCTTTTCACTTTTTTGAATTGGTGATTGGGGAATTGTTTGATTTGTTTTGTTTTCTAAATTTTGGTTTTGCTTGTTTACTTCTTCAACATTCTTGCTTTCATTTTTTAATTTCTCTTTATCATTAGGTTCTTCTTTTTTCAGAATTTCTTTAACTTCTTTTACTTTCACGTCTTAATATGTATTTTTAATTTAAATATTATAAGTTTTTCTAAGTTTTCCTATTTTTTTTAATGGAAGATTAATCCCCCTGGCGCTATAATTAGAGTTAAATCCTCGAATTCATCAAGGAAATACTACCGAATATATTTTTATTTATTTAAACAACCACACAAATCCAATCTTAAGCAATGTGAATATTAAAATTTATCTTAAAAAACCTTTAGTTCCTTCATCATGTTTTTCAGTTATTCCATTTCCCTCAATTACTTTTTCCTTCCCGTCTTCACCTGTTTCTTTTTTACATTTTTCATTTAAATCTTTTTCAAAATTAAATATTTCAACTTTCTTCTCCTCATTCCCAACATTTTCTAAAGTTACATTTTTTCCAAAATGTGAAAGAAAATTTTCTTTAACATTGTCAATACTTTCAGAATTATTGCTAATAATAACTCTAGCAATAAATATCGGTAATATCCAAATAAAAAGGAAAATAAATTGTTTAAAAATTGAATGGGTTTGTGGCCAAATGCCACTACCCATTTTTAAAAATTTATCTAAAATTAATTTTATAGTAAATTACCGTATTTCCTATATTAGAGCCCCATGGGGCTCTATTTTTCAACTATCCTCCAAGGTGGGGCTGTATTAAAGGGTGGGGCTCTAATTGAGGGTGGGGCTCTATTTTTCAACCCTCTTTTGAGATAGAATCCCATTTATTATATCCATTGCAACTAGAGATAGGCCGGAGGGGTTGGTTGATAAAACCAAAAAATATCGAAAGACAATCGATATTTTTCAATTTTTCAAAAAAATTAAAATTTTATAAGCAATGAGTAACGAAATAATCGCAATAGTTCAATGAGGGTAAGATTAATTATAAAATATTTGTAGATTTTGACGGATTAAAGGGAATATTAGGGGACTTGTATTTGACATTGATGGATCATATATAGGTATACAAGCGATTTTAAGGGATTATGGGGAATATCAGAGGATTAATTTTATATTGAGAGATTTAGCGGGGTTAAGAGTGATATTTTGAATGAGGTATTAGTAGGCATATGAAGGGATTTTTTTGTGAAGAGGGATATCGGTGATATAAGGGATATCTATCGGGGATAAAAGGAATACCCACTATATCTCTTCCTTTTCCCCTTAGTTAATCCCTCATATTTCCCTTAATCCTTATATCCCCATGGCCCTTTATTTCCTTAACTCTTAATAATCTTAAAAATTATTGGGATATTTTTTATTTTTCCTCCAATATTTTTAGGTGGGGCTGTATTAGGGGTGGGGCTCTAATTGAGGGTGGGGCTCTATTTTTCAACTACCCTCCAAAGTGGGGCTGTATTAAAGGGTGGGGCTCTAACAGAGGGTGGGGCTCTAATATAGGAAATACGGTACTTTAAAATAATCAAAACTTAAGGGATATCTTTTAAACAACTTTTCTTTTACTTAATTTATCAAGTTAATTATTCTATAAAAACTACTCCGTGAAACTTGGAAATTATTAGCATTTTCTTTTATTTTATTCGAGGAAAAAGAATTATTTCTATTTAATTTAGTTTCTGAATTATTTAAAAATTAATTTAATAAAAATTATTTTTATTTTTTAAAATTTCATAATTGTTTATTAATTTAATTTAATTGCCAAATTTAAATTTATGAATGTTTGTCAATTAATTAAGAATTAACGTGGGAAGGAGGGGATGGGGGGGGGGTAGAGGGGTTATTTGCCCTTTTAGAGTGTATGTAAATTTTATTTTTCAATAATTGATTTAAAAATTAAGAAATAATATTTAAAATGTTAGAGAAAATAAAATATTATATTGATTTTAATTAATTTTTATTAAAAAATTTAAATTAATTAATTAAATTGTTTGAATTTTCTAAGTGTCTTCTACTCGCCTCGGCAAAACTCGATTATAGTGGATGTTAAAGCGACTTAATTTTGTTTTTGATTTCCTCTTAATTTTAAAAATATTTTTGAATTTTGGAAAATAAAAAAAATTGTTTTTTGCAGTATCAACAAGATAAACATTGTCTTTATACTTTATTATTTAAAATAAGTATTTTATTTTCATCTTCTTCCATATCTGCTACCACAGCCGTATACTTCTGCGCTGTGATGTTCGCCTGAACCGCATGGTCCACGTCCACCATAACTAAATATTTGGATTTTGATTAAATTTTATTTTGGAAATTTTATAAAATTATAAATACAATTTTTTACAAGAGACAATTAATTTCTAAAATTATGAATAACCGCCTTACTTTAATATAGAAAAATATTTTTATTCTAAATTCTTATTTTTATCAAAAATTATTTTCTGCTAACATACCCTCCTCCTCTTCCTCCATATCCTCCTCCATACCCTCCACCTCCATATCCAAATCCCGAGCCTCCAGAACAACCACCATAGCCACACGGTCCATAACGATAAGTACCACCTCCCCAACCGCCAAAACGTTTTACTCGATTACTTAATTAAATTTTCTAATTAAAAATTAAAAAAATTATTACGATGAATTAATATTAGAGATTTGACGATATTCTGGCCTTGCTTGTGTTGTGATGAGAAGAAAGGTAAAAATCAAAGAAAGTAGATAAAAGGATAATAAAGATGCCATATTGTTAATTAAAAATGAATATTATAAATATTTATATTTTTTTAAAACTAAAAAATCTTTAAAAATTCTATTGTTTTATCTTTTGGAAAACATTCCTTTGAATAATCAGAAAATTATTTGGAAATGATCTAAATTTTATTTCTGTAGCTCTTTTATTTAATTATTTTTCACAAAAATATATTTAACAAATTGAACTATCAAAGAATTAAAAAATTAATTTTTAATTTTTCTTTTAATAAAAAAAACTTTCCTTTATATTCGCCAAATTAGTGCTACAAATAAATATATATATTTATTTTTAAATAATTCGCCAAATATTTCCGTTACTTCTCTTTTACAAAAAAACAATCCACATGATTATTTTTAATAAAAAATATTTTTAAATTACCCAGTTTTTTTATTTGAAGGTGGTAAATTATGTTTTTAAACTAAAAGGGGGTTACTCACTATTTTTGTAATATCTTTTATATAATTAAATTCCCAAAAAGTTTTCCTAATCACCTCAAAATAAAAGAAAAACCAAATTTGAAAATATTTTATTAATTAAAAACAAATGAAAGACAAAATTTAAATATTTTCTCGTTTAAATATTTTTGTTTGGAATAATTAAGAACTACTTAAAAATTGTTAATAAAATATTTAAAAAAGAAAATATTTATTTCTAAATTTATTTAAAAAGGAAATTTAAATGCTTCATTAACTTTAGCCTTTTCATCTTCTGGAAGTTGATTAACAATTTTCCAAAAATTATTTTGTCGTTGTTTATCATCCAAAGTAATATCATCAAATAAATTAGATATTTTCTCTTTTGTCTAAAATTTAATTTAAAATTATTTATTTAATTAATTTAAAACTTCAAAATTTAATTTTTCAAATGCAGTCGGTAATGGCGGGCGAGTTAATTTTCGCAATTCGAGAGGCAATGAATGAACAAATTCAACTATTTTCTGATCTTTTTCCTTTTAAAATTATTTTAAAAGAAAATATTTATTTCTTTAAAAATTACTTGAAAATTTAAAGATTTATCTCCAAAAATTTTCCTAACTTCTTTTATATATTTTGGCGGAAGTTTGTCAAAACCTGGCAAAAAAATAATTAAAAAATTATTTTTAATTTAATTTAAAAATTGCCCGGCGGCAAAGGCAAATTGTCAATTATGTTTTGAGGCAATGAACGCATTATTTGATCAATTTGGAGACTTTTTTGTTGGACAGTTAATTGAGGGGAACGGTGAATTTGTAAAAGTTGTTGATATACTTCTGGGGGTAAAACTTTTTCGAATCCGGGAGGAGGCTGTGAAGAAAAAAAAGGGAAATTAATGAAAGAATAATTATAATTTAAGTAATTAAAATTCTCCCTTTTCTCTCTTATTTAAAAAAAAATTAAAATAAAAATAAAAACATTTGGAGGAAAGAATTCAGGAATAACATTTCCAGAATTTGTTTGTTGAATTTGTGTTGATGGAATTCTTATAGAAGGATTGTGTAATTGAGGATGTGGATGTTGTTGTTGGGGTAATGCCCCAATTAATTCTTTAACTTTTAAATGTTTTTTACTCCAATCTATTGAAGGGTCACCTAAAAAAAGAATTTAGATAAATTAATTAAATTTAAATTAACCATTAATTTCTTTTATTTTTTCTTTAATGTTGGAAGGTAAAGCTTCGAATCCAGGTGGTAAAGGAAGTTTAGCAAGTAATTTTGGCGAAACTGAAGTCATTATTTTGTCAAATTCTGATTGTTTTTGCTTAAATAATTAATTAAAAAAAGGTTTTGGGGCAAAAAATTTTTTAAAGAAAATTTTGGATGATATTATTATTTTTTGGTTAAAGCTTTTTATTTAATTCGAATTAATTTTCTAATAAATAAATAATTTTTTGGAATTTATAATAAAAAATAATAGTAATTTTTAAAGAGAATATTATTAAATAAATAGAGAGGAAGAGATTAAATCTTGAAAATTAATTAATTATTTTTATTTTTTTTAAATTATTCCAAAAATAATAATATTTATTTAATTAAATGATGAAGATAATTAAGCAGAAATATATTTAAACAGGCATTATTGGTAGCAATAATAAAGATTTTTTTGATATTAAAAATCAAAAATAAAAATGTTAGTAGATATAAATTAATTAAAAATATTTAATATGATCGCCCCCTCCCACCCTCTCAGTTTCTCCCTAATTAATTAATTAATTAATTTAATTTTAAATTATTTTTAAAAATTAATTTAACCGTTAAAGGAATGTTTGTATTTTTGTGTAATTCCCTCAATTTCTGTAAAACTTCAATAGGCAAAACTGTCTCAAATCCAGGCGGAACTCCATCAAAAGGTAATTGAGATGAAGGAAATATTGAAGTTTTATCCGTTGATTTAATTGTTTGGGGAATTACTAATTGTTGTTGGGGAGGGAGATTTCTGAAATTTAAAAAAAGATTTTTTTTCTAGAAATTTTCTAAACTAGCCCATTAGATGATGGAAAGTCAATAGATATTTGGCTTTGTTGTTGATTTAAAAATTGCTCTAATCGGGCATTATTATTTAAATTCTGCCCAATATCTTGAGCAGAAATTAAATTAAAAATTAAAATTATTGTACTTGATAATAAATAATGATACATTTTTGTAATCTTTTTTTAAATTTGAAAATTAAAATTAAAACAAATTCATTTTAAATTTTAAAAAGTCAATTCTTTATTGTTAATGATACTGCTTGGAAGGTAATATGTAGCAAAATTTGTATCTTTGACTAAATACAAGTACTCTGATATAGGACCAAATTTTTGAACCTCAATGGATACCTTAAATCCTTTCCTTAATTTAATTTTATTCAAGTTAGGTAATACAAATATTAAAAGGAATTATTTAAAGAAATATTTTCACTTTAAATTATTTTAAGTGAATGTATAACAATCTAAAAATTGCGAGCTTTTATTTAATTGTGCATTTTAAGTAAAAAATTCGCCCAAATCCATTTTTGGATTTATTTTTCTTTTCAACAAAAATAAAAATCTCTTCTCCTCTCTTTTTCAACTTGTACAAATATTTTATAGAAAAAGATGAAAAACAATTTTTTTGATGATTGAACAGATGCTTATAAGAATTGTATATAAAAATATATTTATTATTAGTATTATTTTTTGGTCTTTTTGAAGATATTACTTAAATATATACGTAATTGTTTTGTATACCTTAAATTTGTTCATCTGAATAAAAATAATTTAAAATAGAGTTAAGATACATAAATTAATTCAAAAAACATTGAAGTTAAGATTCCCTCTAATTGAAACAAAAGATTTGATTGAAAGTAATCGAGTAATGTGTAATATAATTTTGTTAAAAACAAATTTAACAAACAATTATTTATTTATTTCCATTTAATGTTAAAATCTGATAGAAAGCAATTTAAAGCAATTTAAAAGCAATTTACGTTTGAATGATTTTTGAGTGAAACAACAAGGACTGCATTAATAATTATTATAAAGAATGAGAGAGAGAATTATTTTATTTTTTTAGTTTTTGTTGTCCAGCCGGTTATTTTTATTATTTTTATTTTTCATTTCAGGGATATTCTATAAATAATAAAAATATAATTTTTAGTACTAAAAATGCGCAAGACTATTTAATTTGTAAGAAAAATTGAGATTAAAAATTAAATTTAATTTAAAAATAAATATAAAAATAATTTTTTAAATGAAAACTAACAATTTAAAATTCAAAATAAAAACTTTAAAAATTAATTCGAATAATTTATATATTCAATTTATTTTTCCCGATAAAATTAAATGCAAAATTTAAATATAATTTAAAAGAAAATTAATATTTTTTAAATGATTAAATAAAATTGCCAAATAAAATTATTACTTAAAGTTATCTTTTATTGGTCTAATAATTTCTATAGGAAAATAATTTAGAGATAAAATGGTGGTTATTCAACGTTTTGTATTAGGTAATTTAATAGCTAAAATTAGGGTTTATTTAATTTATCTGTTTGATTTATTTTTAAATTAAATTTAAAATCTAAATATTATAAAATTTTTTAAATTTTAACTGGCAATTTTATAATGTTAAAGAATATTCAAATTCAAAATTAATTAAAATATATTCCCCCCTTCCCCCAAAGAATTATCATAAAATTAAAATTTAATTTAAAAAATATAAAGAAATTATTATCGAAATTATTAAACTAAATAATCCCATAGATGATCCAAAAATTGAAGAACTACCATTGCCTGAGTCATCAGAATCTGTTCGATAGAAATGAGGAAGAACATCCAATGGAGACTTAAAAAAATTAATTAATTGATTTAAATATTTTTTGTTAGAAGGGCTTAATTTGAATTTATAGGCAAATTTTTTTTTCAAAATTTTTCAAAACAAAACAAACATTCGTGTTATGCGGAGCTTCATTTTATTATAATTTTTTATAATAAATTTCTCTTTAAAAAATTAATTAATTGATCTAACCGGATAATCTTTAATTGTTGTCGGGCCTTTAACAACTTCGGAAACATTATTCCCATTTCGCCAATTACCTTCAGGAAGGTAAACATTTCGGGTCTTTTGGCCTAAAAATAAATTTAAAAATTAACAAATTATTTGTTTTCTTTACCAGATTTAATTACTGGGGCAACAACTAAATCAGATCCGACCATAAATTGATCATCAATTGTTAATGCTTCATCGTCATCACTTGCCCACCACATTGGACTTGAAAAATAAGAAAAATAATATTTTTAAATTAAAATAAATTATTCTTTTTTTTTTACCGAATAACGGGAACTTTATCTTCCACAGATTTTCTAACATTTTTAATTAAATAGTGCATCCATTTCTTTCGAATTGCAAGAGATTGTTTAACAATATTAAGTACCTAAAAATTAAAAATACCTAATTATTTTTTAAATATATTTATTTAACTACCTCTCCCCCATATTTAGAATGCCAAGGAGGATAAGAGAATTGCATTGCTAAAAGTAAAGTATTTGCCTTTAAAAAACAAAATAAAAATTAATTTTCAATTTCCTCAAAAAAATACTTGTGTCCATCGAATATATAATTCTTCTTCTGGAGGCTCTCCACGAATATTACTTTCATTATGATTAAGTCCATTCCCCCCTATCATATCTGGCAAATTCCAATAATAACCATGAAGGGATGATTGTAATGCCCTTAAAAATAAATAAAAATTCTGAAATATTTAGGAAAACAAACCAAGGAATTAATGTAGACAACCCCCCATCTTTATCCCTTTTAATTAAAAAAAATTAAATTTAAAAAATTTTTATTTAATTTACCAATAAGAATTACGGTCAATAGTTCTAGTAAAGAAATTAGTTTGTTGGGTACCACTTCCATAACGATTTTCAACTGCAGAACCAAAACGAGAAGCAAAATGTGCATAATGCTTGCCATAACTATTTGGATAAGCTCCATCATAAAGAACATAATTATGTGGTAACCAATTAATTTCTCCTAAAAATATTAATTTGCAAATAATTTAATTTATTATATACCAGCATCAAATTTAAAAGTACAAATTCCTTCCTAAAATTATTTTTATTTAAATAAAAAATAATTATTATATATAAAACCGCTTTCATAGCTTCCAATTGTTTATACCACCATTCCCGAGTTTCTGGATTTGTTACATCAAGAACCTTTAATTGAGAGAGAGAGGTATTTATTTTATAAAATAAATATTTTTGGAGAGAAACTAAATATTAGGTCGGGTCATAATTAGTGTCGCTTTTTTTCGACTAAATTTTTAGGGGTGTTATTTTACAAATATCTTTTTTTCTTATTAACCAACATAAAGATCTGAATCTACTCTTCATTTTAATACAAGGTTTAGGTATATATGAGTGATATTCATAAAGTTGTGATTTTTTGAACTTCGCTACTTCGTAGTGAAATTCTCAAGCATTTGCACCATGAATTATAAATTACCAAAAAGGTACACAAGAAGCAAAAAATTTTAATGATCTAGTCAATGGGATCGTTGTCTATGCTAGACAGCAAGAATAGGGTTCAGGCTTTACGTTGGAGGCCGTATGACTCCCAGAAGCAGACATGGTCGAGGAAGACGGGTGTCATTAAAAAAACGGTCCTGCTCGGCCAGCTTAGATGAAATCCCGTTATTTCTTCTGCTGAATTATCGAGGGATATCTGCTCTATACATACAGCAACGCTTGACTGAAAAAACGCGGGCTGCGCTTAAGGAGAGTAAATCAAATGCCGCGTGTACTCACATTTCAAAAATGAAACAAACGACACGACATCACCCCTAAAAACGTTTTCTTAGAACTCAGCGTAAGATCATCCGATCAGGATGATCTAAACGGTTTTTTAAATCTCATATAGGGCTTATACTAAATCTGAAATATAAAGTCTGTAAATCGTGCCGAACCCCGGAATTCGAAATTTGACTTTTTCAAAAATTTAGACCTTTCTTAATAAAAATTCGAAATTGTGCCCAACATTTAGAGCTTTTAAAGAGCTTTCGAATGATATATCACACTAACTATTATCATTACGTATACTTGAGAAAATTTGATTCCCGATGATTTCGGGAATTTTGATATTTTCGACCAGAACTCCCTGAATACCTAACGAAAAATTCTCAAATGCTGGGATCCTTTAGAGCATAGTCTAACAGATGATTCGTAATAAAAATAAAAAAAATTTTCAGAAAACTTAATTTTAAAAATCCAAAAAACCCAAATAAAAAAAGCGACACTAATTATGACCCGACCTAATATTTTTTAGATAATTTATTATCCTAATATTTAATTAATCTTTTCTTTAAATAATTAATTTTTAATTCTAAATTAAAAGCAGAGGGGGAACTTATAATTATTTAATTTAAGGTTAAAGAGGGTTATAAAATCATTTAAAATAACTAAATATTTACATAAGAACAAGGTTCTTTTATGTCGGGATTTGTTGGCCCAACAGGTTTTGATGGATCTCTTGGTTTAACAGGGCAATCCCACCACCAAACAAGAGGTACATCTCCATCTCTGTTTTTAACAAATAATTTATTACGCAATTCAGGATCCTTTCCAACTTCAGAGTCAGCATCAACAAATGGGTGCACCCAGGCTAAATTAAAGAAAAATTTACTTCTTTTTAATAATTAAAGTATAAATATATTTATTAGCTTTAGACATTTAGGTATTTTAATTTAAATGCCAAATTTTTCAATTTCTCTTTTAGATTTATTGTTAATTTCAAAGAAATGTTTAATTAAATTACATTAATTTATTTACCACTTAGTCTTTTAATTCCAAATTCATTTTCAAGCTTTTTTAACATTTCAGGAAAATTAGAAAATTTTCGTTTATCAATTTGATAATCCCCATATGAGACAGTCCACATATCGTCCAATTCAAGTTGTGAAATAGGCATATTATTATCAGAAATTTGTTTAGCATATTCTAATATCTACAAAATTTATTTAAATTAATTTTAGAAAAGAGGAGAATATATCAGGGGGGAGGCAAGTTTCGGCAGACCCCCCCCCCCACCCCCAAGGTCCAAATGAGAAACAAGAAACTACTAAATTTAATTCTTTACCCCATCTTGATCAACAGCCTTCCAAAAATTAGCCCAAGTTGACCAAATTGGTTTATTAATTATGTCCAAACTTGGATGTGCTTAAAAATAATTTTTTAAAAATAATTTCCAAACAAATTAATTTACCAGTTGGTGCCGCTAAAAATAATTCAAAGCATTCTTGATGAAAATCTTTTAATGAAATTTTTTCCCATTCTTTAGGCACAGCTAAAGTATATTCAAGGAAATTGTTACGAAGTAAAAAAGAAGAATTTGCATCTAATTTTGATTGTAAGTCTAATTCATTGTTTTGTAATGATGTGTAAAGCTATTTATTTTGAGAACAATAATTTTTAAGTTAAAATTTAAATCCTAAGTACAGCCGGAGCTTTACTCGTGCTATAAGCTTGGGGATAAAAAATAGAAGGTAAATTATGTTTATCCATTATTTGTGGTATCCCCCCTCCTTCTTTCCCAATTAAATAGAAAAATGTAAATAAAGCTCTCGACTGTATATTCAATAAAATTCTGATATTTTTATTTGAGGGAGGGTAATTTAAAAAAATTTATTTTGAAGAAATATTTTAATTTACCGGAACACTCCAAGGAACATTTAACACAACTTTTTTAGATGAAAGCCAATAACGTTCTTGACCTGTTACTCCAGTCTTAAATTTAATTATTTTGTGATTTAAATATAATAAAAACTACTTGAAATACATCATTAGTAACAAATTCTGTTAATTTATAATCATTCTTTTTTATTGGCCAAGATTGTTCGTGTGTATTCATTCCCCCATACCAATGGACAGAATTGTCTGATCCCAAATTAATCGAATCCTTTTTTAAATTAATTTTTAAAAATATTAAGGTTATACATATTTAATCATTATTATTTGAAATTAATTTTGAATAATACCCAAAAATTTTATTTCTACATAAAATAATTAACTCCACATACATGTAAAGAATTTAAATCTTTTGGCTTTTTCCAATAAAAATTATAAAAATCCAATTTTTGATGACTTTTAGAATCCCAATGAATAGTAAGCTGTATCTTTTTATCTCCAATGAAGTCATAATCATAATTAACCTTTTAAATAATTTTATTTTTAATTTCTTTAAATCAATTTAACCCTTAATATATTATTTCCTTCTTTTGTTATTTTTCCCTGTTTTGCAGAAGAAAATAATTTTAAAAAAGTAATTAGAAGCAAAACAGAGCCAGAAACTCCATCTTGTGTTAATTTTGCACTAATTCCATCATTAGAAACAAATAAATTACCCAAACTTGTACTTGAAGAAGTTAAAGAATTTAAATTTGTTTGGAGTGTTGTGTTTACTTTCATAATTTATTTATTTATTTAAACACTAAATTTATTTTTAAAAATTTATAAATATATTTTAATTTTATTTTGGGGATTTAAATTAAAAAGAAACTTAGATCTGTATAAAAAAATTCCTAAGAAATAATTGTTTGCTGTAATTATTTCAAAAGAGTTATTATTTAAAAATTACTATTTGCTTTGATTTTTTTTCAATTATTAATTAAAATTAAAATATTCAATTGATAATAAGATTACAATAAAATTGTTTTGCCTAAAATCTTTTCCAAAACTTTATATTTAATTAATTACTCTTTCAAAAAATATTTTATAAATAATATTTAGAAAATTTTATTTTAAAGAGAATTGCTAATAAACTGACATAAAAGAGAAAGAGAAAAATTAAAAAGAGCAAAACTTTAAATGAATTTTAGAAAAATCTTCTGTGTTGGCAAATAAAAAAAACTAAAAAAAAAAATAAAATTTTAATTTAAAAGAGAGAGAGAGGGTATATTTATAAATCTTCAGGAATTTTTCTAAATATTTAAACAGCTTTATTAATTTAAATACAAAAAAATAATAAAATTGATTATTTTTAATTAAAGAAAAAAGATTAAAAATAAATTAATTAAATAAAAGAAATAATTATTTTTTAAAGGAATTTATTTTATGAAAAGAGATTTTTGGCTAAAATAATCATAATCTGTTCCCCCAAACTTTAATCATGAGAATATAAAAAAATATTTTTAATTTACCTATTTGTGTTTTTTCAGGAGAAAATAATAATAAGGAGATAAAAAAAGGGTTTAATCCCGTTGTAACGGCCAATACTGTGAAATAAAGTTAAATAAATTCCTCAGAAGTTAAAGAATTTTTTTCCAAAACTTTGAGGAAATAGACAAAATTAACAAAATATTAGATAAAATTTTTGTTGATTCTTTACAAGTTACTTACTAGTTCTTTGCAAAATTATAAAAGAACTACTATTTAATTGTTTACATTTTTTAAAAATTATTAAAATAAATGATTACTTAAATTCCTAAATTTTTGCTTAAATAAACTGATAATTTTATTTAAATATAATTCCAAAAAATAATCTATACCATCTAAACACACCTCTTCTTAACACAAAAATTCTTTTTTTTTCTAATATTTCCTAACATAATTTTGATAAAATTAAAAAAAGAAAAATTAAAATTATCGTATGAGTAATAATTTTAAATGATTAGAAAAAAAGAAGAATTAAACAGTAATAAATGATTATTCAAAATTATGAATCACTTTTAAGTTTTAGAAAAATTTTAGGAAAGAAAAAAATTTTTCCAGGTAATATGTAAATTTAAAAAAGTTGGAATAATGAATAAAATTAAAATCTCTCTGTTTGTTAGGCCGCTGAACGACTAAAAAGTAAAAAAAAATTAAAAAAAGACTCAATTAAAATTCAATTTTTTAAATCATCATTTCAGAAATAAAAGAAAAAAAACTCAGAAATGTTCTAAAAACAGAAATAATAAATACCATTATGGCCAAGAATAGATGTCGGAGAAATTTTGAACAAAGCTTAGACATCTGTTTAGATAAGAAATGTTTATAATAAAGAATTTCTAGTTAGTCAAAAACTCTGCTAAATAATAAATTTATTTAAATTTTGAATCATTTAAAATTGTCAATATTTTAATTTCAAAATTAATTAATTTTTAATTAAAAAATATTAAATTATTTTGTCCAATCTTTTTTAATTTTTCTTTTACATAATTTTTTATTTAAAAATATATTTTTGTTGTTATTTAATGGAAATTAGCTATAATGAAGAGAATTTTTTTTGGTTTTTTTAAATAAATTGTTTTTGTTTCTTTTCAATTTCCTTTCGTGCAAAATTTTTTTCTTTTTTAGCTTAAAAAAGTTTTTTTGTTAAAAAATAATTGAGGGTGAATCAAAAAAAATATTTTCGGGTTTCTAAATTTAAAAAAATGATGATTAAATTAAATAAAGCAGAGGAAATAATGAATAATAAAAATGACAAGAATTGGGCTAATAAATAAATGAACAATAAATATATTTAAATTTAAAAGGTCTATTTAAGGGTAAAAAATAAAATAAATTTTTACATTTAAAGTTTCTTTTAAGAAAATTTTTTTAAATAATTATTTGGGGAAAATAAATTTGAAATTTAAAAAAATATGTATTTAAATATTTTTCGAAAATCTCTAATTTTATTTATTTTTCTGAATAAAGTATCAAGTAAAATAAATCCTCTTTATACTATGGGAATAAATTATTATTATTGAGTATTTTTGGATAAATTAAAGTTTTTTTTCAAATTTTCTTTTGAGAATTTTTTTAATTTTATTTACCGTAAATGCCGAAATAACGTCCTACTCTCAAATAAGGAGATAATAAAAAATTAAAAAATTGCTCTGTATTATTTTTGTTAATTATCCCTCCAGCGAGGGGTTGAAACAATAATTACGCTGGGTGATTATTTTAGCTAATACTTTATTTATGAATTGTTTATTTTGATATAAATAAATAATATATGCCTATCTTTAATGAATATACACAAAATTATTTTTAATTTAAAATTTTTTTAAAATTTAAAAACAAATGTTTGGGTTAATAAATATTTTATTTTTATTCCTTTTCTTTAATTTGTCAACTTCCGAAGTTGTCCATCTTAAAGGAAAATTAACATGTGCTGGAAAAGCTTTAGCAAAAGCAAGTATTGAACTTTTAGAGGCTGATCGTTAGTTTATTTTATTTTTAAATTAAAAAATAATTTTTTTAAAGTTTTTGAACCTGATGATTTACTTGGAATAACAACTACAGATTCTAAAGGATTTTATGAAATTAAAGGAGAACAGAATGAATGGTTTGGAAAGATTGAGCCGTATTTACGTATTAAACATAATTGCTCTGTTAAAGATAACAAAACTAAAGAAAAGGTAAATAAATTAAATTTTAAAATAAATTTAATTTTAAAGCGATATCCATCAAAATTTATTTTTTAAATAAAAATTAAATAAAATTTTTATTGAAGAAATTTATTAAATTTTTTTAAAGAAAAAATGTATTTATACCCACATTCTCCCTATTTTGATTGAAGCAAAAGATGATTTGATTGAGGATAATAAAAACGATATCGACTTTAAAACATTGGAAGTTGCCCCCTCGAGTGAGGTAATTCTTAAATGGTTTATTAAAATATATCTGTTTAAAGTAAAATATAAAAATAAGGGAACGAATTTTTAACTACTTATTTAATTAAAATAAAGATACCCACACTAAATGAAAAATTTAAATAATTTTTTGGGGGTTTTTATTGTTGAAAAAATATTAAAAAAAATATTTTTAGGAATGTACAGATGATATTTCTTCTTTAATTGATTCTGATACTTCTTCACATTTTGAAAGAACTGAGGATGAGGAGGATGAAAACGAAGAAGAAAAACGAATAGAAAGAAATGACAAAAATTTAAATAAATCTTTAAACGAAGAAGAAGAATCCATTTCTCCAACAGCAACATTAAATAATTCAGAAATTGAAACAACAGAAAAACAAAAGGAAGAGGAAGGAATATTGATAACAACAACAGAAATAAATAATAATGAAACAAAAGGAGAAGTTAAACAACCACCTGCTACACAACCCTATTAAAATAATTTTTAAAAAATAAAAAATATAAATATATAAATTTTTATCCAATTATTTAAATGCTAAATATTTTTATTAAAGATTTTAAAGAAAAATTAAAAGAGGTATGTAATATTTAGAGGGAATTAGAGGTATGTAATAGAGAAAAGGAATTCGGAAAAAGTTTTCTTTAAAAAAATTATTTCTTTGTATCATCAGCACTTATATGTAATTTATCAATTAAAATACAATGGTCCTTGTCAGGTTGCATACTTCTAACTGGAGACTCTTTTCCTTGATTATTTCCTTCAAATATTTTACACGGATAGACTTGTCTTTTTGATTTTCCTTTTATTGTTATATTTTTAAGGGTAGCTTTATCCCCATAATTTCCATTAACTCCAACAATAAATTGTCCTTTTGTAAGATTTTCCACAATTAAATTCTCAACATTAATTCTTCTATTTCGATATTGCTTTAAACAATTACCACATGAGGCTATACCTGCGTAGACATTTTTCATCTTAAAAAAGAAAGTTATTTTTAGAATTTTTTTAACTATAAGATAACTTGTGCCAAATAGGATAACTTCAACCAATCTTCTAGCGAAATGTAGTGGGGGGGGGGGGGCGTGTATCGCTTTAGGGTTTTTCCCTTCAACAATTAAGCTAACCAGCTTTTTAAATTGAGCGGTCTCTTTTGGCGAGGTCTATATATCAACAAAGCCCAATTTATCTAAAAAGTGTTATCTATTTACTTACATAAAAATTTCTAATAGTTAGCGTTCCAGCTCCATCAAATTGAACAACCTTTCCGTTAGCATTTTGTGCACCTCCCCCGTCAATTAAGTATTGACTATTTGGATCAGTTCCCAATAAAGTAATAGCATCTTCTCCAACTTTTTCATGAAAAACATTTTTAATTTTACAATTTCCCACACAATGAATTCCATCTGCCGCCTTATAATTTTTCCTTGCGCCAATTATACAATTTGAAAGTGTTGCACCATTACTTATTTGAACTACTGGTTTTTGATGTTCATTTTTTCCTCCATAACCTATTTTATTTCTATTAGGTATAAGACGAGTATAACCACAATCATAGTCTTTATCCACAAATAAAGTATCGTTTAACTAAATTAAAATAAATATTTTTTAATGAAAAAATAAAAGTTTTAAATTAAAAATATTTTAAAGAAATTATTAACGCGTTCCCTTCCAACACCACTTTATTTTTACATTTACCCACATTCAAGTTTATTTTTAAAAATATTTTTTAAATAAAAATATTAAATAATTACCACTCTATTTTTACACTTCATGCGATCACAAGGACCAAATCCTAAAATATTTGTGCCAAGTAAGGACAATAAAAGAGTCGAAAAAGTAATTTTGAGGAATGTCATTTCCTTCTATTTTCCCCTAAATTATTTTAAAAATTTATGCAAATTTTCTAAAATATAAGGAATTGTTAAAAAATGTTATTTTATATATGTAATTAACAATTAACTTCAACAAAAGAAATTGATGGAAAAATATAAAAATAAATTTATAAAATTTTTAGATAGTAGATTAAAATTGGAAAGAAATAAAATTAAGGATGCCTTCCAATCTTTTAAAAAAATTTTAGTTTCTAATAAAACTGGCAACAGTGAAGGGCTTTAAAAAATTTGAAAAAATTCCAGATTATTTAATTTTTTGAATTTTTGAATATTCTAAAAAAATATTTTTTTGGGAGAAGAAAGAAAAAATTAATTTAATTATTTAATGCTTCTATGGCATTTTTAATCCATATTATATACAACAAATTTTTTAAATTTAGTAGTTTATGTCATTTTATTTACTCAAAATAATTAAAATATTTATCTCAAAATTATTCTCGGGAATGCAAATTTAAATTTTTAAATTTTTTTAAATTTTTTTATTTAAAAAATTAAAAAATCCCATCCGTCATTCCACTCATTCTATTTATTTAGTTGAGCTATAAATTTTAAATTTTAATTTTTTTTATTTGAAAAACGTGGAGGTGTGTATAATTTAATTTAATTTTAAACCAAAATATGTATACCCGACGATTTGAAAAAAATTTTTTTTATTAGATTTTGTCTATAATTTATTAATAAAAAAAATTAAAAATTAAATTTAAATATTTAAATTTCCGTCGAGTCTTTTTCAAAATTTTATACAGCTTTGAATTTGAGAGTTTTCTTTAAATTTAATTTTATTTTTGCAAAAATTTAAAATAAAAAAATATTTTTTCTTTGCCTTTTCTTTAAATTTATTTTGATTTTTTAAGATTTGTTTTTATTTGTTGTAAAAATCAATGAATGTACGTAGTAAATAGAAATTGATTCGAAATTTTAAATTTTAGTTAAACAACATTTACTATTAAATATTTAATTAAAAAATATATTTATTTTAATATTTAAGTAAAATTAAGTAATTTATTTATTTAAAACAAAATAATTTTTATCCGTTTATTTCCTGGCATTTTGCTTTTTAATTGTCAATTTTAAAAACCGAACCGAAGATTGGTTTAGTTTTTGAATAACACAAATTTCGTTTCGGATATCCAAATAATGTTTTAAAAACCATTAGTCATACTTACATATTTAATTAATATTAAATTATAAATTTAAATTTCTTAAAAAATTTGTTTGAGAATTTTATTTTATTTTACTCATTCTCTATTGAAAACTTTATACATATCTATTATTGCCAACAATAATTTATTTTTTAAAAACTTCGTGACTTGTTTTTCTCTCTCGGGCCAATTCAAAATTATTTTTTCTTTTACGAGAAATTGTGTATTATTTAAATAATTGAAGTTATTCTCAAATAAAATATTTGCTCATAAAAAATTTTTAAAAACAATTTTTCTTCTTATTTTTTGTTCAAAATAAAATATTAAAAAAATATTTTTATAAATTTATTTTAATTTTTAATTAGTCCTTTTCTTCAGTCTTCTATTTAACAAAATAATGATTATTCGGATAAACAAAAAGTAAAATCAAAAACAAGTTTTTATCCAATTTTTAAATTAACTTGGCGTTATATTTAATTATTTTCTTGACATTTTATCTTAATTTTATCTTCCATTTAAATTTATTTTTCTTAACTAAAAATCACAATTATTTATTCAATTCCTCCCTCCACTTCAGTACATTTCTTTTTATTCAATAAATTCTTATCACAAATATTTTAATGATTTTCTCTTTACTTTTCAAACGGAAAACACATTGTTTATGTGTGAATGGAGCGACCTGTTATTAATGGGCCCACCAAAAATATATACTAAAAATTAATTAAGCATGCCACGTTCAGGCAGCCCATTCTTCTCCTATTTTTTAATTATTTTTCTCAATTTAAGTTTTTAAATTCTTCTCATTTTAATTAAAAATAAAAATGGATAGAGCATCTAAAATGTCTCTTTTGGAGTTATATCGTCCAGAGCCGTCAACAATTAAAACAAAAGGACATACATTGCTTAAAGATGCGTCTGTTAATAAGGTGGGGGAATGAGGGAGAAATAAATAAAAATAAATTTTTAAATCCTTTTAAGGGTTTGTCTTTTACATTATCTGAACGTGTTTATTTGGGACTTGATGGTCTAATGCCTCAAACTTGCATGTACTTTTTTAATAATATTTTTAAAAATTTAATTTCAAAATTTCCAGAACACAATCAAAACAATGCTCCTCTTCAATGAAAAAATTGAGGGCACAACCAGATGATATGGCTAAATTTATTTTTTTGGAGGCATTAAAGGTGTTTTTAAAATTTAAATTTTGTTTTGTAAAAAATATTTTAGGAGAGAGATGAGAAACTTTTCTATCGACTTATGCGTGAATATCCCGATGAACTTTTGCCTATCGTTTATACTGTGAGGAATTTTCTTAACTAATAAAAGACATTTTGTTTCAAATATTCAAAAAAAAATATTTTTTTAGCCGACAGTTGGAGATGCTTGTCTTCAATTTGAATATAGATATCCAAAGTGAATTTTTTAATTTTTTAATAAATAAATTAAAATAAAATTTAGAGCATTATTTATCAGCATTAAAGACAACAATATAAGCAAAATTTATCAAATTCTGAGTAACTGGAAATATCAAGTTTTTTTAGAAAAACTTTTTTAAAAAATTTATTTTTAAAAGGATGTTAGAGCAATTGTTGTAACTGATGGAGAACGTATTTTGGGACTTGGAGATTTGGGAATTCAAGGTAGAAAAATTGGGGGGAAGAAATTCAAAAATTAATTTTGTAGGTATTGAAATTCCTGTTGGCAAACTAGCTCTTTATGTGGCCCTTGGAGGAGTTCAGCCTCGGTGGTGTTTGCCTATACAAGTGGGTTAAAATTAATAAAATTTTTACTCAGAATTTGTTGGCGGGAGGGGAGGGGGATCTCTTCTACAAAAATATTTTTTCTTTTTTAAAGTTGGATGTTGGAACAGATAACGAAGAGTTTTTGTCTAATCCGGATTATGTTGGACTTAAACAAAAACGAGTACGTGGAGCCGAATATGAAAATTTTATTGATAATTTTATGAAAGCTTGTCGAAAACAGTGAAAAGACTTTCTTTTTTAATTTTGTTAAAGTTTTTTAGTTTTGGTCAGAATGTTTTAATTCAATTTGAGGATTTTGGAAAGAATACTGCCTACAAACTTTTGGAACGTTTTAGAAATAATTATTGCACATTTAATGATGATATTCAAGTAAGTTTTTGTTTACTGTAGAATAATTAGATTCTTGGACCTCTATATTATGGGCATTTTTGTTTTTAGACAATTTTGAGAGGGATGCCACGGGTTATCCGATACCCAAAACCCGGCCTTTTTCTCGGCCCGAAACCCGACCCGAGAAATTTTCTAAAACCCGACCCAACTTTTTTCTCAACCCGTGACATCTTTGGTTCAGAACTTGCTTTTACACAAACTCTTGGTGTTAAAAATACGAGTGTCCACAAAATAGAGGAATTTGTTTTTCTTAAAATAAAAATTCTTTTAAAATAGGGAACAGCTTCAGTTTCCGTTGCTGGTTTAATTGCTGCTGCCAGAATAACTGGCCAAAAAATTTCTGATATGAAATTTCTTTTTCACGGGGCAGGTACAGCAGCTGTTGGCTGTGCTGAACTTTTGGTAGAAAAAATGTATTGTGAAGGCCTTTCAAAAGAAAAGGCTAGAGAAAGAATTTTTCTTGTAAAAACAGATGGATTAATTATTAAAAAGAGACAAACACTTTCTGAACAACAAGTCCCTTTTGCTAAGGATGGACCTGATCTTAAAGATTTGTATGAAATTGTTAAAGTAATTTTACGTTTTATTTAAAAAATTTTTTACGATTTCTCTTGAGAAAATTTTAGCTTTAAAAATTATTAATTAGTCCCTCCTCCCTTATATTTATTTTTAAAGGCAATTAAACCAACAGCAATTATTGGAGTATCCACAATTCGTGGGGCTTTTACAGAACAAATTATTCGAGAAATGTCTACATTCAATAAACACCCAGTAATTTTTGCCCTTTCAAATCCAACAAGTAAATCTGAATGTACAGCTATTGAAGCATATAATGAAACTAATGTAAAAATAAATTTTGAAAATTAAAAAAATTTTTTCTTTAGGGCTCTGCCCTTTTTGCTTCTGGAAGTCCATTTCCTCCTGTTCAATTAAGTGATGGACGAAATTTTAGATCAGGCCAATGCAACAATGCTTATATATTTCCTGGTGTTGCTTTGGGAATTGTTTTGTTTAAAGTGGCTAATATACCTGATAAATTATTTTTAATTGCTGCTTTGGTGAGGAATTTTGAAAATTTTTATTTAAATATTATACCCAAAAATGCATTTCTCTATTAAAGGAATGCAAAAAATAATAATAGAAATATACATACCAGGGCTGAGCTAATTTCGCATTTCGCGTTTCGCATATTTCACATTTTTCAGCTCGAAAAGTTTCGTATTTCGCTTTTTATTTTTAGATTTTGCCCAGCCCTGATACATACTAGTCTAAAATGCATTCTCCTGTCTTTTCTCGTAACTTCCAAATGTTAAAACAATTTTTGAAAACTGAAACTTTCCTCATAATTCCCTTTTCCTTCTAAATTTTCGAGTGTCGGGAAATGACATTCTGATAAGAAAAAATACATTTTAAAACGAAAATAAATAAATCAGTTATTAATTATATTTTACAGAAATTAGCAGAATGTGTTTCTGATGAAGAATTATCGGTTGGTTGTCTGTATCCCGATCTCAAAAAAGTTCCCGAAATTTCAATAAAAATTGCTGTGGCAATTGGAGAAGAATGTTATAAAGTATAAATATTTTTATCTAAAAAATTAATTTTATGATTAATTTTCAAAAAAGGATGGAAGTGCTAAACTTTATCCAGAGCCTGAAGATAAAGAATTGTTTGTTCGTGCTCAAGTTTATAATACAGATTATGAGGAATTTTTGCCTTTAGAATTGGCTAAGTTTGATTTGAATAAAATTAAGAATTAAAGAAAAGAACTAGAATTTAATGAAGAAAGAATTTAAACAAAATTAAATTTTTTTATTTTATTTTTTGGTTGGGTATTTAATTTAGTGTGATAATATTTTAATGTGAATGATATTTAAAAGTAACAGAAATTGAATTTTTTAAAATTAATTACAACTTTATTTTCTAGTTTTCTCTTTAATTATTGTCAGTATTTTTTAATCTTTTAACTGTTAAATTTAATTATTTTTGGATAATTATTGGATGAATTTTACTTTCTTTTATCTATTTTTGTAATTCCCGATTAAAATTAATTACCAAATAATTCTTTTATTCAAACAACTAACAATAAGAAAAAATAATTATTAGTAATATTATAAAAATAAATTGAATTTTGCCTTAATGGTGACGAGCACAAAAAATAAGCAAATAAATTTAAATTCATGAAAAATAAATAAAAATGCCCGATTTTTGGTTGAATTAAATATCCAAATATATATTAAAACAAATTTAGTTTAAATAATTATTTTAATTAAAGCTTTTTGGTGGATTTTCATCTGACCATTGCATAAGGAAATGTATTGCTGGGATCTGACCTTCGGTCCTTCCACCGTCACCTCCGTCAAATCCAAAACGATAAGAATGGAACTATAATTTTTAAAAGTTATTTTAGAGTTTATTATGTTCCAGAAAAAAGGGGGAAGTTTTTTTGTTTTTCTCCTTCCTACAAATTCTTTAGTTTTTGAATACAAAGCTTCCCAGATATCAAAAACACTAAACATTCAAAATACCTTAAAAGTAACAGTTTCATCAAAAGGTAATTCAACAACAACACGATCTTGTCCATCCTTGCCTTGAAAAGTAGAAACACCCGTTTCATTCTTTAAAATTAAAAATTATTTCCAAAAAGAATTCTCTCCAAAAAATTACTTTAAAATGAACAGTAGCCAAATAAGTAATATCTGCTTGACAAGCAACTGGTTCAGTAAAATAGGCGACAAGGGGATTCGGATCGCCAAATTTGCTACTCAATTGTACAATGTTTGATGCGAGAAGTTTTAATGCTGACCCGTAAATGCTTGGAGAGTCAACTGGTGCCTCTAACTGAAAAATTTTAAAATTTAAATTTTGAAATAGGCGAAGGATTGTTTATACTTTAAAAGTGCATTTTAGAGATTGTCTATTATTATGTAATACTGTTATAAAAATATTAAAGTTATTACATAATTATTTGTTTTTTTTAACTTAAAAGGGCAGACAATAATGAAATAAAAAATAAATAAATAAACCATAATGTCTAAAAAAATAATTTTACAACAAACATTAATAAAATAAAAAATAAAATAAAAAAATATAATTTAATATTCAAATTAATTTTTTTAAATTTCCAACAAGTAAATATTTATAGACAGTAATTGAAAATTACGATGATAATATTCATTACTTTAATAATAATTTTAACTAAAACTTTGTTTATATTTTCTCAAGAAATACCAATAATTACCAACAAGCAACGTTTTTTAATTGAAATTGATAAAACTAATGAATTTAAAGAAAATAATAAAACAGAATTATTAATTAATTTAAAAAAACTAAAAATTAATTTATCTTTACAAAATAATTTAAATGAAAGACCAATGGCTATATTAATTTCTGTCCATCCTCAGATCCACTATCGAAGTAATTTTTATGTTACTTCATTAAGAGATAACTGTAATGGCAATCTTGACAATGTTATTAAATATTCTTTTGCTATGGCTAATCCAGATATTTATATGGATGAAATAATGATGTTAAATGATTCTGATAGTAATATTGAATTAAGAAAGGGTTTAAGTATTTGTTTTGAGAAATTAAATATGTGGAATGGAGGGAGAAGTGTTGTGAGGAATTTATTTCATTACTTTATAAATAAAGTTAGAATTATGAAATTAGGGGGTTACATCATAAAGTGGATAACGGGATATAGGATACTGAAGATGAGATACCGAATATGAGATACCACTTTTTGGTAGTTTCCGTTCTTTTTTAAGATTAGCTTCGACACACCCTTTGTGTGTAGATTAAGGAGTTACATAATAGGAAAATAATGAAGACAGAACTCGATAACAATTTATTTAAATTATCCATAAACCCTTCTTTAAAGGCACTAATCCAAATTCGCCCACTTTTCGAGAATTTAATAAATTTGGATTTAACTAATTATCGAGAGACTATATCAAATACTACAATGTTTGTTGACAATAAAAGAGCAATTATGGAAGAAAATAAAATAAATTATTTTGAAATGACAAGATTTTTAAGTTATTTAAGTACAATTGAAAATAAAAATAAAAAAGAAAAAAAGGAAAAGTTGGAAAAAAATTTAATTTTGCTTTTAAAACAAAGAGAAAAAAATACAAAAATAAATAAACTTAAAAAAATTTCTTTTATAAAAATTTGTGGAAAATTTAAACAAAAAGGTGTTTATTTATTTAAAGTTTATCCAACAGATATTTCCTCTCCTAATTTACAACAAAAAAGTTTATTTGAATTTTCAATAAATATTTTTAAAAATATGGAGGAAGAGGAGGAGGAATGTGTTTCTAAATTTTTTGATAAAGAAGAGAATTCTAATTTAAATTTTAGAGAAAATTTGGGGAATTTAAGAAAAGGTTTAAGTATTTATTTAGCTAAAATTGAAAAGAAAAATAAAAGCAAAAGAATTAATTTTGATAATATTGCAAAATTTTATCCATTATTTCGTAATGGAAATTATGAATTTTATAAAGACAATGAAGGGAAGATTCTTGAGGAGAAATAAGCGAAATTTAAAAGAAAATAAAGAAAATAAAAATTTAAATTAATTAATTTAAAATTAAATTTTAAATATTTTAGTATAATTTTTAAAAGAAATATAATTCTTATTTAATAAATATTGGATAATTTTAATGATAAAATTTTTAATTCTGAAAGCATCCAATAATTATTATTTTATTCATTAGATTGTTAAAATATTTTATAAAAAATATAAGTGTGAGATCCCATCCCTGCAAACCCATCTCCTGACACCCCAAGTAAATTCTCCCTCGCTCCAAGTAATTTTTCCACATTTAAAAAATAATCTCTGAATAAAACTCCCCCCACCTTTATTTCAACATCATATTCCCAAGTTGTTTTCGGATTTTCATCGTAAACTTTGTTATTTGATTGGAAAACACCATAAACACTTAATCCACTTATAAGAACATTTCTGTCTACAGTAAAGCAGACTTTGTATTCACGTCGAGAACGGGGTTTTGCCGAAACAGAAAGAAAGCGTTGAACGACGTGTTTTGAACGAGAATTCTGTTCAAAAATATTTTTTAAAAAATAAATTTATTTTAATTACCGCTCGAAAGCCTTTACAGGCAAATCGACATGGAGGGCGTGGGCGAACTGTTAAATGAAGGAATACTTCAGCAATCTCTTCATATGTTAACAAAGAAGAGCTCGCTGCCTGCCCAAATTCATTTACATCCATTAAAGAAAATCTAATTAATTCCATTGCTGGACCCAAACATTTTCTAAGATTTTCAACTGTTGGTTGAATATGTTTACGAGAACATTCTGCTTCTGCCCAAGCTTTTGCTGCGTGGAAAATAATTAATTCTGATGAAGGGTCCAATTGATTTCGACCGAGAACATTAATTAATGTATCTCTATCAATATCAGCTATAGCATTGGCATGGAGTGCAATATCCGTATTTTGGTCAATTACTTGATAACACTAACAAATTTTTGGATGATTTTTTTCTTGATCTTTGCTTTGGATAAATACCTGTTCAACCAAAGTATTTTCATCCAATAACCGTGCCTGTGCTAGCAAAGAAACAGCATTTGTTGCAGTCAATCTAGCAGTACAATATCTAACACATTCTGTCACCAATGGGTGAATGTCATATTTTTTAGCGGCATAAAGTGTATTCATTACATTCTCTTCATTAAGTAAATTACGTCTTGAAAGGTTTTTTATGTCAAAATCACTGTAAACAAAATCAATCTAGAAAAGAAAAAAATATATCATTTTTTTATCCCCATTCTAGATTTACCAAAATAGCAAAAGCTTTAGGTTCACAATCTGGTACTCTAACCATTTGAAGACCTTTAACAGCCAGCTCAATTTTCATTGAATTCTCGTCAAAATTTAATTGTTGTTGGTGTTCTCCTTGTGATTGTACTGTTTTATGACCCAAGTTTTTTGGTTTAGAAATTGAGAAACGTCGCTTGACAATTGAACCACCCTCAAATGGATGAGAAATTTGACGATGAAAATGTGGAGGTTGTGGTGGAGGGATTTCTGCTATAAAAATATGTAGAATAAAACAAAAATAAGGGATAATAATTATTGCTTTTTCTGTCATTAATCAGAATTAAACCTCTTTTTCGAATACCTGAATGAACATTTCGATGTATTAAATTTCCCCCTTCATCAACTCCAGGATTGTGAGTAGTTCCAACAACACCAACAGTTGGAAATGTTTTAATGTCATTCACTCCGCGTAAATGATGCTCTCCTTCGAGAGATGAAGTAAGGGAAGACTCATTACTGAGATTATCTGGTTCTTCTTCATATTCTTCGTCTTCATACTCTTCATCTTCATATTCTTCTTCTTCTGCTCCCACAATATGCGCTGTTTTAGGTTGGATGTGTTGCAAATTTGACATACTAATAGCACCAGATGTTGATTCCTGCTGCTTACTAATTGAATTTTCGACATTAACTGCAGGATTTATTAGTCGAAGTGCTGTTGGTGATGAATCGCTAGCCAAAGGGCCATAAAACATTGCGAGAAAAACAGGAGAACTTGCTCCAAGGACTAATTTATGTGCTTTTAGTTTCTACAGAAAAAATAAAAAATTCAGAACAAATTTTCAAGTCCCAACTAAATACTTATACCTCCATTTCTTCTCCAACAACAAAAGCAACATCACATCCAATCTCTTGAAGCCTAAAATCATTTAAGCGTCTTGTCAATGGATTTGGTTCAGATGAGACATTCAAAGAATCTTTATTTTCATTATCTTGTTGGTCGTACGGAAAAGCCCCTCCGCTAGTTGTTCGTCTCATTTGCTCTTCCTAAGAAATTAGTAAATTAAAAACACCTTCATTATTTGCCTGTTTTTGTTGAAATTGATGGAAGCCATTGAAGGCTGATGGTGCTGAAGAAGAAAGAGAACCATCATCTCTTTCACGTACAGCACCAATACCTCCAGATGATGAACCACCGCCGACCCCATTCTCATCAGGTGGACGAAGATCCATTTGGAGGGGGAAAATACTTATATTATACTAAAATTTGAAAAATATTTTTAAAAAATCAAAAACTCTTTGAATTGGGCATAATTATTATTATTATTGTTTGAAATTTAAACTTATGTTTTATTTTAAAGTTTATTTGTTGAAACGTGACTCATCTAAATTATAGGATTTGTTGTATATTGACAGAATTTTCGAGATTTAAGCACAAGGTACGGGGATGTGTCACCTTCGAAATATCATAGGATAAACAATTTTAAAAAGTCCAAATGAGAGAAAAAAGGGTTATAGGTAAATGGGAAAAAATATTTGAGAGTACTTTATTTTTCTATAAGAAAATCAAAACAAAATGAGTAGTTGGAAGCTGCTTTTTCTAATAACAGAAGTTATAAAATGAGGGTGAAAAGACTAAGAAATTATAGCTTCAATCAGTGGTAAAGATAAATAGAAAAATAACAAAAGTGAGCGATTTTTGAAGATGTTTGGGTGTGTGGATTGGTAAAGAAGGATAAAGCTAAATACTATTGATCTTATTAGAAATCAGTAAATTGTGTTATGGATTTTGAAAGAATTTAGAAGAAACTAGCAACAAAAAATAAATTAGGGACGTGGTAGATGAAGCAGGTAGCTTGGAAAAATTTGTAAGAATTTTGAGAATTATGTAGATAGCTTCAAAACTGTGAATAATTTAGAAGTTTATTTCGGAATTTAGAAATTTTATTTTATTTTGGAAAAAAATTTAATTTAAATTGTCAACTGATTGGAAGAGATTTTGTCACAAAGAAGTGATAAATTAGAAAGAAGATGACAATGTACCCACTTGAAATTATATTGTGTATTTTGCTTTTTGTTAGCTATTTCTTTCCTCATTCAATTCAATTGACTACCTCAACTAGCCCCAAAAATATTGAATGACAGAGCGAGGAACAGCCACTTTAGCCAAGCCACCAAAAAGCTAAAAGAAAAAGCAAGAAGGGATACTTTGACTGATCAAAATATATAAAAAAGCAAAAATAGTTTTGCAAAGAAGTTTCAAATTTAGTAGTGTAATTAATAAAAATTAAAAAAAAAGATTATTTCACGTGCTAATTGATAAAAGATAAATTTAAAATATCCGTTGCAGACATTAATCTTTGAACAAAATATGTCACAAGATTAAAGTTGAAGACAGAATTAAAAAAATCTCTCTATATTTAAAAATAGTCAAACTAAAATAATGTAAACCCATTAAAAATATTCTCCCTTTTTATGTAGTTAAAATTATTTTTTTTATTTAAAGCAATTTATAAATATATTATTTTACAACGACACAAAAAAATAAGTAAGAATTGCAGCCAAATTTCACATAAAAGAAAGATCAAATGACAAGGAAAAAATTATTTTTTAGGAAATTAATGGAGAATAATTAATTTTATTATTTTCTTTCTTTGATTATTTCACAAAAAATGTATATAGCACAAACATAATCCCTGCAGAAAAAAGTGCTGAAGCTGGCAATGTAACAACCCAAGAAAGAGCTACATTTATCAAAACTTTCCAATCTACCCCCTCCCCAGCTTTTATTAATCCAACAAACATTACACTTCCAACCTTTAAAAAATAATTTTTTTTAAAATTAATTTTCTCAAAAAAAAATTACCAAACAATGAGTTGTCGAAATTGGAATACCTAATTTACTTGCACAGAGAACTGTTATTGCCATTCCAAATTCGATAGCAAAACCACTGAAATTTTAAAAAATATTTTTAAAAATTAAAATATTCTCTTTTACTTGCAAGGATTTATTTCTGTAATTTTTTTTCCAATTGTAGCCATAACTATTTTTAAAAAAAATAAAATTATAATTTTATTTTCAAAAAATTTCTACCTCTCTGTCCAAGCAACCAAAACCCCAAACAAGTTCCCGAAACTCCATAAAACATCATCCAAAGGGGAGTATCCCCTTCTTGAAAGACAGACCTCGTATTGTAAATTGACAACATTGCAACCTTTTTTAAATAAAAATAATTATTTAACAAAATATTTAAAACATACAAGAGGAGCAATTGTGTGGCTAACATCGCTTGCCTAAAATTAAAAAAAATAATAATTAAAAATAATTATTTACTCCATGGGAAAAGCCAGCAAAACATCCAGTAACTACCTACAAAAAATATTAATTAAATATTTAAAAAATAAAATATTTTCTTTTACTTGTATAATACTAAAAAGACGAAGAGTTCGTTGATCTTCTTTACGATCACGTCTCGGAATAAACCAACGCAGGATTCCTTTTGGAGCTAAAAATATTTTTTAAGTTGAGGAGGTTAAATGAGGAGTTCCCAAAGAATTCTAGATTATCATAATAGCATTCTTCCAGGAAGGATTTTTTCGGAGGGGCCAAGGGGGAGGGGGGAATTTTTAGAAGGCTGTAGGCAAAAAATTCACTTCTTTCCTCAGTCTCTCTCAAATTTTTTTCCTTGTCTCCATTTCGAGGATGGGGGGAATTACTTCTGGCTACGGGCCTGCATCTCCTCCCTCTCCCTCCATAACTAATATATTTCCTAAAAGAGAGAGAATTATGGGAATTAAAATTTTATTATTTTCTCGGGAACCTCTAATTTCTTTAAATTAACTAAAGTCAAAAACTAACAAAATTCAAAAGGTTGAAAACGATCATTATCCACTTTTTGTTGTTTCTCAATAACTCCATTAGAAATTCCTTCATTTGTTCCAGTAATAGAAATTGGATGAATTGTCGCCATTTTTAATTCGTTAGACTTTTTATTTTGAGAATTCTCTTCTTTATCCAATTCTAAGAAATTTATTTAAATTAAAAAAAATTTTACAAAAATTTACCGAGTGACCATTTTATAACTCTTGGACGGATAATAATTAAATAGCTGAGTGATGCAATAAATCCAACAGTAAAGCTAATCATTAAAGTTATCCAAAAAGGAATATTTTGAAGATGAAGAACTTTGGAACCCTCAAAGAGAACCATAAATGTGTAAAACGAAAAGCAAAGAAAATAAAATAAAGGCAATACACGAAGTCCACATTCAAATGGATTTTTCTTAAAAATTAAAAAGAAAAATTAAAAAAACCACAGATTTTTTACTCTTCTCAGCACAGCAAAATCAACACACATATAAATAGAAGAAGAAATAATTCCAGAAAGAATTGGAGAAACAAACCAAGAAATGGCTATTTTCCCAACAGTACTTTAAAAAAATTAATTTAATTTCCCAAGAAATTCAAAAAAAAACCTCCAATGTATTCCATCATTTCCTTTCATTAATAAAGTGAAACCGAGAGTAGAGCCAACAATTGAATGAGTAGAAGAGACTGGAAGACGAAATAATGTTGCAAGTACCAACCAACAACTACAACCGCCAAGTATGGCAACTTGCCCAACAAGTAAAATTTCTGGTTGGTCTTGATAGAGGCTTATCTCGACAATACTTTTACGGACAGTGTCTACCACATTGTAACCTTTATTTGATAAAAGAGGGGGAAATTAATTAAAAAAGAATTTTTTGGTTGGCCCAATTTTTATTTTTTCAAAATTTTTGTTAACAAAACAAGACAACAAACTCACCAACAAGTGCTGCCCCAGCAGTTTCCATTAAAGTTGCCATTATCTTTAGAAATAAATTTAAAATAATCAAAAAAATCCACAAACATTTGCTTGTTTTAATGTCAAAACTTTAGATCCAACAGAAGTTCCAAAAGCATTAGCTACATCATTAGACCCCATTCCAAATCCAAGAAGAAAAGAAGTTACAAATCCAGCAATAATTACCCACAAAAATTTACTCTAAAAATTAATTTAAAATTAATTTCTTTAAACAATCATTTACCTTAAATTCTTCCAAAGTTAAAGCTACAGTTGTGCTAGCCAAAATAGGCAAAATTGTGCTTAACATTTTGTTGTTTTTAAATAACGAAGTTGGGGTAGTTGTTGTTGAATCCATTTTTTGTTTAATTAAAAGTAGGTAGTTATTTTTTAATTTATTTTTAAAGGCAATAAATATTTACAAAAATTATTTCATCTAAAACAGAGGGATAAAAGAAAATAATAAAAAGAAACTACTTTTATAAAATTAGAAAACAAAAGAGCATGGGGATAATTAAATTTTAATAAAATCAAAGAATAATTAATTTTTGAATAAAACGCGAAAAGAAACATAATGCCAAAATGCGAAAATTAAAATTTTGAATTAAAGTAGAAGAATGATAATTTTTATTGTATTAATTAATGTTTAAAAATAATTAAAAAGGGACAAAACCAAGTAGGCGCGCGGCCATATCGCCGCAAAGCCATAACTTGCTGGCAAATTTCTGGCTCTTATCAATTTTGGTACCAATCTCTTTAGCTCGATAGAGGAATCGTTACTAAATTTGTTGATTCGAAAATCTTGAAGCAAGTTATGGCTTTGAGCCGTAATGTCCGCGCGCCTACTTAGGCTGTACCAATTAAAAATATTCTTTTTTACTATAAAATTATTTTTATTTAAAATATAAATTCAGCATTACTCAAATATAAATTTACTACAATAAATTCGGCGGATTAATTTTTTTATAAATTTTGAAAAAAATTTTCTTTGATCTTTTATTTAAAAAAACAATAATTTTAATTGGACATAAAAATTTTTTTTAATTTACTAAAAATAGAATTTAAAAACATAAACAATGGAATTCCTTATTATTAAAAATTGTTTGGGTAAACAATTGAAGAGATGATAAAAAAATAAAAAATATTGAAAAAAAAATTTTATTTGAATGACTAATGCGCATAATTGAACATTCATTCATAATAGATAATACACACAAATATATATTTTAATAAAAAATTGTTCATTCCCTTATTCACAAAAATATGAGGAATATAAATATATTTATTTATTGTTCAGCGGTAAAGATCAATCAATTCACAGTAAATACAGCCCTTTCAATAAAAATGGAACGGGGCTACGTTTTTGTTATTTTTTTGAAATAAATTTGTTTAATTTTTGCATAATAATTGTTTAAAAAATTGGAAAAACAGAGAAGAATTAAAAAAGAATAATTAATTAAATAAAATTAAAGCGGATAAGAGAATATTTTAATTATTATGCAACTGACAAGAGTTTAAAAAAATATTTTTAAAAATTAATTGTTTACAAAAGACAAACAATTGAAAGGTTTTTAGATTCCCGAAATTTTAAAGTGGAGAAACGAGAGAAAGAAAGGAAAGTAAACTTGTTTCTAATTTATTTATTAAGATTTTAGCTTAAATTTAAACAAAAAACGAATAATCGCAAAAGCTAATAAATAGTAAAATTTAAAAATATTTAAAGGGAAGGAAGTAAATATAAAAATTAATTAATTTTTTAAAAAATAAAATTTTGTTTTTAATACAGAAATATAATTAAAAACAATTCCTTCATTAAAAAATTTAATTTTATTTGAGGACCTTTTAATTAATTAAAAATTATTTTTTAATTAAAATTTTTTTTTCAATGTCATTATTTTATCCAAGAAAATAATTTGATCTATAAACTTCCAAAATATGATTGAAAATGGATACTTTTTATTTCCTTTTTGTTTAAAGAGTTGCCGCTAAAAAGGTGAAGAAAGGTGAGAAAAACAAGAAAAAATAATTATTTTTTGATTGAAAGTTGTAATTAATTGTGATATGTAGGTTTTCATATTAGTTATCACAGTAGATATTGGAGATTATTTACTTTTTTAATTTTTTTATTTCTTTTTTGCTTCTCCTAATGTTTAAAATAAAAAATTTAAAAAAATATTTTAAAAAACAAATCAATCGTCGATTGTTAGGTCCTAAGTAGACACTTAAAATTTAATAGTTATCTACATCTACATATTTATATGTTGTTAAATTAATAAATAATTATATTTAGATGGTTTTCTCAATTCAAATAGAGAGACAAACAACAATTAGGAGAAATAATAATTTTAAAAATATTTATGAAAAATTATTTAAATTATTAAGGATTTTTGTTTTATCATTTATATTATCGATACAAAGAAACAAATTAAATGTTTTGAGTTGTTGTTCTACACCAGAGTTGGTTTAAATTAATTCAAAGAAAAATTTTTATTTAAATTTACAGACCTAGTTCTACAGCAACTACACTTATGACTACAACTACCTCCACAACAACAACAACAACAACGACAACAACAACTACTACCACAGCTGGTAATTTAAATTAATAACGATAAATTCTAACAAAACTCTTTTAGTCTGTACATGTCCATCTGGGACATCAGGAATTATTTACAATTCTACAGATTCTCGAATATTTCAATTTAATATGCCTCCAGCATCTGCAACGTGTGGAGGTTGCCCTGCTGGATATACAGAGGTATACTGAGGGTTTTAACATTACTATTCATTTTAGTCCTGTTACCCAACACAATCAGATAGTAATCCAGCTAATGACATTGCTGATGTCGACGCACAATGTGGAACGGCCGGTATTCCAAATTATTCCACATTTTGTGCATGTCCATCAAATGGCCAACAATGTTTTACTTTTAATCAGCCTAATCAAGTATTTGATGTTCAGTTATATACTTTTTGTGATGCTGGAGGAAGTAATATTTTCATTGTAATTACTATATTTGGATAGAATTTTAAATAATTTATCAATATTTGAAAATAACAATTTAAGCTTGCCTAACATATCTGGTTTTCTTCTCAAATTCCAACACCGACTTTATCAGCAATAATGCCCAAACAGTTACTTTTGTTCAACAAACTGATGGGGCAGGAAATCTACAACCATTCTCCCAAACATCCCCTTATGTTAAAGCCCCAACAATTGCAAGTAAAAATACGAAAAATATTAAAAGCTTAGATAAAGCTTAGCAATAGGGAAAAAATTAGTGTAAAAATTATTTTTTAGTTAGTTGTGATGGTTGCAATACTATATCAACTAATAATGCAAACACAGGAACGGCTACAACATGTTCTGGACCTTTAACAATGTCTGGCTAATTTTGAGATAATTATTAATTGTTTATATAAATAAATATTTGTTTTTTATTTTAATTAAAAGTATAAATTTATTTATTATCTAATTTTTAAAGACATACCTTTATTAAATACTATACATTATATTAATATTTTATATACTTTTTCTAACTAATTTTACTGCAAAACTCATTCGAAAGTAAATTCAAAATGAATTCATTATTTTTAATTTAAAAATTTTGGACATATAAATAATTAAAAATAAATTTAAAATTGTTGAATTAATAAATAAATTTTAATATTTGTACATATGTAGAGTAATCTTCCCCCTAAGAGAATAAAATTCCGTCTGGGCCCGTAGAATAAATTCGAGGGTAAGGTTACCCGGGTAGCGGCAGCGCCGACTTGACCCTAAGCAAAGGGTTTGGCGCCGCTACCCGCTTCTTATTCTCCCTATTTAGGAGAAAATTCATAACTTTTTTTTAAATGGCGATAAAAATTTTATTTTTATGCCAAAACATAAATTGGAATGTTAACTATGTCTTACCAAAAAATCAAAAATTTTGACCGACCTATCTAAAAGTTATGAATTTTCTAGCAAGGTACTACTTTTCCTTAAAAAATGACTAAAAAATGAGGTACTTTTTTCTAAAAATTGCCATAAATTGATTTTCCAATAAAAAATTCCAAAATTTATATCATTAAATAGAGGACATTTCAAACTATCCAAAAATATTAAATTTATAATTTTTCCATGAGATCTCGATTTTTAAGGATTTTTTAAATAAAATGTCTACACTGCCCCTTAGCAGTGTAACAATTTTACCCTCCACCTCTACCGTATTCTTTTCCTCTTTCTTTTCTTCTTCATTTCTTCGGCGCAAGGATTTTTCTCTTTTCTTCGTTTTGTGGGGGAAAAGTTACTCGGGTAACCTAACCCAGAATTTATTCTACGGGCCCTGAAGAGAATAAAAAAATAGTTTCACGCTAATTATTTACTTTAGCCGCATAGATGTTTTTTTATTTAAATAAAAAATTATTCGTTTATAATTTCTTTATGTGATATATCATTTATTTATCTTGACAAGAGGTTATAAAACAAAAATAAAATATATATTTAATTAATATATATACAAAATATAATTATTAAAAAAGTTTTTTTGTAGATTCTTTCTTGTATGTAATTTAAAATTTAGTTAAATGTACTACTATAAACAAACTAAAAACTCTTCTCTAAATTTTCGAAATATTTGGATATTTAAATTATTAAGGATTTTTGTTTTGTTTATTTTGTATCTGCAAGGAAATAAAAAACAAGTTTTAAGTTGCCTTTCCACACCAGAGTTTGTTTTTAAATTTTTTAAATAATTTTTACAAAAAATTATTTCTGAAGACCAATCTCCACATCAACAACAGTTATAACTAGAACTACAACAAGTACAATACCTACTACTACATCAACTAGTACATCAACATCAACTACTACAACAACTACTACAACTACAACAACAACTACAACATCGGGTAATTATTATAGAATTTAAATAGGAGGGGTGGCTTGAAGACAATTTTCGGCTTTAAATGAATAAAGAAATATTTAAATTTAATTCTCTAAATTAAGTCTGTACATGCCCATCTGGGACATCAGGAATTATTTACAATTCTACGGACTCTCGTATTGTTAAATTAAATATGCCTTCAGCTTCTGCAACGTGTGGAGGTTGTCCTTCTGGGTATACACAAGTAAATTAACGATTGAATGTCCAGTCGTTCTATCATATTATTTTAGTCATGTTATCCAACCCAACCAAGTACTGACCCATCTAAGGATTTTCCCGATGTTAATGTACATTGTGGAGGGGCTACCCCAAACTATGCAAATTTTTGTGCTTGCCCGTCTAATGGCCAGCAATGTTTTACTTTTGGACAAGCTAAACAAGTGTTTGATGTTCAATTATATACTTTTTGTGATGCTGGAAAAAGTATTTTTTAAGTAAAGTTAATTAATTAAAAATTATTTTAAAGCTTGTTTAACATATCTTATTTTCTATTCAACTGATGATACTGATTTTATAAACAATAATGTACAAAGTGTTACTTATGTTCAAGAAAATAGTGCTACAGGAAATTTATTACCTTTCTCACAAAGTTCCCCATATGTTAAAGCACCAACAATTGCAAGTAAGTAAATCAGTCTGATGTTAATATACTCCTCGATTTACGAGCTTACTCGAGATTGAACTTTCGGACCGAGATTAGACTGTGTAAATTAAATTTAAAAAGGATTGTGAATTAAATATTTATTCTTAGTTAGTTGTGATGGATGTAATACAATTTCTAATAATAATGCAAAAACAGGAACGTCTGTTACATGTTCAGGACCGTTAACTACTTCTGGCTAAACAAAGAACGAAATTATTTTAGGAAAATATTTTTTTTTAATTTACACATTTATTTAAATAATTTATCTAATTATTTTTCAACTTCAAATATGTAAATATTAATTATTTTGTTAAAATTATAAAATAATTCTTTATGGTACTTATAATTTTGAAGAGCTTTAATAGGATGGAATAAATGAATAAGTAGATAAACTTAATTCTAATTTTCTGGTGAATTTCACAATTTAAAAAATTCATAATTTTAGGAGAATTGTACTGAATAATCAACAAAATAATAAATAATTATATTTAAACTAAATATTATACTATTAACAACCATTGTTCTTTTAAATTTATATATTTAATTTATGTTTTTCTCATAATTATATGTATGTATGTACATATTAAGGATCAAATTTCATGGATATTTAATTCTCAAGTCTGATTTTCCTCTTTAAAACTAAATTCAAATAAACTCTGTTCCAACTTATTTTTAGTAAATTACATTGGGATCGAGAACGAACGATTTTCAGACTTTAATAATTATTCCCCGGATATTTTATTTTTTATTCCACAAAAATTTTTTTATTATTTATACCTAAGAAAGTAAAAATAAAAGAATATAATATGTATTTAACCGTGAATTTATTTTCAAGTAAAAAACAAAACGATTTGTGTGTTCAACCTTAATTATTTCTTGATATTTAGTTATTTTTTATAAAAAATATCTCTTTAATATAATTTTACGGAGTTGATTTAACTAAAAAATATTTATCTTTTATTTAATAAAAGTGACAATTAATTTAATAAAAATAATTTATATACATATTTATTTATGTAATTAATATTTTAACATTATTTAATTAATATTATTTGAGACATTGTAACATAAGATAAAAGAAATCAGAGTTAAATTAATATATTAATTAGCCTAAAATTGAGACAAGAAACAGACTTCCTATTAAAAATTAAATAAAAATAATAAAGACGAAACTCTTTAAGAATTGACTCAATTTTCTCTTATTTTTTTCAGTTCCTCATAATGTTTCAACCATCAAAACAAATTTTAAAATTATTAAAAATTTTTATTTTATTTATTTTGTATCTGCAAGGAAATAAAAGACAAGTTTTAAGTTGTTTTTCTACACCAGAGTTTGTCTACCTTATTTAAATAATTTTACATTAAATTTAGACCTATCACACGTTCAACAACTACAGTTATTCCCAGAACAACAACTATATCAACTAGACAAACAACAACAACTTCTATTCCCACAACCACAACCTCTGCCATTATACCAACAACTACAACAACCTCTATTATAACAACCCCTACAACAACCACACCCTCAACTACTACAACTTCTACTCCATCTATTATTACTACCACACCAACTACCACACCAACAACAACAACACCAACTACTACAACAACTACAACACCTACTACCACAACAACTTCCACAACTACGACGACAACTACAACTACTACAACAACGACAACAACGACAACTACAACACCCGGTAATTAGTAATTTAAATAAGGCTTATTAAATAGAATTAGAGAATTTTGATATAGCATGTATATGTAGAATATTTGATTTAAATCATGAAAAACATTTTTAAACGGGCGCAGAAATAAATCAGACAAAAATACTTATAATCTAATCATTATAAAAAAATTTTTAGTCTGTACTTGTCCAGCTGGATCATCAGGAATTATTTACAGTTCCGGAGACCCTCGAATATTTCAATTTAATATGCCTCCAGCAACTGCAACATGTGGAGGTTGCCCTGCTGGATATACACAAGTAGAAGAAATATTAAATTGAAACTTATTATCAAATAACCAAGTTATTTTAGTCATGTTATCCAACACAACCAGATAGTAATCCAGCTAATGATGTTGCTGATGTTTCCGTACAATGTGGTGTTTATTCCACATTTTGTGCATGCCCATCAAATGGGCAACAATGTTATACTTTTAATCAACCTAATCAAGTAACTGATGTGCAATTATTTACTTATTGTGATGCTGGAGGAAGTAATAATTATTTATTTATTTTTTGTGGTATTTATTCTGAACTACGAATTTCCTTCCCATACTTCTTTAACTTTTAAAAACAATTTAAGCCTGCCTAACATATCTGGTTTTCTTCTCAAATGACAACACAGACTCTATCAGCAATAATGCCCAAACAGTTACTTATGTTCAACAAACTGATGCGACAGGAAATCTACTACCATTCTCGCAAACATCTCCTTATGTTAAAGCCCCAACAATTGCAGGTAGTAAAAATACAAGAAAAATATTAAAAGTTTAACAATAATCTGAGCTTAACAATTAGTCATAGGCCAGGAATTAATGTAAAAAAATTATTTTTTTAGTTAGTTGTGATGGTTGCAATACTATATCAACTAATAATGCAAACACAGGAACGTCTGCTACATGCTCGGGGCCTTTAACGACCGCTGGCTAAAATATCATAAATTAAGAGAAAAATATTAGAAAAATATTTTTATTAAATTTTATTTCAATTAAAAATATAATTCGGGTTATTATGTAAAAATATAGATAGCATCACTGAATAATTTACTTGATTTTCTTTAAATTTTATTTAGGAAATAGTTATTGTCTTTTAATTTATTTTAAATAATCAAAATAAATATTTATTTAATTTATCAATAACTTCTTTCGTTAAAATTCCCAATTTTCTTTTTATTTTAATCCACAAAAAACAACTTTAAAATCGGGAGAAATTCTTCCATCTACTCCTTTACAAGTAAATAAAGAAGTATGATCATCATAAGCATATAAATAAGATGTTGGACAAACAGTTTTAATTTCTTTTTTTTTAAATTTATTAAAAATTAATTAAAATTTACTTGTGTAAATATCATTTTGTGCAGCATTCCAACCATTTCTGCATTTATTTCCATCATTGTAAGCATTTTTACAACAAGTAGCATCAGTATTATATTGACTACATAAACTTCTTATTGCGACTATTTTCTTTAGAAAATAAATAATTTTATGTAGATAAAATTATTTTAAGAAATCATTTTCATTTAAAAATGTAACAAATATTTTTTTTAATTTTATAAGAAAAAATTATTCCTTAACAATTTCCCCCAAAATTAAAAAAAAATTTTTTTAAAGTTAGTGGAATTATTAAATTATTTTTGTTCAATTTTTTGGAATAGAAATTAATAAAAATATTTTTTATAAGAAACTGTCCAGAATAAATTTTTAATTAAATTATTAAATAAATACCGCGTTATTATCTTTCATTTCTATATTGTATTTTTGTAAATCCAAATTTCGTTGATCTTCTGTACAGCTAATCTCTTTACAATTTCCAACAGCTCCATTAAAAGTTCCAGCTATTGGAATTATTTGTAAAGGTATATTAGATCCATCTACATAACTAACATCATAATAACTAAGCCCCCCGTCTCCATTAAGAGTAAATTCGGCTAATGATGCGGGGATTTGTCCTTCAAGTCCGTTACATTCCAAAACACCCTAAAAATATTTTTAGAGATATTCTAAGAGGGAGTATTTTAATATATCCAAAATTAAATTAAAATTTACATCTTCACTAGTTTAAATATAAACAAATAAATAAAAATACATTTCCACAAGACCCTGTAATACATATCATATTTTCTCCACAACCAGTTCTTGGCCAGATACGGGCAGATTTCCAATCTGGGGGAACAGAAAGGCTTTGAACTTGACCTGGTTGCAAAGGACCAAAACCCCCGTTATTAGGTATCGGGCCATCATTTTTAATTGCCGGCCAAATTGGTTCACTACAATTATTAAACAATTCTATCGTTACCACTTTAAAAATAAATTTAAAATTATTATATGTAAATTAAATTTCAAACTTTGGGGGAAAACTTCAATATTTAATGTGAAGTTGAGTAATAAAATAAATAAATAATAAAACATTATTTTAATTAATTAAATGATCTTTAACACTTACATATATTTACAAAATATTAAATTCTAAATTCTTTTTAAATATTGCCTTTTTAATTTCAAAATATAAAAAAGAAGCGATGAACTTTATTATAGACTTTAATAATTGCTGTTTATTAAGCGATTATTTGGAAATTTTATTGAGAAATAATTTTAGTTTTTGTTTTGAATTAAATTAAAATTCTAAAAAGACGAGTAATATTCAGGAATTATCATACCAATTCACTTTTTTAAATTAATTTTTATTATTGCGCATAGTCAGACATTGAGAACTCTTATATTAATGTAAAAATTTTATTTAAAATTTATTGTTGTTATTTTTTCAGTCAAAAAAATTTAACAGATTTATAAAGGTTTATATAAAAATATTTAAATAATTAAAAATATTTTGGGTCGACTCTCACTATAGTCTACACACTATTGTGTAGAACTCATCATCAGTTTATAGTTTAAATTTTTTAATTTGGTTGATCATTGTATGAGCTGACTTAGGTAAATCACAAATTTATTATATCACCCCTTCCTTTTCTCAACTCCAAAGGGTGTAGATTATAACGAGATTTGACCTTATCAAAAATTAATCTTTAATTTCTTCATTTTCATTCACATGCTAATTTTCCATGGAAGCTAGTCATTGCTAAAATAAATTTTCATCCGAAAAATTTTTATTTAAAAATTTATTTTTACCAATTCCAAATGCTTGTACAGGTGTTAAAGGATAACGCTAAAAAGAAAAATATTTTCTAAAATAATTTTTAAGAAAAAACTAACAACATCCATAGTAAATGTCTCATTGTCAAGTCGGCCAAATTGCATTATTACATATTCACCTTTTTTTTAAATTTTATTAGAATATTTTAAAAAGAAAAATCTAAGAAATACAAAAATGTTACATAATAATTACATAAATTAATTTAATTGAAATTTACTTGGATCTGGAATTACTTGAATATTATTATTATTTTGATGATTCATTTCAGACTGAGAAGCTAAAAATAATTAGTATTTTTCTTAAAAAATTATTAAGTAATTACCATGCATTGAATGGACAATTTGAAAATTTTTAACAGAAGCTTGTGTAACTCTTCCATGGAAATTTAATACATATGATTGAGATTCTTTTTTAAAATAAAAGTTTATTTTAGATAAAAGCTAATTTAACAAAAAAATACTACAAATTTAGATAACTTTAAATGCCGTAAATGCTCTAATTAAAGCCCTAGGCATCTATTTTTCAACAGGTTACTTTGGGTGGGATTGTATTATTTACTAGAGATGTGCGAGACCGAAATTTTTCCAAGACTCAAGACCCAAGACAAAATTTTTTCCAAGACCAAGACACAAGACCAAGACCAAAACTCCAAGACTCAAGACCAAAAATCAAGACCAAATTTTTAAATCCCATAGGTCAAATTTTTGGTTTATTTTTTGTTATTTTGATACGATCACAGTCAACTTCAGCACAATTATCTATAATTTCGAAAAATTTATGCGAAATTCAAAGAATTTCGGGGAATTTATTCTGTGGAAAATCAATAAAATAGGTTATTATTTCAGAGGGTTTGGGTGGATTAACGGGATATTAGTGATATCAAAAGATTAAGAGGGATAGCCGTGGGATTTAGCGCCGCAGGCGAAAATTTTGGGAATTATGAAAGCAAAGAAGCCAAAAATCTTCCTTTTCCTGCGCCGCAGGCAAAAATTTTGAAAATTTTGGAAGGCCGTAGGCCAAAAAAATTCACATTTTCAGCGCCGCAGGCGAAAATTTTGAGGATTTTGGATGGCCAAGCACTAGGTCCAAAAAGGCCAAAAAACCAAGACCAAAAAATAAAACCAAGACAAGACCAAGACAAACACCCCAAGACCAAGACCAAGACCAAGACCGAAAAAAAACCAAGAAAAGTCTTGGTTCCAAGACCAAGACCAAGAGTCTCGCACATCTCTATTATTTACCTTCATTCCAAACAGGCTGTTTATTATTAAGAACAACCATTTCATCCAATCTATTAGTTCTATATCTTTCTAATATTGAATCTCTCTCCTTAAAAAATATTTTTTTTAATATATAAATATTTACCGAAATAGGTCTAACAGCTAAAGGACGTAAATAATTATGTTTAGGGTCAATATATATTCCTTTAAATTAAAATATAAATTTAATAATATTTTTAAAAACCAGGCATTATAATAGTCATCTTTCTTGGGCCTTTTAATCCAAGTACATTCCTTTCCTAAAAAATTATTTTTCCATTCAAACGGTCAAAGAAATCTTTTAAATTTAAAATATAAGAAAATTACATAAATAACAGCTGCCAACTCTCTTCTAATACTTTCCCCAACAGCTGAAGGCTTTTTAGGGTTTTCTCCATTATCATAAATTGTAAACATTGTACCCATTGCATTTGACCTTTTTTTGAATTACAAAGAATTTTTTAAATAATTTATTTCTCACCTAACTTTAGCCATAAAACTTTGCCCATTTCTTCTTAAATCTGTTGGGTCAATTGAAATCTAAATTTAATTTTATTTAATGACTAAATATTTAAATTAACTAAATAATTAGCTGTTGTTGCTTTTTTTCTTCTTCTAGCAGCCAATAAAAATGTCTAAAAAAATATTCTTTTTTCTTCAAAATTCCCAAAAACAAACCCTTCGCCCATCATTCTTTTCTAAATGTAAATAATATGTTGGAAACATTCCTTTATCCACTCCTCTTTTATCTCTAGAAATTCGGCATTTTAAAGTACAATTCTTTCTAATGGGTTCTATAATATGATAAAATTATGGAAAAATTATTTAATAAATTTATATTTACCCATTACAAATTGTTCTAAATTTTCGTTAACATCCAACATTTCAAGAGGTTCATCATTCAGAATTTCTGTTGGTATTGAACTAAATTAGTGTTTATTGTCTAGGATCTATAAATATAATATTTAGGATCTATCAGCTAGACATACCCCCCCCCCCACCCCAATCCTCCGACTTTTTAGTTAGGATTAAAATTAAATTAAAATTAAAAATAAAATTGATTAAAATTAAATCCTCCGACTCTTTAGGATTATTTCTTGTTTTACATTCAATCTTTAATTTAAATAAATATTTCTCTTTTTTTTTACCCTTCATCATCATCAACTTCATCCTCCCCATCATCATTCCATGACGGTCTTTTACTTGCCAAAGCTGTTGTAGATGAATGTGACTGTTGGGCAGAACTTCTACCGCTAACACTTTTTTGAATATTTAAACCTCGAAATCCTTTAATTTTTAACCAAAAAATTTAGAAATTTATCAAATCATCCAAAACCTCCATCATCCTCATCGACTTCAGAGCTAAATGAACTAACATAACTAACAGGTTCCAAATGTTCAACATTAAGTATTGGCTTACGCAAAGAATTATTTTTGTTGTTTTCATCGCTTTAATTAATTAATTAGTAATTTAATTAATTATTATGTAACCTTGATTTTCTAGATTGAGGTGGAGTAAATCCTAAATATATTAGATAATTGAATTTATAATTATTTTATTTTATTTTTGATTAATCTGAGTTGTTTTTGGGTTATTTCCTCCTTTAATTTTACTTGGTATTTTTCGATTCTATCACCCAAAACAAGCAAACAATATTTAATTTAATTTATTCTAAACCTTTAACAGTAATTATTTTTGCATCACCAATTATACTTGTTGGTGTTGGAGTACTTGAAAATGAAGATGTTGATGTACTAGTAGATGAATATTGTTGTTGTTGTTTATTTAATATTGAATTGTTACTTTTAAAATTTTGATTTAAGGAATTATTGTTATTTATTAATTGTTGATTAGTGGAAGTTGCTGCAGATGATATTAAACTACTATTTTCATTTCCAGCAAAAGAATAGAGACTTCCACTTAAAATTAATAATTTTTGATAATTAAAATTCAAAAATTCTTTGTCATTAAATTCTCAATATTTTTCTCAGATTTTAGGGCAATTATAATCTGAAAAATTATTTAATAACCTCGAATGTATTTGACGTCCTCCAACATTATTTATATTTTGAGATGTGGAGGGTGTTGTAGTAAATGTTGAATTTAATTGTGGTTTGGAATTAAATACATCTTTTGCTTAAATTAAAATTTAATTTTAAAAAAATAAAGTGAAAAAACAATTATTTATTTGAAAATTCTGATTTTCATTTTGTCCATTTTCGTTTGTTTTGAAGACTGTACTTGTTAAATTAGCTTGTAATCTATATTTAATATTTTTTAATTAAAAAATAAATTTCTTTTAAACCTTCGCTGACGTTGTTTTTCTAATAATTCCCTCTTAATTAATTTTTAAATAAATTAAATATTTTAAAGAATATTTACCTGTCTTTGCAAATTGTGATTAACCCACCGATCACTAGCACTCATTTTTAAATTTAAAATAAATTTGGAGGGATATGAATATTAAATATTCTTGTAGAATCAGAAAATGCTTATAATTTAAATAATGAGAGAGTTTTAAAAAAAATTTAGAAGTCTTAATTAATTATAATTAATTGTTAATTCCAATGTTTTATATAAATAGAAATTAATCTCAGTACTTCTAGGATATAACTTTTTTGGACTAATATTTAATTAAGAAGAATCCTTTATCTATCCATAACGTAAATTTCATTATTCTATTGAAAGTCTTTATTTGAAAATTAAAAACAAAATATTAAAGAATACATATAATTTAATTTTAGGTATTTTTAAAATTAAATAGGTAATTTTGAATGCCATTTATTTATTTTTATTGATAATAAAAAAATATTTTTAAAATAAAATGAATGGTTGGTTGATAAATACAAGGCAATAAATCCTTATATTAAATGTTGCCAAGGAAACGATTTTTATTGGCTAAATTATGACTTTAAAGTGAAAATTAAGAAAATGAACTTTATGTATTTCGCATAAAAATATAAAATAATTTAAATGTAGCAAAGAAAGGTTAAAATTTTTAAAAGGGTAATAAATTTATTATGAAGTCTAAATTTTCAAAGTCTGGCATTGCCTATTACAATTCCAAAATTCTGAACTCGCAAAATGCTGGAAACTTTTTGAAATGGAGTATTATAAATTAAAAACTGATATTAAAATTAAATCAAATTAAACATTTTCTATTTATCTTTTAATTTAAATTAAATAAATAAATTGGTCTTAATTTAAAATAATTAAAATATTTTAATTTTACAAAAAAATAATTATAAAGAAAAACTGTGTTTTGCTTCTATTGAAGTGCAAATTATACAAAATAAAAGTTTTAAGATTTTTAATCAAAAAATAAATTTAATTAAACTTTTCTTACACTTATACATAAATTTAAAAAATTAAACAAATTTAATTTTGACAAAAATTCTGAAAAAACCAAATATTTTAATCAAAAGTACAGAATAATCATCTAAATAAATGTATATAAATACAAGGTAGGAATTCTAAAAATATATTTAAAAAATATTTTATAATTTCTATTTCTTTAAAATAATAATAAAATATTCATGCTGTTAAAAAATTATCAAAAAACATTGTTTGCTCATCGCCTAATGAAAAACTGTAAAAAATTTAATTATAATTTACAAATATTTATTTTTAATATTTTAATTTTTGGATATCTTTAATTAATTTTTTACCCAAAAGTACAAAATAAGTTGTTGCCTTAAATTTTAATAGGGACTTGTTAATTTTAGGTTTAGAAACATAATATCTAAAGTTTCATACCGGAAACATACCAATCGAAATTTTGAGATCTAGTGCTTATAAATTAGACCTAGACATTCTAATCTATAAATTAACACATTTTTAATTTCCCAAAGATTTATTGAAGGAATGTTTTCCTACAAATTTCCATACAAATCCAATATTTACTTCTCCAATAATAACTTCTACAATAAACTCAAAAAATTATTTTTCTTTGCCAGCAAATACAGATAAAGTTAAATTAATAAAAATTTAATTAAAATTCTTCAATTTTGCAGAAAATTCAATTAAAAACTGTGCCAAATATGGAAATTAATCTTTTAAAACCAAATGATAAACAAGTGGAAGAGGAGATTTTAGAATTTTTATTGGATCATTTTCTGATTGATGAACCTCTTTTTGAGGGATTAAAAATTAGTAGAGAGGAAGTTATTCCCTTCTATAAAGGCTTGGAATTACTTTTAGAAATTTTAAAAAAGGAAAATTCTTTTTTAGAAATTATTAAAATATGTTCAAAAGAACCACCAATTTCAATGCTTGTAAGGTCCAAAAATGAGGAAAATAAATTAGTTGCTGTTATGTTGGGGCAATTAATAAATAGAAATGGGCCTCAAAATGATTTTTATAAAATAAAAGGAGAAAAAACAAAATATTCTCCGAATGTTGATATTTATTGTAAATTAGTACATTTATGTGAATCTTGTGTAAGTCTAAAAAGAAATTTAGAGGAAGTGTTGTCTAAAGTTAATTTAGGATAATAGTAACATTTTCTAATAATAATTAAGAATAAATATAATTAGATATCAGTTTTACATACGTAACAAGTATCTATATTCCCCCACCCCCTAATTTATGATAACTATATTTTTTAAAACCTGGATAGTTCCAGATACAACTTTGTCAATTTTTTAAAGGTATGGGATTTACTACCTAAAAATATGGTTAAATTGTGTAGCGTTGCTTTTCTGTCAGTTCACAAAGATTACAGAAAATTAGGTATTGGGTACCAAACAACAAAAGAATTAGTTAATTATTTACGTCAAATGGGGGATGTTCAAGGATTTGTTTCTGAATTATCTGCCGTTGGAACACAAAAAGTAACAAAAAATAATTTTATGAAAATTATTTTTTAGATTTCCAAAGAAATTGGTTTTGAATTATTACTTCAAATACCTTATGAAGGATGGAAAGATGAAAAAGGAAATCAAATTATTAAAGCTAAAGATGGGGCTAAAAGTTTAGATTTACAATGTTTATTTCTTTAAAGGAAAGGAAAAGGGAGAGAAAAATGAAAAAATTATGTAAAATGGAAATAATTTTTGATTAGTTTATTATAATAAATTTTTAATACTTGAGATACATTTGTAATCACCAATTTTTACCAAATACTTAAATCAAAATAACAAATAAAATTAAAGAGAAAGGGATATGTAAAAATTATTTTGTTGAAATAATTTCCGACTTTTCCAAATTTTGTGTTGTTTTATTATGATGTACAGGTAAATATAATTTAAATTCTGCAGGTAATTCATCTTCTGTATAAATTCTATCAGCAAAATAAACTCTTCTTAAACGACAATTTGCGTGGATCTAAAAATATATTTTTAATTTCTTTGATAATTTAATGTTCTCTTTTCCCCTTTATTTTCCCCTAATTAAAGTTATTAAAGTTTAAAAAACATTTCTCGACAAAATCTTTTATAAAGAATGTTTTTAAATTAATTTTTAATTATTCCTAGTAAAATATAAATTGTTTCAAATAGGAAAGCAAAGCAAATTAGCTCCAAAAATTTCCCCTACCTGAACTCTCAAAGTCTCAACATAACTCGTTCCATAAGCCCTCTTAACAAAATCAGACAAATTAAATTGTACTTGATTCCACCCTTCATCTAAACGCAAAGGCATTGTACAAATAAAAGGTTTAACTCTCGTTGTTGATTGAAAATTAGATGCTCTAAAACGCCTTTTTGTTCCTTTATCGTCCAAAATCTTTTTTTAATTAATTAAAAAATTAAACATTTTTTTAATTTTACCTGAACTTCAAAAGTAAAATATTTATTTAAATTTTTGACAGTCATAAAAAAGAAAGGCAATTTAATGCCTAAAGTTTTCTTTGGATCAAGAGGGCAGCTTATATATGTTGTGCTGAAATATTTTTATGATATATTTTTTTGAAAAATTTTTCGAATTTTGGAAATGAAAACAGAATTGGAAATGAGTAATAAATAAATTAAATTTAAATTTTTCTCAATAAATTTAGCAATGTCTTTGGTAAAATTAGACTTAATAAAACGACAAAATTTAAAAATTCATAACGGTTAGACAAAAGGAAAATAGTACGTAGCTGTCAAGAAAAATTGAAAGAGATTTTGTCTAACCAATAAAAGAATTTTTAATTTTCAGTTTTTATAAAAAAATTTTTCTAAATATTTACCCCAAACTAAACGAAAATAAAATTTAATAGAATAAAAATATTAAAATATTCCCAATATTTTAAATAAAAATTTTCTAACCTAACATTAGCTCCCATTAATTCAATAATTAAAGAATGAATATCTTCATCAGTAATTCTTTTAATATGTCCATTACGTACATTCTATTAAAAATTATTTTGAAAACAATTTAAAATTTAAAAATAACCTTATCCCAAATTTGTAAAGGTTTGCTTCCAATGCTGTAAAGAATTGATAATAAACCGCTTTGGAAAGTATTGTGGAACATTTTATTTGTGAAGAAGATCCTGAAAAAATAGTAAAATAAAATAAAAATAAATAGGTAACCATGACTACAAAATTAAAAAAAAATAAATCCATACAAATAAATACTCTAACTATACGAATAAAGTCCGTTCCAAAATAGGTTGACACCCCCAAATTTTCCCGATAAGTCAACTTAGATCTGTCTAATGTTTATAATTTTTTTAAATATTGATTCAGCATCAAAAATTACCATATTTTACAAAAAATTTTAGAAAAGCAAAAATTTTATCAAAAGTTATGAAGGTTTTTCGAAAAATGAGGTGTTCCAAAATACATTGAACAGTTTGTAAAACTTAACAAAAAAGCCTTTAAACAATTACTAAAAATGAAATAAAAAATTCCATGAACATTTCCATTGATATTGTATAGAAAATAAAAAAGAACGAAGTCTTTAACTGCTTTCTCCATCGAGATCACAAATCTCGAAAATCAACGGAAAATCGGGGTACAGTACTTCAAAAAATATTTTAACCCCCTTAGGGCATATATAAAAATTTTCTTTTAGGCCTATCTGATAGTCCATAAAATTTGCTACAAAATAGCGCAGGCTTAAAGTTCACAATAAAGAACACATGGAGATAATGTTTGGGGAATTTTTAAGTGATCATTTTTGGGGTATTTTGGAGGGTTTTGAGCATTTTTAAAGTTAAGTAGACATACTTCAAACAGAAATATTCTAGAAAAATTAAGTCCCGGACTATTTTGTAGCAAATTTTATGGGCTATCAGATAGGCCTAAAAGAAAATTTTTATATATGCCCTAAGGGGGTTAAAATATTTTTTGAAGTACTGTACCCCGATTTTCCGTTGATTTTCGAGATTTGTGATCTCGATGGAGAAAGCAGTTAAAGACTTCGTTCTTTTTTATTTTCTATACAATATCAATGGAAATGTTCATGGAATTTTTTATTTCATTTTTAGTAATTGTTTAAAGGCTTTTTTGTTAAGTTTTACAAACTGTTCAATGTATTTTGGAACACCTCATTTTTCGAAAAACCTTCATAACTTTTGATAAAATTTTTGCTTTTCTAAAATTTTTTGTAAAATAGGGTAATTTTTGATGCTGAATCAATATTTAAAAAAATTATAAACATTAGACAGATCTAAGTTGACTTATCGGGAAAATTTGGGGGTGTCAACCTATTTTGGAACGGACTTTATTTACTTGGAGAATAAAACAAGTTTATATGAACGGACAAAAGAGTAATTTGACAAAGGATATAAATACATATCAAGAAAAATTTTCAAATTTTTTTAAAAATGCCGAAGGCTCCCAAAATTCACCTTTTTAACACTAATGGCAAAAACTTTTCTGTTTTATAGAGCCAACAGCTAGGGAAAAAAGAGATACAAAATACAAAATAAATAAAATCTTTAAATTGGAGAAAATATAAAATATTTTTAAATATTAAAAAAAAACTAAATTAGTATTTTAAGGAAAAATCTCAGATAATGAAATCAAAGAATAAGAAAACTTAAAGGGTTTTTGCGCTAATTATTAAAAATATGGAAATTTTCGGGAGAAAAATTATAGATTAAATTTTATGTTAATAATTACTACAAATATTTTTAAAATAGACGTGATACATATCAAGTTATAAATACAAATAGATACATATAATCATAATAATCTCTTAAATTTTTTAATAATTTTTAATTTAAAATTTAATTTAAAATTTTCACATTTTATACAAATGTTGTGACTAGAGGTCGGAAAAATCGTTGCGGGAGCGGTATCCCGGAAAAAAATAAAATCCGCAAATACCGATCACGTCCCGCATCGACCTCTAGTTGTGACAGATAGAGAGACTACATACTTAATTACAAAATATATCGAGGAAATTTGTTAATCAAAATTCTTTTTTTTTGGTGTACTTTAATTTAATTTCGAGTTTTCTTTGTTTGTTTCAATCTTCCTTTTAATTTTCTCGAAAATAATTTAAAAAGGTACAAAATCTTTTTTCCCATAATTATATTCATTATATTTATTTTGTTTTCTTTTCTTTTCAGATTTTTCTTTTTTTTTAATTTTATTTGAAATTCCCGATTTTTTCTTTTCCAAATTTCCTTGTTTAATTATATCAGCAAGTTTCTTTTTCTTTTGGTTTGGATTTTCTTTGGTAATTTTTTGAAGTAATTGTTTCTTTTCTTTTTTATTTTGTATTTTTTGGGTACTGTCTACAAAAATAATGGATATTTAAAAATGAGAAGAATATAGGTAGGTAGGTATTTAATTGAAATTATTTTAATTGTAAGGATGATTCCCCTAGAGCATTTAAAACGCTTAGACGGGGGTTTAACGATCTAAAAGCATAAAAGAGAAAGCATTAGTCGATGCCTCGGTAGCCCAGTGGTTGAGCCCCTGTATATGGTGAGCAATAGCCTAGCAATAATGAGGTCGCAAGTTCGAAGAATCCTGCCCGGTGGTTAAACTTTTGCTGAACTCTTTTTTAATGAAAATATTTCGAAAAACAAATTATTAATTAAAAATATTTATTTTCCCCTAAATTTTATACCTTCAATTTTCCCTTCAAATAAATTAATCTCCTCTAAAATCCCTTCAATTTTTTCATCACCCTTCCAACTAAAATCATTAGAATCCCCTTCATTATCACTCAGATTATTTTCCTTATTTTTTAACAAATTCAAATTTTTTAAATTTAAATAATAAATTTTCCATTCATTTTCTTTAAATAATTCTTCAATTAATTCATTAAATTTATTTATTTCTTTAATTTCATTTTTATTAATTTCAAATTCATTTTTAAAATTTAAATTAAAAATATTCGAATTATTTTCCTTTAATTTTTGAATAATTTTGTTTGGCAAAATTGAAATATTAAATTTATTTCCATTTCTTTCACAAATATCCAAACGTCTTTTAATTACCTTTTAAAAATAATTAGTTAATTATAAAATAAATTAGAACGATTTTGGGTCATCATTTACCTTCAATTAAATACCGAATTATCTTTCCTATATAAATAATGGCTACATAAATTAAATTTTTAATTTTTAGTCAAATATAAAATTTTAAAATTATTTTCACATGATTAGAATACTCGATAAAAAAATTCGATAAAAGCACTTTTAAAGGTCATTTTCTTTTATTTAACTGCGCTTTTCCCTTTTTGATTAATAAATGAATGTCATGTGAGAAGGTTATAATGAAGAAGAATAAAAACAAATTAAATAAAATTAAACTTCAACTAAAAATTCTGACATTTTTAAAAATATTTCATTAACTCTTTCAGATAAATACATCTTTTTTGTTAGCTTGTAGAAAAATTTTTTTGGTATTAGTAGAGAATTGGACTTTTAAATTTTTGTTTAATTCATATTTCAAGGCAGTGAACAAAACACCTTCCTCATTAAATTATAGCATTTAATTGAAGGTTTTGTGGCTGATCCAGGGATGTATGAAACTCAAATTTTTTCAGGCAAAACAAAAGATTTATTTTCAATTTTCAAAAGCCACGTCAATTGGCCACAATTATTTCCCCATAATTTTTTAATTAGTTAACTTACTTGTTTATATTCAGATCCATTATATTTATTTAAAATAATTTCGAAATAAATTTTATTTAAATTAAATTCTTTATTTGAAGAATTACTTGAACTAGCAATTTCTGTTTTGTCTAAATTCAAAAAATTTTTAGGAATATTTTTAAATTTAAAAATATTTTCTTCAACAAAATATTCTCCACTAATATATTCAACACCAATTTCTTCATTAATTAATTTAATACTTTCAATTTGTTTATTTAAATTTAAATATTGAAAGACTATATCAGTTTTCCAATCATCATCAATTTTTAATTCAATTTCAAATGAAGCATTGGAGAATTTTAAAGAAAATAAAATTAATAAAAATAATAACATTATTCTTTATTTAAATTTTTATTTAATAAAAATATTTTTGAATGATTGTTAATTAATATAATGTCTAATTAATTGATTCAATGCACTTTTAAAGCCGCTTTATTTATTTTTTTATATATTTCCCCTCCCCCTTTTTAGAGGAATAATGTGAATTAAATATATGTATGTATTTAAAATATTTCTTCATTAAATATGTTGAAATAAATGTACTTTTAAATTAAAAATATTAATTTTTAAATAATAAATTAAAGATTAATTTTTGATAATTTTTAAAATATTCTTCAGAGAAAGCTTTATCATCTTTACTTTAAGTTAACTGATATTAAAAATTATCTTGTAACATTCAGCGTTTTTAGGATATTATTACACTCATAAAACAAACAGAACAGCATTCTCCTCAATTAAATTTACTTTTGTTTCCTAAATATTTTTTAAAAATATTGTTAAAATAGACAAAAATTAATAATTATTCTTTTGTTACTTACTCAATATATCTTCTTCACTTGAGGATATACATATTGAATTATATCCTCATTTGATATTTAATATATCCTCGATTGATTTAAATTATTTAACAATCTTTATTAATTATCATTAATTTAAATTGATTTAATTTATAGCCAAATAAAACTTTTAAAAAATCAAAGAATTATTTTCTCTGTTTGTTTAGCTTTTATTTTTAAAAAGGGGAATATTAATTCTCATTTAATTTTTATTTAAGGTAATTTGCCTTTTAAAGTTTCCAAATAATTTTAGAAAAGCTTTTTTAGGCGTGGCAATATTTATATGTATTTTCTATTAATGGATAAAATTTGGGTAATTTTTATTGTATTTGACTTGAGAGAAAAAGACAATAATGAAAAGAATTGTTTTATCGGCACTTTTATTGTTGGCCTTTTTGTTAATTTTAAGAACAGAAATTGTTCCTATTTCAAATGAAAATGTAAATTTAAAATCAATTTTTAGTTTAATTTTTTAATTTTAAGTTTAAATTAATTGGAAAACAAAATAAAGAAATTGGAAATTCACCAAAATATTATTTAATAAAAACAAATCCAAAATTAAATAAAAACAATTTAAAAGAAAATGAAAATAAAAGAGTTAAAAGATCAGGTATTTTTTAAAATTTTTAAATTAAAAATAAAAATAAATTAGGAAGGCCAACCAGATTAGGCAGAAATGGTGGGAAAATATCTAATCATGGAGGAGGACATTTAAATAGTGCAGGAGGAAATAATCATTTATCTTCAAATGGAAAAAATTCAAAATATCCAAATTCTGGATCTTCAAATGGCCATTTAAATAGTGCAGGACATCCTCATGGAATTCCAAGTCATTCAAATTCCAAACCTTCGAATTATGGGCAATTTAATAGTGCAAATGGACATTCAAATGGAGGAGGACATTCAAACAATAAATATAATGGAGGGTCTAATCATGGGGTAAATAGTGGATCTTCAAACTTTGGAAAGTCTAATAATGCAGCAAAACATTCAAATAGCGCAAGTGGACATTTAAATTCACCTTCAGGAAAACATTCAAATTATGGAAATTCTAATTCCCAGCAAAATTCAAATAGTAAACATAATCATGATGGGAATGGGGGAGTTAAAAGATTTGGAAGGACTGGAGGCGATACAGATGGAATGGCAAATGGAGGAAGAAAAGGGCGTAAAGAAGAAAATAGGTAAATTTTATACAAATTATAAATTTAAAAGAAAAATTAATTTTTTAAATCATTTACACAAGTAATTCGTATTCATCATAACCTGTCAAATTACTTTTAAATAATTTTATTTCAAATTTAGTGGATTTCAAAACAACAATAAACGCAATAGCAATTCAAAGAACAATATGGTTTTTTTAATTTTATTTAATACAGCTAGCTCTTATTTTTTTAAAGAATAATGGAATATTTGGACAAAATAGTGGGAAAGATAAAAATGAAAAACATAGTAATATAAATCCAGGAGATAATGGAATTGATAATAGAAAAGGCAGAAAAGGGCAATCAGAGGTGGATAATTATGGAAATGGACGAAATGATGGTTAATAATGCAAAACAAAATAATTTTATTTTGATATTATCTGCATTTATAAATTTTTTAGGCAAAACTGAGGGACATGTTGGACGAAATGATGAAGAATCAAGAAGGCATGATATTGATGGAGATAGTAAAAATTCAAATAATAAGTATGAACATAGTTATGGTCAATTTGATGAAGATGACGATAGCAATGAAGATTACAGTGGCGACGATGATGATGAGGAGGATGAAAGTAGTGACGACAGTGACGAAGGAAATGAAAGTGTAAGTGACAATAGCGATGAAGATGAAAATGAAGAAGACGATGATGAGGAGGATGATGTCGAGGAGGAAGAAAGTGGAGAAGATGATGAGGAAGACGAGGAAGATGAAAGTGAAGACGAAGATGATGAGGAGGACGACGAAGATGATGACAGCGATGAAGATGAAAGCGGAGACGACGATGATGAGGAAGATAAAAGTAGTGACGAGGATGAAGATGAGAGTGGAGAAGAAGATGACGAGGATGGAATGGTAATTGAGGATGAGTCTGATGAGGACAATAACAGCGATGACAACGATAGTGACGAAAGTAGTGAGGATGATGATGAAGAAAGCGAGGAAGACGAAGATGAAGAAGAATCGGATGATGATGAAGAAAGTGAGGAAGACGAAGATGAAGAAGAATCGGATGATGATGAAGAAAGTGAGGAAGATGAAGAAAGTGAAGAAGATGAGGAAGAAAGTGGAGAGAATGATGACGATGATCATACATCCGTGGAGAGGTGGGTCGAAATTCCTATTTCCTACAATTCCCGAGTTCCGAAATTTTTAAAAACTAATTTAAATTAAAACCTGAATTTTCAGTAGCGAAGAAAAGTCTGATTCTGGAGTAGTTATTGATTCATCTGAAGAAGAGGATGACCAGAATGATAGTAAGGATGCAAGTGGTGGTGAAGACGAAAATGATAATGTTGGTGAGGATTCTGAGGAAGAAGAGGAAAGTAATAATGATGAGGATTCTGAGGAAGAAGAGGATGATCATCATGAAGAGGAAGAAGAGGGATCTTCCTCAGCAGCAGAAGAAGAAAATAGTGAAACTGATGAAGATGAAGAAAATAGTGAGGAAAGTAGCGAAGAAGAGGAGGAAGAGGAGGGGGATAATGGTGGCAAAGAGGAAGAAGAGAGTAATGAAGTTTATGAAGATGCAAATGATGAAAATGAAAGCGAAGAAGAGGAATTTGAAGAAGCCCAAGAACAATTTGAAGAAGACGAGCAGGTTAAGTTATTATTAATTATTAAATTTAGTAATTAACTAAAAATTATCAACTAGAAAATATTTTTAAGGAAGATGATGAAAGAAAGTGTTTTGACGTTTCAAAAGACGAATGTAATCAACAAAAAGCATTTTGTGTAGATGAAGGTTATGAAAAGGATTTGATGGACCGTTGCCCTGTAGGATGCGGAATATGTAAAGGTATATTGTTGAATATACCTTCATTTTATACATAATTAATTTATAGAGGGAGAAAGAAAGCCAACATATGAAGAATATTACACGGCAAAAGGTTGTAAAAACTTGGAAGTGGAATTACATTGTGAAAATAATATTCATTGGTGTAGGGTAAAGGTAAGTAAACATAAGTACATTCAATTATTTTTAAAAATAATTTTAAATTAAAGGATTATATTCCTCTAATGATTAATAATTGTGCACTAATTTGCCGTTTTTGTCGAAGTTTTTTGGAAAATATAGAGAAAATGAAAATAATTTAAATTAATACTTTATACTTAAAATTTTATTTTTATCTATTAAAATTTATTTATAAATATCTGAAAAATTAATTATTAAAGAGGAATAAGCTGACATCGAAAATCTTTTACAAAAGCCTAAGATAACTCAATCTCACCAAAACCTACATTATATCTATTTACATTCACTTTAGTTTATTACCAGCTGCTTTATATTTAGTAGGATATATTGATTTATTGTTTTTGTTTCCTCTTGAATCAATTATTTTAAATAAATTTTCTATTGTTTTTAATTCTTAAAGATCATTAAATAAAAAAATGCACATTTATCGTAGTCAATCTGCCCTAAATATTCCATTTGGACCTGGCATTACCCGAACATATTCAAAACCCTCATTTGCAACTTATATGTGTAGGTAACTATCAAAACGTTTTTTAAACCTTCAAATAAATTTTAAGTGGAGGCCACTGGCCAAGCACTACACCTTGTTGGCCGTATGCTTTTTCTTATTATTACCCCCTTTCGAGTTCGTATTTTTACTATTACAAGCCTTGGAGGTTGAATTCTAATGCATATCGCTATTACCGAACATTGGTGTGATTTTTATTAAACAAAAAATATTATTTTTAAAAAAGGCTGATTCTAATTGGGAGGAACGTTTTCATTATTATACACCGCCACAAAGATTTGATAGAAATTATTTAAAAAATTGGGAATATCCAGAGGATAGACATAAACCTCTTTATATGAATTATTGGTTTGTTTGAAATTTTGTAGAGAAATAATTTTTTTCTTATTTTCAGTGAAAGTTAGATGAGAACAAAAATGTTTAAAATAGTGTTTTCCTTAAAAACTATGTGTTAATAAAATATAAAATTGTTATAGCCTATTTTTAAAATTTAGACTATATAAATTCTAATACCTATATACTTTTAATTTAATTTTTTTATTTTCTTTTAATTCTGGAATGTATGAAAAACACCCTTTAGTTCAAAATCTCCATTCACCATATCCTTGGTATACTCGTTGCTGGTATTCAAACAACTTCAAATACAGTCATTTCTATGGAGGAACAATTGAATACCCGTACAGTCGTTATCCCCTAAAGGATCTTTACAAAAGCCCTTGGTAGATTTAATGGAAAATTAAAAATATTTAAGTATTTTTTGTAAAGGTTGGATAGACCATATCATTACAATCAACAGACGGATTGGTATCGGTAATTAGAGGGACGAATTTTTTGAGAGGTGAATTTTGGACAAACAAAAAGATTATCAAATCATTTTATATAGTAAATTAAAAAATGATAATCACATAAAAATTTAAAGGCGGGAAGACTAACTAAAATCAAGAAACTCAATTTTAAACCTTTCTTATCACAAAAATATTTTTTTTTCAAAATTTAACGAAACGTCTAAATACGCATATTAAACAAGTCCTTGATTCCCTCAACTGACTTCCCACGAAGAATATCCCCAACTTTGTTACAAACAACTGTCATAAGTCCATCAATGCCGAGATAATTGGCTGCCTGAAATAAAAAAATTTTTTTGATTAAATGGTTTGAGAGAGGCAAAAGATGAAAAGAAAAGCAGAAAAATTGAAATTATTAAGACGTTATTCCTTAATAGGGTTGTTGGTTTCAGCCAACCAAAGGCAAACTGACAATGAGAACGGGTACAGCCCAAGTAGGCGCGCGGCCATGTAGGCGCAAAGCCATAACTTGCTTGAAGATTTCCGGATCTTTCGAAATTTAGTATTAAACGATTCCTCTCATCGAGCTAAAGAGATTGGTACCAAAATTATTAAGGTCTTGAAATTTTCCAGCAAGTTATGGCTTTGCGCCTACATGGCCGCGCGCCTACTTGGGCGTGTCCCAATGAGAACGTTACAGGTGCCCCAACTAAAGCAATAATACTTCAAAGATTACCAAAAATTTAAACACCTCACTCAACTATTTTTGGAACTAAACTAGGCCAGGAATTTAATTTCCATTAAAGCCCAATTAAAAGTTTGCATACCAAAATAATCTCAAAAAGAGTGCTCCGATCCATTTTAAGAAATTCATCATCCCAACTAGAAAACTCGTTATAGTTTTTGTTTGGTGGATCTGAAATTTAAAAAGAAATAAACCAAAACTAAACTTCAAAAAAACCATCTTTATGGCGCTCACACCACTCAATTACTTTTCGAAGAATAACACCGTCTACATCAGCTAAAGGAACAGTTTCAGCACTATCACTGCCTCCAGGTTCATCCAATCCAACATCTAAATATATTTTATTTTTTAATTAAAGATTTTAGTAAAAACCTTTAAAAATATCATTTAAAACACTAGAAAGTCGAATAATGCCTCTATCCACTTCAAATTGTTCATTATCATTTGATACAAGCAATACTTTGTTGATGACCATTTTGAATTTGATTTAGTATAATCTAACAATAAAAAATATAAACACGTTTTTATGGAGGGAATGAAGAATAATCAGAGAAAAGGAGCAACCATCCACAAAATGGAGTACGATAAAAATGAGGAGATGAATATACAAGACACGGTCAGTCCCAAATCCCAAACCCATGTTGTCCATTCCCCCATCCAACAGATTAGTCTGATCATTCAGATATTGGACACTACTGAAATAAACTTTGGGCACATATAAAAGCCAGTTTAGATTTTGACAGACCGAAATATCCAATTAATTACAACCCATTATAGAACTACCCCTCTATAATTATCTATCGCCTAATGATATAATATCAAAGTATTTGTTTTTAGAACAATTAATAAACATCTAATTATTGTTTAATATGTATAAATATTTATAAATTAATAAGTACAAATGCAAGTAAAAATGTGAGAATATAAAATTCTCGAGATTAATATCAGAATATTTTTCAACAGGTAATTTAAATTAATTTTTTCAAAAATTTATTTATTTATTGTTTTCTTCTCCTTCTTCATCACTACTAGTACTCCAAATACTGTCTGATGTAATATTTATTGTTGTTGGTTGCCATTTCTGTTGTTTTTGTAATACTTTAAAGTCTGTCAAATTATTTAAAGTTGTTGCATTATTTCGCATATTTTGAAGAACTTCTCGTATCCTATGTAGAGAACGCGACCACATGTCTATCATTTTGTCGTTTATATTTCTTTTATTCTGAAAAAAAGAAAAATATTTAATCAAAAAAAAATTAAAAAATTAGGGTCATCCAAAGTTTTGATTTATTTTACATATGTATAGCCGGAGTCAGGGTCCCAAATCCGGGGAGTTTTTTGAAGTAAACCATTTTTGGCATATGGTTTATTTTTTTTATTTTTTGGAGGAATTTAAAAAATAAATAATTTACCAAATATAAGGAAGCTTCTCTAAAATAATGTTCAGCCATTTCTAAAGATTTTTCTTTTTCATGTTGAAGCAAATTTTTGTCTATAGTCAATTCATCGACAAAACGTGTGTAGATAAAATATAAATCAGTATAATTTTTGTTTAACTTCAATTTTTTAACAACACAAGGCAATATAGAGATAACATTATCCAAAGAAGGATTTGACTTTTTTGTTAAATTTGTTGAAGAAATTGAATGAAGAATTGAACGAAATGTTGAAAGTTTGTGTTCAGTAAATTGCTAAATTTTAATTAAGAAAATTAAAAAGAAGTTATTAGAAAAAGGACCGAGACAAGATATTGATTAAAAGCCTCAGTTATCGAGATAGATTCTTGTCAGTGCAAGTCCGGTCAAGCAACTTGGAATGAAAAAAGAACCTCCACCCCTCCCCTTAAATCTGAAAAAAGTGAGAAGTTTGAAAGGATTATTTTGGGCAACAAAATATATAAAATCCTAAAAAACCTCAAATTGAGCAAATAAAGTAAATAATTCAAAAGTCCTTCCAATATTTCCATCAACACATTCCAACAATTTTTTATTTAAAAATTCATTAAGAATTGAATTCAAACGGTCCACGTCAGCAGAAAATAATTGTTTAATTAACTAAAAATTATTTTTATTTTTTCTTAAACAAAAATAAAAAAACAAACCAATTTAAATGCATTTGAAATAAGATAACGACAATTAATTATTTGTTTGTCAAAATAAATTCGGCAAAGTAAACAAAAAAGAGAAATTAATTGTTGATTGTTCCAATGGGTAAAGTTGATGAAAATAAAACAATCAAAGAAAGAATAAATCTGAAAAAATTTTTAAATTATTGTGAGAAAAAGGAAAACATAGCCCTGATATATCCCAATCACTAGAAAATCTAAACATTATGAGCGAAATGAATAGAAATTACCAGGAGCCCCAGATCAATGCTTCTTATCCGATAGCCAAATTTTTTTCATTAAAAATAAAATCATCGATTCATTCAAGACCGTAAGGACTATAAGTATATGAGGAAGAATTGCTTTTTAATTTTCATAAAACTAAGGGAAAATTTAAGAGTTTTATAGAACACTAAATCATATGCAGAAAAACTTGTTTTTTAAATAAAAAATGACTTAAATTAATCCCTCATAATTTTTATAAAAATTAAATCTCAACCAGTTATCCCCCTCCCTCTAAAAAATAATCAAAAAATACATACATTTTCATGTAAAATAGTCCAAACATCCTTAGCATTTTCTACAGGCTTTTCTTCTTCCATTAAAGTATACATATTTTCAATTAAATCATCCGAATTATTTATTTTTAAATTGCTAGGTTTTGTTTGAAAAACATAACAAAAAACAGTCACAAAATTGTCAAAAGAAATCTGAAAAAAATTTTTTAATAAAATTTACTTAAAAAATTAATTTTTCAAACTTCAATTCCATCAGAAACAGCCAAAGAATGAAAACATTCAAGTAAAGCTGAACGAAGAGTTGAATTGAGCGACGAAAAGAAAATGAGTTGGAAACAATTATTTTTATATATTTTCGATACTCTACGAGCATTTTCTGGGGTTTTAATTGAAAAAACTAAAAAAATTAAAAATAATTTTTAAATTAAAATTTAAATAAACCTTTCCCAAAAGAGCCAACAATTTCAAAAGTAAAATAATTAAATTCAATAAATAATTCATTGTCTGCATGAAGTCGTTTGACATGGTCAGAAGAGATTAGACAATCAATTTCACGTCCTAACTCGCCCAATCTTTAAAATTTTTAAAAATATTTTTATTTTCCTATTTAAAAATAAAGTAAAATTGAAAATTAAAAATAGAATAATCACTATTATCCCCATAAAATAAAAGCGAGAAAAAAGAACTTATTGGATTCCGGAACGTCTTGTAATACCAAGAACTTGAAATACCAAGTCCGCAAGAGCCTCCTTGGTATTGCAAGATCCTGGCATTCCAAGATCAGACCATTTGATTCCAACCACGGATTTATTTATTTTCCCCCCAAAATTGAAAATAAATTGAATCACTTCAAAATTGAGGGATTCAAATTGAAAATAAAGAGTCCTCCAAAATTTGAAATAAAGGGGAAAAAACTTCCAAAAGAATCCCTACTTTTTGTCCTCTTCATTGTCAGAAGCCAAATCCTCCAAACTATCAGGAATCAATTTTTCCGCATCATTTCTTCTTCCAGCCTCAACAGTTTTAAAACATCTGTCAATTTCAAGAAATTGTTCAGCTTCAAATTTAGCATTTTTTGTTTGTCTAGAATTCTCCTAAAAATTAAAAAAAAAATATTTTTTTTAATTAAAATTAAAAAATAACTTGTTGTTTAATATTTTCGTCAGAATTGTCACAATATGTTTGTCTTTTATTTTGACGAGTAATTCTACAATTAGAACTACTAGAGGAGGGTTTTGAATCGACATAATTAAGAATTGAATTTTGATTTGAAGAATTTAAATTTTTGCGGTTGGCGGCAATTGTATTGGCTCTGGGCTTTGATTTGTTAACTGAGGTAGTTTTTCTCATTTCAATAAACTAAAATTAATAAAGAAAGAATTTATGTCAAAAATAAAATAAAATTGAAGAGAACAAAACGAGTTAAGGGGAGCCGGGATAAAACCAAAAGGTCAACAACAAAAAGGTCTAACCCAATAGGTCAACAACCAATTGATCAACTATAAGGTCAACTCCAAATAATTGGGCGAATAAAGAAGGATTTGTGCGGATTAATTCGTAAGAGGGATTTGTAGGTATTAAGGGGATATTGATGAGTAAAGTGAGACCGAGTTATCTAACAGGTGTCCGTGGGATTGTTCCTAGCAAGGAAACAATAATGCGTTTAATTGCATTTTAATATTTTTAAAATTTATATATTTTCTTAGGACACATACATACATATATTCTGATGGGACGCCTAACTATTTTGATGGGACGCTTTTACTTTGATGGGACGCTTGTACTATTTTTGGGACGCATTAATGCTCGTGGGACGCATGTCCTAAATTAGAGCCTTTTATTCTTTTAATGTATTATTCTTATTTCATCAACAGATTTTGAAAGGAGTTTTTCGATTTACAAGAATGTTTTGGCTGAGAATAGAATTTTACTACAGAAAATTTAGAAAAATTCTTAATTTGCAATTGTGAAAGGCAAAATTGAATTATTTTATTGTTAAATAAAATTTTTTAAGAAGCTATTTTCGCTATTTCTAGTGTATATTGCAACTTTTGGCGCTTATTTTAGACATTTTCTTGACATATATATGCGCATATTTGAGATTTTTATGGATATTTTGCCGCTCCATTTCATAATTTTAAATGTATAAAGTGCATATGCACTATTCACAACAACATCTTTATAAGCGCGTCTTTATATATACAAAAAATCATTTAATTAAAAATATTCATTTTTACGAATATGTAATTTTATCTCTTTTTTTAAATAAATAAATAAATTAATTAATTAATTTAGATAAATGATATTTTTATTATTTATTTTATTTTATTTAAAACAATTAAATGCTTCGTCGGAAATTTTATTAAAAATTGATGATGATTGGAGTAATGATGCAATTTTTAAATATTTACTTGAAGTAGAAGACCCAACAAAATTATTTAAATGTAAATTAGTTTATAAAGAGGAAAGTATTGAGGGAATACATGTTACTGAAGATTCTTTTGAATTTAAAAGTATTCCTTGGAATTTATTAACCCAGACAGAAATAGCTAGTTCAAGCAGCTCTTCTATTTTACCTCAAAATGAAATTTTGGAAAATTTTTATTTTGAAATAGAATTGAGTAAATTTAAAGGAACAGAATATCAACAAGTAAAGATTTTTTAATTAATTTACTATAATTAATTTTTGAAAAAAAATTAATTCTGGAAGGAAATTATCATAGTAAGAGACAAAGCGCCGCGTAGGCACTAATTTCAAGCAGTTATTATTAGAAGACGTAATAATATTTGTTAATAATTATTACGTAATAATAATTATGTAATAATTGCCACCTCACAAAGGTAACCCGATTGACTGAGCCATCGATGCGCTGCTTTCATCATCTTTTTTAATCGATCTTATTTTTATTATTTTTTAAAATTTTATTTAAAACAATTTTATTAACGTTTTAAATGCTTGATAGTCTTCCTTACATAATTAAATTTAAAAAGATTAGATATTTAATTATCTGTATTCCCCTTATCAACTTGGAAAGCCTCGAAGCATTCTCCAAAAAGAATAATAAAATATATTTTCTGAATATTTTACTAATTAAATAATTATTTTTAAAAGGTAATTAAAAGACGTTTGGATATTTGTGAAAGAAATGGAAATAAATTTAATATTTCAATTTTGCCAAACAAAATTATTCAAAAATTAAAGGAAAATAATTCGAATATTTTTAATTTAAATTTTACAAATGAATTTGAAATTAATAAAAATGAAATTAAAGAAATAAATAAATTTAATGAATTAATTGAAGAATTATTTAAAGAAAATGAATGGAAAATTTATTATTTAAATTTAAAAAACTTGGATTTGTTAAAAAATAAAAAAGAAAAATCTTTTGAAGAAAAATTAGAAATTAAATTAATTTTGAATGAAATTAATTTATTTAATGAAAAAATAAAAGGTAAAATAAATAATTGTATAAATTAAATATATTTAAATTAAGGCGAGCAATTCTCAAATGAAAATAACATCGTTAGAAAAAAGGTAATAATTTTTGGAAATTTTAATTAAAATGTTGAGAATCTGATAATTGGCTAAAATCAGGGTTTCGATATCTGCGGATTTTTCCTCATTTTGTGGTTTTTTGATAGGGCGATGAGGATTATTTTTAAAAATGCGGATTTTTGTGGTCTTTTGAAGATTATGAGGATTTTTTATACTTTCTTGTGGTTTTTTTCATAAGATGTCATTATTTTTTCTGCTAAGACCTTCTAAAATCCTCAAAATTTTTGCCTGCGGCGCTGAAAATGGAAGAAATCTGGCTTCTTGGCCTTCCAAAATCCTCGAAAAAAAATTTACGACATCTTTCGTGACAAAAATGCAAGTTAATTTTTCGGATAATTGTCGGATTTTCATAAGATGATCATTAGTAATAAAAAATTGCTTAATTCAATTGTAGAAGACGAAAAATATAATGCATAAAGTGCGTTTAATTCAATTTTTGTGTTTAATAATTTTTTGCGGATTTTTGATATATTTTTCGATCAAATTTGCGGATTTTTAAAAATTCGAGATCGAAACCCTGGCTAAAATAAAGAAGCCTCTCGCATGATACACATCCGCAAAAGGTGTTCTCAATTGCTGCATTCTGCTCCTTTACCTTACATTATTCTTCTTTCCTCTCAATTTTCAAGTGATTGACAGCTATATGTAATTTCTGTAATCATTCAAATAAAACTTTTACAAACCCAATAAAAAATTTGGAAAAAGGGTCTAGATAAGTGGAGATTTCTAATAGGTGCTAATTTACATTGGGTTTGAACAGCTAGACTAAGAACATAAAACAGTTAACCAACAAGAATTTTCAACTGCCTTTTGCGGACTCGCTGGGCCATTTTTTAAAATGTCCCAGCGAGTTGGCCATTTACTTAAGACTATTTTAATTTATCAAATAAAAATAATTAAGAATGTTCAAATCAAAAAAGAATATTTAGTAAATATAAATGCCAAATATACACGAGAAATGGGAAGTTTTATTAATTAAATAATTATTTATTAATTTTAGATTGAAGAGATTACTGAAATTGCTAAAGATTCAATAGAAAACGGCGGAATTAAACTACAAAAAAATGAAGCCTCAAAATATCTGAAAAAAATTTCCGATTTTTCAAAAATATATAAGATTAGTTACAATAGTGTTAAAGTAATTTATATATTTATTTTAATAATTTTAAGAATAATTTAGGTTTATTATTATGTAAGTTTAAAATATTTAAATTTAATTTATTTAATAATTAGTAAATAAAAACAAAATATAGACTATTTTAATCTCCGAAAAGTTTATTTTAACAGTAAAATAATATTAGTATTTTAATTCTTAATAAAGAGTAATTAACATTAAAAAAATAAAATTTAATAAAAACAGAAAATTCGCAATAATTTAATTGCTGAGCAAGAAAAAGTCAACAAGGAAACAATGCAAAAAGAATTAAGCAAGGGAAAATCGAAACAGAAAATTGAAGAAATTAATGGAAATGTATGTAGAAAAAAGGGTTTTAATTTAAAATTACTCTAATTATTCCCCGATTTTATCCACAAATAAAAATTTTCCTAATTTTGCTAGTAAAATAAAAACTCGATTAAAATATTAATTAATTCATTAAAATTATTGGGACTACAGATTAAAAGGCTTTAATTACTGATAATTTGTAACATTAATTAAGAGTACTCAAACCAAAAAAAGAAAAAGGAAAGCAGAATATACTCTTGAAATGGTAAATTTAAATTAAAAAATATTTTTAAAATTTAAAATTTAATAGATAAAGGAAATTTATAATATAGCTAAAGAATATGAATATCTTGCAAACAGTGACAACCATTCTAGTGTGGAGATGAGTAGTATGTTTGATGATAAAATTGAAGAATTTTCGAAAAAATATTTAACTGATATTGAAACAGCGAAGGTGTTTATTTTAATTGAAAAATAAATAAATATTTTATTTTATATTTTAGGAACATTTTAATGTAAGTTTAATTTTTATTTTAAATATTACTCAATCATTTTTCTCGGAGTCCGCAAAATTAAGTAAATCACACTATAATAGGATCCCATTCTAACTCATACACTAATAGGGGGGCCTTAATACTATTTACCACCTTAATATTTAAAAAATACAAAAATAGGAAGCTCGAGAAATACTAAAAGGATTTGAAATAAAGGAAAAAGAGGAATCAAGTGAAGAAAGTGAACCCGAAATGGAAGAAGTAATTTTTAAGGGAAAAGAAAAGAAAAATCGTAAAATGAAAAATATTTCTAATTTCATTGGCGAATCTAGTAAAGGAAATAAAGAAAAAAATATTAAACAAAAAGGGAAGCAAAAATTAAAAAAACCTAAAAAAGAATATGATTATTCGAAAAATGATTTTATAGCTATCTAAAAAATTTTTGGGGATGTAGTAACTATTATTGTGTTCAAAAATGGGTAGGGTTGTCGAAGAGTTGTCAGACTTTAAAAAATTGATATTTGATCAAATATGTATTTTATTCTGGCATTTGTCCGGGCTCTAGTAGTAGGGGGTGGGTTTAACAGGAGAATTTAATAGAAACGACAACCCTATTCAGAAGATAATTGAAAGATATTTTTTAAATTATATCTAAGCGAAAGCTAGAAATTATTATATAAGTAAAATGTAAAATCATGATTTCTTATAAGAAATCTAAAAATTAAGTATTTTATCAGTCAAGAGAGTTAATTCATTATGTCTAGACTAACAACTAAAAAATTATTATAGGATGATTTAAAAATTTTGAGGATTTTATAAGCCAATAATAACTGCTAAATTTTAGAATTTAAAAGAACAAAATCTGATAAAATTAAATAAAAATTTATTCTATGCTGAAATGTAAAACGAGGAAACTAAAGTAACTTTACGATTGATAAAAGGCTTATTTTCTGAGTTTTATGCTAAAAAATGTTAATTTTATATTTAACTGATAAATATTAAATGTTTATATTTCATCAAATTATATAATATCAATTAACAATCTAATATAACGTATCTTGATTATATTTGTTCCCTATGTCAAAACAAAAATCAAATCATAATTTAAAAAAATTTTATACATAAATTCCAAAAATAATTTAAAATTATAACCTAATTGTTCAAATTATGACAAATAAAATGACAAGATATGGCATATATTATATAGGACGATCATTCTAGAAAAACACAATGTAATATTTACAAACAAATTTAGGGGCACGACAAGTTAAATTTCAGAATATCTAATTGAAATTTTAAGATTGAAATTATCGTGCAAAATGATAAAAATAAAATAGAAGTGAAATTGAAAAAAATAAGTAAAAAAGGCATTTATAAAAAATTAAAAGTTCAAAAAACTTAAATTTCAGTTTAGATCGTTAAATGCCTTTTTTCAATATATAAAAATATGTATATATTTATGGAGAAACCCATTTTCTAATTTTATTTAAGACAAGCTCTTATATTTTTAAAAGTCTATTTATTAGCTACAAACTCAACTTCTAAACGTTCTTTCCATAATTTGTTGCAAATCTGGAGCACTTAAAGTCCTAAAATATAATTTAATTTTTCATCTCAAAATTCTCTTTCAAAGTACCTGCAAAGCAAATAATTTCCCCCTCCGGGATCTGATTCTGTTAAAAGTTGTTTATCTCCATTTAACATCCTCAATCCATTTTCTCCTGAATATTCTGCTGTATCAAAACAAATTGTTGGTCGAGAAGAAATTGAAAGAGCGGCAGAACTGCTTGCAAAGCCCTCATCTTGTTGTTGATTACTTGAATATATTTGTGAAGTACTCGGTTGTTCTTGTGAAATATACATTGATGCCCGAGAATGAAGTAAAGAACCGCCACAATTTGAATGGCAATGATGACGTCTGTGATGCTGCTGTTGTTGTTGCATTTCTAAAAATTTGTTAAATTTCTTCCAGTAATAATAAAAGTTCTGGAGAAATCCAACACTAATTTTTTAAAAGCCCCTATTATTCTTTCCCAATTTAGTAATTATTTCTCACCATCAATAGTCAAAACTTCAACAACAATTTTGTTCCTAGCCCCATTATTATGTCCATCTTTGTAAATTTCAGAATTGAATAAATCAGGATGGGAAATTGAAGAAACACGGGACAATGAATTAGTTAGCCAAGAATCTGCAGTCGAACGGCTATTAACAGACCCAAAACTGGCATCGAATGGACGGCCATAACCTCCACGGAAATATTCAATACAAGCAGCACTAAAAATTAAATTATTTTTAAGGGCAAATTAAAAATGCACCGAGAAGCCGGAATAACTCGACTGTCAATAATATAATGTCGTTCCAATAATTTTTTACAAGGAAGTTTTGAATGTATTCTTTTAGCTTCTAAAGAGAAAAAAATAGATTTTTTTAATTTCAAATTTGTGGAAATTATTTAAGAAAATTAGAGACACAACACGTTTTTAGCGAGATTTGACAGCGATTTTGGATGTGAATTTTCTAAATGCAGTCTTAAGAAAAACAAATTAAAGCAAAGTATGCAAGCAAGATTGGCCGGTATGGGCACAAAATTTAAAATGTAAAACTTAATAGTATGTAAAAATAAAGTCAACAATAAATTAAAACAAAAATTTTAGCATCAACATTTCCTTATTAAGATACTCTCAGCACTGAAATTAACAAAAAAGCAAAAAGAAAATTAAAAAGCAAACTAAAAAATATAAAAAAAGCAAGGCTCTAGCATTTTATGAAAAAACGCGTTGCTCCACAAAAAAAGCAAATAAAAAAAAATTTTATTAAATTATTTAAATTTGTCACTACTTTTTTGATGTCCTTTCCTTCGTCGTTGTCTGCTACTGTTTTCACTTTCGAGTATTTCCCCTTTCTCCAAATCAAGTACACAAGGACAGCATTTTGCAAGTGGAGCATGAGACCTTTCATTTGGCGGTAGAACAAGAAAAAGAGAAATTTGAACACAAGCAAGTAAAATTCCCGCGCTATTTGGAATCTAAAAATTATTTTTTTAAAATTTAAGGGGAACAAAAAAAATTAAAAGAAAGAACTTACAATAACATAAATATCCCTAACATAAATTCCATATAAACACCATTGGGAAGAAACAAGTAAATTAGCAATACAGAGGGGGCAAAGGAAGTGTTGAACAACTTCGATTCCTCAAAACAACATTCTAAAAATTAAAAAAAAATTTAGATGGGATCAAATGTCATCTTTTAAAGACTAACCAATCCAGCCAAAGGAGCACCAAAATTTAAAATATTAAAAGTCATAGAGACAAAGCCGAGAGGCTGTAACGATTCTAATTTGTAAACATCAACTAATCCAAGCATTATTACAATTATTGAAAATACTATTGACTAAAAAGGAATTTTTAAAGTAACTTTTCCTATTTAAAAGACTCGCCATTTGAATAACAAAATTTGTTTTTGGCTGGGAATAATAAAAATAAAACAGCAAATAGAAAATCATTAAAGTAACACCAACAACATTTACTGTAATCATTGTAAGATCTGATTTTAAAAAGCCGTAACGAAGCCAAAATGAACCGCTGAAATTTTGATAAATTTAAAATTAAATTAGAGGAAGAAAGGAATTAATGGGTAAAAATAGAGGTGAGGGGAAAATGTTAAAAATTTTATGATTTTGTTAGGGCAATAGTAAAGAATTGGGGATTTTTAAGGTGTCTACCCAATTCTTCACTATTACCTGTGTTAGAGAACAAGGCAAATCCCACTCCTTCTAGGACTATTTTTAAAAGATAAAGAAGAGTTTGGCCCAAGTATAAAATTATTAAATAAAAAATTTACCCAAGAAATCCCATTAAAAAGGGAAATCCACTGATATCTTTAGCACTATTTCGACGATAAATTTGTATACATATTGGGCTAAAATTAAAAAATAAAGAATTAAAAAGAAAATTAATTTAGTACATTCCACAAAAGAAGAGAGAGATTGTAGTAATTATGGCAGAAATTGAAAGAAAGGTTAAAGGTGAAATTGGTTCCTCGAGCATTCTAAAAAATAATTTTTTATTTTTGAAAAATAAATTTTTTGGAAATTAATATTTTTAAACAAAATTTTTAATAAAAAATTTAAAAATATTAAAATGATTTTAAAGAAGCTTGATTAAACGACAGAAAACAAAATACAAAAATTACATTCCAAAAAACATTAAATATTGCATACAAGCCTTAAAAGATCCTACAAAAAATCCCTAAAAAATAATTTAAAAGTAATCAAATCCTATAGCTATATAAAAACAAATTTAGGTAGATCATTTCAATCAATCAAAAAAATCATAAAATAATCACACACACACACAATCATAAACACAAAGAACAGCGTCAGAATATCCTAATAAAGTGTAAAGATACATTTTTTGGCTTGGATTTAAAAAAATAAGAATTAAGAGGGAGAAGTACAAAAAACTCTCAAATACAAGCAATGAAATTTCGATTTTTCTGGGAGAAAATCCAAGCCCTGCTAGATAAGAAATATGTATGAATAAAATTTAAAAGAAATGATCCAAAAGATTTAAAATTTTTAAACTTTAAAAATAAAATTTTTAGACATCCTTGAAAGGAACACACAAACCCACCGCTCAAGGAATCCATTTGAAATTGTGAAGAACATGTTGATGAAACTTCTTTATTTTATATTTAAAATAATCTTCTTTTAGTGCCAACAATTTAAGAGATTCTTTACTTCTTTTGTTTATGGCCTTTATTTGAAAAGTCGATCAGTGTCTGAAGAGAAGAAAAACAAAGAGAAAAAAATAAATTAGCTATAATATTTATTTACAATTCTAAAAAGAAAATAAAGAAAATTGTTGAAAGAAATTAAGGTAATTTAGAAAAAAAGAAATATTTTGGTTCTTTTTTCTTGAAAATTAAATAGGGGGGGTATTGTTGATAAATGTTTGAGGGAGCTAATAGATAAAAATAATAATAAATTCAGTTGTTTTTGTTAATCTCATTGTTAAAAAATGTGAGGTCTTTCTTTCAGAATGTTTTTTTTCGAAAATTGGGGCAAAAATGTTAAAATTTAAAAAAAATAGTAAAAAGTAATTTAATATGTATTTACTATTTAGTGAGAAAAATAAATAAATTCACGTGAAAAAGTAAATAAATAAAAACTAAACGAGAAATAGCCAAAATATTAATATCAGAGATCGGTCGAGAAAACATTATATGTATTAGAAGTGATTAAAAAATATTAAAATGCTGCCAAAAAAATTATTAAACACAATGCCAATAAATTAAATAGACAAATTATCCTTGAAGATCTTAAAAATAAAATTTAAAATATTTAATTATAATGTAATCGTAAAGAGGAAGGAGAATTAACTATGATGAACAACATTAAATTGAAAGTTTTTAGTTATAAAATGAAATCAATTATTAAATAATTTTTGAATTAAAGAGAAAATTCTTTTAAAAGAATTGATGATAAATTTAAAATAAAAAATCAATAAAAAAGAACCAAAATTAAAATATTTTTTAAAGGTAAAAACAAGTTTTTATGATAATAAAAAAGCATGCTGCGCATGAACAATTTTTTATGTTGAAAGCATTATTGTTATGTACATATATAGACAAGTAAATAAAAAGACGGAAATAAATCAATAGTAACAATTTTAGTCAGCTGCTTTTGAAATAAATAGACTAAATTGAAAGGAGAAGAGAAAAAAGGAGAAGAAATATTGTAGAAAGGACACACAATTTATTACAAAATATGTAATATTTTTCTGGAAAATTAAAATTTTGTTTAAATTTTGGAGGAGACAAGCCTTAGGGTTCCAACCTTAGAACTCAACCCTATGACCAGCTTCAATTTAAAAAATTGCATTATCTTTTATGGGGTGACCTCTAAGTAGTTACCTCTAAGGTTACTCAGTTAATTATACATATTATTAAACTAAACGTGTTAAACTAATATTATTTTGGGCCTATTCTAAAAGTTTTATTTTTTTTTACTTTTGTTTTTTTTTCCAATTTAAAAATAAAAATAACTAAAAAAACTTCTTTAAAAATAATTTACTTTTCTAATTAAAATAATTTAAGTATAATAATGAGAAAAATTATCTCAAAGTAAATTTATTTTCATCGATCATTCTATTTAAATTTAAAATTAATTCCAAAGAAGATCCTGGTTTGTTTGATCATTTCCTATCTCAAAAAAATTTTAAAAGTCCAAAAAAGTTTTTAAAATTTTTTATTTCTTAATTCTTAAAAACACTAAAAACATAAAAAAACACAAACACTTACATTATTTATCATTCTTTATCAAAAACATTACAAAATTAACAGAAACAAGTTATTTAAAGCATTAATAAAAAGCCCAAGAAATTTATTATGAAAATATAATACTTCCTATGCCCAGGAAATTATTGAAAAATCAAACGAGTTCTGAAAATTCGGTGCCTTTAATTTTTGTTTTAAATGAAACTTTGTTTTGTAAATCCTAGGGAATTATTTTTAAAATAAAAATTTAACAGAAACAAATCACATTTCAGAATATATTTCTCAAAAACAAAAAATCAGAAAATATAAAATCAACATTTGCATATGCACCAGAGATAGGACCGTCAACAAAAATCTCGGTTAGTAGATTCACCTACAACCCTTCCCAGTCCTGTCTCCAGTATATACACCCCAAAAGTCAAACTTTTAATTTAAATTTTTTTTAAATTTTTTCTTTACCTTAACAATTCATTATCCCCCATTTCAATATCTGGAGCCTCCAAAACCTCAAAATTTTCTGATTCCTTTTGTTGCATTAATATTTTAATTAAAGATGGAATTTGTTGAGTTGTTGTTTTAATTGAGGAATTCATTATTTAATTTTTAATTATTTATAAATTAATTTTTAATAAATTTTTGTCACTCAGCAGAATACATAAATGTAAATTGGTAATGAAAATTGCTTAAAAATATTTTAAAAATTATTTAAATAAAAAAAGGAAAATTTCTTAAAAATATTCATATTCGATATTTCATAAAGACAAAATTAGTTATAATTATTTAATTTTATTCTTTAGCTACAATAATTAACTACATATTAATATATAATTTACAGAATTATTTTGATTATTAAAAATGGCCTTTCATTTATTTACCCTTCAATAAATGGTTAATAATAAATTATTAAGGAAATAATAAATAGAAAAATATAATTAAACAAAAAAAATAGAAAAAGCGCAAGTTGGATTAAGGAGGACATTTAAAAAAAACATATTTAATATTCTAAATAACAAAATATAAAAAATATCTTACCTAATTTAATATTTAAAAGAAACTTTATATAAAAATAAAATAATTAAAAATAAAAAACCTCAAAAATGTTTGAATTTAAAATTCCTGCTAATAATTAATGTTCCTCAAAAAATAAAAATAATGTCGACTATATCCGTTGTCGTAAATATTATTTATTTTTAAAAATTATAGTCAGCTGTCATAATAATTTTAAATAATTTTTTGAAAAATATTTTTAAAAAATAAATCTACAAAAATAAGTAAAAAATTTTAAATATTACGATAAAAAAGTATTTTTAAAAAAAGTATTAATTAAACAAAAGATTTTCATAAAATAATTAGTATAGTGGAACGAAAAAAATGTGGAAATAGACAAGAACGCTTTATTTTAGAGCGTTGCACAAAAAAACTTTTTTTTTGTAAAAATGTGAAAAATTACCCGCAATTTACTTCATGACATATCAAAAATATCAGTAAGTAACTAAAATTTTTTGTAATAATTTTTTGTAAAAAATTGAAGTAAAAATTTTATTTTGAAGAAAAAAAAAATAAATAAAAAATTTAAAATTATTTCAATACAAAAACAATTTATATATTTAACGATAAATAGTAAATATTTTTGCCATATATAGAAATACACAGAAATGCCAGACAATTGTTTTTGTCAATATTTTTTGCCATTTTTATTTTTATTTGTTATGGATTACATATCCAAGTAAACAATATATATGTAAATAATCTTTACAATCTCAATTCAGATAGTAGGTTAGGTGAAAAATTACATTTTAGAGAACAGAACGGGATTTAGCAAGAAAACTTGTTATTTTCTGGGTTTTTGTTTTTTTTATCTGAATCGACCCAAAAACTCTAAAAAAACTTTTTAAATTAAAAATGAATATTTTTGCCAAATATACAAAAAGAGAAAAATTTGAATGACCTGGACCTTTAAATTAACCTAGAAAACCGGCCCAGGCCATTCTAAATTTCCTATTTCAAATAAAATTTAAACATCATTCATAAACGCAAATAGATATTAAGTCTGCATTAGCATACATAATTTTATTGCTTTTAAGCTTCATTAGCATAAAAATTCTAGAATAATCCAGCAGATGCATAGTACAACAAACTAATATATATTCACTACTAATACTAGACTAAATAAAAAAAATAAAAAAATGCAGCCGTCAGTGTTCGAATGTAAAGCTACTAACTGCCACACGAGGGAAAGGACAAAAGCTGTGAAAGCAAAGAGTAAGGCAGCTTTTATAAGGAATGGAAGGAACAGATAAAAGGGGGGATGAAGTATTCGTAGAGTGTTTTTTAAACAATCCAAAGAACGTCTTTTCAAAAGAATTTTTAAAAAGTGCATTTTTGCCATCAAAAATGTGTGTGTGTGGGTAAATAAATATGTACACAATGCTTCCAGTAAAGATAAAAAAATTTCTTTCAAAATTTTAAAAACAAGTTTATTTGTATTTTTGTAGAATTTTAAAATTTAAAAACAAAAAATAAAAATGAATAAATAAATAATTAGCAAATATTTATTTACTGTATTTACTAATTTTTTAATTAAAAATCCTTTAACGATTCCACCTAAATGATATTAATGGATGTGGATATTTAAAGGTTTCAATACTATCTACAAGAAATTTTTATTTACAGGGTGCGGCATAAGTAATTGCACACTTTTAAATTCCTTATAACTTTTTTTGGTGTCAATATTTTTAATTGATTTTAGGCTTATTTTTTAGCTCATTCAATTCTCTATTATGGCTAGTTAACGTGATTCTATAATCTCACTTTTTTTGCAGAAAAATTCAGTCCGCAAAATTTCATCTCTTTTGAATGTCCCAAAGAGCACTGTACAATACACTTTCAAAAAATTCTGGTGAAAATTTTTTGGGAGAAAATTTTTTTGAAATTAATTTAATAATGATGGCACAACTAAGAACTTACAAAAAAGTGGAAGACCGCATTCCGTCAGCACTTCCAAGAATATTAAAATGATCAAAATTTGGGTGTATCGCAATTTTCGACTCTCCATGAGAAAAGTCGCTCGTGAAACCGGAATTAGTGAGAGAACCGTCAGACGAATAGCTAAAAATAAACTAGGGTTAATACCCTACAAAATCCAAAAAGCACAACTGCTAACAGAAAAAACAAAAAAAGTTAGGCTTGCAAGATGCAAACTCCTCCAACAGTGGCACGCATGTCCAGACATTTTTTTATCAGACGAAAAAATTTTTACAATATAAGCCGTTCACAACCATCAAAATTATAGAATCTGGACTACAGAATCTCCTCTTTCCGATAAGCTTATCACTCATTCCCAACATCCCCAATCTGTCATGGTTTGGGCCGGTATTTGCGCGTCAGTCAAAAAACCCCTTATTTCGTGGATCCTGTGGTAAAAGTCAATAAAGACTATTACTTGCGAGAATTTTTTCAGCGTGTTGTGAAGCCTCGGTTCAAGAGCCATTTTGGTCGCAGAGTCTGGATTTTCCAACAGGACTCTGCTCCGGCACACAAGGCAAAAGAAGTTAAGGACTGGTGCAAGGCCAATTTTTCTGGTTATATCTGCGCTCAGGAATGACCGCCCTACTCCCCCGATTTGAATTCGATGGATTGACCTTTTTGGTCTATTTTGGAGTCCAGGTCCTGTACTAAGCCTCAAAAAAGTTTGAAGTCTCTGCGACATTCTCTCACCCGAGAGTGGCTCTTAATTACACTCAAAGAGGTGCGTGCTATTTGCGAAAATTTTTCTTCGCGCCTTTGCCTCTGTATCAAAGCCAAGGGTGGGCATCTCGAATTTTCTTGATTATTTTTGTTCCCTATTTAATTCTCTATCATTTGATTGTATTTCGATTTTATTTTATTGTGTTTTAATAAAGTTATGAGAGAAAACAAGTGTGCAATTACTTATGCCGCACCCTGTAAAAAAGACAAAAATCTAAATGAGAATATTTAAAAGATAAAAGTATATATTTATGTAAATGTGGGTGTGAATATATTTAGAACAATACGTAAATAATTTCGTGATGAATATCTTTAAAAGAACATTAAAAAAGAGAATAAAGCTGCCACCGTCCAGCCCCTTTACATTTTAAAATAAAAAAAAAGAAAAAGCAATCAAAAAATAATTTGAACAAAAAAATAAAGTAAAATTTTAAAAATGCATAGAAAATTTAATTTAAAAATATTTTTAGTCCATCAAAGGTTTTTGGAAATCTAAAGAAAGTAAAAGCCAATTAGGAAAGAATGAAACAAAAATATAATTATTTTTTAAAAAGTTTCTAAGTTGCATATTAAAAGTTAAGTAATTTAAATTTCATTATTAATACATAATTTTCGGAATTTCTAAGAATTTTAAAATTCTTTCAAAAACTTTCATTTGGTCTACAAAAAATTAGTAAATTTAGTATAATTTAACCCAGCCAATTCTATAAGCTTCATCGTTTGCACTTTTACAAATTTAAAAATGAAATAAATGATAATTTAATTGTGAATAGTTGATCAAAAAAAGCAGGAAAAAATAATTTGAAATAGCAATTCAGACTAAAGAAATATTTTTCAAACTAAAAATTTTTTTAATTTAAAAGGAAGAATATTGAAACCTAACAAAAAATTCCAGAAAATTCTTTTCGATTTAAAATAAAAAGCTTATATAAATGACAAAAAAGACAATTGCCGTCATTATTAAAAAATATCAAGCATATTTTACGTAAAAGAGAATATGATATATTTTATTTAGAAAATGGAGACAAAAATAAAAAAATGGAACAAGAGTCCATAAAAAATTTTAGGTACTTTTTAAAAATTTTATTAAATTGAGGATATGGATGGATAGGAAATAAAAGTTATTATTGAAAGGAACAGCTGGAAGGATTTTAAAAAAGAAAAAGAATTTTTAAGTTTAAAAAATATTCTTATTTTTGAATTCTTTATTTAAAAAGGATATTTTAAAAAATTCATGACGAACAAGCAAAGTAATAAATTATTTTTACTTTAATAAACTTTGAACTCTTGAACTGAAAATTAGCTGATATATCCTTAAAAACCTTTCCATATATTAATAAATCCCGCCTAGCTTCTTTAAGTTTGTTAAATGGAATGTGTGTAAGAAAACTACAAGTACAATTTAATAATTTATAGAAAAATAATCCTTTCTAATTTTTAATGTAAAAAATATTTTTTATTTTAACAAACATGTATGTAATTATTATATGACGTAATAAAGTACATGAAAATAAAAGAATAATATAACAATTTATGGCTAAAGAATAGCAAAAATTTTAATAATTTTAAACGTTCTTTAGGCAATTATTATTGTCATTCGTATGTCGTTCTTTTGTTAATTGGAAGCACTTTATATACATAAAAGAAAAATAATTAAAAGGATAATGATTAAAGTACTTTTTTAGTAATGAGCTTTTTTTTACCTAAACGAGAACGAGTTCTAGTATATCATTCAAAACTCTTGATAGGCGTAATCTTTTATCCATTAATACAGGTTTATATCTCTTTATGGATAATCAATTGCCGATACATTGAAAAAATACAAAGAAAAATTGAAAAAGATTGTTGGTTATTCAGGTATTTGAGGAAATAGTTGTATTTTTAAAAAATAAATTTTTTTAAAGTTAATTTCGAAAAAAATATTTCAAAAAAGGAAACTTAATTAATTTAAAATGAATTCCTAAAACAAGTAAAAACAATAAAAATAAAGAGAGAAAAAACTATTTTTAGTAAAAAATATTATTTAAGTAAATTGCTAATTTATTTTTTAAAATTTATGTTCATAAAATTCTATATTCATAAAAACTGCCTAGTCTAGAAAAAATGGAAATACAAATAACTAAGTTCCATTTCTATTCATAAAAATTGTTAAAAATGAACAGGGAGAGAGAGAGAAAAAATTAATTAAAAATTAAAAAGCTTGGTTACGTAAAAGTAAAACATAGTACAACAACTTTACTCGTTACCATGGAGTTAACTAGAAAAGTTCAAAGTATTTCAAAGGCATATAAAGGGAAATTGGGATAAAAACGGAAGACATAAATTTCAAAAATGCTTGAAAATTGTTATCATTATTTTAAAAATAAAGGCCATTAGTTTACATATAGGCATGTACTTACATATGTACATAGGTATTTACCACTAATACAATAAAAAATAGATAATAAAAACATAATAGTATGTACTATATCTCATTCATCATCTACCTACCTATAATTCATTACCATCTGAAGTGAAGCAGTGTTTCTCAGTAAAAAATAGCTTTATCTTTATTTAAATAACAACACATTAAATTCTTTATTTATACAAAAAAATATTTAAAAATAATTATATTTAATATTAAACAATCACCGGTTTATTAAAATTAAAAATTTATAATTAATTTCCTCTTCAATCTTTTTCAATATAAGTTTACTAATTATTATTGTTAATTTCTATTTATAAATAAATTTAGATAAAGTTTTAAATCATTTAAACATCTAAATTGGGAAAGGCTAAGTATCAGAAAAATAAAACAAAATTATTATTAGATTTATTAAAAAGGGAATTTTTGAGAGGAAACTTAAATTAAACAAAAATATATACAAAAAGAAAATTTAAAAATTAGTTGATTATGATTAATTATTGTTGACAAACAATCCTTTCTTTTATCTCTTTTTCAAATAAAAAAGCTTTGCTTCAAAACCAACAACAAATACATACCGTATATGCTCTAATAATTACCCTGGGTAATTATTGTTTCGACCTCTCGCTGGAGGGAGTAATTAATAGAGCGGGGGTAATTATTTGAGAGAGGGCAATTATTGTTTCGACCTGTGTATGCTTTTGTTTTTGATAAACATGTGTAAAGGAATTTACACAATATATTACCGAATGCGGCGATAAATGTTCAAGTTTCTATTATTATCCATATTCCCTTAATATATTCCGAAATAATGTAGCCCAAAATGGTAATATGACACCAATGCTTCCGTCCTGGGATATATAAAGACACCATGGGTATGTATACACATTTGTATGATCCTAGTTAAGGAATATAATTTATATTCCATTAATATATTCCGATATAATGTACTCTAAAGTGGTAGATATCAGCAATATTTCTATCTTGGGATATATAAAGGCTTCTAAAGTTTCTTAGTTTTTCATTTCCTATATCAACTTCTCTTAATCCCTGGATATCTACATAAATTTCTCGATATTTCCCAAAATCCTTTTAATCTCTCCATATCTTTTTTATATTGATCTTTAAAATATTCCATTATTGAAATTTATTATGATTTTTAATAAATATTTTTAAAATTTTTATAGAAAATAGGAGGGGGGCAATTATTAGAGAGGGTAATTATTTGAGAGAGGGTAATTATTGTTTCGAACTCTCACTGGAGGGAGTAATTAATAGAGCGGGGGTAATTATTTGAGAGAGGGTAATTAATAGAGCATATACGGTATACATATAACCCCAACAATTAAAGGTACAAACAACAAATATTTTCGGCATTATCAAGCAAACTTTCACATTTTTTAAAATAAAACCCGTAATAATTCTAGTTTTCTTCCTTCTTTCTTCCTTTTTTCATATAATATTCGAAGTTTTATTATTATCTAAAGGTTCAACAAAACTTCCATCATCACTTCCACCAGATATAATTGTTGACATTTTTGTTGGAGATTTAATATTTGTGTTTAATAAAAGTGTTGTACTTTTCGCAGACATTTCAGAAGCTGCTAATTCTTTTTGAGAAACTTTTTCCCCAGACCTTCTTCTATACGAGCCGGTCTTTTGTAGATCATTATTTTCATTAAAACTATTTATTATACAATTTCTTGTTGATGAAAGTGTTGGGGAAGTTGCAGAAATATTATTTTGAATTTTTGTTGCTCTATTTTTTAAATAAAGAGGAGGGGAATTGTTAATGGTGTTGTTATTGTTAGCCTCGAATGTGCTTGTGGCATTTGAAGATTTTGCACTTGCAAGTAGTAATCGCCTTTGTTGGGGGTGACCAGGAGGTGGTTGCTGTTTTATCTGAATGAGTTGAGTCTTTGAATTAATATAGTTCCAAAGGAAACCCCAGGAAAAGCCTAGGCAAAAAAGTTTCCCTCGAAAATTAACTCGATAAATTTTTCACATAAAAATTTAACTAGGAAAAATTCATTCACCCAAAATTCCCTCAAAAAATTAATTTACCTGTTCCATACTTAAAACCCCTCTTCTCCTCTTTGGCATTTTACTTCTAGCCTGGGTGTGTGAATAATACATTGCAAAGTTTGCTACAATAACTGGTACAGGTAAAGCAATTGTTAATACACCAGTTAATGCACAGATTGAACCTTTATTTTTTAAATTAATTTATTTAAATTATTTTTTATTTATTAACCAATTAATCTTCCACTCCAAGTATGGGGAGTCATATCACTAAAAAATAATAATAACAATTATTTAAAAATTTAAGTTACCCATAACCAATTGTAGTCATTGTAACAATTGCATACCAAAGACCGAGAGGAATTGAATGAAACTAAAAATAAAAAAATATTTTTTAAAAATAAATTTAATTTAACCTGATTTTCAGGATTTTCTTCTAAACGTTCAGCATAATAAATTAAAGAAGCAAACACAACAATGCCCAATAAAAGGAAAAATACAAGAAGCATTAACTCCTTTGCTGATGCTCTATAATTTAATTAATTAGTTAAAAAATATTTTTAAAGAAAATTAAAATTCGGAGAGAGTTAAATATATTAATAATTATCAATTATTTACACAAAGTTATTTGCAAGAATGACAAAAAAAGATTTTCTATCCTTCTAAATTTAGTTTAACAATCTTATGGACTCTTTATGAGGGAGGAGGGGGAGGGGGAGACTTATTAAAAATAAATATTATTTTGGTTAATTATAACACCTTCCAACCTCTAAAAGCTAATAGTAGTAGTATTTTATTCAAATAAAAATACCTCAATGTATAAAGCAATATTTTCAATCCTTGTGAATGCTGTGTAAGTTTAAAAAGCCTCAAAATTCGAATTATTGAAAAGAATTCTAAATCAGATGTTGCCTCAAACCAAGTAGTTAAACAAAAGTCTATATAAAATGTTACCTAAATTTATAATTAATAAATTTTATAAAAAATTAAATAACTAACAGTTGCAACAATATCAATAATATTTACAGGGGATTTGAAATAATCAAGTTTTGATGGGCATGTGAAGAATCTAAATGAAAATAGATATTTACAGGGGATTATTAAATAATTCATTAATTCCTACCTAATTAAAATTTCAATTGTAAACCAAATATTACAAATAGTTTCAATTATCTAAAAATATTTTTTAAAGAAAACTTTGACAAAAAATTTAAAAATTAACCAAAAAGCTTGGATGTGGTTTTGTATTAACAGGATCAGATCCTATCGATTCTGTTCTATATTTAAAAAAAGGTTTTTGGGTTGGATGTTGATGTTCGTGTTGTTGTTCATTTTGTAAAGGTGGAGGAGGTTTTTCTCTTGAAGGTTTTATGGAAGAATTAAAAGAAGAAGAATTATTTGTTAAATTAATTGCTAATGTTTCTTCTTGTATTTGAGAACTGCCTGGATCCTCAACTCTCAATCCTGGATGTGTTTTAAGGCAAAAGGCAAGAATGGCACAAATAAGAAAAAATACTGAGATTACTGCGACTATCTAGATAAAAGAAAATAAATAAGCTGAACATCGAAGGTGAATAAAAAAAGAGCAGGAAAGCTGAAGTATACCGAAAATAGGACGGATAAAATAAGGAATAAAAGAGCTACTAGGAATATACTTAATGAAGTTACCTTCGCCCCAGTAGTTGAAGAAGGTTCATCAAACAAACGCCACATCTTAGGCTTTACTTTTTGCCATAAATTTAATTCTTTGTTTCGAAATTCTTCGTCAAGTCCAAACCGCCTGTAGAGTTTCTCCTTTAAAGTAAAACTTTAAGAATTATCAGATTATTTTTCTTACTAATTATTATATTTAATGATAAATAAAAGTAAAAATTTTCTTTTCTTTTATTTTCATTCTAACCTCATCTTTCATAGCTTCATCATCAAGATCTAACTTTTCCAAATTTTGAAGAACTTCTTGAGTATCTCTATGTGTGGTATACGTCATCCTATCCGCAAAATAAAAGAAAATAAATTCATCCAAATATATTTGTTTATTCACTTACCAACAACAACTTTCCACTTCGTTTGCATCTATTCCCCAAAACTAAATTAAAAAAATTAAAATTTTTTTTCAGATTTTTTATTAAGATTTTATTTAAAAATACTTTTAACAACTCTAACCTTGAGTTCTTCTTCAAAAAGTGGACCACAGACATCTAAATAGTAAAAAAAGTAATAAAGTAGGGAGATATGTTTTCATAGAATAACGCAAAATTTTAAGGAAACCCCGATCATAACCAAGTTTTTAAGTGTACCTATTAAAACTTTACAGGATTATAGCAAACAAAACAAAATCTTAAAAACCCCTCAATGCTATGGGCTCAATACTGAGTATATAATATTTTTATATTCTTTATTTTATAAATGCCAACCAAGTGGATAATGCAATTTCCCCGTTCTATAATAATTAAGCACTTGTGCAAAAACGTCTGGATGCCGATCAAAGAAATATCTTTAAATTAGTTAATAAAACGTTTTAAAAATCAAATAAAATCTACTCATTCAAAATAGGATCATAATTAGCCAAATTAGGTGTAAGTCTGCTAAGTCGTGTAGCTGGAATCTTTTTAAGTGTATGTTTATATGTTTCATGTCGAACACCTCCAACATTGAGGACTATTCTATATTCACTGTCCATTATTGTACTCCTTTAAAATATATTAAATTAAAGCGTTATTTCATGAAATTTATAACTAGAATGTTTGAGACGGGGGGGGGGGGGTTACTTCGAAAATTCAGATTTTGAGAGGGATTTTGAAGCTTGAAATTTAATAATTAGGATTACTTAATTCATAAAAAGAATTAGACAAAAACTTTAGAGATTAGACGGAAAAGTTTAAGAAAATACTACTCATCTCTCATTAATATATACCTAATACCACCCAGGTAATAATTACAACTCTACTGAAATTTTCTCAAGTCCCCAACTAAAAATTAAAACAAAAAAATAATTTTAAATAAAAATTTTGAAAGTCTAAATTAAAAGTAATGAGGTAAATACACTAAAAAACTAATAGAAAGCCAACAATTAAATGGAGAGTTACCCGTCCATGTTAAAAAAATTCCCCTTTGGGTTGGCAAAAAATGTGGCGAAATTGGAGAAGCATTTATTTAGAATTATTGAGAGAAGTTAAAAAAGAAAAGAGAGGAGATGCGGCAAATTGCTAAGCGCTAATGTTAACACGTTCCCTTGACGCAATTTTTGTTTCTACTGCCATTTACTAACAAGGGGGACAGAAAAAAGTTTTTAGAGTTGACATTTGGAAAAATAAGGATTTTTTATTGTAAAGATTGTGAGCTAATTTGATAGAAAATAAATGAGAGAGAAATATATAATTATTTAAAAATTTTTAAAACGGAAATCCAAGCTGTAATTAAAAGCATTTACAGAGTCCCCGACTCCATAATAGAAAATAATTTTAAAGTTACTATCTCCTAAAACAAAATTTTATCCATAAAAGTTAATTTCTCAATTAATCAGAAGAGAGATAAACTGAAGGACACAAAAATATCAAAATATTTATTGATACTTTAAAAATTATTTTATTTAAGAGAAAATTGCATTTTAAGTGAGGGTTGTATTTTAAATTTTTAAAGGATATATATTTTAAATATATTTTAAATATTTTAACTAAATAAGGAAATAGTAGAAACTAAATAAAATTTTATTTATTTATTTCAATCTACTAAATCCTTCAACTTAATGTGAAAAAGCATTTTAAAATAAAAAAAAGAATTTATTTATTATGCAGCAGGTTCAATTTAACCTTCCTTTCCCCACTTTTTTTGTTAAGCAGATGAGTTTCCGTGTTTGTAAAAAATACATAAAATAAATAAAATAAAAGAGTAAAGCCTAGACATAAAGAAATTTGCTTTTTTTGTAAAGGATATATGTTAATAATGAGAAATAAAGTATTTTTTATAAGAGATTAAAAGTCAACAAAGAATTTTTTAATTAAAAAATGTTAGAAAATTGTTTCTAATAATTCGAAAATAAAGAGAATTGTCCAAAAATTAAAATTTTTTTTAAAAACAAATAAAGAAGGATATAATACATAGAATAAATGATAAAAATAACTAATTAAATTATTTTAAGAAAAACAAAAGAAATTGAGATTATAAAAATTGTCAAAATTATCCTTAAACAAACAAACAAATAGAATAATAATTAAAATATTTAATAGGCAATAACAACTGTTTTAGTTAAAAATTAACTACCTAATTTAAAAAAGAATTAGCTTTAGGAATATTTTAAGACAAAAATAAATTAATTTTTATTGACATCCTAATTAACAGAATTATTTAGTAAAATAAAAATTTAAAATTTTAGTAAAAAATAATCACAAGAAAAAATAGGAGAAAATCATTAAAAAATTTTATTTTGATGGATTTGTTTAATCAATATAAATATATATTAATTATGATCACCTATAGATTTAAAATAATGGAAGAACAAATGCTTCTCATAAATTTATTTTAAAAAGCTTTGAGAAATAAAAAGAATTCTTAAATATTGAAATATTAATTCAATAAATAATTATTTAAATGTAAATTGGCTTTCGAATTTTAATCAAAAATTTATAAAATTATTTTATTTTCTTGTAAAAACTTTTACTTAAAAATTTAAAAATAATGCTAAAATATATTTGGAAAAAATATAAAAAAGTACAACAACTACTAGAAACACCCACTAACTATGAAAACTCATCGAGGCATATACTAATGTGCATTTTGTTGTGAATTATTTATTTTTGGCATTTTAGAAAAGATTGATTTAAGGATAGTTTAATTTTAGAATATTACATATGTATTGTGATTAACAACTCTCGTAAAATTCCTGATTACATTAAATATTAAAGACATATAAACTTAAAGTTTTTGAATGTCCGGATGCAAGCTTAATAATACTTGATAAAATATTAAAATTTTATTGAGGTTTGTTTTGCTTTACAATAAAGGCCTTTCAATTACATTAATTAAATGTTTTCTTTTTTTATCAGAATTTAATTTATTAAAAATATTTAAATTAAATATTAACTATACCTTTCATCAAAATCTTGCCCTAATGGGCGGCTCATTGTTCGTTCGGCTGGAGCACGTCCATAAAGAGACATACTTCTAGACATGTTTTTAATGAAGAAATAATTAAATAATTTATGTAAATTTAATTAAGTTAATCTATAAATGAATTTTTTTTAAAAGAATTTTTGAGGTAAAAATGAAAATGTTAATTCAGAAAATATTGTTAAAAACAAATTTAATATTATAATACTGTGAGAGAAAATTTTAATTTTATAAAAAATTATCTAGTATAAATAGAAATTATACGAAATTTATTAAAATTAAAAATCATGATTTAGGAGGTTAGGTATAGTCTTCTAATTCTTTTTACTGTAAAACGGAAAATCAAATCCTTTTAATTCCTATTAAATCAGACATAATTAATTTTCAACAAAAACTTGTTTAATATTAAAGATTAATGTTTTTATCTAATATCTCAAAAATCATTTAAAATAAATATTTTAAGCAAATAATTAAAGAAAATCTACATACATAAGATAAATTTGTGGAAAAAATATTTAATGAAACTAATAAAGTATTTACTATGAATATAAAATATTTATTAAAATAAATTTATTTTCTTTTTAAGTTCTGACTTTTAAGAATTAAATAAATTTTTAAAAATTATAAGAATAGTAAGAAATAATTTTGTTTAGGTCAGCACTGGGTTAGCTTATGTAAATTTCTCAGTAAAAAGAAAATTAATAAAAATATTTTTAGATTATAATTTTTAAAATAAATATGTATAAATATTTAGAAACATTAAATATTATTTACTTTTTATTTAATTATTTAAAAATATTATAAAGTAATTTATTTATGTATGTATATAAATTATTAATTTAATTTTTATTTATTATTTTAGAAAATTAATTAAATTTTGTTTAGGCAACATCATATGTAAATCAAATTTTTCTTAAAATATTTTAGCAAATAAAATGTAAAATAATTATTAAAAAATAATTAAAAAATAAATAATTTTATAAATTGAATGGCATTTTTAAATGAAATTGATACAGGAAAAGTGGTTATTAACGGTTGTTGGAGACAGAGGGAAAAAATTTCTCATTTTGTCTATGGCCAAGAAGATTTATTTTTCATTCTCTGCAGGGGAAACTGATACATTCATTGAGTAAAAAAAGAAAAAAACATTCTCTCTTTCTTTTAATTTTTAAAATTTTTATAAGAAAAAGAGGGATATTAGGGCTATAAAGCAGAGAAAGAAGCAATTGGCACATTTTATATATTTTTTTATTTGTTGTTAATGTTGATCTTAACAAATAATTTTAAAGGGAAAAAAATAAAATCAAAAAATGTTTTTAAATGACAGAAAACAATTTTTTTAATTTTAAGAATGAATTTTAAATTAATCTTTATATTTATAAATAATTTAATTAATTATTGTCATCAAAAATAAACCTTAAAAGAACGAAAAATATTTATAATAATTAAAGGCCTGTAAATTATGTATAATTTCCTAAAATTCCCGAAATTGGGAATTTATTTTTTTATGTCGACAGGATTGAGGAAATAATTGACAATTTAATACATTTTTTTTACAATTTAGTACATTTTTTTAAATAATTGAATCTAATTATTTACACAAGTTTTTTTCAAAAATAAAATAATTAGGAGTAAAATTCTATAAACGTAAAATTCCAATTATTATTATTAAAATATTAACTGACAATTAAATGTTTTTTGTTAAAGTAAATGCCAATAATTTCTGGTTATATTTTGATAAAGATGTCAGTCATTTAAGAATACAAAAAAAGTAAAAATAAAAGTAAAAATTAAACAAAAAATGCGAAGAAATTGGGTAATTTCTAAGAAATTAAAAAAACTTTAACATAATCCCCATGGATACACTTACAGAAAATTTTGTACTTTAAAATGATACTCTATAAAAATATTTGTTTAAAAGAATGTCTTTGAGTGGCTCGAATATAATTTAAAAATTTATTGGGGTTTTAAAAATAATTTTTTAAAAAATAATTTAGAATACTCCAAATTATTTTTCAAACACTAAATCTCGAGCGGACTTTTAACAGGGAGCTTCAAACGGTCTAATTTTTACTCATCTCAGTGAAAAGTTTGAAAAATATAAATTCGTATAAAATACTAAAAAACACCTCAATTAAAAAATAAAATTCCATTTTATATTTAGGTATTTTATTTATTAAAAAATGTAAATAATTATAAATTATTATTTTTTATTAAGAAAAAGCAAAGCAAAAAATAAAAAAATCACAGAAATATTTAATAAATGATATTCTTTTCTTAATCAAAAATATTTAAATTAGAGGTGTCCATCCAACATAATTAGTTTCAGCAGAAAGTGTATACATTTTCCTGTGTGGACTGTTTGATACAGAATCAATTGATCTTTCAGAATTATTTTGAGGAAATCTGCCGAGTAATGCTTTAAATAAAGAAGTTGATAATCTTCTCTTTTGTTGTTGCTGATTCTCTTTAGGTGATTCAATTTTTAAGAGAGATTTTTTAGTTAGCTCAGAAACATCTGAAATAAATTATTTTAAATTATGAAGTAAAAATGTTTTAAATCTGGATTTATCCAGGGGAGAGGGGATGCCGATAATGAATAAGTATTGTCTGGCAATGTAATCAAACATAATTTGTCTTGTTCCCTCTCACTCATTCTCAATCAAAATCTTAATTTCTAGTTTAAAAATCTTCTTTAAAATATCTTTTACTCTTAACTATTATTCAAAATATAAATTTAACCAACCAACATTTTTATCTTCCATTTGCCCCTCGATATCTTTAACTGATTCTCTCCTTTTACTTGCAATAGAAAGAAGAAAATTTCTTCGTAATTGGGCTATTCCTCTATTTTTCTTAAAATTTATTTCATTTTCATTTAAATTTTTTGTCAATTTTTGATGAGGTAAATTAAAAGAAATTCGTTTTTCAGGCCTTTTTAAATTTTGATTAGTTTCAAGTGTTGCTCTTCTTCTTTCCTCTCTTAAGGAAAGAAAAGAAGCCCTTTTTTGGTCTGGAACATCCAAAAATTGATTATTATAGCTTTGTTGACTTTCATTACTGGCTCTTCTAGATTGATCAATTTTTGGCAATAAAAGTAGAGAACCAAATGGAGATAATTTTTCTTGATCAGGTGTTTCTAATGCAGAAGGAGAAGCCTCCAATTGGAGTAAATGAACGCCTACAGAAGCAGCTGCTGCAGTTATACCAGCTGAACAAGAAGCGGCAAGGGTAATTGGAGGAAGGCCGAGAATGCTACTTGGGCAGATTGATAACTGAAAATTAATAGAAATATTAACTAGAAGAGAGTCATGAAAGTACTTGGAATTATTTAGACTGTTAAGTAAATAATAAAAGGAAGTAACTAGGGAAGTATCAGGATTACTAAAATTTTATTTGATATTATTAACTCATCTAGAAAACGAGTCATAATCGGACTAACTAAGATAGGCAAGTTCTAGCTTTATATATAATCATAATCTTTTAGAATATTATTCCACAACGAAAATTCTCTTAACCTGTTCCGTTCTATTAGTGAATTCTGTTGTTCTACTTCTAGATAATCTCCTCCAACTAAGCCAACCATATTCATCATCCTGCATTTTTTTCTTCTTTTCCTTAATTTTTCTTCCTCTTCCACCTCCATTCCTACATTTCCATTTACAATAACTCCTTCCTTCATTATTTAAAATTTCCCCTTTTCCTCCACCATTAGAAACAATTGGCAAAATTGTACTATTGCAGCAACAACTTGGTTGTTCAGCAATTGAATAATGACTTTGGGAAAATTGTTGTTGTTTTTGTTTTCTTAGGAAAATAGCTTTGCAATATTCTTTTTCTTCTTCATTTCCATTTTCCCAATCATTTGTCGAAAATTTTTTGAAACATGGACATTTACTGAAACAGAAAAATAATTTTTTGGAATCTTTATTTTCTCTCACAATTTATTTAATTTTTTAATTATTTTTTCGAAAACTTTCTTCGAGAATCGGCCATTCGATTAATATATCTTTTTGATATTCTATCAGTTTCATAATTATTTTCTTCAATCATTTTATTTTCAGGCAAGGCTAAGGTGGCAGTAATACAATTACTTTGGTTATTTTTAAGAAAATTTTTAGAATAAAAGGATTCTTGGCAAGTAGATATAGTTGAGAAAGATCGAAGTTTTAAAGGTTCTCTTTGACGCTTTAAATTTCTTTTTTTCATAAAAGATGAGGATGAGGAACACGTTGATTTTTCACTCATTGCGTGAACTAAGGAATGAGGGGAAGATTTTTGTCTGAAATTTGTTTTTAAATTTTTTTGTTGTTTATTTCGAAGAAGAAAATATTTGTTGTCAATTAAATTTCCCAAAACTTCAGAAAATTCTCGTTCCTCAGCCAAACGTTGCTCTAATTTTCTGAGTGATTGTTGAACAACAATTGCCCCACCAGAACCATTTTTATTTTTTGATTTTTGTTTAATCCGAATAGATTGATTTAAAATTGGTTTAGGACGGTTTCTTTTGAGCATTGGAAGAGAAGCGAGACAAAGTTCGGCCCTATAAAATTAAGTGGGAAATTTTAAAAAATTTTCTTTTTAATTTTTTTACAAATTATTCAAAAAATAATTTTGATAGTCACAAAATTTTAACTTAAAAGAAAAGAAAAAATAAATTAAAAAGATGGAACTTTGTCTAATACAAATCTCCTCTCTCTCTCTTTGTACCAATGCTCATCAGAAAAGAAAATTCAAAAACACGAGAGCACAATTTTTAAAGAAAATGTTAGAAAATTATTAGAATATTACTGATAATTCGTGATATACATATTTAGTTGAAATAATGTTTAAATAAAGGAATCTTTAAATTGAAGAAAAAATGAAGAAAAAAAGAATAAGTATTTAACACCAACACAAATAAAAAAATATTTTTAAAAATGTTAAAAGTTAATAATTTAAAAACCACCAAAGCCTTGCCATTTTTATTTTTCAATTACAAAATTATTTAAATTTCTAAAAAAATTACCTTAATATAAAATGTAAAACTGAAAAGAGTATTTGCAGGAAAACTGTTCGAAATTTTCTTGACATTCCAACATAAATTAAAAATCCAACAGCCGAATTTAAAAGAGAAAGTAGATCCATTAAATCACCCAAAGGTAAATACTAAATTAATTTTTTGAAAAAAAAAAGTTTAAAAAATAATTAGATAATTACCACTCGTTTATGAAAAGATTCAGAAGAAAATATTCCATTCAAAACGTGTAAAAGACCTTGAGGTAATTCAGCCAGAAGAAAAATTGTTAAAATTGCAGCAAGCTATAAGAAGGGACAATTTGAGAAAAGGCAAAATCAGGATTTTAATTTTCTTCTCAAAAATCAGATCCCCAAAAATATATTTTTTAATTTCTATATCACCATAGAAATTGAAAAAGATATATAAAATTTCCCAAAAAATAAAAAAATATAAATTTAATATTTATTTATTTAATTAAAAATTCCCCACTCTCCCTACCATTGGAGTTGTATGATCTTTTGGAACTTTTTTGCGCATAACTTGTGCCAGGTTCTTTCTTTTATGTGCAACATCCGCAATAATTCTTAGTAAAGCAGCAATAGAAAATGTAAGTAAAATACAGGGAATTACTTTAAATAAAATTCCGTTTGTCCAAAAAGCTAACTTTAAAAATAAATTTTGATTCAATTTTAAGTCACGATTTAAAAAATTACTTTAAGATTCATACAATCACTTTCGTGTGGACGAACTGTATAAACTATTGGTTCATTATTAAAAATTGTGGGAGGTTGTGTCGTTTTAGTTAAATTATTATAATGGTCATTTCCAATTAAAGTTGGTAGTTCTCGTTGAAAACGTCTAAAAGTTATAAATATTAAAATTGGAGGTTAGAAATTAAAAGCAATTATATTTTTGAATAAATCCCCAACTATATTTTCCTTCAATAACTAGGAGGGATAACTAGATATTTAACAAGGAGACTAATAAAATAATATTAAAAAATAGAGTTATTATTAGATAGGTTCTTACTCCCCATAATATTTAAAGAGATTGTAGTAACGAGATTAGATGATAACTGCCATAATAATTTAAATTAATAGATTTTAAATTTAATTATTTTTTAAATTTCTATTTATTTTTACTTTAGTCTATGTCTTCTAATTTTATTTGTATTATTTATTGGTGAAGTAATATTTATAAATCCTTCAATGCCAGTATTATAATTTGAAGGCACAGTCGTTAAATAATTAGTAGAAGGTTGCCAACATGGAAGAATAACGCTTGCTTGTTCTTCCATTATCTTTTTTTAAATATTTTATATTTAAATTTATTTTTTTTTATATTACAAATACCTCAAATGTTAAAAAATTTGGAATATTCACAATTGTCATTGTCTAAAAATAATTATTTAATTATTTTTTATTTTATTAAAAAACTAACAATGGTTGTGAGTAAAGCAATTAATGCAGTAAAGCGTTCTGTTATTAATGGAGTTGTTGGCCCTTTCGTGGCTCTAAAAATTTATTTTAAATATTTTATAAGTAAATTCTGAAAATTAGAGAGACTTTACAAAATAGAATATTCAAAATATTTAAAGATTTGTACCTTCTAATAGTTAAAACTCTTAGTTGAGCCATAACTACAAGCATCCAAATACTTGCAGCGTGAAAAATAACAGAAGCATGTGCATGAAACATCATAAAAACAGCCCAGCACCAACTAAATATTCAAAATTAAATTCAAATGTATTAAAATATTACCTAAAATCTGAAGGTTCACAACGATCTGCTGAAGCCAATAAAAAATGTAAAACAAAAATGAGGTAAGAGACTTCAACGAGTATATCGCAACAAGCCACTGCGCATAAAAGGACGTTGACTGGGGAACGCATAGATGGCCTGGTTAGCACCAAAACTGTCACTAAGTTCATTATAGTACCTGGGGAAAAGTTTCGAATTAAATATTATGATTGATATTTTTATTCCTCCGTTATCTAACAAATGATTCAGGCATAATAAGTGAGAGGGGATTATCCATATAATGTCAAAATAAATTAAGGTTATAATATTCATTTAAATTAAATTTTTAATTAAATTACCGGCAATACAAAGGCCAACAGCCAGATAGGGATGAATCTGTCCATAATTCTGTTGAAAGGCAGCTACAGCGGTAAAGAGCCCCTCAAGGGGTGGCATTTCTAAAGTACCAATCTCACATGCACTTTTGCCGTTATTATTATTAGACGTCATTATTTTTAATTAGAATATGTATGTGTAAATATATTTTTAAATAAAGGCACAAAAAGCCTAGAATTAAAAAAATATCAGAATTTTATTTTTGGATTTTGAAAAATGGTTATTATAAGCCTCTCAAAAAGAGAACAACCACCAGGGATAAATAAGATTGAAGTTAAATATCCGCTGAGAATTTTATATAATAAACTATAATAAACTTCCCTTTACAATGGAATATTTAAGGGAATCGAAATAAGACAAAGGCTATAACTGTGGGAGAGGAATAAGTGTCATAAAAAATTAAAAAAAGTTTCGAGAAAGTATTTCCTCTGATTAACTGTGAGAAGGGCACAGCTATAATTTAAGAGGAAAAAGGAAGCAAATTTGGCAATCGAGGAAGGATAGATTAAATTAATAAAAAAGGAATGATATAAAATAGCAACAACAAAAACAAACAAATATATAAACAGAATTTTTCTATTTAAATTCACCAAAAAAATATTTTTTTTCAATTTTATTAAATTCCCTCACTCATGTTAAATTGCCAATTTTTTGGTCAACAATTTTGGTAGGTCACATTTTTTATTTTATAAAATGTTTACTGCGTTTTTAGCTTTAATTTTGTTCTTCCTATGGGAAATAAATAAATAAACGTTATCTTCTCTCTTTTAAAGCCTATAAAAAGGAAAGAAATCTAAAACGAATTTAATTTGTACTTAAAAAAAGTGCCTGCGCGTAGAAGGGCACAGCTGTTCCCTTTTTTAAAGTTAAATTGAAGTATAAGAACTAAGCCTCTTTTTTTATAAATTTACTGGCAGTTTTTTACAAGAGAAAAAGGGAAGGCAATCTAAACAAACTGCCAAAATTTAATTTTAAAAATATACAAAAAGAATGTTACTGGTCTCGCTTTCACGGATGGCTTATTGAGAGGATATAAAATAACCAGAAAATATAAAAAATATTTAGAGGAAGTTTATTTTAAATTTAAATTAGGAAATAATCTTTAGGCGAAACGAATTTTTGGGGGTGAGAGAAGGGAAAATTTATGGGAGGTGAGAGAAGTTTGGGGGAAAGGGGCTTGTTACTTTTACAATTCCCCTTTACGATGGAATATTTAAGGAGACCGAAATGAGACGAAGAATACGACTGTGCAAGAGGAATAAGTGCCATAAAAAATTAATTTTAAAGGAAGTATTTTTTCTGATTATTAGTGAAGGGATCTAGCAAGAAGATAAATGTTAGGTGAACTAGAATTTTTGAAAATCAGATAAAAGTAAAAAGATTATAGAAACTAACCTCGTTCCTTACATAGAAAGCTACTACATACTAAATAGAGTAGCTTCCTTAATTAGCTAACATATAATTAAAATTACGTATTGGCTTTTTAAAAACTGCTAATTAAAAAACTTCTTTTCCTTATCAGCTCACTAAAAATTACCTACCCACGTATTTTTATAAAAATATTAATTTTCTAAATGGATATAACAAAAATTTATATTAATTTAATAAATGGATTTTCTTGAAAATCTTTCTAGAATTTACTTTTTCTTCCGCAACAGTGACTAAATATATTTTTTCTTAAAATATTATTAAAATAATAAAAGTCAGGAAATCATTAAAATTTTCAAATTTGATATCATAAAGAACAGAAAAAATAAACATAAAGCTAGATTAAACCAAACTAATATTTAAAGAAGTTTAAAAAGAATGGAAGAAATAGTAAATAAAAAATTAATTCATTTAATTAGATAATATTTAAAAAATTATTTTTAATAATAATTTTTAAAAATTTTGCTTTTTGATATTTAAAAAGGCTTATTTGTTAGTAATTTGTAGTCATATACCTATTATTATTATCTAACCTTCATTTCCGTAGCTAGGTCATTATTTTTGTTTATTTTCAAATTCGAGTATTTACGTAAATTAAAATATATATAAACATATTAAAGTACGTAGATTATATAAATATTTTTCTGTAAAAAAAATTTTTTTTTTGGTTAATTTTAAAATTTAAAAATAAGGCAAAAGAAAATTAAAAGAACATTCTTAATATAATATAATGATGTAAATTAAAATGAAATCAGAAAAATAAAAAAAAATTAAATTTAGATTTTAACCTTTGGTTTTAAGTTAAAAATTATTTAGAAAACATAAAAATTTTGATTATTTTTAAATAATTATATTTTACTTTTACTTAATTGCTTTTTTGACGCAATAATAATTCTAATTTTAGAATAAAAAGGGGAAGTTTTTTTCAAAAAGATCAATCCCAATTTAATTTTTTTAAATAACCATTTAAAAATTAAACTCTTTTTTTTTCTAAGAATAATTGCCAGAATTTTCTTAATTTTTAATTTAAGAGTTTTATATATTAGTTAAATTATATTTATTATTATACATCGTCACATCCGAAGCTCATTCCCACACTCCTTTTAGCTTATTTACGTGAAATAAAAGTGTACATTATTATTGGTCTCTTATTTTAGTACTTCCTCTTAAGTCTATTATTTTTTTTATTCATTTATCATTTTTATTTAATAATGTCTAATAAATATAATAATTTTAGTGGAATTAATGAATAATTAAAATTTGAAGGAAATAAATTAATATAAATTAAAATTAAATAATTTAAATAAATAAACTCAAATCCAAATTTATACCTCAAAAATTGCTCGAGTCCTTATTCTAATGAATTTATTTCAAATTAAATATCTCTAAATAAAATAATTTTATGCAAAAAACTTTTGGAAATAAATTTATGAATTAATTGTTTGGGGACTAAAAGAATATTTTAAAATAAATATTAAAACATAAAATTGCCTTTTCTACTTAGTATTCTTATAATAATTATTTTACCTTTATATATTTAATTGCTCCATTGGTACCTATTATTTTTTACTATAATAAGCTTTCTAATTTTAGAATAAAATTTAAAAATTTTTCTATTGTTTCGAAACAGTTTTTAAAAATTTGAAAATTTGAAAGGGTTGAATCTAAAAAATATAAATAACTATTATTAGTAAAAATTTTTGAGAGGGCGGAATCCTCGTAACAAATTTCTGTGGGGACTAGATTAATCTCGAAAATCCAGGAATCTCGTCAATTCCGAAAATTGCAAAACCCCAAGTTTGAAGACGGGATCCATGAGGATTCAGGCCAATCTTTAAATAATACATGGAGGAGGAAAGTAATTATAGTGTATTTAGCTGATTCTGGTAATTATAATAATACCCTATCTGAGAATTTTATTATTTAGAAATTATTACAGATTATTTAAAAAGGCTTTTAAAAACAAAGAATGAACAGAAAATGATTTATTAGTAATTTGGTTTCAATTTAATTAAGAATAATAAAAAATGATATTCTTCCCACAGACTAAATATTCTTAAAAAACGAATTAATATATAAGTAAACTATGACTGCTAAAAACTTAAAGAAAAAACTTTTTTACATTAAATATTAATAACTAATAAAAGGATTACTATTCAGTCTATATTAGCATCTAAAAAATATAATTTTTAAAAAGTATTTTGTCTCATTTCAAGTATGTCATTCTGATTATTAAACTTTTGGATTAAAAAGCAAGTCAAGTGTTAATTGAAAAAGTCTCATTCTGAACTCCTAACACTTCAATTTTCCCATTAACTTTGTATTAAATATTTCTCACAATTTCATGATAAAATGTCGCCAAATTGACAATATGTTACAAAATTATGAAAATGGGGACAAGCATGAAAAGTATTGAAAAACTGATGCGGAAAGGTCAATAAATATTTTATAGAGAAAATTTCGAAATGAGAATTGTTTAACTCCAGAAAACTATCAAAAAATTCCCCTAATAAATTGAGAGAGGTTGAATGATTGCCCGTCCCTCTCTAAATATTTCTATAATTTAGTTTTTGTTTTATCCTTTTAAGTGGAAAATAAAATGTGGGGAAGTGATGCAGAACATTAAAATAAAGACAATTGAAAAATAGAGGGTTTTCCTTTTTAAACAAGTAACGAAAATGATGATTATGAAAAGGAAAATGAGGCAATTGAGCGAGTAAACAAAGCTAATTTGTGTTATAAATTTAAAAAGGAAAAGCACACTTTAATAAAAAGATAAAGAGAAAATTTTGTTAAAAATGGAGAAGAAAATGTTTATTTTAAAAAATATATTTTATAAAAAATTGAAATATAAAAATTCGAAAATAAGAAAATTTGACATAAATAACAAAGTTTTGCTTGTTTTGTTTGCTTCCAAAATTTTGCTTTAAATAACCTTAAATTTTGTTAAGATTCTCTTATCAAAATTTAAAAAATACTTTTTACTGCATTTTTAATTAAGTCACGTTCTAGGAAAAAATTTACATCATTCTCGACAGTTACAAGATTCCAAATATAAAACAAAAGAATTTTAGGCAAAAAATGTTGTTTCAAAAATTAAACAAATTTTTAATTAATTCAAAAAATTATTTACTAAAATAATTTTTTATTTCCTTATTTATATTTTTTAAGGAAACAATTCCTTATCAAAAAATTTTTTCAAAAATATTTTCTTTAAAACTTTTTGCATTTAAAAGTAGTTAATAAATAATAAATAAAAAATATTTTTAAAAGTCAATCATTCATTAATTAACCAACTGTTCCCTAAAATAAATTTACACAAAAAAATAAAAAATCGTGGGGGAAGTTGTTATTTAACATCCGGCAAACTTTGAAAAAAGAAAGGAAAAAATATATTGAGGAAATCATTGTTGAGAGGTAATTGGCCCAGTTACTTCTCATTTTTTAAATAAGGAGATGAACGTGGAAATGTACTCTCCTCACTACAAATTGTGGTAAATAAAAAATAAAAAAAAATAAATATAAATTCAAAAGTATAAAGAAATATTTAAATAAAAGATTATCTTTGTAATTAACTTTTGAGTTTATAAAAATGGATAGAAATGAGGGGATAACTTTAAAATTTTTATTAAAATATACAAGAGATGGGAACTTTGTGTGATAACTTCATTTGTTTCCAAAAACCTACTCTTACTTCTAATTTAAAAATTTTAGAAGAATAACCGGAAATACGTCCAACTCCTTTTTTACTTTCCTATATTTTTATATTTTTCTCATAAATTCATAACCTTTTGGTTACTTTAATTTACGTGTTTAGTTAATTATTTTTATTTATTTCCTCACGCTATCAAGATATTTAAATATATATATTTCTATAAAAAGTAAAGGAATTAAAATTGTGTGTCAAAGCCTTCGAGAAAAGGGAAAATGGCACTTTTTTAGTCAAAAATTATGAAAAAATGCGGAAATATACTAGAATATCTTTGAAAATAAAAAATGTTGAAGAAGGATATTTAAATGAATGGGTAGTTGAAAGAGAAAAAAGACTAAAATATTTTATGATTAAAAAGTAGAATTTATAGCGGAAGGATAAAAATAAATTTAAAATTAAGGATAAAAATATTTAAAGTAAATAAATATTAAAATAAAAAAATAACAAAAAAATAATTTTTCTTTCAAATAAATAAAATAAATATTTTTAAATTTAATTTTAAATTTAAATATTTAAAGAAATAATTTTTTACAAATTTTTTAAAATTGGGAATGTTTTGTTATTTTTGGGATAAAAAACAAAAAAAAAAGTTTTCTTTTTCTTTAGGATAAGAAAAGGATTTCCGTAAAAAGGAAAAAAAGTCTAAAAATTGTTAGCAATCAGTCATTCCAGAGAGCGTGGGAGAAAATAAAAAGGAACAAAAAAATAAAATAAAGATTTTTTAAATCGAGGGTGTGAGAATTGATAAAAATTTATATTAAAAAGTAAAGAAATAATTTTATTTTTTAAATAATTTATTTAATAGTGTTTAATTCTGATAAAGTTTTGTTTAGATGATGTTTTGATTTTTTTAGGTAAAGGTCGTTTAAAAAAGGTTTCGAGAGTTTCGAGATCATATTTTGGGAACTAAATTTTTTGATTCTTAACCGATTTAAATAATAATCAAAAGCTTAGAATGAATGTGAGGATTGATTTGCAGAATAAATATTAAAGAACACGATTGTGTGCTTTCCACATAATAATCATTATAGTATAGCCCGAAATATGGCCTCAAAACGAAACATCTTTTACAAATCAAAATAGCTGATTAATTACTACTAATTTATAAAGCCTTGTCAATTCCCACACCTTTCTTATTTTTTAATAATTAAATATTTATAAATATTTAATTAATTTTTATTTAATAAACCACTAAACATGCAAAAAAAAATAAATAAATTATTAATTGAAGGAAATCTAAAAATAGTTATTTAAAAACAAAAATTAAATAATTAAATATTTAAAGGAAATAAAATAAATTATAAGTATTAATTTAATTCATTTTTTTTATTTTTGCAAAGATTTTTTTCAAAAAAAAATATATTAAAAATATTCACTTTTTATTTTTTAACGGAAGACCACACAAAAATGTAAAAAATAAAAAAAGTGAAAATAAGCTAATATTTATTAAAGGCCACATCTGTCATTCTTTTAATACTACTATTTACAGAGCAACACACAAATTAGATAAAAACTGAGGAAATTTGTGGAAAATAAAAATAGAAAATAAAAACATTTTAAATTTAATTATAATAGTAAATTTATTTTTATTACAAATTAGTAAAAAAATTTTTTCAAAAAAGGCCTGTTTTTGTCGAAGAAATAATATTTTATAAGAAATAATTATTAATTTTCTATCGAGAATTTATTAATTTTGAAAATTCAAATTCTTTTGAATTTCTCAATATTTTTTTATCAAAATTTGTTTTTTAAATAAAAAAAATAATTCAAAAAAATATCTGTTTATTAACTAAATATTGCGTGTATTAGAATACTTCATAAAATAATTTGGACAACAAAAAAATAAAAGGGAGAAAAATAAAATAAATTAATGAGAAAATGACAAATTGAATATGAAAACTAAAAATATTTTTCCAGTCAAAATAGTCGAGATTTTTCTTTTCCCAACGGAAAAAGTTTTGTTTGGATATATTTATTTGATTAGTTTATTTAACTTTTTTTCCTTCCTTATTTTTATTTTTGCACATCCAAATTTGTTATTTTGTGGGAAAATGGCAAAGCCATTAAATTTTGTCTAAATAGACAAATTGGAAAGGACATATAAATAATAATAAAATTATCATAAAATATTTTTTTTGTTTTTTCTGTTAAAATATTGTACTGTTATTATCAAAAAAATAATTTTATTAAATATTCAAAATAATATTCTACTAAATTATTTAATAAGTTTTATTTTATTTGAAATATTTTGTGTGTAATTATTGAGTATTTTGAAATATTTTAAAAACTTTTTTTGAAAAAAATAAATTTTTATTGTTAATTTTTAGTAGGGATTGTCATCCACGAATTATTTCAAAAGAAATTTATAAATATATTTAAAAAAACTCAATTTTGTTAAAGATTTTTGAAAATAAACAGTTTACTCTAGAAAAATTTTTTGTTGAAATTTTTAATTGAATTATACATCGTCTCAAAATATTTAATAAATTTTTTTATTCAATTTTATTCTTTTTAAAATTAATTAAAATAACAAAATTATTAAATAAAAATCTGAAAATATTAAATCCAACAATAAAAACAACAATTCCAAAAATTACTAAGCAAAATAAAATATCCAATCCAAAATATTTAAAATTACTCATTTTGGCTCCCTCCAAATTTAATTCACTAAAATTTCCACCAAATTGTGCCGCAAATTCAACATGACGTAGAAGTATTTCTTTGGGTTGAAATGGGGCCATCTGCATTTTTTGACTAACAATTATTGCATTTTGGGTATATCTTAAATTTTGGTGAAATTTATTTTTAAAAACTGATAGCCTTATATCTTTTAAGGATTTATGAGAAAATTTGTGCTATGAGAATTAACATTTAAATAAACATACTCATTATTTTCTTCTTCAAGTAATTCACTCAAAAATTGTTTTAAATTCTCTTCATTTAACTGATTTTTGAGTAAAACTTTCCCAATTTTTCTTTGATTTACAATAGCGGAATTGTAATTTTGATCTCCAAATATCGGAATACAAAGTAATGGAACACCTTCAAATGCTGCCTCATTTAGACTGTTTAGACCACAATGGGAGATGAAAAGACGAGTTTTTGGATGTGCTAAAAACATTATAGGTATTTTTAATTATTTAAAGGAGAAATTCAAATTAAAATATTTATTATAAAATTAAAAAAATAATTTTTATTAGAGATAGAATCTAGACAAATATCAATCAAAAAATATTTTTTATTTTGATTTCATAATGATTTGTTTTTGAGGAAAAATATATTTTTTTAATATTTTTAATTAATTTCTTACCCAAAATATCCCTTTGCTTCACCCACCCAAATTTGTAAACATTTTCAGGCAAATTATATTCATTTTTATTTAATGAAATTCTTGACTCATTTTTAATTAATTTCTCTCCATAATCATTAGATTTTAATATAAAATTATATTCTGGAAAAGAAGCAAAAGCATTCATTAAATTATTAAACATTTCTTTTGGCATTTGACTCGGATCAGCCACAGAACCGAAAGAAACAAGAATTGCACCTTTGCTACTTGAAGTTAAGAGAAATTCTGTTTTAGAATCCAATTGAATTTTTTGTGTATTCTTTTGTAAAGTAAAACCGCCTAAATTTTAATTTTAGAAAAACAAAATTCTAATTTATTTTATATGGTTATCGGGCAATGAATGACCCTTAAGGAGTCATAAACAAAAATATAATTTTTAACTACAAACCAATATGTTTAATTTTAGCACTAATTGGTTTAGCTAAATCAAGCATTTCATGTGTGTTAATTAAAAAGAATGCTGATTTCAATAGTAATTCATTTTTTGGAATTAAATTTTGGCCAAATATTTTTTTACACCAATCGTCCATTGAGAAAAATTTTTCAGCTTTGTTTTCTATTCGGTTGTACAATGTTCGGGCTCTGTCCCAAATACCCATTGAAGTTCCTTCAGGCGGAGCAGTGTTAACTTCTGAATTAAATTTTAAGGTTATTTATTATGTTAACAATTATTTGGCGAACTATTTAATTCTAGTGTTGAGAAACCTTTTTCGCTGTATTTAACAAAAAATACTATATTTCAAATTTTACTACAAGTGAAATATAATATGATACACCGTACTATTTATTGAAATGATCCTTAGGCCATTAATCGTAAATCCAAAATATGTAATTAATAAAAAATTTTATTCAAAATTTCTAATAACCTGGAATATACAAGGGCATTGGAATTCCCAGTATTTTAGCTTGAACTAAATCCATAGGAATAGGACTTGTTGCGACAGTAGCATGTATTCCCAAATGATTAAACATTGAAAACATGCAGCCATCATGCCATTCAGTAATTCCAAGATCAAAATTTTGTGATTTAAGTGAAGCAAGAAGTTCTTTGTCTTCATAGAATGCTAAAAAAGAAGAAAAAATAAATTTTATAAAAATGAAATTTTAATTAGGTAATTTTTAACTCAATTAATATTTAGATTTATTTTATCCAAAAATTAATTAAAATATTTAACAATATAAATAATAATTATTTTAAATTTTTATATTATACCTATACATCCAACAAAAAACAATTCTTTAACAAATAATTCATTTTTCTCGCTAAAAATTTCCAATTCTTCTGTCCAAACATGGCTATCATAAAAAGGAGAACGGTCAAAAGAATCTTTTAATTTTTGTAGATATTCCCCTTTAGCTGATTGTCTTATAACGTTTTGGCTTTTTGTCCAATTTGTGTTGTTTGTAGGGGGATAATTATTGTAAGGATTTGAATTCATAATTAAAAGAGTCTTTAAAATAAAACAAAGAGAATTGTTATTTTGAAATTATATACTTACAACTTCATGCCCATTTTCGGCTAATAAATCAGCAATATCTATATGTAATTTCATATGGCTATGAAAATAGTTTGAAACGGAAACAAGAATTTTAAATGCTGTAAAAATAATTTGAATAAAAATAAATTTATTTTGAATATTTTATCTTTATCTTGTAACGAATCCAGGATTAAATGTTACAAATGTTTTTGTCAAAATTTTTGGATTTAGTACTATTATTAGGGAAATAATATTAGATTATAATTTATACTCCTTAAAAGGGAAAATTTTTTTGCCAAAGATTAAATAAAAATTTGAAAAAAATATATGTTTATGTAGGTATTCAAATAATAAATTTGTTAAATAATCCCATAATTTTTATAATTTTAAATTATTTTTAAAGAAATTTATATAATTATTTTAATAATTATTTACTTACATTCAACTTTTTCAATATTAACCATTAAAATAGAGGTAAAAATAATAAATAATAAAGCTATCTGCATTTTGATATTTGAAGGAAGGTTGTCAGAATTTAATTAATCAAAAAATATTTTTAATAAAAAAATTGTTTAATAAAAAAATTTTATTTAAAAATTTTAACAGGGCGAGGGAGACATTTCTTATCACTTTGAAGGTGTAGTTTGTTTCTTTTATTAGTATAAAATACAAACTATTTAAAATATATACTTCTATTTTCAAATTATTATTTAAATTATTTGGGGTTTCTGGTTAATTTACGACTAAAGCAATTTTTCAGAAGATCAAATGAAGTAAATAAATTTTGGATTAATTACAACTAATTAAAATCAAAGTTCGTAGTAACGAAAAATTTTATGCTAACGAAGCAATTCGATTTTAAAAATCCACATCCGCAATCATGTCAATCCCCTATTCCGATCCATTATTTTTTGTAAAATTTAAAAATAAAAAAACGTTTAGAAAATTCTCGTTATAAATTTTCAATTTTCTATTTAATATCCTTCTAAAATAATTTAAAAAATAAAATTCTTTCTTTCACATCATTTTCAAAAACAAATAAATTATCATTCAATAAGAATTAAAATTTAGTACTGTATTAATATTTACATTAAATGTAAATACATATATGTAGTTTGTAATTTTTAAAAAAATTAAAATGGAATTAATAAATTGATGAAAATTGTTTTTTTATGAAAAAATATTAAATTAATTTTGAGATTATACTACATAGTATATAAATATATTAATTTTATATATTTAATCGGCTAATTAAAAAAATTAACCAAATAAATAATAAATTTTGACCAAAAATATTCTCTAAATAAATTTGTGTGCACAAATTTTCCAATAAAAATTATACTAATTGCCAATATTTAATAAAAAATATTCTCTCAAAAATTGTTGAAATAAATTATTATTTAGTTTTTATTACTTAAGTAAGAAGAAAGTTGGTAATAAAAAATTGGTTCTTGAACACTTTAGTGAACGTTTTTTTAATAAATGGCCTTAAATAATCTTACGTAAAAATACTTTAAATATAAATATTAATTTTTATTTTTTTTGTAAAATTTTATTTGATAAAATAAAAACAAATACATACATTAAAATTTCTAAAAATAAAAATTTTCAAAAAATAAATATTTAAATTAATTAAAATTATTTATTATTATTTTCCACATCCCATTCAAGTGTTGTTATCGTTCCTTGTGATCTTCCCATTAAACTTTCCAATTCTTCAGGAGTCATTTCAACTTGAACTTTAACTGTTCTTTTGACCGAAAATAAGTCCCCAGGTTTTTTCTTTGTTTGAATTGTTATTGGCATTTTTTTAGGGGAAGGGCGTCGAGTTAGTAGTTTTTCGTTTACATAGCGAGACTTTACTCCTTGGATTCTGCTATTTGTAGGTAATTCATCTGTATATGTTGATCTAGAACTGAAAAATGATTTTTATATCTACTTTAAAAATTAAAAAATATTATAGAATTTTTGATTGATTTAAAAAAATTTCGGTTATTTATTGTTCGAAGGGTTTCAGACATTATTTCCATTCAATTCTTAACATGCTTAACATAATAAGAATGAAATCTTTCTAACTTGATTACCTTTTAAATTTATTTGATTCTTAATAACAAAAATAAACTAGAATAAATTAATGAATATAATGTTCGGTTAAAGTTCTCAAAGTTTGTGGTAATAATTATTTCGGTCAGGATCACCGTATTTAAGGATTACTTAAGCCTTGACTTTGTTTAAAATTAACAGTAATTTAATAAAAATTAAGATACTCTGTTTCCTCCGAAGAGCCTGCAATAGTCTGTCTAATACTTTTTCCAGGATATTTTTCATTTTTATAATTTGATATTTTATTAATTAAACGTCCAGGCATTTTAATTAATTTTTCTTTATTTTCTTCGATAAAATTATTTTTAAATTCCTCTCTCTCATTATTTTCTTCTTCATAAATTTCTTCTTCATTTTCAATTGTTTTCCCTTCCTCAATTGCTTTTTTATTTAATTCTTTTTGTATACATCTAATTACTTCACTTTCATCTAAAAATCTTTCATGTATAGAAGCATTTGGTGATCCAACGGTGTTTGGAGTACCTTCATCTACTACTTGTACTTCTGTATCTATTACTTTTTCTTCAATTAATGCCTTAAATAAATATTAGAATGTAATTAAAATTGTGGCATTTTTTGATATTAAACTTTCACTATTCGTGCAAATTCTTAGCCAAATTTATGAGAAACCGTATTTCTGCTTAAAATGATTTTCTTAATTAAAGGGGAAATAGTTTCTTGTATCTGTCAGGTTTATCTATCGGATTATCAAGAATTGACTTTATATCTACTATAAGCATATATTTTCTAATTTTTAAATTAATTTGCCTCTCTTCTTTGAGCCTTCGTTTCAGGCACAAGCCAAGATAATTCATCATCATCTTTCTCTTTTTTAGTTTCCAGCCCTCCATTCTCCATAATAATTTCTTCTTTTTCTTGGGATAAATTTGATTCTTTTGATTCTTCTGATTTTTCTTCTTTCTCTTTCTTTTTTGATTCTTTTATTGCTGGTCCAGTTAATGTAGGTACAACTACATTTAAAAGTGTCCCACTACTACTGTTTTCATCTGACGTTAGCAAAGTTTGATCATCACCGTCTACGTGCTTCTTAAAGGAATATTAATAGAAGAAAGTAAATAATAACTTTCTCGAGCTTGTTCGATTAAAAACTTAAATGTGGGGGTCTTTTTACCTTCGTTGTCTCTCACATGAGGTTTTATTTTTCTAGCCTAATCTGATTTTTTCAATTCTACCTTTTTCTTCTTCTGTTTTTTACTTTCGGCAAGCAAATTATCCATCATTAGAGAACAATAAGTAAAATAAACACGTTTTCGATATCTCCATTTTGATGCATAAATTGCATAACGAAACTTTCTTAAATCTCTCAAAAATTTATATACGGGTATTGTCATTAAACGTAAATAAAGTTGGACAAACAAAAATCCAAGTGAAAGAAATCCCAAAAAGCGAATTAAAAGAGGGTCTCTTTTTGCATAAATCCTCTCCTCGTCATAGCCACCTTTTTAAAAAATAAAATTTAATTAAAACAAGCACGTTTCTAACCAAAATCTGCAGCTAAACTAAAAGAAGCATTTAAAAGTAAAAAAACACAAGTAACATATTGAAATATTAATTGAATACGTAATAATTGAGAATTACTTCTAAATATAGCAAAAATAAATAAAACCTGGAAATTTTGAGGGAAAAATAATTTTTTTCAAATTAAATTAAAAGTTGCCTTAAAGGAGTAGAAAATACAAAGTTGAAAAAGGGTAATTAGAAGAACTGTAGAGGGGAAAACTACAGAAGATGAGGAAGGTGAATGTCTAGGTAAGTAAAGGCCAAAATGTAGTAAATTGACCAACAGACAAATTAAACCAAAAGCACATTCTATAGCACAGACAATTAATGCCCTTAAATTAATTAATTTGTTTAATAAATTTGTTTTTCTTTTCATTTAAATATTTACTAAATCATTTAAAAATTTAAAATAATCACAATTAATTTAACAATTATTCTAATCACCAATTACCAGCTTCGGGTAGCAAGAACAGCATCTGTTCTCCAAAAGAATGGCATTGTATAGTTGGGACTAGATGAGTCAAAATTTTCTGGGCCAACCAATTCTCGAACTTCTAAAGGGCAATCTCCTGGCCATTTGAATTGTATTGCTAAAAGTAAAGATTATTTTAAATTAATTATCATTGAGTTTATTAAAATTATTAAACTTAATGTATTGGAATTCAATGCACAAAAATTATTATCCACAAATAAAAAACAGAAACCCTTGAGGTCTGCTTGTTTGATTCCTTTCAAAAATACTAAGAAAATAATTGGGAACAGGAGCTGTACATTACAATGAACATAACAACGAACATCGAATATATCAAGGGCGTGCCAGTTTCGAGTTTCGACTTTAGTGGATTTCCGCGTTTTTGGACTTTCGCCTTTCGCGTTTAGCTTTTTGCGCGAAATGCAAAGTTTTATACTCTGCTACATATTTATAATTAAATAACTAACCATTTTTATCACTCAATATTTCCCATTGATCCTTTATTTTTTGCCTTACTGATGGCATTTTAGTTAAAAATAATTAATTGTTTCCTTTAAAAAAGTTAACAAATCAATGTCTGTTCAGAATCGCGAGGAATGAAAAAATGTGTTTACTTTAAGTAAATCAACTATTTAGACAAACTACTTTTGTCTCCATTCCTTTTTTCATCAATTTTCGTATAATTAAATTAGTATTTGGTTGATTGAACAGAGACAGCTGGAAATGAAAGAATAAATTGTGAAATGTACAAAAAATATTATTTTAATATTAAAATCAAAAATCAGGAAATGACGGATGATTTAAAATTTCGAAATAATAATTTTGAAAATGTTTCAATAGATCTGGCCTTCCAGAATTCTCAAAATTTTCGCCTATAGTGCTAAAAGGAGAAGCTATTACCTATTTAAATATCAATTTTCTTTTATTTCTATCATTAACAGCGAGGATTGAAAAATGTGTTAGGTAGATCAACAAAACTATTCGTTTATTTAGCCGAAGCACACTAAACATTTTTCTCGTTTTAAGTAAAATCTTGAGTTATTTTAAAACAATTAAATTATAATTCATATTTATTTTAAAATAAATAACATAATTAAAAAAAAAGAAAAATATATATAAAAACACCCGTATCAAAAAGTTGAAAGAATTAGAGCTACTATCTAGAAATTATAGATTTAAAAAATTAAATTAAGATAAAATCTAAATTCTTTTTCACTTCATCTAAAAATTCTTATTCTCTGAATTAATAACCAAAACATCAAAATAACAATTAAATTTAATAAAATTCTATTCTTAGAAAATGTCCTTTTAGCTGATGATGTTGTAGTAATTAAATATTCATTTATTAAACATTCTGACTGATAATTATTTTTATTGTTTAGATTTGCGGGAAAATGTTTACATATTGCTTCGATTTGTTGTGCTTTGTCTGTTTTTGTATTCCTGAAATTTTGGAGAAATTTTTAAATTAAAATTTGATTATAAAAAATGATATTTAAAAACCCTTTACAATAAGACCTAAAATAGAAGATATGATTTCTGTTTAGATGAAAAAATTGTAGAAAAATTGTAGTAATTTTTAAACGAAACGAATTATTATCTAGTTCTTAGTAATGAAATTAGTTAAGAATTGGTAGAAAAATTAATTACGACTTAATTAAAATAATTTAGAAAAATTTAATATATTTACCAAAAATTTATTTTTCTTCCTTTAACAATTCCTTTACTGTTTCCTCCTGTTTTGGCTGTCCTGTCAATTCCCTCAACTATTTCCGGTCTCTTCCAAATTATTGAAATTTGCCGGGCTGCTTCAAATAAATCAAAACATATTTTAGCCCAATTAATTGCCGAGAATTGTAGTCTGTGAATTGCTTTAAATTGTTCTATATCAAAATCCATTCTAAAATTTTAATTTCAAAAAAATCTCTTTTATTTTCCCCTTTTTACCTATATTCACATAATTCCTCTTTACATTCGTTTTGCCTCAATGGATGATTAAAATCATAAAAATCAGCCAAGGGCTCGACAACTGCTTTAGGTTGCCGAAAAAGCATAAAAACAGCATAAAAACATTCTCCCGGTTTGTTCGGTATTGGAGGTATATAATTAGCTACAGTTATTGAATCAGCAAAATTTCCGCTATTTAATCCCTCTGCAGAAATATCAACAATTAACCAATAAAGTTTTTTGCCATTAGGATCAATTAACATAAGTGAAAAACGTTCATCACGAAAAACTTTAAGAGAAAAAATTTTTTAAATTTAATTTCCTTTCTTTAATTATTTATTTTATTTTATAATTTACACACAACAAAAATCGAAAAAAATTTCAATTTTGAATTAATCAAAAATTCAAAGTTACCAATATAATGGCGTGAAGCCCTTTGATAAGCAGGTTCTCCACTCATTTCAATAGGTCTCATTGATGTAACAGAAGGAGGACCATTTAAAAAAGCATTTGTTGGTATTTGTAAATCAGCTAGAGGATCGAGAAAGATTTGATTATCCTCTCTAAATTTTCTCTAAATTTTTCTAAAATTCTTTTGTTCGAACCTATTTTCTAAAGAATGACAACAAGCATTTAATGTGCCTTTTTGTTGGATAAATGAAACAGATAGGGAAGAATCCATTTCCGTTGAAACTGGAAAAGTTTGAACAAAATGCCAACGTTGGTCAGTAATTAATTCTTAATTATTTTTAAGATTTCATTATTTTTAAACATTCAAAATATGTATCATACTTTGGATTATTAGTGAATGACAATTATCATGTAATCCTTCAAGTCTTTCCTTTTCAATTGAAAATGGATCAGCATTAATCACAGCCCAATTTAATCCAATCAAGCTCTTTTCAAGTCCCAATTCCAACATAAATTCAACCAAATCAAAATTTTCACGTTTTTGGTTTCCTTTATTTGTCCATTTGTTCAAAATTTTCGTTTTTGTTTCTTTTTGGTCTTTCAACTCAAAAACTAAAACTGCAAGCGGAGAAGGGTGTTGAAGACGGAAACTGGTAACAGGTTGAAATTCAATCAAAACCTATTTTAATATTATAATTAAGTGTTTGAGATAAATAAAGGGTGAGAGAAAATTTTTACTAAAGTTGAACTTTGAGAAATAATTAAATAATTATCATGAAATAAACAATTATCAACGGTTCAAGGTATCCATGGTACTATAAAAGCCAGCAAAAACTCCGCCATGCCAACCCACCAACTCAACACTTCAATCACCAGCGCCAACTTCTTCAAGTCAGCCGCTTCTACCATCGCAATGGCAGTTCAAGTCGACCCACCGAGTGTGCAGCTACCGGCAGGAGGAGGCAACGTCGCGCTGAAGCTCATCAACGCTGGCCTTGAGGTATGACCTTTTTTCTTTAAAACGCTTTCGGCATATCAGTAATAAAACCTTTGTTTTTCAGCAACGCTTCGCCTACAAGCTGAGATCGAGCAACAACGAACACTACCGCGTCAACCCGGTCTTCGGGTTTGTGGAACCCAATTCTGCTGCAACGATCACCGTCGACAGATTGGTATGTAAAAACAACCACAATTAATATAAACGAAAATTATTTTTTTCTCATTTACAGCCCGGCCCGCCCAAGGCTGATGATCGCCTCGAAATCTGCTTCACGACGGTTCCTCCTGATGCTGCTGATGCGAGAGCGCTGTTCCCGCCGGGCTCATCTGGTGACTTCAAATTGGACGTGCCTGTTGCTGCGACATGAGTGCTCTTCTCTCGTCGACATGAGGTAGTGATAGCTGTGTATGGCAAACAACTTGATAGATGTTCGATACTTGTTTCGATAAATAATGCTTCTGTACAACTATATATGTTTGCCCCTTTTGGATTGTTCCATATCCGAAATTCACTTTGTTGTTGTACTTGTATATATCTTTTGCTTTGTAAAAATTTGTTTTTGCCATTGGATTTTGTATTGTAAATAAAGAATTTTGTTTTGGATTTTGTTTTGTATTTGTTTGAGAGTTAAGACTCATAAAGCTTTAGTTGTCCAGATTTCGAAAATTATTACTGAGATTAGCTTCCAAGCCTTGCCGATTGAAGACGTTGGGTTTAACTCTTTGAGAGCCTAGCTAAGTTATAACATCAGAAAGATTCATCTCTCAAAACCAAGAAATATTTCCCTTTTAAATTCCCAAAATTTCTCTAAAATTAATTCCTTTAACGGAATTCCCAATAACCTTTCCCAAAAGCATAGCGTAGAAGATAGTTTATAGAATTATCACGGAATAAGTGAAATTAAATTTATGAGGATTATTGTAAAATATTTTTTACCAGAGATGTATTTATAAATCACCTTCGTATTTATAGGAAAGTCAATAGCCAAATAAAGTAAACGACCCCAACCTGGGTCTAACATTAAAATAACCAATGATTGATTTGCATGTAATTCAGGCCAATTAAGATTTGGAGGTAATTGAGCTTGAAATGAGGGAATTGGCCGTGAGAGGGGATGACCTGGAAGTCCAAAAATACGATCATCCTCAGTGATGTTAACTTCAAAATTGTGTGAACATGCACGATAATGACCTCAAATAAAAAAAAGAATTAATGGAATAATGAAAGTTGTTGAGCAATAAAATTTTACCTGAACGTGGTCGAAAATGCATTTGTGGAAAAATTCGTAGATTGGCTAAGTAATCAAGGGTGAATGTATGAACTCGAAAAAGACGGTTTCCGAGGCTAGTGAATGGTGCCAATTCTGTTGGATTTAAACAATCTAGAGTATTCTGAAATTAAATTAATAAATTAATTTTTATTATTATTCTCCTTGTGTTCAATTTATTTTTTTGCTTTTTCTTTCCTCACTTTTCCATTCAATGAGGTGACACATTGATAAATACCCAAAAGTTTCCCAAATCCCATAAAATGAGGGTAAATATATTTGATTGATGGTTTTTAGGAATAAAAAATAGAGTAAATGTTTGGTGGTCTTTACTTGAATTTTAAATCATCTGTTTTTGTTTTGGTCACAAAATCATAAATAATTACTAAAGAAAGTACTTAAAAGCTAAAATTTATTCGTTTATTTATGTCGCCGGAGAGAAATATTTAGGATTTTACAAAAATATTTTTTAGATTAAAATTTTTGAAGAAAGCAATTAAAATCCATTAAAATTCACCTTCATATGTCTTTGCCTCTCTTTTATTTGATTTTGTCCACAATAATATCGCCATTGGTCTCCAAACCAAAAGCGATTTGTGTCTTGTACCATTCGACGTATTTTGAGCAAACATTCACTTGTTTGATCACAAAATTGTGTTGGGGAAGAATAAAAATCACCAATGGAGGAAAAAGCAAGAATTTTAAAAATAATGAGTGTTGTTAATTTATTTTGAAAGAACATTTTGGGTTAATTATAATTGGAATTTTAAACTAGAAAATTTATTTTTTAAGTTAATTAAAAATGATTATTAAAATAATAAGCTAATTTTTGAATGAATATTATGCAAAAAGTTTAGAGAGGCAGATGGGGATTTATTTAGAAAAGAATAAAATAGGTCAGAAGGGAAAAATAAAAAAAAAGTTAAAAACAATAAGTAAAAGCTAAAAAAAAGATTTATTTAGAGGAATTCAATTAAAATATTACAAATGCCGAAAATAATAAAGGAGAGGAAAAGCTGACCACCCACTTTAACAAAGTCTTAGCGGTAGAAGAAAGTAAGAGACGAAGCGCGCAATTGGGCAAACAAGTGTAACTCGTTAGTAAAATTAAATATTTGGGAGATAAATAAATAAAAATTTAAAAATTAATAATTATTTTTATTAGTAATTAATAAGTAAAACAGTAACAATCAAAATAATTATGAAATTTTAATTAATGGATTATCTAAATGTGGGCGGCATTTTAAAAAATCTCGCAAAAAATGTTTTTTATGGAAGCTTGGTGATAATTATATTCTCTAAAATTATTTTGAACCCTCTCTTGTGTTGGCCTCCATTTTTACATATTTTTTCCTTCTGTTGGAGACTTCAAAAGCCAAAAGTCTGCCAATATAATATTTTAAGATTTGCAAAATTGCGGGAATTGAGAGGGGATTTAAAAGCTATATTTATTATAATGCTTTTTCTCTCTTTTCCACATTAACGAACAAATGCGGAAAAAGTTGTTGGTGGAAGAATGAGGGGGCCAAGGCTGTTCGTATTAAAGAGCTAATCCGATCAGAGTATGAAGCGAATAAAAAAGCGGCGAATGAAAAAAAGAACAAATATATATAAATGGCAGAAGCAAAAATATTTTTAATAAATTAAAAATAAAGAAATAATGGGATTATTCAAGTTTTAATTAAAAGAATATGTAGAATAAGTTATAAAAAATTCTAAACAAAAAATTTAAATTTTTGAGAATAATTATTTATTCGAGTAATTGCCCAAAGTAATTAATGTTACAAATTATTTTGTGGTAATTAATTAATAATTATCAGAAATGGTAATTATGAAGGCAATTATTGTTTCAACCTGTCCCTAAGGGAAGGGAGGGAATAATTACGAGTATGTGCCTAATAGGAGTAAAGTTGGCAACAAAAATAATCTGTTGTCAATGGCCATTTATTAAAGAATAATTAGAATCATATTCTTATTTTTTAATTCAAAAAACATAATTGAACTTTTTAATATAATTATACTAAATGTTAAGCTCGGATTTAAACTAAATCAAAAGCTTTCAATTAATATACGAATGCAGGTGAAAAGTTATTAAGGAATTGAGCTATAAATGGATCAAAATACTGGATTTTATTTTAATTATTTTATAATTAAGAAAATATTTTTAATGGAATATTCAACTAATAAAAACCTAATACTTTCCTTGCATTTCACCTCAATTTCCCCATTTTGTCCTAACCCATAGCCAATGGCCAAAAAACTATACTAAAAAACTAGTTGCCCGCTCATTTCTTTTCCGGAAGAATGCTTTTCTTTCCTCTACATATTTTAAAACCCATAAACCTAAAAAGCAAAAAATTGTCCATTTATTTATTTAGTGACCAGAAGGAGTGGAGGAGTTTGGCATTAAAAATAAATTATTATTTTTTTAGTTATTTATTATTTTAAAATAAGAAATAAAATCAAAATTTAAATCTTTTTTATTTATCTTTTTATATAAAAGTAAAAATAAAAATATTTATCCAATTATTAGCTCAATTAATGAAAAAGAACTTTCAATGAAAATAAACTAGAATAAAGAAAAAAAACTTTTTGAATTATAGTTAATAAAATAGGTAGAGTAAATGTTTTTCTCAAATAATTTTAGTTTTATTTATCGTTAATTCAAAATAAACTTATTTTCACACTTTAAAAAACAGAAGGTACTCTTTAAAATAGACTAGGATTAGGCGAAACATTGGCGAACAACACATCAAAATTGTTGGAGACGAGAGATTTGAACTCGACAGAGAAAAGATAATTTTTTTAAATATGATTTTTAAATAAATAGCAAAATATTTTAAATTGCAAAATATTAAGAATAAATTTGCTAGGAAATAAGAAATGAAGAGAACGATTAGGTTGAGAAAAAGGTTAAAAGAGGAAAATAAAAATTTTAAAATAAGGTAAAAATTCTGAATAATTTATTAATTTTGAAGGAAATAAAGATATTTTAAAAAGCATAAATGAACCAAAAAAATAAAGGAAATAAAGCAAAGATTGTCATTTCGTGCTTAAAATGGGCAGATTATTTAAGTGAACAAAATTTTTGGTAGCAAGAAAAAATGTCCGCCTATCAATGCTGAGATTTTAAGATGGGAATTGGTTTGGGGGTAAGAGAAAATGAGGAAAATGAAAGAAAATTAAATATGCAAGCATTTAAAGCTTTTTATTTGAGGGAGAAAATTGAAGGGACAACAAAAACAGTAAAAAAATATATTAAGAGGACAAGAAACCCATTATTCCATTGTTTGGTTCTAGTATACTGACTCGTGGGAATATTAAATACAAAGGAGGGTATTTGCTTTATTTAATGATAAATATTTATAGAGTTTAAATCATTTTCAGTTCAGAAATGATATTTTTGGAGTTTTTGTATAAGAGTACGAATGTAGATAAATAAATCTGCTATATAGAACTGAAAAGGTTAATCATTTTAGGGAAATTCCTTATTTACAGAAAATGGATTCAAATTTAAAATAAAGATTTACAAAAATTAATAAAGAATTATTTTTAAAAAATGTTACTGAATATTTGGAAAGTGAAATATCTAAAAATTTTTCTTTGTACTAGAATACAGAATACATACCTATTCTAGTAAATGAACAGCTGGCTACAAAAGTTTCAAGCTGCGTAATATTTTCGCTTTTATTTCCTTTGTCTTTAAAATTTTTCTCAGTAAAAAATTATATTTTAAAGGAATGTGTATTGCTTATTTTAAATTTACTAAAATGATCCCGAAAATTGTTCACTTCTACAATATTTCTAAATTTAGATAAATCTTTTTTTTTGCTTTCCAAATTTAATTCGCCTTTAAAAGTTTCGCGCATTTTTACTACCAATTCAACATTTTAAGGGAAAGCTAAATGCTTTAGGCAAAAAAAATTATAAGAAAAAAATAATTATATAATAACAATGACAACCAATTGTTATATATTTAAGTTGATGACTGACATACATAAACAGTTAAAATACTTGAATGGCCAAAATGGGATAAAGAAGAAAATGAGGGTTGGAGGTGAAGGCGCAAGTCAACGACTAGAAGCAGTAAAATGGTATTCAAGTAAAGAAAAGTGGATGTTTTGGTGAAATAAAAAATAAGAAAAGAAGGATTTTTGCAAGTTGAACATTGTCGGAAGGGGGGGGGGGGAGGACAAATTGCCGGGAAGGGAGAGGGAAGTTAATTGCCTTGGAGTGAAACGAGGACGATGAAGAAGAGGAAATGAAAATTGCACGTTTTTCTGCAAAATTGGGTCGTAGTACTAAAAATTAAGATGTTGGTTAAGGAAAAAAAAAACAATTTGTTTTTTATTGAGAAATAATTGAGGGATTATGGAAATTAATAATATAAATTATACTTATCTTTTATTCAAAATTTAGTAAAATAACAATACATATAATTAGGCAGTTTTGGTAGGCTTAAAACCCCGCACATGAAAATACAATTTTATTTCTAATCCGGTAAAATACTGAATTTCTCAAGTCATTCCCAACTAATAGATTTGTTATTAGCTAATTTTGCGGTTGTCAACTAAAAGTTTTCGAGTTTTTTACTTTCAACACAAATGAAATATTGCAAGAAAATTTGGAGTTAAAATAATGGTTAGGTAGAGGAGTAAATTAATAAAAAAAAGTAAAAAATAACAAATAATAATGATGATGGATTAGAGCAAATGATGTAAAGGAAAAAAGAGTAATGAGGGTGGAAAAGAGAAGAATTTGTCGGTTAGCTGGCTTGTTATAAAGAGGAAGAAGAGCTTTTACTATTAAATAGCCTGAACAAATTGGCCATCGAGATGGACAAGTCTTGGATTAAATGAAAGGGAGGGGGATATATAAAATAAATACTAAAATAAGTTAATGCTTTTTCCCTTTTTAATTTGCAAATTGGTAGAGAATCGAGGGAAAGAAAGCTTTAAATTTTGAGATTGTCTTCATTATTTTTTGGCATCAATGGCTTTCTTTTGATAATCAAAATTCTCTTGGGAAAAGTCTGGAATTTATAAAAAGAAAGAATATTATTAAATTATTAACAGACGTTAATTCGTTCAAAAATAAATTTTTTTAACAGAATTTAAATCCAAAAATTTTTTAAAATACAAAAAAGAAGTTATTCAAAAATACAGAAAAATTAAAAATAATTCTTGAAAAAAACCCCTAAAAGATTCAAATTCTTAATTAAATAAACATTTTAAAACAGGGCTCGGATTCGTACTTTATTTGAAAGTACAGTACTTTAAAATCGACCTCCGTACTTACGAAATTGAATTTGTACTTTATTGAAAGTATGTACTTTAAAATCAACATTTTGAAAAAAATGGAAGAAATCTGGCTTAAGGACCTCCAAAATTCTCAAAATTTTCGCCTGCGGCGCAAAAAATGGAAGAAATCTGGCTTAATGACCTACAAAATTCTCAAAATTTTCGCCTGCGGCGCAAAAAATAAATTTTTTGGCGCCTTCGGCCCAAAAAAAAGATGCATTGAAATTGATAAAATGCTAAGTTGAAACAAGAAATTATTAGAAAAGATTAATTTAAGAGAGAAATATAAAAGATTTGAGCACGAATAAATATTTTCTAATTTAATTTTAAGTGTACTTTAAATGTGGAAATTTTGCCCCTATGTACTTTAAAATCAAGATTTTTGTACTTTTTATTGGCATTTTGTCGATCCGAGCCCTGTTTTAAAAACTCAATAAAAAAGTCAATTTTGTATAGTCAATTATTTCTATTTTTTCTCACGGAAATTATTTATTCGTAACTTTATGATGGAAGAAAAATTGAGTTACAATAAAGATGTTAGAAACATATTGGAGGAAGAAATTTTTAGAGTAAATTTGATGGATTTGTGGCGAATATATAATTAACTACATACTTTTTACTTGAGATTTTTTACTTATTTCTGCTCTTCTAATCAAAAAATTTCAGGTGGGAATAGGAGCAAAATAAGTGGTAAACAGCAAATAAAAATAAGTTAAGGTAAGAAATGAAATGAGGACAAAACTGAGGAGAAAAGAATTTAAATTATAATTTTAAATTTAATTAATAAACAGTCAAATGCTAGTATAAAAGGATATATCTCTTAATTAAATCTCAAATCCATTGCCTCCCCTAACACTTAAAATGCCCCAAGGTTTCTTCAACATCGACTCAGCTTTACTTGCTACTCTACTTTTCCTGCTTTCATTGCTTCTGCCAGCTTTCTCCTGTATTCAATGCTGCAAAAGGAAGTTAAGAAAGAAGTTAAAGATCACAAGCTCTGTGGACTACTTGGCAAAGGCTCGAAAGCTGTCAAGCTTCGGCGGGGAAGTTAAGGAAGATCTGACGGCAAAGGGCGAAAAGAAGTCTGATGAAGGCACAGGAACTAACTCTTCCAATGATGATGAACTTCCTCCATCAAAAGGAAGAGCAAAGACGACAATACCTGCGGATGAAGGGAACAAAGCAGCACATTCGTCCTCGAACGAAGATTTCCTCAAAATTCCTTTAGGTGGGTGATTAACACGAAAAATAAAAATAATTTTTAATTATTTGATAGGAACCATCATTGGGGAATTTACTGTGGATCAGTATTTGGGCGCCGGTTAGTTTCGTTTAAAGCTTAAAAGTTTGTCCAAAATCCCAAAATTTCAGGCGGTTGCGGTGTAGTATTCAAGGTCAAAACAAAGAGTGAAAAACAGTACGCGATGAAAGCTGAAAGCACGGACCTGAGGAAGCGAGATCAACTTTTACCGTTAGAAGCACATGTTCTCAAAAAGTTACAGTTCTCTGAATACGCTGCAACATTCATTGCATTTGAAAAATGTCAAAGTGAGATTTTTGACTAAAGATTTAACTAAATTAAATTGTCTTTTTTTAGTAGAAGAAAGGTCGTTTCACATTCTTGTCATGGCACTTCTTGGCAAATCTATAAGTGACATGCAAGACAAACGTCCCAAATTTAGTTTCACGATTGGGACTGTCTTACGGATTGGATTGCAGGCTTTTAGAGTGAGAAAATAAATATTCTTAAATGTCTTTAAACTTTTTTTTATTTTCTAGGGAATCGCCTTTCTTCACAGCATATATTACGTGCACCGCGATATTAAGCCTGGCAACTTTGCTGTTGACCGAATAAACCAGAAAAGAGTATATCTGATTGATTTTGGGTTATCGCGGTCATTAAGGAAGAGGGGAACAAGGAGCTTGAGGAGAGCGAGAATGGATGTGCCCTTTCGCGGAACGCCTGGCTATTGCAGCTTAAATGGTGTGTTTTTAAGAGAGTTTTAACAAATTATAATTTTTATTTTTAGCTCATAAACGGGTTGAACTTGGCCGTCATGACGATGTTTGGTATTTACATCATTTCATTATTCAAAACTTATTTAATTTAAAAAGGTCACTCATCTACATGTTAGTTGACTTGATTCACGGCTCTCTTCCTTGGTTTGGTCAACAGCCACGCGAAAAAATTGCTTTGTTGAAGGAACATTTAAATGATAGTGAATATATGCATGTTAGTAGTTAGAAATAATTTTGTATACTTTCACTATTTTTCAGTGTTGCCCGATTGCATTCAGATCAATTTTGGACTATCTCCGCACTTTAAGTTACGAACAACGACCTGATTATGTTGGCCTAGAATCGACATTTATTGAACTGCTTGAAGCACGTGGAGTTACCAGTAATCTTCCAATGGATTGGGAATCTGAACCTTTGGAAGAAAAAAAGCCGGAGGGGGTGAATTTGATTGAAAAATAAATTTTGATTAATTAAAAATTAATTTTTCAGGCCAAAAAACTCGTAAAGGTCAAGTCTTCAGAAACATTATAGCAAAACCCCCAAATTTTCAAAATTCCAAAATGAGTCAAATCTAAATCTAAAAAATAACAAAATATATGCCATCACTACACAATCCGGAAAATAACAATTGTTTTGATGTGTATATAATGTGATTAACGATAAATAAATTGTTTTAATTGTTTGTAAATGTATTGTTTGTTTGTTGAGATAAATTGTGTATTTAGTTATAAAAATAATTGAGAAAAATGCCAAATATGATTAAGGTCTAAAACACTTTTTAAAAAAATTTGAAATCTTTTCTCTTCTTTTCAAAGTTAATGATATGCAGTCTTGAAAATTTTATTTGATGAGAGCAACATTTTTATTTTGTTTGAAATGGGCTAACGGAAATTAAATAAAGCCGAGCATTGGAAAATGAAATTTTTGAAGAAAATACAATTTTTGTTCTTTTCAATTATTTAAAACAAAAGAATGAAAAATGGGGGGAAAATTAAATATAAATTTTAGTCAAATACGCAATCATTTAAATTTTAATCATTGTTAACTTTTTTTAAGTTAATTTAATTTCATACAAGAAAATCTTACAAATTTTGAAAGAAAAGGAAAGGAAATAGGATTTTACGGACAATTAATTCTTTTATTCTCACAACTATGCAACCCCATCACCAGACCCTTTGATTTTAATGATTATAAATCAAATTCTCAAACAAAAGTCTTGGTTATCGAAATCTATTGTTCGGGATCGATTCTAGTACGATCCTCCCAGTCCGGTTTAATAATAAGAGGTTTATTATGTAATGAATGGTAGGTATGTCCTATTATGTAATTAAATTTAATAGTGCGCTGTGCGTAATAAAATTTTTTTCTAATTTAAAAATTAAATGTTGATTAATTTATTTAAAAGTTTAATTTGTCTCATAAAATTTAAAATTATCTATTTACTTCCTTTATAAAATAAAAGATAAAATTATTATTAAAATAATTATTATTTCGAAATTTAGAATAAAAAATTAAAAATGATACATAGGAGGTTAAAAGATTATTTTGTAAATTAAAGTTAATTGTGATATAATTTAAATTTCGATTAAAATTACTTTAGAAATGTTGACTTTACTCAATTACTTTGGTTCAAAATATTCTAATAAAGATACCACAATTAGCAGAATAATAAAAACTATATAAAAATGTTAATTAAATAACAAAAACTTTAAATTTGAATATATTTAATTATTAAGAATGGTTAATATTAATTAAAAAGGTTATAAATTTATTTACAAAAAAATTATTATTCAATTTTTATTTCCGATAATAAAGGACCGAAACCACAGCCAAAGCGACAACTGAAATAATGAATGCCACAATGAAGATAATAGCAATAATCTAAAAATTAAATTAAAATTTAATTATTACAACGGAAAAATTCACCGTCATTCGGCTATGAGCTTCGGGACAGCCAAGCAAACCCTTTTGATGGTCAAGGAAGGATTGAACCTTAATTTATATATTTTTTAAATCTAAAAAAAGTCCAGAAAAACCTCTCCAGTATTTCCCCCTTCCTTTTGACAATTTTCAATAAATTGGGTCTCGTTGTGTCTCGCCTGGTCGAGCCAGGCTTTCCAATCGGGATGGTTTTTGATTGTTTGATTGACGGCAGTCAAAAAAGCGGGGCAAGTCATGTTGGCTTCATTTCCAGAAGATTGGGCCGAACTGAGGGTTTGTTCAACACCTCCAACAGGATGTCCACTGGCTGTTGTCTTTATGAAAAATTAAAATAATTTTAAAAATATATCTCTATTCTCCCTTCCAAAAGATTAAAATTCCATTTTAATGGAAATAAATATTGAGTATAAAATTAAAAATAATTTATTATTTTTACTTGTCCAACTTGAGCTGCTTCGGTCCAAAACGAGGAAAAAAATAACAAAATGGAAACAGTAATGATAAACATTTTTTAATTTAATAAAGTTTTTCTTGTAGAAAATTTAACTAAAATAAAAATAAATTTTGATTTAAATATAACATTATTAAAAATTCTTAAAATATTTTAAATATTCTCTATATTTTTAAAAAAATATCGATCCAGGCAAAATAAAAAAAATAAAAAAAACTCAAGAATGGCGCGACATTTTAATGGCCAAAATAAAAAAAAGTAAGATGATGAAAAGGAAAATAAGATGATTGTTAAGAAATAAAAAAGTAAGAATTGAAGGAAAGTGAAATTAAACGGGAAATGATTGAAAAAGAGGATGAGTCGGACAAATTTTTGGGGAGTGAAACATCAAAATATTTTTGAAGGGGGGAAGTGAATGAATGGCATCTATGTAAGGTGACAGTCTGATTTGTGAGTGAGTGTTCTCTCTCCCTCTCTCTCATTTATTCTAAACAATAACAAATAGTCAACGACCTTGTTTAAAAAATTTGAAAAAGAAAAAAAATCACAGGTGGGGAAAGTCAGTGAATAACAAAATGAAAAACAAAAAAAGGAAATCTGTTGTGAAATAGAGATTCGCGCAGTAAAGGAAATTGAATGATGGAAGTAAGAGAGGGGAGAACAAATAAAAATATTTTGTGGTTGTTGTTGTTTACTTTTAAATTCCTTAACACAAAGTAACCAAAATTTTATTTTATAGTAGGGATTGAGCAATTAAAATTAAATGTTGAGGTAAGTAAACATCTTAGTAATTAGTTACAACTCGGAGAATACAATTTTAGTTGTTAGTCAACGCTTTGTAATTTTTAGTATGTACGTTTATAATCTACCTAATCTCTTAATTTTATGCACGAATATGTGCGGATATTTTCTCTATCAGGCCTGTGAGAGTTTTAATTTTATTATAAAACGTGAAACATCTGTTCACTTTCACCTTTCTCCTCTCATATTTAAAAATATTTTAATGAGAACAATCGAAAAGAATTACAATGCAACATACATATGTAGGTACTCACTAGTTTATTAAAACCATTCCTATTTATTTAATGTTGACAATAAAAAATATAATTTAGTTTAAATTAGATAACCTATCAATTAATAATAAAACAAAAAACGAGTTTTATGTCTAACTATTAAAATTTTGAATTTTAACAAAAATGTACTTTCTTTAAAAATATAGGTATTTCCATATACTTACATATCTATTAGAGATCAATGGAAAGAGAAAAAGGTATTGTTGTTGTTGTTTGTAAATAGAGGGCCATTCCAAATTATTTACGAATTTAAATAACAATAACTATAAGCCCTTTTATGGCCATCAACCTAAAAATTGACAGCCCGTGTTTATTCCTCGTTTCCATTGACAACTCTCACTCAAACCTGCCAAACCGGTGAATAAACAAAAATATTTTTACATTCCTTGCTATTTTTGGATATAAAAAATAAGCCTTTTAAGAACTCTACAAATATTACTAACAAAATATAAATTTAAAGGTATTTTTTAATTAATTTTTAAATAAACGTTGAAAAATGTTTCTTTTTACTTTAAATACTTAAATATTAATTAAAATTGAAGTTAATAATTAGAAAAAAATTTTTTTAATAATATTTTAGAAACAAATAAACAGGTTTTTGTTTAAAAATAATATTGATGTTGATTATAATCATGTTAACAGTTAATTTAATGATGAAAGGATAAAAATTGTCCCTTTTCTTTGGGCGACAATTAAAATTAAAATTTAAAACTAAAAATTTAAATTGTTTTTCTAAATTTTTAATTAAAATTTTAAATAAATAGTTGATCAGAATTTAGAATTTTTAATTAAATAATTATAAATACTTAAACAATTTTTTGTGGCCCTAATAGTACAAGTTATTTTATTGGATGATGATTAAATGCTTCCAAATTTGCTCGTTCTGTTTGGTTAAATGAAGAAATGAATTTAAAAATACTAATTATTTTTAATAATTTAAATGAGTCACTATCACTTAATAAGTATTTTATTATTTTTGTTTGCCAAATTTATGTATAATTTTTTTGGTCATTACTTGTGACTAAAAATAATATTGGAAGTTTTATTGGTTAATTTAAATAATTTTGGGATTCAAATAAAATTTAAAAGGAAATCACATCATTTTAAAATTAAATTTTTATTTTGATTGAAATGGAATAAGTTGTGGGTCTGTAGATATTTGAATTTTAATAAATAATTTCAATATAATTTCAATATTTGTGTCTTTTAATTTCCAATTTATTAGTTCGATAAAAATTAATACAAGCAATGCTGGAAAATTCAAGTAGTTTCGGAAAGCAGTTCGAAAAGTATTTCCAGTAGTTAGGACGGTGTTTGCACATTACTTTTTGGTCAGATACTGTTTCTTGTCCGCCGAGGAGACTTTAATTCTTTTATTTCGTTAAATTAACGTTACTCACTAACTATCATTTCCAAAAATAAAAAACTTAATTTCTGTTTTCGTTCTAATTTTGTGTTTACTTTTTATAAAATAATTGAAAACACATTTTTCAAAAATTAATTTAGTTGTCTGGTAAATAGGGAAGTAAATATAAATATATTTTTAAGATTACAGTAACTACATAAATTAGCCAAATTTAGCAAAGTAATTTAAAAATAAAATGTCAAAGAAGCTATTTTGATAAGAAAAATAATTTAAAAGCAGACAGACAGTTCCTTTTAATGTTCCTTTTTTTAATGACACTAATAATAATTTAGTCTAGAATAACAAAAATATTTTTGAAAATATGTAGATTAACGAACATTTTTATTTTTATACTCATTTTAGTACACATAATAATTAATTAACATATACAATGTTAATATATACGAAAATCCATATCCTTGCGGATTTAATGTTTAAATACTTATTGTATTTGTTCTTGAACACTTAAATTTTAGTCGATTTAAATTTATTTAATTCTTGATCTTTTAAATTTTAAATTAACTAAAACTAAATTATTTAAATAAATTAATAGATTATTTAGATTAAAATACTGGCGGGGTTCACTTGTCTTAAATTAACGTTAGTTTTTCTGATTAAAATCATCCCTTATACTCTTAACATCCGATTTTTCCATTAGTAGTGAAGGCTTTTTTTTAAATAATTTTTCCATATGACAAAATTATTTTTTATTATAAAATTACCTATTAAATAATTTATTTTTATAATTTTATTTATTTACTAATATTTAATATATTTATTTTTTACATAAATGTGAGTAATATAAATATTAAAAATAAAAAAAATTAATTAAAGAACGTAATAAATACAAATAAAAAATAAATATGCATTTAAAATAACCTTAAAATAAAATCAAATAAATTATTTATTTATTTTAAATATCACTCATATTTTTAAATACAATCACGCAAATAATGAAAAGATTTATTTATGAAGAAATAAATTATTCAAAGGTTAAGAGCTAAAAATAAAAATTATATTTCTTTAAATAACTTTTAAAAAATAACAAAAAAATTATTATTTTTAAATATTTTAATTTTAATTGTTTTTATTTTTGGCCGTTTTAATTTTTTGTCTTGATTTTTAAATAATTATTTTTTAAAACATAAAATCTATTAAATTAATTTTAAAAAATAATACCAAAATAAATTTTAGTTAATTTATTTTGTATTAATTTCTGTAAACTTAGTGTGATCTTCTAATAATCTTCTAAACGTTCAAAGTCCCTCTCTACTTTTCTAATTGAATAAAATCCCATTACAAGTATTCACACTAAATTAAAATAACTTCCTTTACTCTCTACTGTATTTTTGTTTTTTAAAAATTGTTTATTAACGTGTTGATATCATTCTATATTTAGATTGTTTTTGCTTTTTATTTATTTATCAAGTTTTTTTAATTGCTTGTTTTTTTATTTTATTTATTCCAAAAACACTTAAATATTAATATTTATTTATTTTTAAAGATTTATAATAATTCTAAGAAAATTAATTCCATTTTTGTACTATATTTTTAGGAAATATTTAATATATATATTTAAAAAATTAATTAAAATGATTAATAAATTATTTTAAATAAAATTATTATATAATTTATTTATTTTTCAATTATATTTTGGTAAAATATTAAAATTAATATTTTTAATAAATTATTGTATGTATATATTCTTGTTGAATCCAATCTCATTGTTTTTCCAAATTTTTTAAAAATTTTCTGATAAAACAAAACCCCAAAACCAAGTACTTTTTTGGACTTAAATTAAGCTTCAATAATTTAATCAGAAATACCTCATATTAACAATTATTTTCATATTTTTTCTATTTATTAAGATTAATTTAAAGAAATATTTAATTTTTCCTTATTTTTAAATAAAGGAGGAACTAATTTAATTAACTTTTATTTTTGAAAAATAATTAAAAGATATATCAACAAAATTTATTTGATAAAGGACATACGCACTTAAAAATATTTTATTTTAAATCTTATGACAATGAAAAGGAAATTTTAATTAGTAAAGGGTGTTTTGAGTGGGCGATTCCTATTTGACAAATTTTGGACAATTCCAAATTATTTGGAAGTAGATAAATTAAATAAACTTCTAAATTTGTTAAAAATATAAAATTGGTGTGAATTACTTAAATAATTATTGGAAATTTATTTTAGAGACCGAGTAACTGATAAATCAAATAATCGGTAAAATTAATTGATATTTAAGAAATTTGATAATTATTTATTTAAAAAGTTAAATATTATCAAAGAAACATTCAGGGACATTTTAATAAAAATCAAAAATAATTATCTATAATTACAAAGTTATTCTTTTAGACAGTAAAATCTCTACACATAACTATGCGATTTAGATGGATATTTTCTTTAGCCAAATCCTCGTTCTGCGTCCAATTTTTTGTAGTTCGTTTTGAAACTTACAAATATTTTCCAAATTAAAAATATCAGAAATGTGTTAAATTTAATTAACCCATTGATGTCATAAAATTTGGACGATCTTTTTTCCAACAAAATATTTAAGTAAAATCGCAACTATTTAAGTTTTTTACCTAAATCAAATTTTTTATTTTGAAATATTAAAAAAATGTGACTCAACACAATTCTTTTTTCCATTAATTTATAATTTCTTCTCTTTTGTTTAAAGGCCCTTTTGAAAATGAAAACCTTCCAAAGGCTTTACTGACACCTAAAACGGAGTTTAAATTTCTGATCCCTGTGTCAGATAAACTTTGTCTAATTTATTGGACAAAAATTTGTTAGAATAATATATTTAAGCAAATACTATATAGAAAATTTCAAATATTTATTGAAATTTCCTTAAGAATCAGGCCTTCCACGTTTTCTCTTTTTTGAATTGATTAAGCTTATCCATGTTACAGAAATACTAATTCAAAACAAACAATCAATTTTTTTTATAAAACATTATATTAACATATTAAATTGATGTTTAAATATAATGACATGTTTGTTTTTAAATTAATAAATAAAAACAGGAAAATTAGAACATCATATAATTTCTCCTCCAAAAACATCTCTTTAATTAATTTAATTAACGACTTATTAATTTTTTCAAACCCGATTTCTGTTTAATTTCTCAATTAATTATTTTTTAATAATTTTTTTTAATTTCTCTTTGCATAAATAAACAAAAATAATTAAAAAAAGAGCCTAGAAAGTGAGTAATAATTATTTTTATATTTTATTCGTCGAATTAATAACTTAAAAAATACAAAACAAATAAATATTTATTTCTTTAAATATAAGTTTAATGAACATATGTATTTACTTGTTTTTTTTGGATTGTTGTTGTAGTTTGTATTTAAGTCTTTTGGGTCAAAAAAGAATTTTTATTAAAATTACTTATCTAATATTTTTCGATCTTAATTAATAAATTTCTAATTAAAGTCTTTTTGGTTTAAAGCGAGTATTTTTCAATAAAAATTTCATAATTTTAACTACAATATATTTTAAATGTTAGGAGAGATATCTTTTTGAAATCATTTCCCAAAAATATGGGAGTTTAGTTTAATTATATTATGTAGATACAAAAAACGTCGGGAATTCCTGATTTTCGGGAATCGGGACGCCTTGTTCTCTTGTATGTATATAATAATAATTTTGTTATAGGACCAATAATATGTAATTTACTATCTATTTCATCTTTAAAAGATGTCAGTACAAAGAATATAAATTGATGTTAAAAATAGATAAATTTGAAAAAATGTTGGATTATTAGAAAAAAGGAAACATATTTTCCAGAATAATTTAATTAAATATTTTTTGGTTGTTTCTTCTTTTATTTAAAAGCAACAATTGAAAATATTATTCTATAATTAAATTTCTATTAGCTAGGATATTTATATTTAGTTGTATTTATATATACTCTTTAGTGCCGAATCTAAATAATAGGTCTCTTTCCCAATTTTGTCTATGAAATGTGGTCCCAAGCGAGACCTTTAATATTTGATGGTAACGGAATAAAAAGCAAAAACATTTATTTGTTCCGAATCTCTAGTAGGGCTCGTACCTCGTACTCGCACTTTGTACCAAAGTATACGAGTACGAATTTTGTACGAGCTTATGAACACTGATGCCAATGGATATAGTAGGAGAAAGAGGCAGGAAGCTAAGGAATTGGGCTATTGGAATATTCCAATTGATTTGTCGTTTATTTTCTCAAATTCCAACTCTTTAAAAAAAATTATTTTTATTTTAATTTCAATCACGTCATTAAAGTAATTCTTTAAAATTTATTTTTGTACTTTTTCCTGTTAAAATTGCCAACCTTATCACATCATTTTTTAGCAATAATTTATTAATTTAAATCACTTAAGATTTAAATAAATTTTTTAAAAATAATTCCTTTGCGTATTTAAATAATCCTTTTTTTAATCTAAATAAAGATGTTGCCAAATATACTTTTTTTGAAAATTAAGTATGAGAAGGTGTTTAATCTTTATTTTTACTTTCTTATTAAATGATTATCTAAATAACTTTAAAATAATTTTAAAAATATTTTTCTAAATTTTTATGAATCAGAAATTAAATAAAAATTAACTTCCTCTAAAAATTGGTGAAAGATATTTTTTTATTTTTTAATTATAATTTTTGGCACATCAAATCTTAGATTTAGATTTATTTTGGAGTTACTAGCTAATTTATTAAGAATAAACAGCGAATTTCCATTCTAAATACACCCAAAATTACATAAATTCTTTAATTCGGTTGGCCATTATTTCAGGGACTGAGCTTAGGTGATACCCCGATTTTAAGTAAAGCAGCCGGGCTATAACTATTTCTCTCCTTCAGCAAGTGCAAAAGGTTAATCGGCGGCTGGGTCCGAACCAGTATCTGCTGTAGACCGTACTGGTGTTATCCATTGTTAGCCACCTACTACTAGACAGCATAGGAAATAAATAGCTAGTTATATGCCTTACACTATTTTACAAAATTTTACAAATAAAATTAAATTTCCCTCACAAATTCCCCTCAATTATTAAATACACTAAATGTTTTAAGTGGTCACTCTCTGTTTTCTTTCTTTTTTTCGCGGCCCCGATTTTTTCAAATTTTCTATTATTAATTTCAATTTGTAATTAAAATAGAAATCCTCAAAATTTAATGATTGGCATTATTTTTTTAATTTTTTATTTCACATGGCCTTCTTCTCTCACACATGATTTTTTTCTTTATTTTTAGTATGCTTTTCTGTCATTATTTATTTCTTAAGCACATATATCATTGATAAAAATTTTCTTGTTTTCGTTTTATTTATTTTTATCACCTTTGAACGAAATGTTCTTTAAACTTTATTTTTCTTTTTAATTATTATTTTGTAAGAGAATAAATAATGTGGTATTTAGCACTTATTATTTAAAAAATAAATAAACAATAATTAACAAATAATAATTTTTATTTTTTAATGTTATTCATTATTTACATAAAACCTTATCAATTATTCTAGAGGTACTCATACATTTACATATTAATCCATAAACAAAGCCTCCAAACGGATGTTGTTTCACTAATTTTAGAAGGAGCAGCCACCTGGGGCTTTCAATTGTCGGCAGATTTTACAGTCTGTGCACAAAATGCAGAATCTACTGATAATTGAAGCAGGCCTTTAGTTTGTTTGCCATTTAACCAGGCTTGCATTCAGTCTAGTTCCAGTGAATTGTATTACATTCAATTTAGTTAAACACAACTAATATCCACACAACCCTAAAATCTGAAATCTGAAGTTAATTTTGAGTTTAAATATTTGTAGTTCCCAAACACAAAATTGAAATACGTACTAAAAATTAAGAAACACTACATAAATGACATCAATAACCATGAAACCTAACTTATAAGAAACTATACTAATCCCATTTCTCTTAACTACTTTCTATTTTTTTCTCCACCCTCAATTCTCTGTTTCTAAAAAATTTAAATCATTTTCTACCTATTTACGTAAATGACAAGCTTAATGGTTATAACCAGGAAATTTCTTTTAAAAGAGATTAAATTTTTCTTATATAAAGCTTGCCATAAGGCTTTTATTTCTTTCTAGAGGTTTACAAATTATAAGTAAAAATTATTTGTTCTTGCACTGTCAATCACTTTTATTCGTTGATTTTTGCAAGAAAAAATATTTATTACATTTTTGGTAATATATTACAATATCATCGAATCATTGACGTGTTTCTCTTCTAAAATAGTTTGTTCTTGCACATGAAAGCCTTACAATAAAATGGACTTTTTAAAAAGTCCATTTATTTAATTCTTTCAATTAATTTTTTGCTGATTTTTGTTTCTATTAATGATGTTACTGCATTTTAATTTTTTTCTTCTTCACTTTTACTCTTCCCACGCTTTCCGTTCCATTCCTCCATTTTTTGTCCTTTTTTAGTTCACGTAATCTCCATTTTATTTTTTTCGATCTCTCCAATTTTTTTACCTTTTTTGGTAAAAGGTTTCCCCCAAATAATTAGCACAATTCTCTCTCTTCTCTTCTTGACGTTCTTTTACATATTTCCTCATTCGACAATCAGCCCACCCATTCAATTAATTATCTTTAATATTTTTCTTTTACTTTCATTCAAAATAAAATGGCTTTATATGTAAATGTCATTTTTAATAGTATAGGAATAATTTGGAAATATTTAAAGAGATATTTTTATATAGTCAAAAATAAATTCTTCTCATTATTTATCAACTCTTCTTTATATGTATTCTAGAATTTTGTTTTTTTTTATTTCGGGATTAATCTGATATTTATCATCAGAGCGAGTTTTTTCGGGCCGAAAAAACCGAGAATATGCACCTAAATAGGTTCCTAAAACATAAAAATATCTTAATTTCTGTTAATTATTATTTGACGATTTTATTTAATTTTAATAAAACTATTTTCCCTGTTTTTCCAAAAAATAAATGTAAAATATTTAAACAGTTCCACTGTTCCACAGTTACTTTTTTGTATACCTATTTCCATATATACACCTATTTACAAATTATTTAATCATTTCCCTCTTTTATTTGGTCACACTTTATTTTGCGCTTCCGAGCAGCTGATCATTGAGAATCTGGAAAGGTGAGGGGGGGGGGGGGTACTTCATTTATATAGAAGCATCTATTTATTTTTACTTTCACTTTTATTTTTATTTTGCTTTATACCATCGTGTAAGGACTCAATTTACAAATTATGGTCGTGATATGGGAATTAAAAATTTATAGGCCTTCACTGTTTAATACTGAGTTACCCTCCGTTTTCTTAATGCGTAGAGTTGAGAAACTTTGCTTATTATTATTATTTAAATTAATTATTAACAAATTTACTTTTTATTTAATTTTTATACATATGTATTATTTAAACTGTGTTTTTAATTATTTGGTGGGGAACTACACAACAAAGTTTTTTGCATTACCATTTATTATTCATTATTGCGTCGTAAATATACAAAGCACGTGGTCAATGTTATTCCTTTTAATTTGTTAAAAATTATTAACCATAAATTTTTAATCCTTATTTTTTAAATAAATATTTTTAGTTTTGTCCATTAAAGTTTTTAAAATAAAAATTATTTTGGATTAAAAATTTTTATTTTTTAAAATATTTTATTATTAATTAATTAAATTCTTTTAAAAATATGTTGAGATCAACAAAAATATGTTGATTCACCCTAAATAATTCCCCTTGCCAGGGATGGGTTGAAACAATAATTCAATACTCCCGAATAATTCCCTATCCCACCGATGGCTTACATATTAATTCCTCAGGGAAATTGTGTAAATATGGTAGATTATTTTTATTTAAATTATTTTTAAACAAAATTAATTTTATTTTTCTTTCTTCAGTGATTGACCTTAATTTAGGAAAAAATTTAAAAAATTAATTTCCATTAAACATAATTTTCGGTTCATTTATTCTCCAAATTTTTACTGTAAAATTCGGCCATTTACTGATTAAACGTGTAATTTTACCTTCTATTTTTTCTTCTCAAATTAAATTTTTTATCAGTTTTTATTTCTCTGCAAAATTCAACTTTGCCCTCAATAAAGTAAAAAAGTTTGATTGAAATTAAAAGAATATATATATATATATTTGTATATTTACACTAATTGATAAGGAATGTGGAAAAATAAAAAGGAAATTTTGGGGGTTTCACACAAACTATATTTGGTTTATTTAGGGGTTGTATAAATTTTTTATCCTTTGCACATTCGAGTCTTTAACTTTATATTTATTAATTCTATTATTATAGGACAGTCAAATCTCAATTTAGCTAACCTTGTTTCCGTCTAACTATGGTTCGAAAACTGAATGAGAAATATTCGGTTGTAACATATTTAGTTTCGTTTTTTTCAAGAAGGCATAAGGGCATAACATTCATATCGTAAGTGCATGTTCTATATACCATTTTGAAGCCCAGGATCTGCGCTCTAATCTCACATATGGTCTTTTCACGTTTCATTTCTTATACCCGTTTCAGAACCCCTAGAATACCCCTAACTCGGAAAGCATTTTTTGAGCTTCAGCGGAAAATTCTATAATTTAAACAGAAATTAACCAATCCAAGTGAAATTTTTCTTATGTGTTCATCATGTGTTTTTCCATCAAATTGTTAAATTTGAGATTTTTTGGTTAGGTATTTAAAAAGTTATGGTCGAAAAAGTCGAATCAGGCATATTTTACAAATTTCAAATTTTCTTGAAAAATTTTCGGATTTAATATAACTTGTAATATACCATTCGAAAGCCCTTTCTGAGTTACACAAGATAGTTTTAACAAAATTTTATAAAATTTTTAAATAAGATTTAAAATCACAAAAAACCCTTGTGTCAAATAAAGGAAAAAACGAGTAGACATTCCCCCAAAAACTCGAAATTTTGAATTTTGCGTAAAACCATCCTATTTGGATAATTCGAACGGTATTCAGAAGCCCTCGCAGTTCTATATGAGAAACTAAACCAAAAATACTTTTTTAGTCAAAACAGGGGTCGAAATGTCAGGGGTCGAAATTTCGACTTTTTTCTCGTTCGAATTTTTAAAATTTTCTTTTTTTCGCTAAGAAAATTTCATTTGAAGAGCTTTCGATTGATATATCACATGCCAACCATTCACCAATAATTTTCGAGATATTTCGATATATTTGCTAGAAATCAGTAATTTGACTACCCCGAATTTTTCGACCATAACTCTTACTATGCTTAACAAAAAATTTTAAAATTTTAGAGGGTGTTAGAGGAAAGTCTACTTAATATATGTACAAAAATTCATGATCATAGACTTCAAATCCATAAAAATGCAGACCCCGAAACTTTTTTTTAAAAATGCAGACCCCGAAACTTCACTCAAAAGGTTTACACAACCTTTAAATATAGAGATATATTTTTGATTATTAGAACAACTAAAATTTAAAATTATTAATTTATTAAATATTTCTGTTTTTGATTTTAAATAAATTCTTTTTTGGAGACTTCTATTGATAATAAGTAAATCTCTATTGTTTGTCTTCCCTCTTAAATTTGTCTTCCCTCTTGATTAAAAATATTTGTTTTCGTCATTTACTTTTAAAATATGGACGAGAATTTTTTAGAAAACTAAAAAAAATATTTTTAAATTTAAAAAAACTTTCCAATTTTAAAACAAGTTTTTAAATAATTATTTATGAAATAAATATTTATTTTTTTAAATTAACATTAAATTTTAAAATATTTTTTTAGAAAAAATAATTACAATATTTTTGTAAAATTCTTTTTTACTTTTTTTAACTTCTATTTTTGCTTGGTACATTATTCGGACTTTGTACTACTAAAAACAAATTTACTAGAAATGAGTGCCATAATAATACTACGTAATTTTTTCTCAGAAATTTATTTGTATAATTAATTGTTTTTGTTTTTATTAAAAATATTTTTAAATATCATTATTTTTCTGTAAATATATAAGTATTATTATCGTATTACTAAAAGCTAAATTATTTTTAACCACAATTTATTAATAAAAACAAATTTTGGCATGAAAAATTGAAAAGAAAAATAAATAATTTTTATTTAAAATTAATTCAAAATAATTTTAAAATTTATTATGACAAACATTCAAATTCTTTATTAGTAAATACATCCATATCATTTACAAATCTGCAACCCCTTCACTCTCCCCAATATTTCTATTTGTAGGTGGAGGACTAAAAATAGGTATATTTGTCCTTCACCTTCTTTTTTTGGTTTTATTATTATTTTACATAAATATATTTATTTGTTTGTATTAATTAATATTAAAATTTTTATTTAAATTTACACTCAAAACTAAAAATTTATACTAAAAATTTAAAGTAACATGTCCTTTTATGCCAGAAGTAGCTCTAAATTCCATTTCTCGCCCACTAATTTCCACCCCCGCCTTCACACCCCTGTTGCTCATCAATTTATTCAAATATATTAATCCAAAGAAGTCTAATCCAAATTTGCTATGCTTTTGCTAATATTTTTTTTATTTTTTAGTTTATGTTTTTTGTTTTTATTTATTTATTTTTAACTATCCATTCTATTTTTAGTTAAATATAAATTACTAAAATAGCTTTTAATATTTAAACTTTTCCATCAAAAATATTTATATTTATTTTCTAAAATTTATGCGCGCATCCTCATTTTTATTTTTATTTATCATATTTAGTGTTCCCTCCCTCCCCCTCATTATTAATTCCCCTTTTTTAAGGAGAACGAACACTAACCAACCATCCAACTCTCATTCATTTTATCCACGTTTCTGGGGATACCTTTTATTTATATAAATTTATTTAAATGTTCAACATAATTGGTTAAATTATTTGTCTGAATAATTAAAAAAGATTTGACATTTTCTTAATAAAATAAAAAAAATTATTTTTATTTTACATTAAAAATAGTTTTGGAACTAATTTAAGAAAATAATATTATAATAAAATTTTTTATTTAAATTTATTTCCGGAATTGTTTTAGTATTTTGTATAATTACCCCTCCATAAAAAAATTAAAACAATTAATTGTTTTAATTAATTAGGAATTTACTGTATATTCCAAAGAAGATTTTCTATGTAAATACATTTAAACATAAATTTTCTTCTAAAAATTGTTTACTTTTTAACAGAGAAACCTTTTTAAGTGTGAGTTATTAATTGAAGAATATTTCCGATTAACATTTAATTTATTTTATATTTGATTTTTAATATTTTTTTTCGAAAATTTCTATACATAAATCTTTTTAAGTGAAACCTCAAAAAATATTTTTTGTTTATTTTAAAGGATAAATTATTTAATTAAAAATATTTGAATAATTATTTACAATTTTAATTTATATTTTTTTTTATTTATTTTGCTCTAAAATCAGAAATCCTTTTAATATTTTCAGGCTTCTTCTGTTTTTTACTATATTTCTACTTTTAAAAAGTTTAATATTTTTTAATTTAGTTAATAATTATTTAATATTGTTAAAAAGATGCACATGTATTTTCTAAAATAGTACTCGCCTTTGGAGAAGGGTTGAAAGATAGTACTCCCGGGAGTACTATTATAGGAAATACAGTATGTGTATATTTTCTAAACTTTTAAATATTTGCTTTTTTGAGAATACCCTATTTTAAATTGTAATTTTAATTTTTATAAAAGGAATTTTCCTACCTCCCTTTTATCCTTATCTTGGATACTTTGTACCTTTTTCTTAAATTTTGTTGAGTAATCCATATCCAAAGAACGCCCACTAATTTTAATTATTAAAAATCTTCTTCAAATGATTCATTTTCCTTATAAACCCCTCTTAAATAGAAAAACTCCCCTCTCCAAAAATAATTTCTAAATATTTTCTTAATCCAAATTGTTTTTTAAAAATTTTTATTTTAAAAAGATTAATAAATTAAAGCTCTTTCATTAAATTCCTACAAAGATACGCTATTTAAATACGTAGATATATTTATTTTTTAAAAGGAATCCTCTCCTCCTCCTCATTTTTGGTTAATTTTGTTCACTTGTTTCTTTCTTTTTTTTAAATTCTATTTTTATTTTTTAAAAAATGTTTTTTGATTATAATTCTTTTTAAAAATAATATTTTTGGAGGAAAAATAAAAACAAAAAAAATATATTCCGGAAAGGAAAATACCCCCTTTTTTTAATATTTTTTGCTAAAAAAAGGTATTTTTCCCAAAAATTTTTTTAAATTTTTTTCTTCTTTTCTTCGTCATTCAACTCGTCATTTATGTGCTTTTAATTAATTTGGAAATTATTTTAGATTTAAGGTAAAGGTTATATTACGCCAATTATTTTTATATTTTCCAGAAATAATTATTTGTTTGGGGAATTGTTTTTAGGGAAAGAGAGGGGGGTCTTTTCACTCCCCCAATTTTTCTAGGTAAAAATAACTACGTCCTTTTGGCAATATTCTCAATATAATTGTGTCATTGTTAATTATTTATTTTTCCCAAAAAACTTACCTAAATATATCCAATTTCATACGCCCATTTCATTTTTAAACTCAAATCTCTCTCCTTTTAAACGTCATTTACTATTCCGGAAAAAACAGAAAAAAGAAGTGATTTAATGAGAAGAAACCGCACAATTTCACTAAAAAACTAGCTTTTATTTTATAAAAAAGCGAACGTAAATTTTTCTTTTGATCAAATGATTTATATAAAAATTGTAATATTCTTCCCCCGTTGTTCCAGTGAGAAAATTTTTTTTTCTAAAAACTAAAAACGTTTTTACTTAAATGGCGTCAATGGGGCCGCACCCGAATTCTTCTTTTCCCTTTCATTTAAAAAAGAAAAAATAATTAGAAAAAAATTTTTGGGTTATAAAACACTGTATAATATGCACATGTTTGGGTAATTTTAAAATAAACTTGAATTATTCCTTTTTCTTTTTGATTTTGTTTAACTTTAAAGTGCGAAACCTTTGATATAAAACAATTTTATAAAGCAGAGATTCTTCGGATTTTCGTAAAGGAACTTCTGAAGGGGATGGAATTTTTTGGTTACATAAAGAGAGAAAAAAAGAATATTTCTTCGAAAATTTTTTACTAAAAATTATTTTCTACTAAATATTTATATTTATACCATTTAACTTTAAAATAATTAATAAAACCTTATTAAAATTCTCTGGATTTTAACCAATAAAAAATATTATTTCAAAGCACTACTTTCAAATTTCTTCACCTTAATTTTAGCTATCTATTTTAGCCCCTACACCCCCCCCCCCCTCTCTTGATTAAATTTTTTTCTTTTCAATTTAATATTTTTATTTTATTCAGATAAATCAAAAAACCCTTTTTTTAATATTTTTATTAAATTAAATACATATTCAAAAATTAAAAAAATGACTCAAAATACAAAAAACAATGAACAGAGGAATCAATTAAGAGAAACACAAAACAAAGAACAAAGACATTCATCACAACAACTGCAACAAACAAATAATTTCCGAGTGCAACAACATCAACGGCAAACTCGATTGTTTGCAAATATTTTGAGCAACACATTTTTCGTCAAATTCCAATTGATCTCATTTTTCTTGATTTATTCAATATCTCCTTCTTTCTCATTTATTATTCCACACACAAAACATGGTAAAAGAATTATAAAAAAAATTATAAAAAATTATTTCACAAATTTTCAGATTTGTTGATTTACAATTCGGGATCAGAAAGTGATTCCTCTTCAGCTTTGTATAATGATATCGTTGCTTCTCTTGAAGATGATAATAGCAATTCGTTAAAATTGCACGGAAGTAAGTCATTTTATCGTAAGAAAATAATTGTCAAAAAGAATATCAAATCAAGGCATTGAAATTGGTTCACCTTCAGAATTCTCTGATAGCGAGAATTGGAATTTTTTCGAAGTGTATTTCGATCGAATTCAAGTCCAGTCTCCTGTTACTTAGTTTGCATTTTCTCTCATTTTACCGTAACCCCCCCTCTCTTTGTTTACCTAAATTAACTTTCCTCTAAGAAATTATTATTAATTTTATTTTTCTTAGCTGATTTGCTTGTTTTGCATTCATCATTAAAGCATGTACGAAAATTGGGTGATTGTGTAGAAATAACTGATCGTAATGCAACACTTTTAAAGTCTATAAGTAAGTTATAAATATTAAAAATTATGAAAGGCTTTTTATTAAAAAATATTTTTAAGGCCGTGCATCAGACACTCTTGTAGACTTAAAAGATCAACATTTTAATATTCATTATTGTGCAAATTTAGAAAATGATGGGCAACAGAAATGTGGAGAAAAGTCTGTTTGTGGGACTATTTATCGTAAGAAAATAATTGTCAAAAAAATTTATATTTTAAATCTTTTTTAAAGGTTGGAAAAAGGCAATGGTCCGTTTAACCTCCTCTTCTCTCTCGGCAGTTACAGGGGAGGATTTACCTGAAATTTTTCTTCAAGAACAAGTTCTTGTGCCGAGTGGATGTTCTTGTTTAATTAACGCTGCTAACACGAAATTTGCTAAAATTCCTGTAATTATTGAGTCTTAAATGATGAAAAAAAAAGAAAAATAAAAATGAGGATAGGCAAAAAAAGATATATAAAATATATCAAAGAAGAAAACTAAAAAAATTAATTTTTTATGTTTTTGTCAATGATTTTCCATTTTTATTACAAATTGAATCTCGTTTTTCTCTTTCTCCTATTTTTATTTTTTATGTATTAAAAGCTCTAATTTTTAATTGGAAATATTTTTGATTTTTAATTTTCAAGTTTTGGGGATCTAATGGCTATCTAATTTTTTTAACAGTCGATTTCGTTATACTCTGGAAATACAAGAAAATTTATTGGTACACTATCACTCCCCCTCACCCCCCCCCCCCTTTTGCCTTCAATGGCCAACCACATTACAAAACTTATACTAAACTGATTTGTATACTTAGGGTGTACATTATTATACTATCGAAATTTGACTATATTTCCTTTAAGTTTTTGAATGCTTGTGTTATGATTTGTAAAGTTTTCAAACTTCTAACACTCATTTCAAATTTAAAATTTTCCATATTTACCCAAATTTTCCCCTCTCGTGTACAAAAAAGTTATTAGAGCTTTTACAAGTATCCCCTTTTTTTAATTATTTTTTTAAACTTTATTTAGTATTTTTCTCTCCTTCATTCTCTTTCTTTAAATCTTCACTAGAATTCCACCAATTATTTTCATATTCGTTTTCCTAAAGTACACAGACAAACAATGATCCATAATAAACATTTTTTGGTTAAATTAATTAGTTAATTTATTTAGAATTTGTATATATTTAAAAATAGGTACAAATCAATTTGCTTTTGATTTTATAATTAAAAGCTAAGTTTGTCGATTTGATCAAATATTGGAGAGATTATTGGAGGATTTAAGAGTTGGAGATATTTAGAATAGCTGATTCTAATGTGTAAAAAATCAAAGCTTTGAAATTATTTTACCAAAGGATCTTAAAAGATTTCTCCTCATAGCGGATACTGACGGATATTCGCTTTTTTCGATGTTTCGCCTTTCGCTTTTTAAAATCAATGGATAAAAATAACAAATTTATAGTCAGACAAAACAATACAATAATGGTGAATATTTAAGAAATATACAACAATTTACATAGTTATGTGAATATTAGATCTCTCATTCTATCAACTATTCTTCATTACTTTTCATCTCAACGGGAAGAAGCGGTGACCAAACTAGCTGCACGTTGCGTATCCAATTCTGTTCGAAGTTGCACTTCTTGTTCTCGAACCTCGTCCCAAGTCAGCCCAAACCAGCTGTCAATAGAAGTGAAGATTTGCTGGTGGAATTTGGCGTTGATTTTGCGGTGTTCCTGAAAGAAAAATGAAAATATTTATTTTTATTTTAGAATATATATTCGGCTGTAGTGTAGTGTACCGGTGGTAAAAGTTCGGGACGTGACATATGTCATTCGATTCGTCTCGACGAGCTGAGTCGAACGGTACCACTCCCTACTTTAGGAAATGATTCTGGACCGAGTTATAGGTCCCGAAAAATCGAAAAACCAAAGGGGGGACCAAGCACTTTTTTGGGGTGAAAAATTCGAAAATGCAAATTATACCTCATTCGAAAGAGCTCGTCGAGCTGAGTCGAATGACACCAAAATCAACAAAATCCGACTTGATTTGACAAAGTTATGACCGTTTGTTTCAGCTCCTTACCTATGGCATCTGTGGAGATTTTTGCTGCTACGGAGGCCCCAAATACGTCCAGAGCAAGGGAGATAGGAATAGGTTTATGTTACGAGCCCAGACCCAGCGCCCGTAGACTCCCCGCGAGGCGCGTGCCGCAAAACCCCGCGCGAAGCGCGGGGTTTTGCACAAGCGCCTCGCCGACGCTCCATAGGTTTAGAGTTTTTTGTTTTTCTGTTATAACTTTGTCTAATCTTGTTCAATCACGGTGATTTTGGTGTCATTCGACTCAGCTCGATGAGCTCTTTCGAATGAGGTATAATTTGCAGTTTCGAATTTTTTGACCCCTAAAATTTTCAAAATTCGGGGATCTATAACTCGGCCATATGAAGTCGGATTTCGTTGATTTTGGTGTCATTTGACTCAGCTCGAAGAGTTCTTTCAAATGAGCTATCATTTGCATATTCGAATTTTTCCCCAAAAAAGTGCTTGGTCCCCCCTTTGGTTTTTCGATTTTTCGGGACCTATAACTCGGTCCAGAATCATTTCCTAAAGTAGAGAGTGGTACCGTTCGACTCAGCTCGCCGAGACGAATCGAATGACATATGGCTCGTCCCGAACTTTTACCACCGGTACACTACACTATATCCATATATTCTCTGATTATTCTAAAACAATCCTCAAAACTCACAAGCTCAACTAGTTTTTCAGCTCCCGGAAAGTGTGTCCTGACGTTAACTGTCACAACTTTGTAGACGCACATGCAGGGCTTACATTTCTCTTGCCAGTTGCCGACCAGAGGCCCTCTTTTTGCGCGTTTGGAACGAAACTGAAATTGGAAAAAAATTTATTTTACAAAGATTTTACCACCGGTACACTACACTATATCCATATATTCTCTGATTATTCTAAAACAATCCTCAAAACTCACAAGCTCAACTAGTTTTTCAATCCTCAAAACTCACAAGCTCAACTAGTTTCTCACATTAGTATTGTCCTCCCCAATGTTCATCTTGACGATTTCACGGCGCCTCAGCATATCACTGCCCAGTCCCAAAGCCTGTAAAAATGGTCAGTTTAGAGTTAATGTGAAAAATGTCTCATAACAAACATTTTCATCCTTTCCTCTATTGTTGTCCAAACAAAGTGTCTCGAATCGGATGCTGAACTTTTCCCGATTTTCGTCCCATTCAGGAGCGTAGAGTTCTGTCAGTAGATATGGAAAGCTGTTCCAACTATGCTCGTGAATCCGGGTGAGGCCGTTTGGTACAAAAGGTCGGACAAATGATGGAATTTTACTGAAAAAGAAAAAGAGAAGACTTGAGCTTTCGAGTAAATTTTTTAAAAATAAACTTACGATCTCAGGTGGTAGATTTTGTGGGTGAACTGCCCTTCATTGTAGCGCCCGTGACAAAGTGGAATGTTGTCGAATGGCTCGTCTTGCAAGATTTCCACTCCTTCTCCTTTGTGTGTTTGCTAAAAATAATGAGAAGAGTTTAGTTTTGAACAACAGAAAGTAAAAATAAAATTTTACTTTTCGAGCCGTCTCCATGTAGGCAAACGCCCGTCCAATCTGGAACTCTGCTGTAGTCATAGGCATCACTATCCTGTACTCGCGAACAAGCATTGCGGCTGGCGATTGAAGTGTAGACGAGCAGGCGAACACTGAGCAGGCGCACACTGAAGTAGGTGAGCAGGCAAACACTGAGCAGGCGAACACTGAAGGTAGCAGACAATGAGCACAAACCCCAACAGAGGTGTTTTGTGAGAGCGTTAATCCTTTCAAGTTTGTAAGGCTTTTATACTCTAGAAAATTTTGAAAAAAATTAATTTACAACGGAATCCAATTTTAAATTTTTTATTTGGCGCGCTCCTAGTTTTGTAAAATTTCTAATTATAATTCTAAAACAATAAAAACAAAAAAGAAATAAAGTTAAAGATTTAAGTTTTATCAAGTTTAACCCGATGTCCACAAAAGTCATTCTGCAAAAATACATTTTTGCTACCCCTGAACAAAAATGGAAGGTTTTGTTAGACTGGAGGTTTTTGTTCAAAGATATTTAATCCATTGTATTAAATATTAGATACACTCCAATTTATTTCAAGATTACGGGTGGCTCTTATTCCATCCAACTCCATCTTCTACTTGTATGTACATCCCTGGTATCCCTCTTAACTCCCGAATCATTTATCCTCTCCGAGAAACCTGGCTTCTTGGTCAAATTTTTAACTTATCGGAAACCTGATCCGAAGAAAATTTTGTAATCCTACCCGAAACCTGACCCGTCTTTTTTCTCAATCTGTGACAGCCTTGGTATATACATACATGTATAACTGTAATTCTAATTATTTTACCCTTTATTAATTATTTTCTTAAAAATTATTTTTAAATTATATAGTATCAGCCTCAATAATTTTCATTGTAAGAAACTATTTGAATTGTTAAAATATTTTTTATTTATTCAAAAAAATATCTAGTTTCTTCCATTCGTCACTTTTCATCATTTCCGTTCATTGCAAATGAAGCTGAAATACTTAAATAAAAAATTGTCAAACAAATATTTTTAACCCCTTTTTTGCCAATTTTTAAGTATATTTTTAATGTCCTGCCAGTTACTTTTTCTCTATTTCAGACATTTGATATATTTATTTATTTAAATTCTCTCTCACACCCACAGATGAATTTTTTGACATTTTTTGTTCCTCATTAAAGTACTCAAAAATTATTTAAAAATTTATATTTTAACTTTTTTAAGTCCTCCCATGTGTATGTACTTTTGTTGAGTAAATTAATTATATGTGAAAATAAATAAATATAAAATACAAAAAAAATTGGCAGTCTTTTGTCTGGCATTTGTCTCGACTAAACAAAATAAATATTTTGTTTACGTCAACTCTCTCCCTTTATGGTCTATATATTTTCACATTATTGCCAGACTTTTATTTAGATATTTTTTTTAATTTTAATTATTTGTCTGATATTTTTTGTTGTACTTAAATTAAAACAAAAAATTGTTGTTAATAAATAGCTTTATTTTTATAAGTGGTCCCACTATGTTTACGTAATCTATTTAACAGGAAATTATAAATTGCTTCTGAAATGATCCAATTTCGTTTTCTTAGTTTGATTTAAGCAATAAACAAACAAAAGATTAATTTAATTTTTATTCTGTTTTTTACAAAGCTAAAAAAAGTGAAACTTGATGCGAAAAATTCTATGGCGATAATTTTTAGAACCTATGATCCGGTTTTTTCAACATTGGCATAGGCTCTAATTGCTTAAGCTCTATTGAAAAATGCTTAGGCTGTAATTGAATAATGACAAATAAACGGAATAAAAATTAATTCTTTTTGATTGTTTGTTTTCCAAGGACAAATAAAGAGAATTTTGGGAGAAAAAAGTGGGCACGTAAACGGCCAGAAGAGTGACTTTATAACAGAGATCCTATTGACATAAATAGTAAATTCACAATTTCGAGAATCGGGTCAGAATAATTATTGTTTTATATAAGATTTAACTTAATTAATTTCAAATATTATTCAATTAATATGAAATAAACAAATGTTTATTAAATTTAAATAATTTATTTAACTTCTTGTCAAATTTATTTTTCTACTTAATCCCCAAATTTTTTTAAAATTATTTTACTATATTTTATTAAATATTATGTAATTTTTTGTTGACGTTTTTCTCGGCAAAAAAAACACCTGCTCAATTAATTATTCAAACATAATTTAAAATTACTTCTACATAGCAGTAAAGTAAACTACACATCCTTCAATCGCCTTTAACTACTAAATTATTGTTAGACTTTGTCTAAACAATCTTTCTGCGTTAAATGCCTGACTTCTTAATTCCTTCTTCTTAATTCCTGGCTTCTTCATTCCTGTTTTCTTTATGCCTGTCTTCTTAATTCCTGTTGCAGCTTTTTCCTAGCTAAAGATTTTTCCTGGCTACGGATCTTCCTTTCTACCTACAGCCTCTTCCTGGCTACTGATTTTTCTTTCTACCTACAGCTCTTTCCTGGCTAATTTTGCTTTTACCTACGGCTTTTTTCTTGCTAAAGACTTTCCTGTCTACATACAGCCTTTTCCTTGCTACTTGTTTTCCTGTCTAGAATTTTCTGCAGCTTTTTTGTCGGGGAATCATGTTCCGTCGCGGAGCCATAGGTCCCCGACTGATTTTGGCAAGATGCCGCATGATGGAAGGCATGGTGAAAGATACAGGTTTTCCCGCAAAATCGCGTCTGCCGTGGCCATTGAGCCCGGGAAGAATCCCGGAACTCCCTATTTTGACGTGCGAAGGCCAGGAATATGTAGAAATAAGTCATTATTTGTAGCTCATTTAATGAGTACAACGAAGTAGTTGACTAGGCAATGATGACTAAGTAATTATTAATAATAAAAGTTAATTCATAAATATTTATTTAAATAAGAATAGTCGAATAATTTAATTTATTTAATAAATACAGGTAAATAAGTCAAAAGGAATAATATAAATATTTACATTAATGGGGAAAATAAAGGAAAAAAGGGATAAAAGGGAAGTTTTTATTTACATTGGAAAATAATTGTGAAAAGTGAAAGAAAGGTTAAAATTATAAAAAATGAAACTAATTCTTCTCCATGTCTTTTTCTTATAAAGAAAAGCCAGATTGAACAAATAGGCGGGGAGTTGTAATTGTGCGGAGACAAAGCAAAGGTCGCCCACTAGGAAAATGAGCGACATGGCGAGATGAGCAAGCAATTAATGTGTGAGATGAGAGTCGTTCACTCTAAGAGTGCCCGACATGGATGAGCAGGCCATTACCATTTGAGGAGTCGTTCACTCTGAGAGTGATCGACATAGGCGGATGAACAATCTTTAGTGTTTGGGAAGACAGGCCATTTAAGAAGGATTGACATGAGCGGATGAGTAATCCATTTGCCTTTCAGAAGAATGTATGGTCAGAGATAAGGAACGAGTCGATAGCTCTAAGAGTTTCGACATATCCAAAGTGAGCTTAGTTGACAATTTAATGCTAGTCTTCCACTACAAGAGTGGTTGACGCGTCCATAAGAGGAAGATAAGCGAAATAAATAGAAATTAACTTTCCCAGCCAATTATTAAACTAAAATATTTCTCTTGCTCTTAGAGCAAGAGAATGCACTTTGGAGCGATCCGCGACACACTCCCCTCTTCGAGAGTTGCCAATTTTCCCAGAATTGTTATCTGGTGAGTTGTCCATCTTTTTGTTGTTCCTGACCGATTTCATAGCATGTAAATTTTTAATCAATGAGGATGAACAGAAGCTAATCCTCAGGGTTGATGAGTGAATTCCTCTATATTTATCGGATTTATGTGCAGAATTTTTCCATGTCTGAATTTTTAGATCCTTAATAAGCTTTGTTTTTGTTACACTCCATCTTGGATATATGCTGATTAGACAATCAAAATTCCGATAAGCGTAGCTTTCGGAAATGTTGGTGTGTTTGTTCACGTAGTTCAGTCGATGTGTTTCTGATGTGCAACTTGAATTTCCCAATTTGTCCGCCCAGAGAACTGTTGGGACTAGTTTTATTGCGCAAGTAGTTGCATTTTTCCAATATCTTTCGCTTCTTTTGTCCGCACAGTGAACTGTGAGGATCAGTAAGATTTCCTGGTTTAGATATTTAAATATTAATAGATGGATTTGACAAAGTTGTTCCACTAAGTTGTTTTAATTAGGTAGGGAAAATAACAAAGTTGTTTTTATTAATGAATGGAAACAACAAAAGTTGTTCCATGCGTTGTCAAAGCGATTACAAAGGTTTATTGTACAAAAGGTTCATTGAATTTTAAATTTAAATGTCATCCAATAACAGAAGATGATTTATTGCTTAGCACGAAGGTCTGCAATTGTTCGAATGTTTGTCACATTCTTTGGAGCGATACACCTTCCAACAAATCGAATTTTGTTACTCATTAATTTTGTCACTCCTTTGTCCGTTGTCTTTCATTAAAAGAAGATGATTTATTGCTCAGCACAAAGGCCTGCAATCATTTGGATGTTTGTCACATCCCTAATCATTTCTTAAATTTGAGTGCTTGATTTTTTCCTTTTATTCTCATAGTGAAGTCGCTCTGTTTTAACCTTGATTTTCATTGAAGGCAAATTATCCTTAGTCATAAGATGAAACATCCATGACAGATTTTATCGTTAGATCGAAGTTGTATTTGAATATTAATGCAAAAATATTGCTATTCGAGTAGCTTCTACTGTGTATCAATGAAAATTAAATGATGCACTTGTGAATTTTTTGTTGGAAGCAATAGCATAGCTTTCGCTTCAGTGCCTTTATTGCAAAATTCTTATACTTGTAAACGTCTTACATTATAAATGCTCGACAACTGTTTGTGTTTTTGAATTCTCAATTATTAGCGTTTACATTAGTAGACGTTTGATGGATATTCTATGAAGAGAAATTCTTAATGTCTTACATTAGAAAATGTTTGACGGTTATTTTATGAAAAGAACTTCTTAATTCTTAATGTCATACATTGGAAAATGTTTGACAGTAATTAAAGGTTGCATGTATCGGATAAATCACTGAAATGATTTTTTCTTAATTCTTTGAGTAAACTCTCAGAATTCCTTGGCTCTAGAATCAATAATCTTATTATGTTGAATGAATTGTTTGTTGTCGAGGATCGTTGTCAGAATTATGTTGTCGGTTAGTGTTGTAAGTGATTGATTGTGAGTAAGTTGATAGGAAGAAGGTAGGAGAATGAGTAGCCAGGAAAATGCTACCGGAAATGTGCAGACAGGGAATCTTTAGCCAGGAAAAAGCTGCAATGAAATTTGTAGGCAGGAAAATTAGTAGCCAGGTAAAAGCTGCAGGAAAATGTGTAGTCAGGAAAATAAGTAGCCAGGTAAATGTGGACTGGAAAATAAGTAGCCAGGTAAAAGCTGTAGACAGGAAATCTGTAGCCAGGAAAAAGCTGCAGGTAGACAGTAAAATCTGAGCCAGGAAAAAGCTGCAGGTAGACAGGAAAATCTGTAGCCAGGAAAAAGCTGCCGAAATAATTAGACAGGAAAGTTTGAAGCCAGGAAAAAGATGCTGATAGACAGGAAGTTTGTAGCCAGGAAAAAGCTGCAGAAATAAGTAGACAGGAAAATTTGTAGCCAGGGAAAAGCTGTAGTTAGACAGGAAAGTTTGTAGCCAGGAAAAAGCTGCAGAATAAGTAGACAGGAAAGTTTGTAGCCAGGAAAAAGCTGCAGAAAATTCTAGACAGGAAAACAAGTAGCAAGGAAAAGGCTGTATGTAGACAGGAAAGTCTTTAGCAAGAAAAAAGCCGTAGGTAAAAGCAAAATTAGCCAGGAAAGAGCTGTAGGTAGAAAGAAAAATCAGTAGCCAGGAAGAGGCTGTAGGTAGAAAGGAAGATCCGTAGCCAGGAAAAATCTTTAGCTAGGAAAAAGCTGCAACAGGAATTAAGAAGACAGGCATAAAGAAAACAGGAATGAAGAAGCCAGGAATTAAGAAGAAGGAATTAAGAAATCAGGCATTTAACGCAGAAAGATTGTTTAGACAAAGTCTAACAATAATTTAGTAGTTAAAGGCGATTGAAGGATGTGTAGTTTACTTTACTGCTATGTAGATGTAATTTTAAATTATGTTTGAATAATTAATTGAGCAGGTGTTAGTTATTTATTTTCATATCATTTGTTGTCTTTGTGTAAGCTGAAGAAAATTTGTTCAAAATTAATTGTAATAAAATATGTAAGAAGAGAACATAGTTTTTTCTTTGTTGTTGTTGGAGTTAAGAGTTCATTGATGTTAAAATAATCGTCGAAGATGTGAGAAAATGATCACTGTGCTGTTCTATTCGATTGTTGACTGGCATAAGCCATACAACAGAGAGAATGAAGTTTGTTGGGCAATGATTACAATTATTTTCCAACATAAGCATTGTAAACATAATTGAGATTTATCTAAAAAATTTGTGGTTGCTCGACATAAGTCTAACAACAATTGAAATTATAAAGTTGTAAGATCGAAGCCATTCAACAATAAATGAAAATTTGTAGTTGTTTGACATAGGTCTAATGATTTATGTTTTCAGGTCGAAGCCTTCCAACAAGGATGAGTTAAGATTTTAGTTGCTAGACATAAGTGCAACAAAAATAAAAAATTGATCAAGTTGTCAGATAGAAATCCTTCAACAATAATTGAGTGTTGTCTGAAAATTGGTTTGATAAGACACGTCTAACAACAATAGAAATTCAATAAAGTTAGCAAATTGAAGTTTTAACAATAATAGTTGTTTAGGCTAAGTCTAACAACATTGATGTAAGGTAGAAATTTTTCTCTTGGTTGTTTAATAGTATTTTCTTCATTCTTCTCTTTATGTTGTAATTTCTGTGAAAGAATTAAAGCGTTAAAGATATAGTTCTTTCCCAAGGACTAAGGTTGAAAACACTAAGTGATTCAACAATATTAGTTAGATGGAAAATTGAAAATTTGTTTTAAAACTAGAAGGAATAATGTAATTATGTAGAGCATTGAATAATTAGTAATCGTATACACATAGTGTGACGAATTTCGAGTAGTTGCCGCGTTGGAATATAGCAATAGAAGTGAATATAATAGATGACGCATAGTATTGTCCTTTTTCAAAGTCCTCGAATAGAAATTCTCGGACAAAAATTTTATCTAAAGAAATTTTGACATACCAAAAACATCCATGAGCACCATCTATTGCGGGAGCACATCCTGCCGTGCTCGCCATTTGTCGGGGAATCATGTTCCGTCGCGGAGCCATAGGTGCCCGACTGATTTTGGCAAGATGCCGCATGATGGAAGGCATGGTGAAAGATACAGGTTTTCCCGCAAAATCGCGTCTGCCGTGGCCATTGAGCCCGGGAAGAATCCCGGAACTCCCTATTTTGACGTGCGAAGGCCAGGAATATGTAGAAATAAGTCATTATTTGTAGCTCATTTAATGAGTACAACGAAGTAGTTGACTAGGCAATGATGACTAAGTAATTATTAATAATAAAAGTTAATTCATAAATATTTATTTAAATAAGAATAGTCGAATAATTTAATTTATTTAATAAATACAGGTAAATAAGTCAAAAGGAATAATATAAATATTTACATTAATGGGGAAAATAAAGGAAAAAAGGGATAAAAGGGAAGTTTTTATTTACATTGGAAAATAATTGTGAAAAGTGAAAGAAAGGTTAAAATTATAAAAAATGAAACTAATTCTTCTCCATGTCTTTTTCTTATAAAGAAAAGCCAGATTGAACAAATAGGCGGGGAGTTGTAATTGTGCGGAGACAAAGCAAAGGTCGCCCACTAGGAAAATGAGCGACATGGCGAGATGAGCAAGCAATTAATGTGTGAGATGAGAGTCGTTCACTCTAAGAGTGCCCGACATGGATGAGCAGGCCATTACCATTTGAGGAGTCGTTCACTCTGAGAGTGATCGACATAGGCGGATGAACAATCTTTAGTGTTTGGGAAGACAGGCCATTTAAGAAGGATTGACATGAGCGGATGAGTAATCCATTTGCCTTTCAGAAGAATGTATGGTCAGAGATAAGGAACGAGTCGATAGCTCTAAGAGTTTCGACATATCCAAAGTGAGCTTAGTTGACAATTTAATGCTAGTCTTCCACTACAAGAGTGGTTGACGCGTCCATAAGAGGAAGATAAGCGAAATAAATAGAAATTAACTTTCCCAGCCAATTATTAAACTAAAATATTTCTCTTGCTCTTAGAGCAAGAGAATGCACTTTGGAGCGATCCGCGACACACTCCCCTCTTCGAGAGTTGCCAATTTTCCCAGAATTGTTATCTGGTGAGTTGTCCATCTTTTTGTTGTTCCTGACCGATTTCATAGCATGTAAATTTTTAATCAATGAGGATCAACAGAAGCTAATCCTCAGGGTTGATGAGTGAATTCCTCTATATTTATCGGATTTATGTGCAGAATTTTTCCATGTCTGAATTTTTAGATCCTTAATAAGCTTTGTTTTTGTTACACTCCATCTTGGATATATGCTGATTAGACAATCAAAATTCCGATAAGCGTAGCTTTCGGAAATGTTGGTGTGTTTGTTCACGTAGTTCAGTCGATGTGTTTCTGATGTGCAACTTGAATTTCCCAATTTGTCCGCCCAGAGAACTGTTGGGACTAGTTTTATTGCGCAAGTAGTTGCATTTTTCCAATATCTTTCGCTTCTTTTGTCCGCACAGTGAACTGTGAGGATCAGTAAGATTTCCTGGTTTAGATATTTAAATATTAATAGATGGATTTGACAAAGTTGTTCCACTAAGTTGTTTTAATTAGGTAGGGAAAATAACAAAGTTGTTTTTATTAATGAATGGAAACAACAAAAGTTGTTCCATGCGTTGTCAAAGCGATTACAAAGGTTTATTGTACAAAAGGTTCATTGAATTTTAAATTTAAATGTCATCCAATAACAGAAGATGATTTATTGCTTAGCACGAAGGTCTGCAATTGTTCGAATGTTTGTCACATTCTTTGGAGCGATACACCTTCCAACAAATCGAATTTTGTTACTCATTAATTTTGTCACTCCTTTGTCCGTTGTCTTTCATTAAAAGAAGATGATTTATTGCTCAGCACAAAGGCCTGCAATCATTTGGATGTTTGTCACATCCCTAATCATTTCTTAAATTTGAGTGCTTGATTTTTTCCTTTTATTCTCATAGTGAAGTCGCTCTGTTTTAACCTTGATTTTCATTGAAGGCAAATTATCCTTAGTCATAAGATGAAACATCCATGACAGATTTTATCGTTAGATCGAAGTTGTATTTGAATATTAATGCAAAAATATTGCTATTCGAGTAGCTTCTACTGTGTATCAATGAAAATTAAATGATGCACTTGTGAATTTTTTGTTGGAAGCAATAGCATAGCTTTCGCTTCAGTGCCTTTATTGCAAAATTCTTATACTTGTAAACGTCTTACATTATAAATGCTCGACAACTGTTTGTGTTTTTGAATTCTCAATTATTAGCGTTTACATTAGTAGACGTTTGATGGATATTCTATGAAGAGAAATTCTTAATGTCTTACATTAGAAAATGTTTGACGGTTATTTTATGAAAAGAACTTCTTAATTCTTAATGTCATACATTGGAAAATGTTTGACAGTAATTAAAGGTTGCATGTATCGGATAAATCACTGAAATGATTTTTTCTTAATTCTTTGAGTAAACTCTCAGAATTCCTTGGCTCTAGAATCAATAATCTTATTATGTTGAATGAATTGTTTGTTGTCGAGGATCGTTGTCAGAATTATGTTGTCGGTTAGTGTTGTAAGTGATTGATTGTGAGTAAGTTGATAGGAAGAAGGTAGGAGAATGAGTAGCCAGGAAAATGCTACCGGAAATGTGCAGACAGGGAATCTTTAGCCAGGAAAAAGCTGCAATGAAATTTGTAGGCAGGAAAATTAGTAGCCAGGTAAAAGCTGCAGGAAAATGTGTAGTCAGGAAAATAAGTAGCCAGGTAAATGTGGACTGGAAAATAAGTAGCCAGGTAAAAGCTGTAGACAGGAAATCTGTAGCCAGGAAAAAGCTGCAGGTAGACAGTAAAATCTGAGCCAGGAAAAAGCTGCAGGTAGACAGGAAAATCTGTAGCCAGGAAAAAGCTGCCGAAATAATTAGACAGGAAAGTTTGAAGCCAGGAAAAAGATGCTGATAGACAGGAAGTTTGTAGCCAGGAAAAAGCTGCAGAAATAAGTAGACAGGAAAATTTGTAGCCAGGGAAAAGCTGTAGTTAGACAGGAAAGTTTGTAGCCAGGAAAAAGCTGCAGAATAAGTAGACAGGAAAGTTTGTAGCCAGGAAAAAGCTGCAGAAAATTCTAGACAGGAAAACAAGTAGCAAGGAAAAGGCTGTATGTAGACAGGAAAGTCTTTAGCAAGAAAAAAGCCGTAGGTAAAAGCAAAATTAGCCAGGAAAGAGCTGTAGGTAGAAAGAAAAATCAGTAGCCAGGAAGAGGCTGTAGGTAGAAAGGAAGATCCGTAGCCAGGAAAAATCTTTAGCTAGGAAAAAGCTGCAACAGGAATTAAGAAGACAGGCATAAAGAAAACAGGAATGAAGAAGCCAGGAATTAAGAAGAAGGAATTAAGAAATCAGGCATTTAACGCAGAAAGATTGTTTAGACAAAGTCTAACAATAATTTAGTAGTTAAAGGCGATTGAAGGATGTGTAGTTTACTTTACTGCTATGTAGATGTAATTTTAAATTATGTTTGAATAATTAATTGAGCAGGTGTTAGTTATTTATTTTCATATCATTTGTTGTCTTCGTGTAAGCTGAAGAAAATTTGTTCAAAATTAATTGTAATAAAATATGTAAGAAGAGAACATAGTTTTTTCTTTGTTGTTGTTGGAGTTAAGAGTTCATTGATGTTAAAATAATGTTAAAAATCATTGTTAAAATAATGTTAAAAATCATTGATGTTAAAAAATGCTTAGGCTGTAATTGAATAATGACAAATAAACGGAATAAAAATTAATTCTTTTTGATTGTTCGTTTTCCAAAGACAAATAAAGGGAATTTTGGGAGAAAAAATTGGGCACGTAAACGGCCAGAAATCTCTTCTTACATCGGCAAAACCCGGTTAGAGGGGTGACTTTATAAGAGAGATCCTATTGACATAAATAATAAATTCACAATTTTGAGAATCATGTCAAAATAATTATTGTTTTATACAAAGATTTTACTTAATTAATACAATTTAATTGATATGAAATAAACAAATGGTTATTAAATTTAAATAATTTATTTTGCTTCTTTTAAAATTCTGTACTTAATCCCCAAAAATTTTTCTAAAATTATTTTATTATTTATTAAAAATTCTATAATTTTTTGTTGACGTTTTTCTCGGCAACCAGTAGATAAGAATGTTAAAAATGAACTTTTCATTTACTTGAAACACGTCCTTTCTTGCACAAAAATAGAGAAAGGAATTTGCGCAACAATGTCTGTGCACATTAATCAAAATTAGGATCATTCTTCGTCATCACTAGATTCTTTCGAAATTTTTATAAGCTCAATTAAATATTTATAAATATAAAAATTTATTTTTATTTTTTCTCATTTTATTTTTTAAATATCCAACTTTTTTTATATTCAAGTTTGCTGTATTTTACGTTATTTTAGATATTAAATCTATTAAGTTTATTAATCAGATAATTATAAAAATTAAAGAAAATATTTTCTCCATCATTAAATTTCATAGATATAATTGTACATGAATATGTTAATAAATAGCATCATTTTACAAAAATATCTTTTTTGTACTTTTTTGTTAAAATTAAATATCATTTTAATTCCATCCCACGTCTTTTTAATTTTAATTATTTTTAAACAATTAAATTTATTTGTACCCTGATTTTCCAAATTAATAATAAAAAAGAACTTTTTCTAAATCATCTCTATATCATTCCTAAAATAATTTCAAGCTAAAATTCTAACCGGAAATCGAGCTACCTAATTTAAACTTAGGACTATTTCCCAATTCACCAATTCAATTTAACATCATAACCTATTTAAAAAAAAGATTAGATGTCTGATAATTTGTTTAAATTTCTTTTATTTTTAAATATTTTCCAAGAATTTATTTTACTATAAACTTTTTGGCATTTAATTTATTAAAAAATAAATACTTCCACAATCTAAAATAGATAAATATTTTTTAAAATAATTTTTGGAAAATCCCATTATTTATTAAATAAATCCAAAAAAAGTCTTTTGTTTGGACTTTTTTGGTCTGATAAATTGCCAGAAAAAATATTAAAAATATTAAATTTGGCTATATATCTAAACGTCATTTTAAATAGTTTAAAAAGGATTTTTTATTTATTAATGTCCTAATTTGGCAGATAAATAGTTTAATATTTATTTATATATTGTTTAAACCTTCCTTCCTCTTTAAATTATTTCTCTGAATTTAAATTTTTTGTAAATTAATTTATTATAAATATTTTTTGAAAAAAAAATATTTGGAAGAATTCCAAAAAAATTTATTTTTACAAAAAAATTAAAGATGAAAATAAGCCTTGAAATTTATTTAAAATTCTTTTAATTTTTAGCAATGTCCACTCAACATTTATTTCTTTTCTTTCATTATTCTCTCAAAACAAAGCTAATTTTTATCAAAAAATAAACGAATCTTAAAAGGGCGTGAAGAAGAAGATATTACACGGGAAGGTGCAATGTACACGAATAAATAGAGGGTGGGGGAGTATATTCATTCTTTTAATTTCTTTCATCAATCTTATTAAACAGACATTATCAAAAAAATTTTTGATTAAAAAAATATTGTAAAAATTCCAGTGTGCTTTTATATTTTCTTTAAAATTGCTTTTAAAAATATTCTTCAAAATGATTTAAAATTAAGTCACAGGGACAAATGTAGGTAATTTTTAAAATAGCGTACATTAGATATATTCTCAATTAAGCTTTACACTACAAATAAATTTTTATCACTTTTTTTTTAATTTTTAAAAGTAATGTATTTATTTTCAATTTTTTCTTCTTCATTTATGTCTGGGTAAAAAGGATGAAAAGTTTTCTTAAAATTTGTCTGTCTGTGTTTGGAGTAGTTGTTGTCGCTGACACCCTTTTTCAGACAAAATAAAAGCCAAAAAAATAAGAGAAAATTAGGGGGAAGTGTCTGTGAAAGAGTATTTTTATTTTATTAATGGACATTACAATTTTAATAACATCATTCTTTTCTTTTATTAAAAAAGAATAAAAATATGAACGAGCAAAGTACGTTGCTGTATATATTATACGGAATCTGAGCGCGAATTGCGCATCCCCCTTCTCCCCAAAAACCTTCCAGACGGCCGGTCTGTTTGGAAAAAGGAATTGTTTGGAAGAAGAAGAGTCATTTGTCGCCTTTTTTCTCTCTGATTTTCCCTTATTTTTCCTCTCCAAAAAATATCACCACAAAACACCCTTCCATTAATTTATGCTATTTTCTGGCTTTTAAAAGCAGCCACTATTTGAGCAAAAATTGTCTTTTATTATTAATATATTAATTTTCTGTGTGGTCTTCCTTCTACATATTTTTAAAAATATGCTTTCTTTCCCCTTCCATTTTTATTTTTTCTAGATTTTAATTTTTACTAGTTGATTAATTTTAAAAAAAATTAAAAGGTAGTACTGACACGGCAAAGCACGTTATTACAGTAAAATTGCCATCTTTAAATAATACCTCAATTATACATAATTTTCCTAATTTTTAAGTTATTTAAATTCGAAATTATGTTAGTTAGAGTTTGGGTATTTTTTGTACTCTTTAGGTATATTCCTTGACACTAGTGATCGAGCTGTATCTGGACCAAGGCCTGGGGTTTCCCTGTACCATGAGTCCAGGCCCAGACATTTTTTGGCCTTCCTGGCTTTTTCCTGGACTACAGGCCCAGGATCCTTCCCAGATCAATAAATCAAACCCGGAACCCAGGAACAGGCCCAGGCTTTTCAAAAATCTCGATCACTACTTGACACCTTTTTTAAATCCTTTTAGATTTTTATTAAATACAATCAAAGCTTTATTAAAAATTTTTTAATTTTTTAGCTTTATTTAAAGTACTATACATAAAAACTACTAATTCTATACAAAAATTCTTGAATTAAAAATAGAAACATATATTTATATTTGGAATTGTTTCTTCTCTAATAATTCACATGGCCTTCTCGTGCAAATCAGCTGTTTGCAGAGATCGCCATTCAACTTTCGAGACTACTAAAAAACCTTCATTATCGGCAATTTTCGGCTCCTCCTCCAGTTTTTGCTTATTGGCTATTTTTATTCTTCCTTTTTTATTGTTTTCTTCCGAAAGTGCGTCAGCAGCGACAATTTCGCCGATAACAGGTGAAGAAACGGAAATGAGGCACCAACAACAAAATCACCAACGACGGCAACAAAATAATGATGATGAAGATGATGGTCGGGCTGTGGGGACTGGAAGAAAATGTGAGATCAAAGTCCATATTGTAAGTTTTAATTAAAAAAAGAGGATTTTTGGAAGAGGGAAGTAAGTAACACAAAAAGATACATAAAAATATTATCTTCAAAAGAAGATTAACCTTTTCTAGAAAGATTTCTTTACTTCCTTTCCTTAATCAGCTATCCTTTGAGAAGCTTGAGGAGGATAATTATTTTTTAAAAAGAAAGTTTTGAATTGGCAAAAATATGTAATAAATACGAAAACAAAAATATACTCTTAAATAACATTAAACAAAATTAAATGCCTTTACTTGGCATTAAAAATAAAAAGAATATTCAAAAACACTCTAAAATAAAGCTTGGAATTTAATAATAATATTTATTAAAAAACTATTTTCTTTTATTTTTAGGTAAAACACGTTAGAGGGGAATGTGTCCGTCTTTTTGGCGGGAAGCCAGCCTGTCAGTCAGAAGAATATGTAGATCCAGAAAGTGAACAATGTCGAAATGAAGAACCTATATTTCTTCGAAAATAAAAAAAATTTTCTTTTTAAAAAATTTTTTCTTTTTATTAAACACTTTATTTTATTATTTTTCCGCCCATTTTTCTTTCTTTATTTTTTCTTTGTTTTTACTGACCTCTATTCTCTATATATTTTTCTTTAAAAAATTCTTTCCTTTTTTCTTTTAACCTGCATAAACTTTTTTTTAAATTTTTTTGAAAAATTTGAGGTTTTGTTTAAAAACAAAAATTAATCTTTTTTAAATATTTGACCCTTAAAAACGTCATTAAGTCGTCATTTTTTACAAATGACTGCGTCAATGTTTTGGCAATAACAGGAAGAATTAAATAAATTTTAAAAAATAACAGATTCAATTTAATCCGAACATTTGGCTTTTTAAATAAATTTACGTTTTTTAAAGTTTCATAAAATTATTTTTTTAGATTTTGTTGTCATTTTTTAAAGTTTTATACATATTAAATTTCAATTAAATTTAATCAAATATTCAGAAAAAATTTCTAATTATTCTAAAAATAATTTTTTAAAATACCTATATTAAATTTTATAAAAATATTTACTAATCAAAAATAAATTACAAAAATATTTTTCCTTTTTGCTTTTCCTCTCTGAAAGTTATTTTTGATTTAAAGTTACTAAAAATTAAATTAAATTTACCTTTTTGTAAGTAAAATTTTTTGAGTTTTTCGCACTGAATTTTGTTGGAGTTGGGATGTGACTTAATCAAATAATTTGGCAATCTTAATTGAAATTTGTCGTTTATTTAAAGAAATTAAGAATATAAAATAATATAGGTTACTTCATATGTAACACATCCCAACAACAATTTCAACATTCAATCCCGAATAATTCTCCACTTTCCCCATAAAAAACATATTATGGATAAAGCATAATTCAACAATAAATATTAAAAATAACACCAAAAATTAATTAAACAATTACTAACCCTTTTATTTTTTAATTTTTTAAAAATACTCAAAAATCTTTTTTTGAACTTTCTTTCCTTTTAAATATATCCTTCTAATCTGTGAAAGTGTTTACAAGTATGTTTATATGTTAAAAAGATTAAATATATCCTCAAATCTAATGTTTTCTTCTTAATATTTTTGTTTATTTTGTACTTAAAATAATTAAAAAAAAATATTTTTGTAACATTTTCCCATATATTAATTCGAAAAATTGTTTTTATTTACTGTTATCAGTTTAAGTGAAAAACGTCAAAAAAATTTTACTTTCAATTTAGTCTAATAAGAGTGCAAAGTAACAACAAAAATATTTGAGATTACTGTAAATATTTAATTCACTAATTTACTTAGTAAATACAGTATCCTTTTTATTTTAATTTAATTTAAAATTCTTTACAAATCTGCCTAATTTAATCTGATATTTTTAATTTTGCAAATCTGTATTGACCAAAAAAAGTTGAGAATGGAGACCGGACTGGGAGTGTCTAAGAGAAGCTCGAAAAATCTCTTATCTCGATAACTGAGATTTTGATGATCTCGTCTCGATCTGTTCTTTAGTTCAGAATTCCCATTTCCGATTTTTTGAACCAATTTTTGATATTTATTTCTTTGTAAAATTATCCATAAATTTGTCCCTTCTTAAATTTTTCCATAAATTTGACCTTTTTTAAATTTTGATTCAAAATAAATTATTTAAGTCTTCGTTCTCAACATTATTGTGGTGGTTGATATTATTCTCCTCTTTTAGTCCTATAAATCTGCTTATTATCATCTCTACTTATTTAATGTTAAAAATTTTTATATTTCATAAATCCTTTCTTAAAAGCCAAAAGTTTATTCATAAATTTACTAACTTTATTTATTTTTTGTCAGGAGACTGTTAATATCTTGATATTCTAAATAAAAAAGGATTTATTCGTTAATTGCAGTACACTAATTCACCCCTAATTTTATTTTATTTTTAAAATATATCTTTTTAATAATTGCTTAAAAAGGGCTTATTAATCCTTTAAAAAATAAAAATGAATAACAATTTTATTTTGAAAACTTAATGAAGGTCTAAAGTATTTAATAAGCTTATAATCGAAAATAAAAATAGAGAAATCTGTAAAAAATTATTTTAAAAAAATTTTATTTTTAATTTTTTCTGTTTTAATTGCAGATGATTATAGTCTAATTTTTCTGAGAAATAAAAGAAAAATTTGGGGGGATAAAGTAGAAATGTTTTTTTTTATTTTGTTTAGATACAATAACGAAGACATTAAATAAATATTAGATACCAGATTGAGACGAAATCTCGAACATAAATCTTGATTATCGAGATTGAGACTTCAAGTCTGGTCTCTAATTAAAATCAAATTATTTTCAAATTCTCTACTAAATTCTAAAATTATTTTCTTTTTAATAATTTTTTGTTTTTACCATTCCAATTTGTTACTTCTTTTTTAAATTATTCTTGGAACAAACACTATAAATTTATTTTTAAATAATTACCACAATTATTTTAAAAATAATTATTTAACATTTATTTATTTATTTATTTACTTGGAATTGTTTAGTATAATATTTTTAATTTAAATACCAAATAAATAATTTTTAAAAAGTACTTTAATTTAATAGTACATTTTAAAAAGAATTTTTTGTCACATCATTTTCACCCCTTTATTTTTACTCAATTTGAACCAAATATTTTTTTCTTCATTTACTCAATTTGTTTTTTTTTCACTCCAAATCCTTTTAAAGGATTACCAGACAGCTTTTTATTTCTGTTGCCACATTTATTCTTTTTTTGTGTGGTTGTTTTTATGTTTGTGACCTTTTCTCAAAAATTCTTTTTTTGTCCTTTTTTGGCATTTAAAGTAAATACATCCATTAGTCACTCAATCTTTTTTTAATAAAAAAGGTGTTAATTAATTAAAAGAAAAGAAAATATTTTTTCTGAATTTTTAACAAAATTTAGAAAAAATAAAGAAAATCTTTAGAATTTAATCAAATTTTTGGCGTAGTTTGACTGATCTCTGAATAAAAAATTTTTTGTTTGACAGAATAATTAATTGTCAAATTGTTGGAATCAAAAGAAAATATTAAAACAAAAATACTTGAACAATACAAACAAAAAAATTAATTTTAATAATTAATCAAACACCAAATTTATTTATTTAAAATTTTGCAAAAATTAAAAATTACAAAAATAATTTTGATTTTTAATTTTTGATATTTTTTAAATAAAATTTATATATCTATAGTTTGTTTCAACCACAGTTTCTGACATTTAAATATTTTTATTTATTTTTTATGTCAAACCAAAAATTATTTTTTTAAATACCTATAAAAGAATATTTTTGTATTTATTTTTTGGCACTTCCTTTATTTATACCGGGAATTTATTAAATATCAAAACACACATTTTTTATTTTTATTTTTGTAATTGCATGTTATTTATTTAATGAATAATTATTTTGGACTGAAAAAAATTTAAAAGAAAAAGTATATGGTAAAAAACTAATAATTATTTTTGACTAATTTTTTTTAAACAAAGATTGGACTTTTGGCATTTTATTAAAACAAAAGAAAATTATTTTAGAAAAATTTTTAGAAAAAATAATTAAATAAAAGAGTAATGGAAAATATCTTTGATAAGTCAATCAGTAGAGTACTTTCAATTTTAAATTTTATTTAAAAATTATTTTGATATTTTTGGAGTTCTATTAAGAAAATACAAATTTAGGGCAAAAAACTTAGTAAAAAGTTTTTTTTGGAATTTTAATATGAGTTTCAAATCTTGAAGTTTTGTGTATTTACAATAGGGATTTGAATGTAGGTTGAAGTTAATTGTGGGGAAGAATTAAAACAGTCAATTAAAATACAATGGGGAAAAATGAAATAGTAAATGTTTATTTAATTCATTTGACAGAAATATAAAACAAATTAACTAATTAACTCTACTTTTTAATTATTTTTTGATTATATTAAAACAACATCAAAATAATAAATCTCTAAATAGTTTTATGTTTATTGGACATTTATGTAGATTATTTCAACCCTAATTATTTTTGTTTAATCATTTAATATAATAATTTAAAATTATTTTGTTATAAAAATAAGAAAAATAAATACAAAATAAAAATAAATTTATAGGAAATATATTCACTTTTATTTTTTGTAAATTCATAGAGCCCGGACCGATACGATATTTTTTCGATATTTTTCTATATTCGGTTTCGATATTTTTCGAAGAAATAGGGCTCTAATAGGTATGTATATTTTTTTTAATTTTTTACATTACGGATAGACCTTTATTTTAAATGCTCCCTTAAAAATTAAAAATCTTATTCAAAAATGAAAGATATATTAAATTGGAAATATCGCTTTGGCAGCCCCAACCACCCGCTAGTAAGTCAACTTTTAAAAAATGTATTCAAAATAAATTTTAAATAAAAATATTTATTTTCCTTCAAAATTTAATATATTTAAAATAATATTTGTACAAAAAATGTCAAAAATAGAAATAAAATAAAAAAATATTTTTGAGTGTTTTTAGCCATAAAAACATAAATTAAAACACAAAAACTTTTTAAATCTTTTAAATGTTTTTGTACTTTCTTTAAATATAAAATTGCTTTTAATAAATTTTTAAAAATATTTAATGGATATTTATTTATTTTTGTAGAGGATTTTCTTTTAAAAATATTTTTAAATTTTGTTTTTAATCTAAAAATAGAAAAAATTAATTTTTAATTAAAAAGATATTTTCCAAAAATTTCTAAAAAACAATCATTTTTGGGTTAATTTTTTAAATTTGATTTCTGTATTTTAATTATTTTTAAGACATTAATAATCAAAAAAAAATAAATTTCATGCTTAATTTAATTTTTTACAAAAAATTTATACCTTTTATATTTAATAATTTTCTAGTTTTTATTAAAAACACCAATTTTGGTTTAATTTATTTTTACTTAAATACTTGTTTTTTCTTGGTACAAAAATAATTTGTCTCGTAAAATATAAACTTTTTTAAATAAATTAAGAAATTTATTAAATTTAACAAAATTTATCAATTTTGTCTCGATCCTTAAAATTGTTTTAATTTTAAATAATTTTTTGTATTTTTTTATTTTTGTATTTTTTGTTGAAAAAATAATTTAAAATTTATTTTATTTTTTAATTAAAAATGGTTAAAATATTTTTATTTATTTTCATTACTCTTCTATGTGTATAATCTAACTTTACTTTAAAATTAAATTTAAATTATTTAATTACCTTATTTTATTTTTTATTTATTTATCTCCTTTAATATTTAAAAAAATTTTATTAATTTAAAAATTAAAACACTAAAAATCGTTAGAAAACACATTTTAAATTTAAAAAGTAAATTTCTTGGTAGAACTTTATTCTTAGAGATATATGTAATTTTACAAAATTTTTTGCATGCCGGAAACTTAAGTTCACGTTCAGATGAACGCTAAAATTGGGGGAAAATTAATCTTTAATTAAATAAAAATTTAAATACAACATTTCCTATTTATTTTTTAAATTTCAAAACATCAAGACCATTTATCTGTTTAACAAAAGTTTTCGTTTAAAGACATAAATTCTCGTTATTTAATTAAAATATTTTATAAAAAAATATTTTTATTTATTTTTTTTAAATATAAAATCTCTCTATTTTTAGCTATTTTCCCCTCATAATATTAATTTTGCTAATTTTATTTCTAAAAAATTGTCTATAGCGTGTGGAAATGCTAAAATAACTTAAAAACTTTTTTGTCCAACTTTTATTTTTCCTATTTTGAGCTTAAAAATTTATTTTTTTCTTTTTTTAGAATCATTTTTGTGTGTATTTATGAGAATAATTTTTATTAAAAATTTATCTTTTAAAATTTATTTTCATTCATTTTAGTCCACCAACACACAGTCTGTAATTAACTTATTGTCAAGTTTGTACTAAAAAAATTTCAAAATATAAATTTAGACTTTTCCACGAAGTTCAATTTAATTAACTAAAAATAATGACGTTTTTTCTTTAAAAATTTTTAAAATATCCGCCCGCCCATTCCCCAAATTCTCTCAATTTTAATTTTGTTTATAATAATTTCCGGTATATTAACACCAATTTATTATTTTTAGGTGAAGGCGGAGGCAATTGAGAGCAAAAAAAAAAAGAAAAGAAAAATCTAGACGGCTGGCGAGACGGCGGAATATAAAATAAAAAATAAAATATATTTATTGGGCGGTCCCTCCCCTTTCCGCTACTCACTTTTAAAAGAAAAGTTAACATTGCGCAACTACTTAAAAAATCTTTTTTTTATTAGTCTCATTCATTTAATTTATTTTTCCACCAAAAATAATATTTAATTTTTTAAAAGAAGGATTGGCAATAAATAAATAATATTTTATTTTGAATAATATTTATTTATATTTGCTTTCAAATTAATTAATATAAATAAAAACGTACGTATGTCAACCTATCCCTTTTCTAATATTTTTAATAAAAAAATTATATTTACCACACCTTATATAAAAATATTTTTGGAATATTATGCGTATTTATGCAAAAATGATTATTATTATATTTATTTTTTTATGTCATACATATATTTTTAATAAACTAATTTAAAAAATTAAATTACTCTCAACAATAATGTTGTCGGTGCTTGGAAAATTTTCGGTCGGAACTGAACCAAAAAAATTTTGGGTTCTTTTGTTCGGTTCCAAATTTACAATCCTACTCAAAAATACTTTCTTTCCCCAAATATTTGAAAAATCCCCAGATATTCGGAAGTAAACCAAAAACTATAACCGAAAGATCCTCGATCTACTCAAAACAACCAAATTTTTGTCCTCTTAAAGATTTTTAAAAATATTTTTATTTTTTAAATTATTTTTTTAACAAAAGTATTTAATTGGCTATAATTTTTAAGCACAAACTAAAAAATAAAAAAAAATTATTTTTTGTCTGTGACTTAATAAATTAAATTTTAGACTATCCCCCTTTTTTCTTCCCCCAAATTGGTAACACACGTAGTATCTAAACAACAAACTATATTGTAAAATATATTCTTTTATTTAAGCCAAAAAAACATTCTTAATGAAACATTAAATACATTTTACTGTCTCATGTCTCCTTTTGTCAAAATAAAAATTAAAATTTGAGAAACAAAAAAATTTTTTAAACCAAAGAACAAAAAATACAATAGACACGTTTTTAATTGTTTAAATATTTAAATAATTTTTATTTTTAATTTTTTTCACACAAAATAAACATTTATTAAAAAATTTAAATGTGAGAATTTTGATTATTTTATTTTTTAAAGAAAAGAATTTTGAATAGAAAATTTATTTTATAAAATTAAATATAGTTTTGTGGGAGTATTTTCTCATCATTGAAAAAAAAATATTAATTAAAATGACGTTAAATAATTAAAAAAAATTTTTTTGAAATGATTTTTTAAATTTATATAAATTTAACATTTAAATATTTTATTTAATACACCCTAAAGAATGTTGTTTTTAAAATTAATGTTTAAATAGTATTGTTTATAAATTTGTTCCCAAAAACATTCCTAAAATAACTCCCAAAACAGTTATTTTATCCCCAAACAAACATCCCCCAAAAATATTTCCAAACAAAACATTTAATTTAATCTTTTTTAGAATTAAAAACATTTTAAAACATTCCCGAACATTTCCAAAACAATTCCAAAACATTTCAAAAACAATGAACACAACAATTAATTTCTCTATTATTTTGTTTGTTTTCCTCGCATTAATTATTATCAGTCAACAAACACAAATTCAACAAGAAGAACAACGGAGGGAACAATTAACAGTTAATGAAGATATTAACAATTTTGCAGCTAAATTAAATAAGAAAAAACGTTTTCTGTCAACAACAGAACGACTAACAGGGAAATCAGCATTTTTAAACCGTCGATTGCACAAAAGGGAAGCAGATCCTATGGAAGAGCAAAGCTGTGTTGTTAGAGTGCAAAAGGTGTGTTTAAAGTTAAAAATGAGGGTAAAAAACAATTGGAAATATTTTTAAATGTAATTCCTACAGAAGAAAAGAATTTTCCATTAAAGCTCCAATTATCAAATTAACAAAAAATTTAAGTGGGCCACGTCCAATTTTTTGATAAAGGTTTTGATTAACATTCCCTTTCTTCAATCCTCTTTACATTATCTCATTATCTTTACCAAAAAATTTCAGGTCGAAACAACCGTAGGCAAATGTGTCATGTTAAGGGGTGGCATTCGTGGTTGTCAAACAGATTTACATTTAGACCCGGAAAGTGCTGATTGTATGATAGACTGAGGCAATAGAAAAGATGACAATCTTTTTACACCAATTCTGATATTTAGTAGATACTAATTATGTGCAAAAACCCCTTCAAAAAATTACAAGGCCATTTAAAGATTATTTTTAAGTTTTGATCTCCAATTTTTTTTAATTTTTCTTTCTATTTCCCATTTTGTATTTTCTTTTCTGTATTTTTTCTTCAACTTTTTAATTATTTCATTTATTAATTTAAAAAAACATATCAACACACCTACAAATATTTTTAATATAATAGTGTTGATTTTTCTTTAAAAAAAGTTTTATTTTAAATTTAGCACAAATTTATATGTACATACATTTTTGAAAAAAAAGAAAATTTAAAATTTAATAATTCTAATAAATCTTTTTCGAAGTACTTCCTTTTTTTAAAATTAATTTCGACACGAATTAATAAAAATTCTAAGTTTGTAAAGAAAAAAAATGAATTTTTACAATTTTAAGAATTAAAAAAAGGATCTTAGAACTTTTTTTAAATAATTTTTCTTTTAATTTTATACCTAATATTTACATATTGCTTTTCATAATTAATATTTTATACGCCAGTATATTTATATCAATATTTCTGTTGTTTTCAATAAAATTTTTTCAACATTTTAGAAATATTATTTAATTATTAATTTTAAACATTTCCTTTTTTAAATTTTATTATAGTCAATTTTGGTTTTTTTTTAATTTTTTGAGACAATTAAATTAAAAAACCAAAAAAATATTTAATTCCTTTTATTAAAAAAATTTATTTATTTTTCAATTATTGGCATATTTCCGGACAAAAAAACATTCTAAAAATAGATTAACAGGAAATGATGAAAGAAACTTAACTATGTATAGTTGATTAAATATGTAACAAATTTAATTTTGCGTAGTTGTTTTTATAGACAAGGTGCATTTAAAGTAAATGTATACTTTGTTTTTAAAACGTCATAAAAGGCACAAATAAAAATTTCAATTGGGAAAAGAAAAGAAACAAGAAGAAAATTGGGCGAATCAAAAAAAAAGAAGAATCTGGATTGTAAAAGACCCTTTATGAATGGACGTTTCCTAAAAAATCGAAAAATATCTCAGAGTGATTAGAATGATACAAACATTAACTTGTATCTTTATGTAACAGAAGGTTATTAAAATCTTCAAAAGTATAAAACTGTCCTTTCATAAAGGGCCCAAATTAATAATAAATGCAAGTATTTTACACGTCTTTAGTAAGTACAATGTAGCTGATTAGAAAAAATTTTTATTAATAAATCGGAAAGAAATTTGATCCCCCTGCTTGAAGTCTAAGTGCATTAACAAATATTTTTATCGATCCACATAGATCAGCTGAAACGATCACGTCACCTAGTGTGCGTTTCTCACTGAAATTTATTTTATATTTAAAAAGGAAATTTAAAAGTAAATAAGAGTATCATTCTTTCGTGTTTTAGAAGCAAAATTGAGCAATAATAAAATCCAAAACATTAAATAACCTTCCCAAACAAAAAAATACCCACCGTGGATCATTCACAATCTCACCATGCAATAATGAAGCACTTCCAGGAATACTAAGCAATGAAGACGAGGAATACCCTAGAGAAGCAGCAACTGACATTTTATGTCGTCGTAGGTGCATTTCCGACAAATTAGCTGCAGGTAATCCAAGTCGACTCGTTAAAGCAAGGAAAGGTCTATCAACACTTGCAGCTATATGTTGCCTGTAAAAATAAAAATCTTTTACTTATTGTGTCTCTGAACTCAGTACCTTTGATTATTAATGTTGTTGTTATCAATTCCTTGGGTATTTCTACGAGTGGATTGTGGAGTAACAGCTGATTCAGTTGCATTGAATGAAACATTATTGGTCTGCTTTTTCTGTTGTTCAATTATCCAATTAAGGATAAGTTGAGGTTTAGGGGCAAATACGGCAGTGGTAACCTTTAAATTTTTTCTTTTGAAAATCTCTTTTAATATATGAAGTCCCTCATTAAACTTACAACTGCTTGATGTGCACGAACTCTTTCCCATGCATGGTTCCTATCATTTCTAACAGTTAAAGAAGGCGGGGGTCCAGAAGTTCGCCAAAGATAAATAAAATTGTCTTCAGAACCTAAAAAATTTATTTAAATTATTTTTCATATCAAAAGAAAAAAACTCACCGCTAACAATATATTTTCCGTCGGGCGAAAAAGCGGAACGAATACGACTTTGATCTATTTGAGCACCTTTAAATTTGCAACATAAATCCATATCTCGTAAATCATAAATGCGAATTCGAGAATCATTTGACTAAAAAATTTTTTTAATTAATTAAATGACAAATTTTTCATAAAAATATATAATTTGGTTTGCCATAATGTAATTTATGTACCGAATACGGTTAAAAAGAGAATTCCGAGAAAAGACATAAGATTATTAAACATTAAATGATATCACAATTTTATTAAATTTCTGGGAAAAAAATGCGAGTAATTCTACAAAAATAAAAAAATATTTTAATTTCATTTTTAAATAATTAGAAAGCAGATAAATGCAATAAAATCTCTCCGTGCCATTTTATTCCTGATTAAATTAAATTCTCCTCTGATTTAAATTTTTATAATTTAATTAATGCATCAAACTCACAGTAACGAGTAATTTATCACCATGAACTGCCAACGAAGTAATTTTGTAACTTCGGCCACGAGCATTTCCTTTCGACGATCGCACATCAATAACTGTATGATATTTTAATTGCTAAAAAATTATTAAAATAATTTAAAAAATATTAGGTTAAAAAATATTTAATTTTAAAAAAGATTAATATTTACATCTGTAGAGTAGAAAAAACATCGCCCAGAATAAGTTCCAACAACAACAAATTTTCCATTTTTGACAAAAGTTATTGCCGTTATAAATTTTTTGACCTTAAAATTAATTTTAAATTAATATAAAAATTAATCAAATATTCACTTCTTCGACTTCATTCCAAATTATCACTCTTTTTTCTGGTATATTCCATAGGCGAATTTTTCCGTCCAAAGAACCAGAAATAAAATAACGATCATCCTAATTAAAATTAAAAAAATAATTAAATTTAAAAATACTTTTGGCATAAAAGCAATACAAGAAACAAAATCGACATGTTGAAAAGAACAAAGACATTCATTACGAGTTAAATGCCAAAGCTTTACTGAAATATTTTTAATTAAAAATTAATTTAAAAATTTATTTTACCAGTTCTATCCATTCCACATGAAAGAATAAAAAAATTACGAGGAGACCAACAAAGATCGAGAACATCAGCGGTATGGCCACGAAAAACACAAAAGGGGATTGAAGAGAAAATATGATAGGATGATGAATTGGTCCTGGTTGCTAAAATTGGAAAAATTATTTGAAAGGTTAGCACTCATTAGAAACTTTTAGCAAAATTAAAAAATCCCCCAAAGACAATTAGAACTGTTAACCTCCAAATTTGTTAATGGCTAAATTCCCCAGGCAAAAAGAATCTTTTCAAATATTCAATAATCTTATGAATTACAAAAGTTTCAAAAAAGCCCAAAACAACGAAAAACAAATCAAATTTTAAAAAACTAGTTACTAACCTTTTTTAGGTCCTTCAACAGTTCCACCATTTAATAATTCAATTCGGCGCGCAGAAGAAGTGGTCGAGGAATCAGAGGACGTAGAAGGCACAGCCGAATATCCAGTTGATTTATCAGTGCTACCAGTTGGTAACCCTCCCAGTTTTTTCAATTCTTCGGGAGAGCTTGCATTTGTTTGTCTTTCACTCATATCTTCCCCATTTTCATAAAATTCGGATCTCATATTTCCAATGTGTTGCATTGCAGAATAATCTAAATTATCAGCAACTTCATGGCCATAACGCTCACGAAGAGAAGAAAAATAATCTAATTGTGAGCGGAGAACCCTGAAAACAAAAAACAATTAAACCGAAGAAAATAAAACAAACCAGACTCTAACGTTTCTATCTTGACCAGCCGTTGCTAATAATCGACCACAATCGCTAAAAATTTAATTAGTGAAAAGATAATGATTCTGCGTTTTTTAATTAAAGTGAATATGTATGCGAATAATTTTTAGAATATTGTCAGTTTTCATCAAGAAAATTTAGAATCATATATCGATAAATCCGGGCAATAAAGCTAGTGACGAATTCTATTTTTTAATGATTGAAAAATAAATTTGAACAAACCTAAATTTAATACACCAAATAGCCCCAAGATGTTCATGGTTCAGTTCTTGTACTAAACGTAATTGCTCCTAACAAAAAAATAAAATGAAAATTTAAATAATATCAAGTACTTACAAAATCAAAAGGACCCTTTTTAGCATTTTTAGGCCGACATATTGGCGCCTGAGCAGTATTTGCAGAAGCAGCACGAGAAGTAGGAGGTTCAGCAGAATTAGTTAACCGAATTTTTCTAAAAAATTGAGTAGAGCCAGGGACTGTCACAGGGTCTGAAATACATTGTCCAATAGATATTTCTTCACTATCGCCAGGCTTAAAATTAAAAAAAATGAAAAATAATAAAAAAGACAAACTGAAGAAACTCCATCCATGTCATTTTCACCGCCAACAATTTCTGGTTTTTTGTTTTTCCTTTAAAAAGGAAAGATAAATTTAATTAGAAATTAGAGAAAAATCAAGAGAAATTGTTAAAATAAAAAGTTAAAATGAAGCATTTAAGCTGGATATTTTTAGTGTTGGTAAAAGTGATAGCCCCTTCCAAAAAAATATTTTAAAATTAACATAAATAAAATTTACGTTAAATTAGCAGCTTGTTGCCTAACTTTCTGTACTGTATTACGAAAATAATCAGACGCAGCCGTTCCATAATTACGAGCAAATCTTCTGATATATTCAACATTTGAGTGTTTTTGTGCAAAAACATCATCTGTAGAAGAACCATCATTTCCCTCAATTCTAAAAAAATATTTATTTAAAATTAAAAATCAAAAACATACTCATTTTTACTATTAGAAAGTGAAGGTTTATCTTTCAAAGACATTCTTCGTTCAACATCTCTAGTTATCGGATCGATTGATTCTGATTTTTGTGAATCCATTGATCTTCCCCAAGTTGAAGATTTCTGACTGTTTGAAGTAGAGGTTTTGACCTAATATTTAACAAATGTATGGAAAAAAGGAAAAAAAAATGAAAGAAATTGGCCAAGAGTCGAAAATTTTTTTATTAAAATTAAAATAAAAACCCTTGTTGGCGATTTATCAGAAGCACTTCTTCTATGTTGTTTTTCATCTATTCGTTTTTTACTATTTCCAGTTAAAGTATGCCTTTGTTCGACATTATCGCTTAAAAACTTTTTCGGCCTAATAGAATCTGTTGATTGATCTGTATTCACATTTTCATAATGTGGAAAGCTGGTTTTCTTAAAATAATAAAAATAATTTTTAGTTATTTTTAGAAATTAAATAAGCACGTTTAGAAATACCAGATAAAATTTAAAAAAATATTTATTACCTTTTGACAATTTGGAGTTTTTTCACCTTCAATTTCATCACATTTACTTCTTTGCAAAGAGAACGACGAACTTTTAGCACTTATTGTAGGTAATACACTTGTAGAAGTTGATGCCCCATCATCCACCTTTTAAAAAGATTTAAATATTCTTTCAAAATTAAAAGAAACCTCTCTTTCCTTGCTATTTCCATCAACAGAAAAATTATCTCGAAGTACTTGTTGAATAACTCCCAAAATCACTCCTTGTGCTTGAGTATCCTTTTCATCCAAAACCGGAAGTATTTCACTAGGAGAAACACCACGCGTCAAAGAATTTGATTTTGAAGAAGTTGGAGGTGGGAATGGACCTTTTTAAATTAAAAAAATAAAAAAAATGAAAAAAGGGAAAGATTAAACCTATTTTCATACACTTTGCAAGAGAAAGACCTCGATCCAATGAATTTGTTTTGGCATGTCCTCGTTGCCGACCATAAAATTGCTGGTCTGGACTTGTTGTTGCAGTTGTTTCCGAGGAAGAAGTGACAGCATTCGTTATTTGTTGTTCTGAATTTTTTGGCAAAGGCCTTCTTGGTGGTAATGGAGGCGGAATTGGTGATGTTGGTGAAATTGGTAATGAAGGAGAAAGCTCACATTCTGGTGAAGTTAAATGATCAGGCAAAGGCGGTGGAGGGCCTAATGGAGGCGGTATAGAATTTTGGAAGGAACTTTGAGAGAAAAATTCGTCACAATATGAGGAATTGGCCAAAGTATCAACAGCATCCTCAAAAAAGTCCTCGCTATCACTCTTATTTGACATTAGAAATACCTGAAACTTAATCAAGAAAATAAAAAAAAATTGTGAAATTTAAGGAAAAATTAAAAATAAAATTTTAGTGAAGAGCAAAAATACAAAACGCCAAAGGAATTACTAAAATTCCAGCTGTTTTTTAATTAAGCTAAATAATTTCTCCAACTCATCCTTGTCAGCAATAATTGATAAAATTAAAATTTAGAAATTCTAAAAATTAAATAGATTCCAAAAAATAATCTAATTAAAATCAGAAACTAACAAAAGAAGCCCTTTAATCAATTTTTACTTAATAAACTATAATATTTATTTATGCTTCTCGAAGTCTGCGTTGATAGCCTTGAGGGTCTAATAGAAGCTATTAATGGAGGTGCCGATCGAATTGAATTATGCTCTGCTTTGGATGTTGGTGCAGTAACACCTAGTCCTGGCAAGAAATAATTTAAAATTAATTCAAAAAATTTTTTTATTTTTGGTTTAATCGCCAAAGCATCAGAATTTTGTAAATCAATTCCTATTTATGCTATGATTAGGCCTAGATCTGGTAATTTCATTTATTCTAATTACGAAATTGAAACAATGGAAGTGGATATTGATGCTATCCGGGCATCCGGATTAAATGGTGTTGTCTTTGGTGCTAATTTGGATAATTTAAAATTAGATGAAAGAGTGCTTGAAAGGTTAACTAAAAGAGCACAGGTGAGGATGTGATGATTAATTCTCTTAGAAATTTAAGGGAGAAAAGTATGTGATGACGAATTAATTAAATACATATGTACATACGAATAAAATAATTAAGGTTCCATCTTGTGGAATGATCTCATTATAAAGGAAAATTAAATTTTTGCTTCATGATTTTTGTGGTGTAGTGGTATCGTTTTTGCCTACACCTTTTTCTCGTTAAGGTTCGAATCCCTTCCGATCAAAACATTTTCTTTTATCTATTTTATCATTTTATATTGTTTTTTGATAAGAAATTCTCCTTTTTTACTAATTTTAATATGTACATTTAAAAATTATTACTGAAAATTAACCTTAAAAAATTCCAATAATAGTGAAAGAAATTGTATGTATAAAGTTGATTTTCTCAAATATGTATTTTACTTTTTAAAGTACATATTTATTGTATTTTAAGTACTTCATTATCGTTTTTCAGGGAATGGGAAAAACACTTCATCGTTGTTTTGATTTAATTCCCGATATAAACGAAGGAATTGAAACAGCCATAACTTTGGGGTTTGAGAGAATATTAACTTCAGGTTTAGACCTAATCAAAAACTTTAAAATTTTTCCAAGGTTTTGCCAAACGTGCCATTCCTGATGGAATTCCTAATTTACAAAAGGCAGTAGAAATATCATCAGGAAGAATTTCAATAATGCCTGGATCTGGAATAAATTCTGGAAACATTTCTGAATTATTAAAAATTAAAGGAATAATTGAAGTACACTCTTCTTGCTCGAAAATTAACAAAACGAATGATGAAAATAATTTAAAAAGATTAATAGACTTTGGATTTTCGAACGGAGTACCAAGTAGAATAACTTGTGCAAATGAAGTGAGACAATTAAAGGACAACCTCAAAAGAAATTAAAAGAACACGATAATATAAGAAAATTTATTTATTAAATCTTTAAAAAATAAATGTTCTTTCACAATGTAATTTGTTCTTTCACAACTCAGCAAAAATTACAACGTGCCGGACATTGTGCAAGCATTCGTGTTCGATCTGTTAGGCAAAAACCCCTTGCAACCATTGAACCACAATCCATTCTTCCCGCTGGGAAAATCCAATCTCTACAACCTAAAATTAAGAAAAAAAACTTTCACTTTAAAAATTCTTTTCACCCCTTCCTCCACCCAAACGTCTATCTCCAATTCGTGAAGATCTTGGCTGCCACAATCCTCCTGGCTGACGTGCTGGCTGTCGCCCAATTCCCATAAAAGGAATATTGCCAACACGAGTACCTCCTAGTTGCCTACACAATTCAGTACAAGTTCCCAAACATTGTTGTGCCATAACGCTAATCCAAAGCGGATCAGAACATCTATGGGCGTTTGCTGGACAATCAGAAGGACGTCCTGGCACAGCCAAATCTCGACAAATGGGACGTCCTTGCCCTCCTGGCTGAAGACCCCCCATATTTTGTTTACGTTGACTTCTAGATCTTTGTCCAGGCAAAAGAACTTCCATATTTACGGCAGTTGGATATTGTTGACGGATATCCTGAGCACAACAAATGGGCAAACTCATTCGATTGTCCCATTTATCGAAGCCTTTTGGATAGTTAGCAGGACAATGATGTTCAGTAAATCCTCCTCCTCGTATAATTTCAGGAACTTTTAAATAAATTTTTGAAATAATTTTTTGAAAATAAATTAAATGTATTCAGAATATTTAATTATTATTTGTTATAAAATTAAATTTAATGAATTTGTCAAAAAAATCCTTTAATATATTTATTACCTCGACAACCTGGAGGCAATGTTTTAGGCGGTTCATCTGGATATATATGTACATTAGGAACATTACCAACTAAACTAATATCAGATGTGCAACAATAATTATTTGATTTGTAAAGCTCAAGTGGTGGAACACAATCTTGAGCACCAGTTCTTCTATCCGATAATGCATCTATGGTATTTTTAAATTTAGCAATTAGATATTTAGAAAGGTGAAAATTTTTTAATTCCCTTAATCCTGCCTCGGGGGATAAACTTAACACCTCAGAAGATTAATTATAATACAGTCGATCTGAATTATGCTTACATTCTTAGGATTAAGAATTGCACCTTAAATCATTTACATGCAGCTTTACCCTCGTAGTGATCAACCAAGCATTAAAAAAGTTTTATATTGTAAGTATACTTAAAAAATACTTAAAAACTGTATTTACATAAAAAAAACAAGACTCCTATACTTTGAATGTATACTTAAAGACCGTAAACCAGATTTTTAGGTCTATCGAGATTTCTGGTTAATTTATGAAAAAAAGTTCGCTGGCCGCTTTCCGCAAAAGTCGTTAGTAATACTTTGATTATGATAAAAGAAAGTCGTCAACTGATCATTTGATAATATGAGGGAAATAGAGGCAAGGAGCAGAATGCATCTTAGATATCCCTATGGCTCCAGAAAGGGCTAAATAAGAGGCTATTGTGAACTGCCTTATGGAGATAGGCGATTAATGAGCTGGACATTTACCGGGAGGTTGTTGTAAAAAATTACTTACCAATACAATAAAATGTAACAGAAAAAACTAAGCGATTCAAAATAATATTAAATATTAACAAAAATAAATAAAAATTTTCTCCATAAATTTTAAAAATCATTTTAAAACAAAAATAACAATGAATTTTAAATTAAAAATAAATTCACTAGCAAAATTTAAAAGCAGATGTTTGTTATTACTCATTTTTAAATAAAAAACCTTCAAATTAATTTTTAAAGTGGATAAATCCAAATGACAAAACCAGACAAATAAAAAAACAAAGAAATTAAACTGCAGTTTTAATCAACTTTAAAATCCAAAATTTCAAAATTTTTATTTATTTACATAGCTTTCAAAAACAAAAATAACGAGAAGCGAGAAATTAATTTTTATCCAGGTAAGGGTATTAATTTTTTATTTTAATAAGTTTAACAGATTAATTAATTTGAGTAAGTCTGAGTCGAGCGAGTTCGAGTTACTCGACTCAACCGCTCGGGTTTTTTGTGTAATTACTCGACTCGAAACTCGGGATCATAATAATCGGATTACTCGAGCTCGGAAACTTCCTACTCGACAGACTCGGTTAAAACCGAGTATTTTTATGCCCCTATATGCTTATATCTCATCTAAGTCTTCTATACTTTTAAAAGATTCAATTCAACAAATTCCAAGAACAACAAATTTACTACCAAAATTCACCTTGTGAATACAGCGAAACAATAAAATGAAATTTGGTTATGAGAAAAAATACAATAAATATTACTTAAGACAAATATTATATATTATGTACAATATAGGGTGAACAAAACAAAATATAGGTATATTTATATATTTTGTACAAACAAGTATAGAATTTTTTAATTTACTATCAATTCTGGTTTGGACTGTGGATGAATCTTGTCTGTCTAATTCTTATCATCCGACTGCCGCAATCCATCATCAGTCATCACGTTCGGTGTCTAAAAAAGAGAAAATTCATTTTTATTTAAGCGGTGATTGGTTTCAAAAAACTCACTAAGTTTCGGCCAGCCACGGGTGAGCAAGAATGCGGCGGGAAGTCAAACGCCTTTTAGGGTCAGGATGCAGCATACCAAGGATCAGACTACGAACTTCAGCGCTAAGACGGTGAGAGAAGTGAATTGACTGGGCTTTTTGACGTTTGATAATGGCCGGGACTTCATCTTTGCTACTGCCAAACGGAAAGAAACCTTTAAATTAAAAAATAAAATTAAAAATAGAATTTAGTACCCTCACTTGTAAGGATAACATAGAGAACAACGCCTGCACTCCAAATGTCTACCCCATTGCCTCTGTAGGTCCGACCGCTCAGTAATTCAATCGCTGCATATGGTCGAGAGCCGCAGTGGGTATTTGAATCTACCCCTGGCCGAAGTTCACGAGCAAAGCCAAAATCGCCAAGTTTGACACGCAAATTGCTGTCCAGAAAGACGTTCTCGCATTTGATGTCCCTGTGTACAATGTGTTGTCGCTCAAGATAGACTATTGCATCCATCAATTGTCTTAAGATGGGCTTTGCTTCGCGTTCCTCCAAATATCTGTCTGGCTTTGTTCTAATGTAGTTGAGCAAATCGCCACCCGGTGCGTATTCCTCAACGATGGCGACATATTCTTTTGTTCGATGGATCTGTGCAAATTAAAATAAGCTTTGGGGATTTAAATAAGTTTGCTTTACCGCATAGGCTGCAACAATGTTGACGTGATCAAGACGAGGAATGATCGCCAGCTCTCTGGGCATGAAGCGTTCAATGTATTCACCGCGCCTTCTGAGGTCGACTAGCTTTACTGCAACCTGTTCATTGTTCCTTGATGACATTGTGGCCTTGTAGACGTGCGAATGCGTGCCAGTTCCTATTAAATAAAACTCAATTATTTTTTAAAGAGAAGGTAGAAAATGCAATAAAGCTCACCAATTCTTCCTTCTCGTCCCTCAATAAGCCTAACACCGTTTGTGCGAAGAAGCTCCTTAATCCGTCGTTTAGGCTCGTCATCCTGTGCCGATGTCGATGAACGTCCTCGACTGCTTCTGCTATTAGCTGGCGGCATCACTATCCGGGCTGGCGGAGGTTGATTGGGATCAGCTTGCGTTCGTTGAGTTGTAGGGAAATTCGAGTAATGATGAAATTTGTGCGACTTTTATACCATTTAGAATTAGCGAAATTGCCATTAGACGACGGTTTCACTGATATTGGAAGACGAATATCGTCGCCTTCCAATACACATTTGGTAAACGAATATCGTCAACAAGCTCATTTCGAATTTGCTTAAGAGAGCTTGGTGATTGTGTTTTAAACAAATCACAAAACTTTATTACAAATAAATTTATTACAAAGCTGAAATCTAAATAAATTGCATATTTTTTAATTTTATTTAAATGTCTCCTTTTTTAGACTCTTATTTATCTAATCATATTTTCTTTTTTATTTTTTCCCTTTAACTTCCTTCTTCAATACCGATCTTTTAATTTAAGCATAAATCCCTTTTCGCGCTCCATTATCCTCAACAATGAACATTTTAAGTCACAAACATATATTTCCTTTTTTTGGGGTTTAAAGAAAATAAGAAAAACAACACAGTTCCTTTTTTCTTTTTTAATTTGTACCGCTTCGCACATTTTCTGTATAAAATAAATACAGTTAGTCATAATAATTATATACTATTTAGCAGAAATAAGAAGAAAATGCCGGCAAATTTGCCATATGGAAGCAGAGTAAAAGCGGGGAATATTAAATAGAAACAAAAAACATATACATATTTATGTAGTCCATTTACAAGGATGAATGACTTTTTTTTGGATAAACCTAAAAAAATAAATACCTAGATAAGTAGGCTAATGGACTATAATGGCCTATTTATTTAAATAATGTTTATAAATAAATTTAATTTTTTATTTTTTTATTTGTTGACTTTGAACTAAGAATTTGACAATTACCTAAATTAAAAATTAAAAAAAAAGAATTTGGCAATTAAATCTCATTTAAAAAAGTTCCAAAATTTTTTGTTCGATTAAAAAAATTAATTTGATACATATGTAAATGAATCTGCTAAAATATTCTATACCTAGAAGATTTATCTGCCAATAAAAATTATTTTATATTTTTGGCGATTTTACAATACGAGCTTCATCATTGAATTTGCCTAAAATTGTAAATGATGCGTCGCCTAGCTTGTTTTATTAAATTGTGTTAATTGTTTTAATTTTTTGTTAAAATTAATTTTAACCTCCTACATTATTTTTAAAATATCTTTGTACTGAATTAGAGCTTTACTGATTGTAAAAACTTTTGATTTTTTTCTTTCGACACAAATTTTAATTTAAATATTCATAAAAATATAATTTATAATTTCAGTTCATTGCTTTAATAAAAAAATTTTTTTGCCAAGCTCTTAGCGGGAGCTTTTGCCTAGCCTCTCTTGAAAACCTCTTTAAACGCATCCATTATTATTACAACAAAATATATATATTTTTAAATAAATGTTTATTATTATCAACAACCGGCAAAAGAGCTATTGAAGTATATTTATATTTAGTATAGTTGTTGTTATTGGCCATTTGCTTAAAATAGAAGTAGTTTAGATTTTGGCCTAGTATTTTCTTTGTTCTTGTTAAAATAAATTTAGAGATAATGGGGAATTAATAAAGGAGGTTACACAAATAAATTTAAAAAAATAATTATTAAAATTCTAATAATTTTTGTTTTAACTATTTTCAACAAATTTTTAAAAGGTTTTTCCTGACACTTCGAAAAGCTTATAGTCTTTAAATAACAATAGCGCTTGTAACTCTAGATTTTTTTCAGGATTCATGGAAAATTTCATGGAAAAAATTCAAAAAAAAATTCATGGAACGAAAAATTCCTCATATTTTTAAATAAAAATTTAGAATTTAAAAAAATTTTAAAAAATTTCATATTTTAAAACCTACATAATTACTAATATTTTTAGTATGTATAATTATGCTTATGTAATCTATTTTTAATCTATTTTTTATTTTTTATAAATTATTTTTAAATAAAATTTCTATTAAATACATAGATTTCTATTATTTAAAAAATTTTTGTCTAAAAATTATTTAAAAATAATATCCCCAAAAACAACTCAGCGGGAGTTGACTCAATGAGCCATAACAGTAATTGAACGGTCAATGAACTGAATGGTTAAGGAAAAAATTATAATCTTTTTCAATTGTTTTTTTGGTTGTTTTACATTTTAAATAATGAAAATAATTAATTGCGTAATTTATTAAAAATAAATTTTTTGTGAAATTTTAAGATTTTTTGTATAACCATGTAAATTACCTATTTGTTTTTTTCTAAATAATTTAAAATTACATATTTAATTTTAATAAATTTATTCTACTAAAATACTTTTTTTATATTCAGAAATATTCTTTAAATTTAGCAGATGAAAAAGATATGTATTTTTAAAATATCTACAGTACATATTTCTAAAATTTAAATAAAATATATCTAAATCTTCATTACCAGATTTTATAAAAATGTAAAAGAGAGAAGAGCATTTCCTGATTTGGTAAAAATGCCAAAAATTTCATACTATTATTAAATTTACATAATATTTTTGAATAATTTTTCTGAGTGGAGGTTTTCCGCAATTTAGGTTTAAAAAGTTACTCTTTTATAAAATAAAATATACTTGTACATAATAAGAATTTAGTTTTAATAAACCTCTGTAATACGATTTCCAAACATTTGAAACAACTTTAACATTTTGTTTTCTTTTAATTTCTTTATTGATAATACATACCCATTAATTATACTTTTAAAATATCTTTTTGTTTTTTTAGTCGGGAATGCCAACCTACGATTTGGAAATTGAAAATTTCTGTCATTTTGAATGCAAAAATAAAATTGCAAATAAACTTATATTTTGATTCTCTGAGGCTAAATACAGCAAAATTAAAATTCTTAACTTACCGCTGTAGGAGAAAACGCCTAACTTCGCTGACTTTCCTTATAACGCTCATTCTTTTCGATACAACTGACAAAGTTGTATCAAGATTTACGATAATTTTAAGATTTCTAGAATTGTTTTAAGCATCACAGGTGAAATTTTTAGATTTTTTTGAAAGAATTAGGAATTTAAGATTTGTTTTGCAATTGAAGGGCAAAAAAGTCTCAATTGATTCGACCAACAAATTTAAACGACGTCTAACAATCCTACCACATATTCTTTCTCCAGTCAAACTTAAAAAATTAAAAACAAACATTATACAAATATTTATATCAAGAATACAACAAATATATACATATACATCTTGAAGGACATAATCAACAGGCAAAATATACAATACACTATGGTTTGGGGTTAGAAAAATATACAATGGGAATTATGAATCATCCTATGCTCATCCGCTTCAATTTTGTTGTTGCCTGCTCCTTCTTGACAGTCATCTCGCGATCTCTTCCGGTGCTTCACTCCTTCTTCTCCTCGGCAGCAGGAGGAGCGGCGGCAGAATTGGCGGCAGCAGCAGCGGCCGTGACATTGAAGACCACCTCTCCGGACTGTGCCTGAGCAAGGAACGGCGCCTTCGGATCACTCTCTTCAGCAGGCACCTCTGCCCATTGGACGACGAATCGATCTGCGCCAGGAGATCCTCCAGGGAGACGATGCACATCGACAGGCTTCTTGCCATTGGGGTCGACGAAGCCGTACACAGAGCTGACGCGGTAGAACATATTGTTGCTGCATTTGATCTGAAAAAGTAAAGAAATTTTATTTAGTGCCGAGAAATTTTGGGAGATTTTAAAGAGGTTTACCTTGAATGCATGACGCTTGTCCGTTGTGTTGACGATTGTATGCTTGTTGAGACCTCCTTTGACAGAGTCGAAGGTGCTCGCAGGCGGATCGATGTTGAGAGCCATCCTTGATGCGTAGAGATAGTTTGCTGCTGCCGGAACGTTGAGAATAGCGTGTTATTGTTGGCGGGTTGTTATTGGGGATAAGTCTTGCGCTTTTATAGCAACAAAGCTTCATCTCTTTATCAATAAAACTTACTGATATAAAAGATAAAACAATAACAAGGCACTAGGGTTATGTGCTTTTTTCCTAGTCTACTCTCGTTAACAACACAAGAGGCAGGTTTTCCATCGATGGTTCAACTTTGTTCGACGTCGTTAATAACGCTAATTGTGTCTCATTCACTCACTCGATGATCTCTTTCAAATGGGCACAAGAAAAAAGTCAAGTCGAAAGAGCCCACATTTTTAAAAATTTTAATATCCAATTTTAATATCCAAAGTGTTTTTAAGAATTTTTAAAGTTTTTCTTTACAATTACATATGTACTTTAATTCAAAAATTATTCAAAAATTTAAGCAAAACAAACAATATACTAAATACATTTATTCTTTTCTTTAATATACTCCCTTTCCACTTGTCTCATTTCATTTTATTCTTCTTATCGTTAATTTCTTTCTGGCCTACTAAAATGTTTTTTTATTCCCTCAGTCATGGCCATTAATTGTTCGCATCATTGACGGACTCTTTTTCTTTTAAAAAATTTTTTTGCTTCCGTCTACTAAATTTTGCCCATTCTCTATAGCTTCTTAATGTCTTTTTAATGTAAGTATCTCCCGTCTAAATGAATATATATTAACTACGGTATATTTAGAAGGGAAATTGAAGGAATTGTGGTTGAGGGGGGGGGGGGGTTTGTCTCTTATGTTTAAATTTATTGTAAAGTATTTGAAATGGGCCTTGTCATTGAAGAAAGGAAATTTATAAAAATAAAAAAAAATAAAAAGACCCCAAAATGAATAGAAAAATGAATGAATCCGCGGGTGGTAGAAAAAGAATCGGCTGGATGGCTGTGCTAAGTGCGCTTCTTTTGTATTTACTAGTAAATGCTCCTCCTCAATAGCCTCTCGTTTTATATATATTTAGCCAATAGATGCTTAATAGCTTTGGACTAGTATTTTTGGGGCTTTTTTATATTTTATTTTCTCATTTGCCTCAAAGTGGGAATGTCTTTTTTAATGTTTTAGGGGGGGGGGGCTAAACAAGAATATACATATTTTATTTTTTATATTTTTTTGTTTGGCAGTAATTACGCTTAGGAATTTGGATTTACTAACCTTGGCATTTAAAAACACTAAAAACTTGGGAAATTATTTTGTCTAAAAGTTGGCATTATTTCACACAGCGCAAGCAAAAACTTGGGCAAATAAACAATAAAGTCTTTATAATTTAAATATTTATTTTTAAAAATTTTGTTTAGACAATTCACTAAATCTAAAATATAAATTGAAATATAAAAATCTTATAGTACTTTTCTTTTATTAATTTTCACTTAATTGTCTTAAATTTAATCGTTATTTGCTTATTTTTACTCAAATTTAAACGGGGCTGGTAATCAGTGCTTGGCAGACTTTTTGTTTTGCAGTTTACAACAAAAATTCGAGATAGTTAATTACTAAGCACCATAGGTCGATCGGAACTGACAAAGGTACCGGAAATCGGAACTGTCGGAAATCGGAAATGGCTCAAAAGTCGGAAATCGGAATTCCGATCGACCTCTGCTAAGCACAGACACCCTTCGGAATTTTAATCGCTCAGAAACTTACTTGAGAGTCGGGGGTATTATCCTAAATGTTACTATGTGTATGCCAAAGTTTTTCAGAAATACTCGATATAGGAGATGGCTCAGAATTTATACTTTTCCAAATACTATATTTGTGTAGTAGTTATTTCCTCTTTTTTTCTTCTCAATTCGACCTTCCTCCCCCCTTTTTTAACCACTTTAGTTTTCTAGTGCCGATTGTGCGCAAACAAATGTCGCGCTTCGGTTACGGGGTGGAAGAAGAACCGCTATCAAGCTAAACGCTCCAATTAGGGTAAAAAAAGGAAAGAAAAGTAAGGGGAAAAGAATTTATTTCTACTATGTATTTTAAGAGTGAAGGGATTACTTAAATATAAATAAATTGTATTTTCAATGACTATGTAGTATTAGTAGTAGATGATGAGCACGACATGACAATTGACTCCCCTTTTTCGATTGGTGATGATGGTAGGTAGTTGGAGGGTGGTGAAATGAAGAATAAATGTTTTATTTGTTGGCTTTTGATTGCTCTTTTCATTTGTTCTCCCCCTTCCAATTTTTTAAAAAGAAAATTAAATAATGGTACAAAAGTATTATTTTTATTTATTGCCTAAAGGGAATAAATAAATTAAATTAAGCTTAAATAATTATTTAAATGTTTTTAAAATGTTTGTTTGTATAAAAATACACAGCAGGGATGTTTTTACTGAAAACAATGGAAATTTAGGGGATTTTTCCGGAAACCTAAGATTCACATATTTTTTACTTCCTTTTATGTCTAGTAAAATTAGAGAAAGGAATGAAATATTTTAAAAATAAATAACTCTTTTTCTGAATAATTTTATCTCAATTTTAATTTTCCTTTTTCTTTATTCATGAAATTTTTCAATTTTAAATCTCCGAAAAATATTAATGGACGTGTTAAACTACTGTATACTCATTAAGGATTTCCTTGGGTCTTCTATTAAATTAAATATCATTTTGATTTTTTTTTAATTGTCATCCCAAAAAATAAATTTCGTTTCATTTTACTCAAAACATTTAAATTTTCAATTCATACTTCCAAAAATTGTCATTTTCATATAAAAAACAAACTAAATATATGTAAATATACAATCTCTACATATGTCACAACCTACCATATATTTATTTACTTTTTTAAAAAAAATTTATTTCGTAACCAAAAATATATCATAAATTTGACCCCTTCCTTTAAAAACAATTTCCTCCCGTTTAGAAGAGATTTGCATGCAAATTGGCCCCTTTGGCAGAAGCTCATCAAGAGTAGTGAATTGCCTTTTTTGGTTGTCCCCACAGTGCTTAATAATATATTTTTACAAATTTATTGCTTGTTTATTGCCTCTCTTCCCTTTTTTCTTAAAATATTCTAATCCTTCTTTAACGTCAATCTTTATCTCCAAACATTTATTCTTATGCAATTTGACGATCGGCTGTGAGATTTTGTGAGAAAATATTAAAATAATAGTTAGATTAAAATAACAATTTTTAGAAAAATATAATCGAGTTTAAAAATCTAAAAATTGTTTATTAAAAATCATAAATAATTTACCACAAGGATCTACCCGAACCGATTCGCGAAAATCGTGAATTTAATTTTTATGTCGGCTGATCCCTGATATGTACATAAAATAATTTAATTAACTAACAGGCCATAATTATTATAATTAATCTTTTCTTTTACTTTTTAAAATATAAATTTATTTTTGTTAGAAGATCAGATATTAATTGCTTCATATTACCACATTCCTTCAGATTTTTCTTTAAATAAATCTTGCCTAAAAATAAATTTTTAGATTATTTTTAGGTTTATTATCTTTAAAATATTTATTAAATATATTAATTATATATTTTATTTTATTTACTCTCATCTCCAATTTTTTTTATTTTTGAATATGAGAAGTTATTTTTTGGTTATTTAAGGATTGCACATGTAAAGAGATTGGAATAAATCCGATACCGTTTTCTCCTCCCATTTCCCCCAAAATGGCAAAATTTCCCATAAAAGATGAACCTAAAAAGAAAAAACCAACAAGGATAAATGTAGTCAATCTGAAAACATCATTTTTTAAATGATCAAATTTCAATCCCATTTGTTCAGAAATTGATAAAAAAACAATTAGTAACATTCGAAAGCATTTAAGTTTACTGATATATTATCATTGTTATCACCGGGGGTATGGATGTGAGATAAACATGGAATTCTTTTAAGATCAAATGGTAATCTAATCCTTTAGTTTACTATCCATAGAAATTATATCATAAACAAATACCCATTTCCAACTTTAAATTTACCGTATATACTCTATTAATTACTCAGGGTAATTATTATTTTACCCTTTTTTTATTGACCACCGTCACCTACCTTCCTCAATTCATCATTTTTATAGTTATCTAAATTTCTTTTTTTTCTATCAAATAACCAAAATCTACAAATAAAATATGTATAAACAAAGGAATGATATTAAACACAAAAGAAGGAGGAATACCTATGAGTACAAACTTCTTATGTTTGTAGTTATTGTTCTATATAACAATAAATGTATTTTTATTGACTGTCAATCAAAATCATTGATGCAAAAAAAAGAATTAAAAAAAATAAAGGGCATGGAATTACAAGAAAAGGAAGGGCAACTTTTAGAGACAATCAACACTAAGTAGGAACACACATCCAATCGACTCCTTCCAATCTATCGGTATCTTCCTTCAATTTTTTTTATTGATCACCGTCACTTACCTTCCTCAATTCATCATTTTTACATGTTCTCTTTCACCTATATAATATTCAACCACTTCCATCATTTTTTTATTGTTGTCAATTTGCGTGTCCTCACACTTTTAGTTGGATTTATTGTCTTCCTTTTTAAATGTCGAAGATGGCAATGAAAGAAGAACAATGGGGGAAAGTATGTTGGACAATAAAAATTTTTGCCGAAAGAATTTTTGAAAAAGAGAAGAGCTCTAAATATATTTTTATTTTTTCATTAACTATAAGAGCCGACAACCAACTAACAACAATAACCACTCTTCAATTGAGGACAGGCATTTGTAGAAATACCGGGAGAGAGAGAGAGGGGAAAAGAATTTTTGCCCTTAAATTTTAGCCGACAATTCCTCAATTCAATTGGGCGCATCCGTCATTTAAAAAAGGAAGAAGAACCTGGCAATTGACAAATAGAACCAATTATATAAAAGATGGATGACATTAAAGGAATGAGGATAATAAAAGGAGGGAGAGGGGGGATTACAAGGTGTGAAAATGATTTTAGAAAAAATATATATTACAGTAATATATTTTACAATTTTTGCCCTTAATTGGGGGCATCCGTCAAGTTATCGTTTTGCATATTTTAATTTCTTAAAAATCTTAAATTAGTAAAACATAGCCTTAATTAAGTCTGAGGTCTTCTAATCGAACAATTTAATGAGAAAACAAAGAAATCAAAAATATTTTTTATTATTTACTCTTTTCTAACAATTGACACGCAAAATTGCTTCTTATTTCCCCAAACATGCCAACATACTTCTTTGGCCTTGGGCATTTAAAGTAAGCAAAAATAAGGGGAAACTTTGTTGTCTAAAGGGGGAAAACTGTACTGGGAGATAATTAAAAATAATAATTTTTAGAAAAATAAATATTTAAATTTAAGTAAAAACTATGTTGGATATTTTATAATTAATCTTATATTAATTTAGGTATTTTTGCTTAAAGGGAGAACAACAAAAATATTTTTTTAACTTCTTTCCCTTAAAGGATTATTTTTTAAATTTATTTTTAATTACTATTTAGGGATTTATTTAATTATTATGAAGCAAAGTTTAAGCAAAACAAGAGACGGTAGTAGTCAAAAACACGAGGCTAAAAAACTTTAATCAGGTTTAAATTAGCAAAATTCAATTTACTCGATTCTGATTAACCAAGAGTTTTAGATAGACAATTTTAAAGCATGTGGGGAGGGGTGATATATTAAAATGTTGGGGTTAAGAAGAAAAAAAAACTAAAAAATATTTTCTTTTCTTTTTTTTCTAATCTTTTCACACTTTACTGATTTTAACCTTTCCCAGCCTTGATTAGTCTTGATTTTTGTCTCGAACTTATTTTCCCACACATACCCAAAATTATATTATCAATTAATTAATTAAACATTTAAATAAAAATAAATAAATAAATTTAAATTATTTGGGCGGAGTTTTAAAGAAGTTGAGTAAATGTAAAAGAGAAGAAAAAGAGGAGGATTATTCAGAAATTGACATTGAGATAGACATAAGATACGATATTTGGGGGTGGTAACAAAAATGAGAATATAAGTATTTAATGTTTAATAACATTTCAAATATTTATTTTTATTTTTTTAATTTTTTAATTTTGTTATGAAACTTTAAAAATTGGAAAAATAATTTTTAAAGATTTTTTAAATTAAAAGTAGAATAAAATTTAGAATTATTTTATTTAAATTTTTTAAGAAATATTGGAAATACATAAATCTGTAAATATATTTTAATCTAAATAATTATTTTTAAAAATATTCCTGTGGAGTTTAATATTTTTAATATTTTTATTTTTCTATTGTTGCCGAAATTAGGGCATTTATTTCACCCAAAATTTGTGTATTTATAACTGTCATATTTTAATAAATACTTTTACCTCAAATTATTTTTTTAGAATAATAATTTTATTTTCCTTTTTGTTAACTAATTGGTGTGTTAAATTAAATAAACAAATTTTTGATATTTAATCCAATACTAGAGAATATTTTTCGGACAAATCAGAAAAATTGTCCGAAGACTGGTTCAGTGTATGGATTTGAAATACAACTTTAATTTCGAGTTCGAAACCTTAAAATCAAAAAATATCTCTTCAAAAATCCTTTAAATTCAATTGCTCGTTTTTTAATTTCCAAATTTTCTCCATTCTTTTATTTTATTTTCACTCTATAAAATCCTTTTATTTTAATCAACCTCAGTGGTTGATTAAAAATTTGTTTAATTTAAAAGGCGTTAGAAGAATACAAAAATATTATATTTAATGGACAAATAAATTCAATAAATATATACTTCTACATATACTTGTAATCACTTAAACAAATATATTTTAAAAAACAAAATTATTTTGCAAAATTTTGGCCATTTTTAGTGCGCGCGAGATGATCTAGCTTCTTTTACTTATTTCCGGCTTTTCCTTTTCACTCAAAGAAAAATGGCGAATTTGTTTGGTTTGGGGATCAATTGTCGCTTTGAATTTTATTTTTATTCTTTTTTTTTTTACCTGCTAACATTAACCGGCGAGAAATTACAACCTTTATACTTCTGAAATAAAAAAAATTGGGAAAATTTTAATAAGAAATAATAGGGATGCGTCTAAAATAATTTTTTTCGGAAAAATTTTATTTTTAGACTTGAGCTATCACTCTTCCACTTAATTCCTTCCTATAAACTTGGATTGTCTAGGAATTTCAGAATCTTTACCCTCTGATTACCCTCCGACGTCAGTCAAACTGATCAGCTCCCCTATAAATTTCTTCGTGTTATTCAAGGATATTACGTGTTACCCAAACCCCGATCCTACCTTTTTCTCAACCTGTGACGTCTCTGATGTTATCTACCATCTTTCAGCTCCTTCACCAAAATCATACATACTATTATTCAAAAACTTTTATTTTACTAAAAAACTAGAATTTAATTAAAAACATTTCCTTAACTATTATTTACACAAAAACTTTGTTTATATGTATGTATTATTCAACAAATATTTTTAGACTTTCATTGCTTGTTTAAATATTTATATCAAAAATTCTTTTCCCACTTGACTTTTTTCTCGATTGATATATCCTTTTTGTTAATATAAAATATTTTTGTAATCCAATCCAATATCTGTCTCTCAACAATTGGAAGAAAAAGCAATAAAAGAGTAGAAGAATATATCCTTTATATTTTTGCGCTAGTGTTTGTGTAAGCCTTTATTAAATAAATTTGTATATCTTTATTTATAAATCCTTTACATATCTCCTACACAATTTCCCACAATTCTTCAAATATCTTCTTCATTTATTTAAAAATAAAAATTTATTTTGTTACAGGTCTCTCCTCTATTTTCCAGATAAATTTTCCTAATTTTTAAGCTTCCATCGGTAATGTTAGAAGGATCGGAACACACAAAAACTTTTATTTGGATTTTATAGAATTCATTTTTAATTACTTCGTTTTAATTTAAATTATCTATTCTTCGCCTCCAATCACCCAAAAATTCCATTCAAAATTCAAAACAAATCTAAAATATCCCCATTATCCTCTAATATTTACAAGCCCAACTCCAATAATAATAATATTATTTTTAAGAAAATCCCATCCCCATTCAATTTATTCTTTCCTCTCCTTCTTTTTTGCTTTTAACGAAAAGCTCCGATTATTTTATTACAACATTAACAAGCATAAAGAGATACTTTACTTCCCCTTTTTCCTAAAAAAATATTTTATTTATATTTAATTTAATCAGATTCTTTTTCAAAAACTTTTTTTAGATTTTTCTTTACTTAACGAATTTTATTGTCAATATTGCCAAGTATATATTAACAATTGAGTAAACGATATTTATTTAAAGAAAAGTTTATTTCTTTCACAAAATATTTACCCGTAAATAAATCCCTCATTCAAGTCCTTGCCATAAACACAATTCAGATTTATAGCAATCCCTTTACTCATTTACCCTTTACCTCCGTCCACAAAAAAATTTCAAGAAAGTGCCAATCTCAACAAGAATATGTTCCCGAAAAGATTTAAATTTTATTAGCCTTATCTTTTACCAAAATTCTAAGCTTTTAAATAAATCTCAAAAAAATATTTTTTCTCTCAATCATTCCTCACAAATTCATCTACCTACTAATATTTTTGGGGTTTTCTCAAACATTTTTCTATCACATCTTTTTACCAAAAATTCCATACCTTTCCATTTTCTCATTGCTTTTGGCCTTCACCCCTTGTCGGGTTTACATTAAATACATATCCCCCTTGACTTTAATAATTATTTACCCCTAAAGTGTTGTTCTTGTTTATTCTTTTTTTTAATTTTCTTGTTCAATTTTCCCACTTTTAATTTGTTTTGTGGCGGTTAATATACATAAATATTTTTAAGATGAATTGCTTGACATTGCGCCATTCATTCTCCCTCTCCCCCTCTTTTTTTGTAAATTTTTTTTCTTAAATTTTCCCGCATTCATTCCCTACTGTCACATCATCATTGAAAAAGAATCATCACTTAGAGAGAGAATTGTGTTGCACATTTTGTGTGTTGATGGTGGTGTAAATGTGTAACTGGTAAATGTAAAAATGTAATCGCGCCCGGCGCTACTTAAAAGAAATGGAGGCGTGAAAAATACTGACTGACTACTTTTTTCCATTAATGGATTCGATGTTTATTGGGTGAATAGCTAATAGGAAAATGAAACAAAACGAGTAAATGGCGCCAGTTTTTGGGGGGAAAATGAGAAAGGAGAGAGGGGGGGGGCTGAAAGAGAGATGCGCACATTGATGTATTTGAGAGAAGTTGTTGGCCTTTTTGGTAGGTTTTATTTTAAATATTTTTTAGAAAAAAGAGGTGAAATTCGAGTGTTTGTTGTCAACACCCATTTTGTTAATCATCAAAATGATGGCCAAAAGTGAGGGGAAAATTATTTAGACAAATTTGTGTTGACTTTTAATTTTACCTACATAAATTTAAATTTAATTGAGAGATTGTTAAGAAATAAATTTTAAAAAGAAAATTTTAGAGGGGAGAAAACTAAAAACAAAAAGAAGACTAACTAATTGACACTTTTTTAAATAAATTTTAAATTAAAGAAGAAACTGTAGATTTTTGGTTAAATAAATGTGTGTATTTAATGTATTTGTTAAGAATGAATTGAAGAATATAAATATAAATTAATTTGTTTATAATTCTCAATATTATTAAATTCATTTTTTAATTTGGAATTCTCTCCTTAATTATGACAACCTCTCAACAATTTTCTCAAATTTCCCGCTTCCTTGTATCTTAATCCTTAATACTTAATAAAACTTTAATGTCTGGCTTTCTAGCTATTTTTATCTAAATTAATCATTAATTCCTATTAAAATTAACAAAAGTTTTCTATGAATTTTTCCATTACTAGTCCTATATTTTATTTCTACAATTCCTACATATATCAAAAATATAAATAAAATAATTTTATTTATTTAAAATTAATTAATTACAATACATATATCGTTTCCATTTAATATATTCGCTTATTGGTTCCTTCTCAATGTTACGCCCCTTCTCTTTTAAATCTTCTTATTTTCTCCCCTATCTATATCTACTAAATGTAATACATATGTACTTCCTTCCATCCTTTTTTTATTTTTTTTTCTGTTAAAATAATTTTTTTTAATTTTTATTTAAGAAATATTTTGAGGAATGTGCCATATTTTTAAATTAAAGAATATTTAATAAAAAAATTCCCCAATGGACCCAGAAAAATTTAAACAATTTTTCACAACTTTATTAATTGCTAAACAACAACAATTTAAAAATATTAACGAATCTGGGCAGGAAGAAAATAAGCAAGAAATTTTAAACGAAGCTTCTTGTAGTGAACAATTAAAAGAAGATGAAACAAAAACAACAACATTTACTCCCCCTCCCAATCCTCAATCCCCTCCTAGCTCAAAAGGTAAAAAAATAGTTTTTTAAATTTAATAAAATGAAAATAAAAAAATAAAACGGAAATGAACATTTTTGTCATTAAAAATCCAAATTATTTACAAACTCGATCAAATTTAACAAAAAATTTGGATTTTTAAAATTTTAAATTAGAAATTTATATTAAATACGGATGGATCTCATTTTTACATAAATTCAAACAATAGATACCGTATATGCTCTAATAATTACCCTGGTTATTTTTTGTTTCAACCTCTCGCTGGAGGGAATAGAGCGGGGGTAATTATTTTAGCTTTTTTAACAGGCTAATTATAATTATTTTTAAGAGGGGTAATTATTGTTTCAACCGCTGGTTGCGGGGGGTAATTAATAGAGCGGGGGTAATTATTCGAGAGAGGGTAATTACGGTATAAACATTAATTTAACAAATTTTTAAATTTGGATAGCTACATACTAGGAGAAGTCCTAAACGATATTCCCAATAATGGATACACTCAATTTTCATATAATTTTTTCATCCCATGAGTTTAAGTAAAATGTAAATTCGACAGTTTAAAATTCAACAAAAATCTTTCTTTTTATCAAAATAATTATATTTTTTATTTAAAATATTTAACAGAAATTCAAAACAAAAATATTTTCAATTCAACATCAACATCTGTTGCTATTAGCAATGATGGTATTAATGAAGAACAACCATTATTGCCCATGTCGCAGCAAAATTTGCCGACGAGAGGGTATACCTCAATTAAATTTGAAGAAGACAATGAAAATTTAATAAAAGAAGAAGAGGTTAATGTGCCGAATATTTTTTCTCCTCCAAATGAAAAGGAAGAAGAGGAAAAATATAATGAAAATAATAATAAATCTGACTGTAATACAGAAGAACAGACGGGGAATGGGCATGAAAATATTAATGATTTAAATGGTGGAAATGGAAAGGCAAAATATAGGTGTGGATTTAGGGGAAATTTAGTATATTTTAAATAGGAAATTTAGATTACGGGGAGAATACAGTTAATATTTTAGATTAGACTGAAGAAATGTAAAGGGTATATTGGAGGAGTATACCATAAATGCTCGAATAATTAGCCTGAGTAATTATTTTTTCGACCTTTCGCTGGAGGGGTAATTAATCGAGAGGAGGTAATAAATTTGGGGTATATCCCAATAGATGAATTGATATCCCTTTGTTTTTTTCAAAATCGGACGGATATGAGTTCCAATTTTGCGGATATACTCCGTGTTTTCTGAGATAAAATATCACTAATTAAATTTTTAAACATCGCTGGATAGTTAAAAAAATAGGGAAAAATAAAATTTATGAGATTAAGACGTGTCTTGTCCTTAAACTTATTTTAAAAATCTTCTAAATCGAAGAAAAAATATTTTAAAATATTTATAAAAAACATCAGAAATGGCCTTTCCCGACGTTTTTCAAAATTGTCATTAAATAGAGTTCAAATTTATCCAAAGAAGCCTCCAAGGAAGAAAATGTTAAGCTCTGGCCCCGATTTAAGGTAAAATACATAGAATAATTAGGGGATTAATTGATTTAAAAGTTATTATTTCCGATTAATTCTCCTTCAAAAAATATTTTTTCAATTTATTTTTAATAGTTATTCCTGTTCTCCAACCGTTATTTGTGAAGAACATCCACCACCACCACCAATAACATCCCAAACACCTACAAGTCCCTCAAATAATCAAAAAGAGATTAAAGATGAAAAACAAATTAAAGATAATGAATCTAATAATAATATAATAAATTCTGAAAATAATTTGTTAATAAAATCAGAAGAAACACAAAGAGCACAGGCTATTTGTATGCAAAGAATGCTTTTTGCTATGGCTTGTGCTCAACAACAACAAATGCAAAGGTAATTAATTTATTTTCAAAAAAATAATTTAAATAAAAATCTGATTTTTATTTAACGAAAAAATGTTTGAAAAAATTTTTTTAAACGAGAAAATATTTTTTCTGGAATTTTTCTGATATTTTTTCTCTCAAAAATAAATTTGTCTTTTAGTTATAATTGTTTATATTTTTTCTTTTTTTCATTTTGGTTGATTCTTTTGTGGTTAAGTCGGTAGTGTTCTTGTCTTTCCTTTTATTGCTTCGCAAGCTGTGATTATTTACGCATATCTGACACCTCTTATGCCAGAATCTGTTTAGATTCAATGATTCTGTATATGCTGATGAATTTATGAGCTTGTTGAAATTAATTTTTATTTTTGTACATATTTTATTGGGAAAGTAAATATTTACAAGTTTATGCCAGTTTCTTTCTTCCTTCCGAGTTAAATATTTTATGAAAATCGAAGATTAATTCATCCTAAACCTCTATTTTATCCACCCATTCAAAATTTGTTTAATTTTTCAACTCATAGGTATTCCTTATATTTTCAAATTTGCCTTGTTTTACCTCAGACTTTATTTAAATTTAATTTCTTATTTTCAAAATCAGACCTTCACGTTCATCAATTAGTCCTACTAATGCATGTGAAAAGTCTACATCTATACCAACATCTAATAATCGTGAACAACAACTTCCACCTGGGACGAGTTCAAGTGGACTTTTCCCTTCTGGCCCTGTATTTCCTCCTTTTCCAATGGCCGCTGCAGCTGCGGCAGCTTTTTGTGGGATTAATTCAAATACAATTGAACAGGTTTTTGATTGAAAATAGGGAAGATTTCCTTTAAACTCTACCAAAAAAACAGATTTTAAAAACCTTTGAACAATTAGAAGAGGCAAATGAGATTGAGCAATTGGGCCGTTTTCTGTTTTCATTACCCCCTCCACTTCAAATAAAGATTGGAATGACTGAACCTGTATTGAGGGCTAAAGCTTTGATTTGTTATCATAGTGTAGGTTTTGATAATATAAATAGAACAATTACCGTATAAACTGTATTAATTGCCCTCCCTCAAATAATTACCCTCCCTCTATTAATTACTCCCTCCAGCGGAAGATCGAAACAATAATTACCAGGGTAGTTATTAAATCATATACGGTATAAGTAATTTAAATAATATTTTTTGAAGTAAAAGATGAACAATGAAGATATTAATTTTTTAGCATTAATGTCACCCCTCTAAAACAAAAGAGTTGTACATATTTAACTGATTTTTTAAGATTTACTAATATTTAAAAATTAGACTCACTCAATTCTTTTATTTATTTAGGGTAACTTCAAAGAACTTTATAATATATTAGAAAATCACAAATTCTCTCCCAATTCTCATTCCAAATTACAACTATTGTGGCAAGAAGCTCATTACCAAGAAGCAGAAAAAATTCGTGGAAGGTAAAAAATAAATAATTTTATTTATTTTTTTCAATTTTAAAGAGGACTTGGTCCTGTAGATAAATATCGTGTAAGGAAAAAACATCCTTGTCCACCAACAATTTGGGATGGAGAACAAAAGACTCATTGTTTCAAAGAAAAAACAGTAATTGGATTTTTAAAGGAATAATAATTTTTATTTAATTTTTTGTAGAGAACAATTCTACGAAAGTATTATTTACAAGATTGTTACCCAAATCCTGCAAAGAAAAAAATTCTTGCCGAAGAAACGGGACTAAGTCCAACACAGGGTGAATTTAAAATTAAAATAGTAAAGCTGCTGGGCTATAGCTATTTCTCTCCTTTAGTAGTGCAAAAGGTTATTCGGCGGCTGGAAGCGAACCAGCACTTTCAGTAAACCGGACTGATGTGTTAGCCATTACACCACTCCGCCTACCGCATAGCCTTAGGAATTAAATAGCTATATGCTCTACAAAATTAATTTCTTAAATATTTTTTTGTAAATTTTAATTAAAATTAGTTGGCAATTGGTTTAAAAATAGACGTCAAAGGGATCGAGCAGCCACTCACAAACATAAGTAGGGAACAGAAAAAATTATTTTTAAATTTTCTAACTTCCTATATAGAATGAGTGCAAATATGTTACCTGCCGGTCTTTCTCTATCAGGCAAATTATCTTCTAGAAAAAAAGCAACAAAAAGTGGTTGTTCTTTTGATGATGATGAACAAAATAATTTAACAAAAAATTCAATGGATATTGATTCTAATTCTGAAAATTCTGAGATAATTTCTGATGAAAATTGTGGAGATTCTTTAATGTCGAGTTTGGATGAAGAAAATGAATTAAATGGGAGGGAGGAAGAAAATGATCAGAAAAAGGAAAATCCTGTTAGAAATGTTGGCTTTAATGGAATTGCTAGTGAGTTGGAAATTTATTTCATAAAAATAAATAATGGAAGCTATTCTTTACTCCTCTCTTTCTGTCAAAAAATGTTTAAAGATTTTTCAAATAAAACACACAATTAATTTTCTCTTTTAAAAAGATTTACTCGGCCTTATCCATCAAAATAAACAAGAACAACAACAACTGAATATCCCAGTAACTCCCTCCCCCTTTCCTCCTTTCCCTCCAAATTTTTCTGCCAACGGAACACCTTTGCATCCAATGCAAATATTAATGCTTATGCAATCAGCTGCAACACAACATGCTTTATTCCAACAAAGACAACAACAAGCACAACAAGTATTGAGCCAAAATGAGGTGAAAATAATTTTAAAAAGTGTTAACTAGAAAAGCTCTAGGCCTTTCACCCATCGGGAAATTCTAAAAGAGTTTTTCTCTATCCAAAATTATATTCTGACCAAAACACTTTCTTATATTTAAATAAAAATTCCAAAAAAATTCATTTTCCAGACTTCCTCTTCAACATCAGAACATTCTCCAACCTCCATCAATTCTTCCCCAATCCAAAAAATGATAGAAAACAATGGAAACAAATTGGGAAAGAAACCTCATCAGAAAAAGAAATCAGGAAATGGACCAAAAACAAAACCATTTAAATTATCTATCGATCAAATTTTAGGCCAAAAGACTTCCGGAATTTTATAATTTTAATTTGTAAAGAAATATTAGGGTTCTTCTTTCAATCCTTTCAAACTCCCCTTTCAATTCTAGATAATAAATTACCTAAATTTCATTCCCTACCAGAGCCCTAATTATAAGCTCTTTTTCTCTTTTTTAATATTAAATTTAAAAAAATTATCCAAATTCTTGTTATTTTATATTATTTTATAATATTTTAGAATAAAAAATTTAAAAATTTATTTTTAAAAAATATTTTTATAATATTTAAAATTCTTTTTATAGTAAATCTTTACATTTTCCTTTGTGTGAAGATTTTGTATCGCAACGGTATTTTCCTTTAAAATTCTGAAAAAAAATCAGAATTAATTTTTAAAAATATCCAAAAAAATTTACCCCATCATTACACCAAGCACATTCAGAATATGCCTGTGAAATACACAAAGAAAATAATAAATTTCCTTGACAAATTTGTTGTTTTGCTTGTTCCTCGTTAACAACACCTTTTGGGGGAGATAATGTTTTCCCTGTTGTTTTGGCCAAAGAATTTTCTTTAAAAAAATAAATTTTTTTAATATTTTTAACGAAAAGTTTACCAAAATTTTGAATTAAAAATATTCCAATAATAAACAAAAATAAATTTAATAAATGCATTTTTGCTTGAATAGAAAATGGAACAAAAATTGTTTAGATAAATAAATGAACATCCTTCAAACAGCTGGATTGTTTAATAGGGAAAATTAAAAATCAATGAGAACAGTTGTTCCCGGTAAAATAAAATCTCGAAAATTTTTTTCTTGTAAATATGTTCAAAATTTTTTGTATTAAGACAAGGAATGTATTTCAGGTATTGAAAGCTTTCGGTCCTTTTCAAATGCTGGAAATTATTCAATTTAATTTTTAATTATTAAATAACGAAAAATTAAAAAATAAAATTATGGAAAGTAAATATGTATATGTACAATAGAAAACTCCAAATATGAAAATAAGTATAATTACTATACACTTCTCCACATAACTATAACCTCACCCTAAATTTTTGGATTTCTTAACTTCTACTGAATCTATTAAACCTGAGAAATCGAAAGAATTTTCATTCAGCAATTTTTATCCAATTTTATTAGTTATAGTTATGTGGAACAGTGTAGAACCACATTCACTTCTATTTTTCAATCTTCTAGCAGGGCTAATAATAACTGACTTCTAAATAGAACTGCGGTTCTATTAGGAATTTCACTGTACATACATAGTTACATAATTATTTTTATTAAAATTTGGTGAAATACATTTAATGAAATGTTGATAGCTTGTGTATATAAGCTAATAATTTTAAATTCATGCAACAAAATATAACTTCACCACAAACCTACACAGCTCACTTCTCAAACGCTCCAATGGCTGATAAGCGCAAATCTAGCTACTCCAAGAAACGGGAGTCAATTTTAAAAATTAATAGAATCCCTTAAAATTATCTCTTTATTTATCACCGTATACATAGGCGCAATACAAACAACTAGTGGATATTTCCTTCCCCCATTCAAATAAAGGGGTTCTTCTAACCGAATAGAAATTGACCGTTCTTTTAAATTTGTTAAGTCAGTGGTGGATAATAAATTTCCGTTTGTTGTTAGTCTAAAAAAATTTTTTTCTAATTTTCAAAAATATCTATCATATCTCGCCTTATTGAATTTACTTCGGCTGATCCAATTCTACACTCCGCTAAATGACCGCTCCACGAACACAAGTCGTTAGCTGCACGTTTCCCCTTGTGAATACGTTCTATATGCGCTCTGGTTATTAGCTTTTCCCCGTTGTTATTTTCACTAATACAAAATAGGGTGTGTGTCTGACGCCCATCCCCAAGGAATTGGATTACCTGTAAAAGGGTAGAAATTTCAGAATAATAAACTTAAGATCAGAATTTTAATTATACTGAATCAGAATATTTAAAAATAAACTTAAATATAGAAAAATAAACTTGGAAGACGAAAATTAAATAAACTTTAAAAAATCAGAATTTATAAGACTAAAAAAATAAACTTGAAATTAGAAATTAATTAAACTTAGTATCAGAATTTATAACGACAAATAGAAAAATAAACTTGAAAAGGGAATTATAAGTAAATAAACTTGAAATTAGAATTTGTAAACTTAAAATCCGAATTTGTAAAATTAAAATCAGAATTTGTAAAATTAAAATCAGAATTTGTAAAATTAAAATCAGAATTTGTAAAATTAAAATCAGAATTTGTAAAATTAAAATCAGAATTTAAACTTAAATCAGAATTTGTAAAATTAAAATCAGAATTTAAACTTAAATCAGAATTTGTAAAATTAAAATCAGAATTTAAACTTAAATCAGAATTTGTAAACTTTAAACTAAATAAACTTGAAATCAGAATTTATAGTTAAAATCAGAATTTTTAAGAATAAACTTGCTCAAAAACTTGAAATCAAAATTTAAATTTAAAAATCAGAATTTTATTACATTACAATCAGAATAAACTATACCGCATAATCCCCTTCCACATTCTGTTCCTCTTTAAGTCTGTGGAAGGCCCCTAGAACAATGGGCCTTCTCCCAATATTTTTCGACATAAATGTATCTCCAAGATTTTTCAATGCCCACAGATTTGTAGTACGATGATAAAGAGCAAATCCAAAAATAATTCCAGAAATGACCGAAAAAATATTTTTTAATTAAAAATCAGAAAAATAATCATTACAATAGTTAAACGAAAAATCAAAGCAATTCCCCACAAAGCCGTTTTTCTCAAAACCAGAACATTTGAAAAGCGAAAAATTCCGGAAGGTGAAGTGGTAGAGGTAGAAGGATGGTCGTTAAAAAGAGGTTGGTAATAGATGGGGGAGGAAAATAGTGAAAATAAACTGCCAGGACAACAACGAGTGTTTGGTTGAATTAACATTTATTTTTTGTTGTATCAGAATTGTATTTAATTTAAATCAGAAATAATAAATAAACTTGGTAGTGTAAGAAGAATAAACTTGAGAATAAACTTAAAAATAAACCTAACTTAATAAATAAACTTAGAATATACTTGAAAATAAACCTAAGAATGAACTTAAGAATACAACTTAGACTTAAAAATAAACTTGAGAATAAACTTGATAATAAACTTGAGAATAAACTTGGTTAAAAATAAACTTAAGATTGAACTTAAAAATAAGCCTAACATAATAAATAAACTTAGAATAAACTTGAGGAGATAAACTTAAGAATGAACTTAAAAATACAGCTTAGACTTAAAAATGAACATAAAACAAACTTAAAAATAAACTTGGATTTAATAAACTTTTCCAAGTTGCAAGCAAAAAAATGAAAATTAAACATAACTAGAAATAAATTGAAAACTTAACATTAAAATATAAAGGTTGTTTAATTAAATATGTAATTAAAACAACGCACTAAAATTCTCGATTTAGATATAAATCTTTATTAAAATCGATAAAATAAAGTAAATTTATGTTCGCGCTATATCCATTCAAATCTCCCCTTTTTAAATCGAAAATTAAAAGGCTGCAACTGGTTACTGGTTATTTCACAAGACAAAAGTTTTCACTTTTTTTTGTTAAAATATCTAGACTAACCAAAATTATGTTTTTTAAATGTTCAAAATAAATATGGGATTTAAATTGTTTATTTTTAGAAAAATAGATTAACGCTGATCGAAATTATAGGTAAAATTGAAGTTCGCATCATAGCTAATCAGACAATATAGAATTAGTTTTAAATTTAACGTAAAAATGTAGGAAATGAGAAAAGCGTCACATTTTTAGAAAATAAAGGATTTCCGTCCAAGGTTAATTTATCCAGTATTTTCTTTGAGGGCAAACAACGAAACAAATCTTACTTCATACCTTTTTGTGGAATTATCGCTCAAGTCTCCACATTCTGAGTCAAAAAAAGCAAGGGGGAACTTCAATTTTACCAAATTATATATAAAAGATGAGAATTAATTAAGGATAAAAATAAAGGCCGATTGAAAAGTTTTAATTTTTGAAATTCTTCCTTAAAAATATTTATTTTACAAATTCATGCTTCTTCATTCATTGCTTCATTCATTATAAACTCAAATACACGACAATCCTTCGGAGGAATATTGTTTGATACAAATAAATAATGCTGCTCTGCCACATCCCTTTTTGCTAAAAATATTATTATTAAGCATGCAAAAATCTTAGAAGTATAGAATATAAAAAAATAATGATTCACATTAAAGATGAGATTTTAAGGGATTTGGAGGAATATCTAGTGATTTTAAGGAATATCAATAATTTAAATGGATCAAGGTAATTAATGAAATTTGGATAGGTTAAAAGGGATCTGGACATTTTATCCGTAGCCGACGTTTCTTTGGTCAGGGTTTATAGTAAGAACTAAATGTATTTGTTTGTAAACAGTTGCCCATCGAAAAAATGTTAAAATAAACCCAATCCTTTATTCCCTTTTGAGTTTAAATTTAATTTTTTCCCTAAAATGATCCGAAAATGTCAATCCGCAAATGTCACACTATAAAAAGATGTTGAATCTTTAGAAATAGACCTTTTAGAAATGGAATCACCTTTTAAAATTAAAAATAACCTTTTAAAAATTAGAAATAGACCTTTTAAAACCCACAAGTGTCTATAAGAGGACCCGTCGCTTAGATTGAATTAGAGTTGATTATACAATCAAACCGCGTAAATTTCAATTCTAAAAATTACCTGGAAGCCAATTTTTTATGCTATAAAAATCAACAAGAAAATCATTTTGATCATCGATAATCAAATTATTAATTATTTCCAAAAAATGAGAATATATTGAAGTAATAGCCCTAACTTTATCTACAAAACAAGGTTGTAACTAAAAAAACAAAAAAATATAAGTTATATGTAAAATTGATAAAACTTCAGATTTAAGACGCGGATTTACATCCTCAGGCCACTCATACAAAGGTAATGTCAGAATCTAGAATTTTTATTAATTTTTATAATTGAATAAGGAAAGCCTTCGACGCCCCATACGCCAGTCTTAAATCACCGCAATCTTTTGAAAGTTTAAAACATCCTCAAAAAATATTTCCTTTGAATCATAATTAAAATTTTTATCTGATTATTATGCACTGACTTGACATTTTGTCACTTAACATTTTCAAAAGAAACCTTGTCATAAATCACCCTCCATAGCGAATTAACAAAAATTTATCAAAACATTGTCAGGTATTGAGCATTAATGACTTACTGACGTAAAAAGAAACAAAAAATGATTTAAAATCATGTCAGGTGCCTTAACACTTTAAAAAGCTAACAAAAACCGCATAGCATATGTAGAAAGGTAAAGAAAAAGCACTGGCACTCCTAGATGCGACTGACTTAACACGGGAACGTTGAGCAACAGCAGCGATTGGTTTAAAAAAGAATCAATGAGCTCAAGCTCAACAAAAAGCCAAAACTAACTAAGCAAGCGTCTTCTACATCGACTGACTTGGCAAGGAATGTTGAGCTGAGGCACACGTTCAGAAGAAAGGTGAGCACTAAAGGTGGCGTCTGATGAATTGAGTTTATATAGTACACAGTCAAGCTTGTTCTAAAATCAAAACACAACTCAACTGCTTCAACATTCCAAGTTGCAAAGCTTTACTAAAAAAGCCCCCATTTTCAAACTTCTAAATCAAGCTTACAC